CCCCCCCCGTATGGTCTCCCCACTATCTCATACAGATATGCGATCCCACACAGTAACGCCAGTTCAACCGTGGACCGCAAATGAAAGGGCTGCTTTGATGAGTTTGTAAGAGCAAGGAAGTAGGCTTGGATGCGAAGACAAGGGGCTTGAGTTGTTGCACGCGAAGTTCTTTCGAACAGGTAAGTACTCTCTAATCTCCCTGTGAAGCGCACCTGATAACGTGTGACAGATCCGGAGCTGCTGTCCGAACAGCCAGGTATCGAGGTAGCAAATACGAAATAATATGAATCCCCCGGAAACATGACCGGCTTTCCTTGTCGAGTGTTCGGCAACCTTCCTCGGAGGGCAGCGCTGGTGTGGCGTGGGCCGGCTCCCGCGCCCGTGACGCGTGGAGACAGAGCTACCCCGCTTGGACGGACAGGTCGCGATGAGTGCCTCCAGCCCGAATGATGGCGCGATACGACGCAGGTCAATCGACACAGATTCGGTGAGGCAGAGGGCAGCTACAGGAGACTTATTCACTATTGTAGGCAACCACGCGGAAGCTCGGACACGTTGGTTTTGATGCGCTCCGCTCCTCTCACCGAAGCGAACCCTCAGCCCGCCCAAGCCTGCCGCCCACACCACGGCCCTTCACACACGACTCCTCTCCCGACCAAGCGCGCTGCTCTACCGGACGACCAACACGCGGCCTGCATGCTCGGCGCAATTGGTTGCTCTGTTCGGCCGTGTTGTGTCGCGCATCGCGTTGTGACGTCCGTTCGCGTCGCGTCGCCGCCTTGACTAAGCACCTGGGCACATTTTCCGTCGTCGTTCTTCCCCGACCTTCTGAAAACTCCCAAGGCCCATCCTCCCACCCTCCTCTACCCACGCCCGAACATCAACCTCATCGCCTTCCATCCTCCTATCACACCTCGCCATCATCGCAGCACCCTCCCCGTCGCGCTTCACGACTGCGATCCTTGTTTACGTCAACGGCACACGCCTAACGCGTCGTCCACGAGCCGCCCTCCACCAGATCTCGCGTCCCGACCCGCACTACCACAATGGCCGATCAGGCTGCCGCTCCGGCTCCTGCAGCCTCGCCCAAGCCCGACGAGGCCTCGGCGCCTGCTGTCGAGGTGAAGGCTACCACCGCTGACGCGACCACTGATGGCGCGGCAGCCGCCCCCATAGATGATACCAAGCCTGAGACTACTTCAGACTGTGAGTGGCACACCGAGAGCGCGCTCGCAAACCACGACACTGACGAGATGTCACTTCGTCTAGCTCATCCTGCCGCCGAGGAACCCGCTGCTACCAGCGTCGGAGAACCGGCTACATCGGAGAAGGACGGTGACAACGCTGAAGAAAAGGACACAGGTCAGGAAGCTGCCGGGCGACTTACGGGCCTCACCTTGGCGAAGTCAGGACGCATTTGCTGACAACCATCCAGGGACTGAGGCTGGCAACGATGCCAACGGTGTACCGAAATCGAATGGCAGGCGCAAGTCCACCAGTGGTGAGAAGGGCGGAAAAAAACAGCTCAAGAGCAAGAAGTCTATGGCCAATCTCAATCTCGACGTGACGCCTGGTACCTACTGGTGGGCTAGGATGAAGGGCTACGCTGCTTGGCCCGTGATCATTTGCGATGAGGCTATGCTTCCTGAATCCCTGCTTACCAAGCGACCCGTCAGCGCAATCCGGCCCGATGGAACCTACCGCGAAGACTTCGCGGACAATGGTAAGAATGTCCGTGACCGTAGGTATCCAGTCATGTTTCTGGGCACCAACGAATTGTAAGTTCGTCTCCCTTGCCGTTCGGGCATGATTCTGATACAATGTGCAGTGCATGGCAAGTCAATACTGAGCTCACCCGTCTCGATCTCGAGGACGTCAAAAGAGCTGTCGACAACAACGACCAGGGCAAGAAGGCGAAGAACCTTTGGGAAGCCTGGAAGGTCGCGTCTGAAGGCCACACCCTTGAGTATTTCAAGCAGCTTCTGATGGATCACGAAAAAGCAATGGCCGAAGATGCACAAGAGCGTGCCGCTAAGGAAGCGGAAAAGGCTGAAAAGGCTGCCAAGAAGGCCAGGAGAAAGAGCAAGGGTGGCGATGATGATGTAGAGATGGAGGATGCAGCCGGTAGCTCTGACTCCGCAAGCAAGAAGAGTGCTAAAAAGAGAAAGAATGATGCTGAGGGTAACGACGAGAAGGTAAGCTCGTGGTGGTCCTATTAATAAACACTCAACTAAAGATCTCGCAGCCCGCAAAGACTCCCAAGACCAAGCTCAAGGTCAACGGTCCCAAGACGCCGGCAGAGTCTTCGGCCACGAAGACGAAGAAGACACCAGCTTCGAAGGCGAAGAACTCTAAGAAGGTTGAGGAGTCAGCCACGCCCAAGGTAGTCGAGGAAGAGCTCACCCCTGAGCAGAAATTTGAGAAGCGCTCCAAAGCCAGTAAGTTGGTGTGAACATGCTCCCTGAGAAGCGGAAACTGACAAACACATCTAGTCCTTTATCTCCGCCATCGTCTTCAAAAGGGATTCCTGACCCGCGATCAGACCCCCAAGGAGGAAGAGATGCAGCAGATGGCTGAGTATTTCACTCAGCTTGAGTCGCACCAGGATCTTGAAGAGAAAATCATTAAAGATACCAAGATCAACAAGGTCCTGAAGGCCATTATCAAACTGGATTCTATCCCCAAGGAGGAGGTATACAACTTCAAGAAGCGTTCTGCTGACCTGCTCAACGCCTGGGGAAAGAATGCGAGCGGAGACGCGAAGCCTAATGGTGTTGAGGCCAAGGAAGATACCGCCGAGGCCAAGTCGGATAAAGCCACCACTGAGGAGCCAAAGACTGAGGGGCCTAAAACGGAAGAGCCTAAGCCAGAAGAGCCTAAGGCTGAACCGAGGGCCGAGGAGGCATCGAAGGACGTTGAGATGAAGGATGCTGAGGATACTCCTGCTGAGACCAAAGCTGAGGAGACCAAGGCTGATGAGCCTAAGGTTGAGGATGCTAAAGCCGCCGAACCAGGTGATGTCGCCATGGAGGACGCCAAGGACCCGGAAAAGCCTGCAGCCGCAACTACTGAGGTTGCGAAGGAAGGTGACAAGGTTGAAGAGAAGTCTGCTGAGGCAACCGCTGCCTCTTAAGAAACCTACTCTGGGTCTGAATGGCCGTGTTTCGAAATGGCCACTCTTTGGTCATGCGCAGCCCTAGCGTCAACTGGTCATCGTGGCAATCTAATCAGAGCAAAAGCACGTCAGTCATTGAAGTTCTTGAGGCAACATCCTTGTTTTTTTTTTCTCCTTCACGGCAGCTCTTGGCTTTTCGAATTTCTCTTCTGCTTCTCTACCTCTCTTTCCCAAGTGCCGACAGCTATTTGCAGCTAACTCGGGAAGATTCTCAAACTTTACCGGTACCTCACCTATTCTTATCCGGTTGGACTTGTACATAAAGAGTTTACGGCGTGAAACGGCAGCGATGGACGATGGATGGGTGATTGGTTGAATGCATTCACATGCTTGCCCCGAATAGGGGGGCGGAGTGGTGCAAAACGAGCGAAATTATTTTTGGGGGGATTTTGCCAGCAGAGTGATGATGGCCTAGACGAAATCGACAGATCATCTTCGAATATGTAAGCGCGTTTGTGAGAAGAGTGAACATGTTACAAAGCAAACCTTTTGAAGGAGAAATGTCGATGGGTCCATCTGAATTTTCAACGACCCACGTGCTTTGAATTTATGATTACGACTACGGCTTCGGTATTCAGAACTGCACAATCAATGAGCCAAGGCTTCAACCATGGTTCTTTTATCAGTCGTACTGCATAGGCAAAGCTCGTAAGTCTCCATTGTAGTCGGGATGTCTGAATAAATATACCAGTGCTCTTGCACGATTGCAAAGGGAGAAGCTATGCCTGTCGTTCCAACATCTCCCTTATCGTCGCTTGCAGCGGTTTAGGCTTGCGGTTGTGCTTCGCCAGGATCTGTTCTAGCAGAGTATCCTGATTGTCACACTCGCCTTCACGTACGGCGTCATACGTTAGGGACCACCACTTGACGTAGGGTGCTTCTAGGCCGCGTTGCTCAATGTAGTATTTCTCGTGCTCGTCACGACCAACGACCTTTAGCTCAATCTTACGGGCTTTGGCTGCCGACACCATGGCAGCGACCTCTCGCAAAGTGATGGGCAAGGTGGTAGCCAAAGTGGCGGTAATGCCACAATAACGCTGTGACTCGTCAATCAATATGCTGGCCGTAGCCAGGCCCAGATCGTCTATGGCGGCCCAGCTGATCCTGCCGTCGCCAGCGACGATGATCTCGTCTCGGTCGTCGTCGCCAGACAGATGGCCGTGACCGAGGTACAGCGGCCACGACTCGTTGTACAGGCCCTCGCGCAGGATGGTGTGGCTGGTGTCGGAGAGCATGCGCAGGTAGTCCTCGGTGCGGTTGTGGGCGCGCATGACGCCGGCTTTGCTGCTGGAGGAGCCGAAGCCAAGGGAAGTGTAGTAGATATGCCTCACACCAGCGGCGCGCGCTGCCTCGATAGCAGCGAAGTGGTGGGCTTCGCGGCCATGGCCGTAGGGCGCGTCATTGAAGTCCATGCTGATGCGTGGAGTGGAGACGAGGAGAAGGCGCTCGCCACCGCGGAAGGCGGCCTCCATGGTGGCCTTGTCGTCGTAAGATGCATGGCGCACGGTGACGCCCTGCTCTTGGGGGATCAGCCACCGTGGGTCGTTCGGAGATCCAGAGGTCGTGACGACGATGTCCTGTGGTGGTAGCAGCTTGTACGCGAGCAGGTTGCGAAGGACGGCGCCGCCCAACTTGCCGGAGGCGCCCGTAATGACGACTTTGGGCATTGCTGGCCAAGGTGTTCTTCGAGTGGAAGAGCATGACCTGTGGCCCAGTGGGCACCAATGCTTATAAGTGATGCTCGGTCCTGTACGGAGATGTTTAGGTCTCCTGCTTGGCGTGCGTTCGGTAAGCACATTTGACGTGACGCCATCGATAAGATCTGCGAAAACCATCCCCGCCTTTACCGCATTTTTCTCCAGCCCACAACACCATGGCTTCCGACCAGAGTAATGACGCCCTGATCCACTCGGCCGACCCAGAACACCCGGCCAATCTAATTTGCGAGCTCTGCCGCAAGTTTTACACCCTGGGCTGGGTACCACGACCCCTCGTCCGCACGCCAGAGCCCGGCCGCTGACCACCCGACTTCGCAGGTCACCGGCACTGGCGGCGGCACCAGCATCAAGCACCATGATCACATCTTCATTGCGCCCTCGGGCGTGCAGAAGGAGCTCATGAAGCCCACCGACATGTTCGTCCTGGACTACAACACGCGCGAGTACCTTCGCAAGCCGCAGGTGCTCAAGCCCTCGGCCTGCACTCCTCTCTTCCTTGCCGCATTCGACCGCGGCGCTGGCTGCTGCATCCATACACACTCGCAGTGGGCCGTACTGATCACCCTGCTTGTCGAGCGCGACTTTGGCAGCGACGCATGCTTCGAGATTGAGATGATCGAACAGATCAAGGGCATCCCCAAGGGCCGCGGCAAACAGGGCAATCTGGGCTACTTCGACCGCCTGCGCATCCCCATCATCGAGAACACTGCGCACGAGGAGGACCTGACGGACAGTCTGGCGGCTGCTATGGAGAAGTACCCTGACACGTACGCCGTCCTGGTCCGCAGGCACGGTATCTACGTCTGGGGAGACAACGTCCACAAGGCCAAGACGCAGTGCGAGAGGTGCGCTGACACCGATTTTTTCTACCTTGGATGATGCTGACACTTTGCAGCTTGGACTACATTTTCCAGCTCGCTGTCGAGATGAAGAAGCTGGGTCTGCCGTGGACCAAGTAATTGACGGCCGAAGCGTACATATACCCGATTTTGCTTCTATCGGCATTGAACAAAGTGATTGGGGGAATATGCATATCGTTGATCCAGCAGTAGAATTGAAATGGTATGTTTTATCACTATTTTCGGATTACATTATCGAGCACTTGACGGGGAGACCGCAAAGACCATCCTTCGTTTCCTTCTTCTGAGGCTCATTTGGAGACGGTGTTGCCTGCTCAGTGGCAGCAGGGGTATCATGTTGCTTTTCGGCACCATTGGTGGCCTCAGCCTTCCCATCATCTAGTCACGCAAAGTTGACCTTGGAGACGGTCTCGTAGAAGGCCTTGCCCTGGGCCTCGGCAAGCTCGAGCTCCTTCTGCGAGGGCTGGCGGGAGCCATCGCCAGCGGAGAAGGTGCCGGCGCCCCAAGGAGAGCCACCGCGCACCTCGCTGAGGTCGGCCAGCAGGGCAAACGTGTGCTTGTAGCCGAGAGGGACGTAGATGATGCCGTGGTGAGTAAGGGTGGACATGGCGGCGATGGCGGTGCTCTCCTGACCACCACCGGGAGTGCCGGTGCTGATGAAGAGACCGGCATACTTGCCCCAGAAGGCGCCGCTCTGCCACTGGCCACCGGTCTTGTCCCAGAACGCCTTCCACTGGGCGGGGAAGTTGCCGTAGCGCGTTGGGATACCGAAGAGGAAGGCGTCGTACTCGGCGAGCGTGGCCGGGTTCTCCAGCGTCTTGATCGAGGCGTCCTTGGGAGGAGCGTGCATCTTGCCGAGCACCTCGTCGGAGAGGGTCTCGGGAATCCTGACGAAGGGTCAGCGCACGACGTCATGCTTGGCGTTGGGAACAGACTGGTAGAGGTCGACGGTGCCGCCAGCAGCCTCAATGCCCTTCTTCTCGGCTAGGGCCAGCTGCTTGATGTGGCCGTACATCGAGTACTGTTGGGCTGTCAGCCTCGTTGCGAGGAGAGCTAGGTGGGGTAGCGTACGAAGACGATGGCGATCTTGGGAGCCATTGTTGCGGGTTGTTTGGGATGTCGGTGGGAAATCGAGGGAGAGGGCGACTTGTGAGCTGAATTGTACCCCGCTTGGGGCGGGGAGCTCTATTTAACCCGTGATGGGACGAGGGGCAGAGCTCTTGCATCATGGACCGTGCGCGGCGGTAAGTGTCGATTGATTGCGGGCAATTGGCAATCCCGACGAGATGCTTAACAAATTCTTACCAATCTGCAGCCACGCTGCTCGCAACGCCCATCGCTGCCACTCCTTGGTCCGTCCTCAGCGGGGTTTTTCCGCATGTTGCTTAGCTATCTTGATTGGAGCAGTGCCTGACTAACATCCGGTCCGCTGCCGTTCGCAGCATCTCTTCCCTAGCTCCCCGCCCTGATCATCATCACATCCGCAGAGACCGACCCATCCCTTGTCAGCCTCTCGATCCATCGCCTTCTTTTGCACGATCCGAGTCAGGCGCACTGCCGCAGTTATTGCCCCATCTGACCTGATTCGCCTATTCTTCCCACCTGTGATGCAACGCCTGCGGCGGGGCTGTGTCGAGTCGTGACCACGGAAGAAAGCTGCGGAAAGCTGCGGGATGGCTGCACAAGTCAAGCTTAGTTCCCGATGGCGAGTGCTCCTGTCGTACGGGGCATTGAGGGATAAGCTGACCTTGTGCGTCTGTTGAGATGGTTGAGATCTCCTCCGGAAGCCCGCCACATGCAAGAGCTCGGCACCCCTGCTCCGACGCGTCGATCAAAAGGCGCTGATGTATCAATTAACCAATCATCATCCCTTCCTCACGCCTGCTCGACGTCAACTCCGCCCCTTGTTGTCAACTCCGCAAAGCGCCCTGTATTCATTGATGACGAATGCTGGATATTTATCTTCATTGTGTGTTTGTGCTTGCTGCAGCTACGTGTACGGCGATCCAGCGTTTGTTTTCTGACATGGATTGCATGTGTTCTTGCCTGGTGGCATGACGAGCGAAATGCAGGGTGGAAGTGTCAGACTCTATCAATGGCCATTAGCACGTACTGAAATTAGTACGGCGTCGTGCTTTTTTAGTTCGACAGGAAGTGTTTTTTTTTTAAATGTTTTCGTTCCCATGTGTTCGTGTGCATACTGTAGCGCATCCATGCTCCAATCTCGACCTTTCTTGAAACCAAGCGAACGGCGTCATTCAGCACGATACCGGTCCTATTTCGAAGATCCGTACGGAAACCTGCGAGCGAAGTAGTATCTACAGAGAGTGTAGAGTGTTTGAAGTCGGATGTGTTTGGTAGTAGACTAAACCGGAGTACTGATGGCACATGTGACGGTTGATGTAAATAGTTTCCCACATCTCACCCACAGAGGGGGTAATCCATAAGTCTGAAAGAGCAACTTACCGCGAGTTCGAGCCGAATACATCTGAAGAGTGCATAGGTATATGTCAATCACCAGCAAAACGGAATTCCAAGCGCCTCACAGAGCACGCAGACACAACAGGTTCTATAGTGTAGTGGCTAGCACTCAGGATTCTGATCAGCTCAGAGCTTTCCTGCAACCCCGGTTCGATCCCGGGTAGGACCTATTCCTTTTTGCGTGTCGTGTAGACGGTTGGGGAGTCGTTGGTTGTTGGTTGTATCGTGTGGGAGGGTCAGGTTGGGGCCGGATGCCTGGAACGACCCACGCCACGTTTGCAGCTTTGGGGCCAAAGCGACAGCACAGAGATGCTCCAGCCTTTTCATTCCCCTGCATGCCGGAATCCTGGGCGAGTATCCGCTTCATCTGCTGCTGTCCAGCTGTGGGGCTAGGCATATAAATTTTTGCGCACGGACCATTCGAAGCAGTTGGAGAGGAAAGTTTGGCCGAGGCGACCGCGCCGATGGTTGTTGTGAGGGAAGAAGCTCCAGGTGACACGCGCGAAGAGCAGTAAGTAGTCTGATACTTTCCAGGAGTATTGATTGGGTTTTGGTCGTCAAGAGTGTAGCGTTCTGGTCCCCGCGGGTCCCTTGCGAGGCACACGTGCCTTAGCGCGGTCTTGGCAATTACGCCAAATTCTCATCGCGCCCGCCCGGCACACACGACACTTCCACACGACTGTTACGCGCCCACATCACTACCCTATCCCCGGACCCAGCACACTCTCTGAACTGTCTGAGCGAGATCGGCATGCCGCACTGAGACCATGGTCTCACTCGCTGCTCCCGTCGCCGCGCTGCCGTCATCCAACGCCAAGGCGGCGATTCCAGGTCCCAGTCTCAAGCGCAAGCACATGGATTCCGACTCTGACACTGAAGCCCCTGCCGTTGCAAGGAGCAAGAAGCCGCGGGTCTCGTTCGACCCTACTGTCGACATTCGCCTGCTGGAGGACTTTGACGAGAAAGGCATCGAGCTCGTTCGCGAGGAGGTGCGACGCGCCATAGATAAGCACGTCGCGGGCGACAGTGCGTCCTACGACGAAATCAAGACTCTCTTCACGACCCGCCCTACCGCAAGCGCTGCTCCAAGCACCAAGCTGCTGGGCAAATATGTCGTTGCTCTCATCGGAAACGTGAGCCTGCTGAACAAGAACTGCTCCGGACTTGTCCACGCCATCCTCGACTGCCAATGGCTTGCTCGAGACGAGGCTTTCAAGCGACTCTATGTCACGCTTCTCGCGAGCTTGATGTCTGCACACGGAGGATACACCGGCCAGGTTCTCCAATCGCTTGTGAAGTACTTTCATGGTGGTAGGTTGGGCCTCGCGCTTGCAGCGCGTGCTCGTCTCGCTGACGCCGTATAGTCCCCTCCCCGAACCTCCGTCACGAACGAGACCCGCCCATCACCCGGTCAGAGCTTCGGCAACGCGTGCACGAGACTCTCAAGCGCCTCCTCAAGCTCATCCCCTCAGCAAGTGGTGTCTTGACCTCCTTGCTGCAGTCTTCGTTCCCGTCTACGCAGGAAACTGCCAAGGTGTACCTCACGTACCTCAACAACCTCATGGAGCTCATGGAGTATGCGCCGGAACTCAAGGGCTTGGCTCTGGCTCTCATCACCGAGAACCTCGTCAAGCTTGACGTCCAGATCCAAGTGGACATGGAAGATCTAGAAGAGGAATTTGAGGAGGCCATTGTACAAGAAGCTCTCTACAAGCGCGAAGAAATCGACGAGGAGGAAGACGATACCGATGCCGGGGATGAGGACGAAGAAGACAGCGATGATGACTCGTCCAGCGATGACGGCTTGGACAGCGACCAAAGACGCATCCAGGAACTCAAGGACTCGGTTGGCAAGATGGACAGCATTCTCGACATCCTCTTTGAGTACTACCACCGTATCTTCGTCACGGGCACGCATGTAGATGCCTTGGAAACGTTCGAGTTTCTGCTCGCCCAGTTCAAGAATATTATCCTGCCAACCTACCGGTCCCGGCATACGCAATTCCTCCTCTTCCACTTTGCGCAATCATCGCCACTCTTCGCCGACAAGTTCACATACGTTTGCGCCGAGCTTGCATTCGACAAGACCCGCCCGCAAATCATGCGACTCGCTGCTGCGGCTTACCTTGCTAGCTTCATCGCTCGCGGCGCACATGTGCCCCGGCATGCTGTGCAAGCTGTCTTCCAGGTTCTTGGGCAGCAGCTTGATGACTTTCGGCTACGGAACGAGGGAAACTGCAAGGGGCCGGATCTGCGTCGCTACACTGGCTACTATTCCCTGGCGCAGGCACTCCTCTACATCTTCTGCTTCCGCTGGCGCGACCTTATTGTTAGCGAGACGGACAGTTACGCGGATGACGAAGAAATTCTTTTCCAAGGTGGCGACCTGGCCTGGCTGCCCGGTATGAAAGAGATGATGATGCGCAACATTTACTCCAAGTTCAACCCACTTAAGGTCTGCTCTCCTGGTGTTGTCACCCAGTTTGCTCGCATCGCACATCACCTTCGCTTCCTCTATGTATTCCCACTGCTCGAGACGAACAAGCGGTTGAAGCTCTCGCGCTTCGTGTCCGCCGGTGCTATGTACGGCATGCAGGAGAGAGAGACGGCCCTATCTGCAAAAAATAACGAGAGTGCATTCCAGTTGGACTCGTACTTCCCTTTCGACCCGTACAGTCTCCCGAGAAGCAAGCGTTGGATGGAAGGCGACTACAACGAATGGAAGAGTATCCCAGGCCTTGATCAGGAGGAGGCGGACGATTACAGCGACTCGGACTCGCAAGCAGATGAGTCAGACGATGAGGAAACCTTCGAGGACGGCACCGCCACGGAGGCTAGCACATGATTATCAGTGGTTGAAGCACGGGTCAACATGGACAGGGGTTCAGGCGTTTTTTTTTTCTTGTTTCCACGGCAAGATTCCCTCTAGCGCGGAGTTTGGAAAAGTAAAAGTTTAGCGACTGGGATTAAGGATTGGTATTGTAGTCTTGATATTAATAGGCGGGGCTTTGGAAGGGCAGCCAGACAGGTCGGCGTAGATAGGCCCACGGCTAGGACGGGAGTTTGTGCTGCAGCATAGACCCTGAAGGAACCAAAGCGCAGTAACAAGTAGAACAAATGAAGATTCACGTATAAAAGGACGAGGTCGAGTACGAGCAAGGAACGTGGAGATGTTTTTGTTATATTCAAATAATCGTGAATCATTTGTCGTGGCCAAATTAAAGCAATGATTGCCCCTTATTTCAGACCGAGAGGGTTGCTTGCGGTGCCTGTGCGAGCGCTGCTGGTGATGCCCTGAGCCTTCGACTTCAGCATGGCGGCGCTCTGCGTGGAGCCCCCAGGAAGGCCCAGGGGGTTGGCGGCAGTGGGAGCGCGACGACCAGAGGCTCGCGTGGCGTCCTTGACGCCGTTTCCGTAGCCGCGCACGCCGTCACCCCAGCCGCGAGTCGTATTCGAAATACTAGAGGCGATGGTTGAGTCAGCGCGGGGCCCCTTCAAAGGGATTGCCGTTGAAATCGTGGGGATGGCCGAAGAGGGAAGGGAGCGCACCCGTTGCCAATGCCTCGACCCACGCCGGAGACGCCGTTGCCCACGCTATTGATGATGCCGCCCACAAAGCCGCCGGCGCCGGCAACGGCGCCCTGGACTTGACGGTTGAGCCAGTTGTCGTTTGGTGCCATGTTCTTGCGATATGCGACGGGTTGTGAGGAGCGGATGCTGGCTTCCCTGAGGTTGCAAGCAAGAAGTAGAGGCGGCGCCGGCTGACATCACCTGTGGCGGCAAACCACACAGAGCGCGGCTGTGAGTGGCTGCGCTCGTTCCTTCCGCACGGGGCCGCGCGCCATTCGTTTCGGGAGGATCCCGGTCGCGGATCGCGCCAGACAGCTCCCTTCAACGCGGACCCTTTCCTTTTCCTCGACTTCGCAGCCCACAGAAGCCTGTCAACCGGTCAGAATCCACCCACCTGCGCCTGCCCTGACCCGTCCACCTCAGCCCCGCCGTCGCGCCGTCGCAGCCTGACCGCGCGCGCCATTGTCCAGGTGGCTGCTAGGGCCGAGAGTCTACCGCGCCCGCCGCCCAACTCGACCTGTGACATCTAGATATTTGCCAGGCAACCCTGCGACCTTGCCGCCGCTTTCACTGGACAGCGCGACGACTCCAAGGAGCCATGCGCAGGGTCACGTCATTGTATCTGAACCAGCCGATCCTCGCGTAGCTGCGCTTCCTGCCTCTGTAAGTCACCGTTCGCCGCTTCCTTTTCCGCCCGCTGCTCCACTTCCCAAACCCACCAACCACACCCATGACAGCACTCTACCAACAGCCCACCATGACTGCCCTTTACTACTCCGCGTCCTAGGACAGCCCGACTCCAACGCCCTCTATTTCGCGCCCGACTTCAACTTCTCGACCTTACGCCTGCCCACCATGCCGGCCAGCGAGCCGGCGTGGAAGGTCTGGCAGGGCCGCGGGAAGAAGAGCCGGCGCAAGCTGACTCCAGAGCAAATATCCTGGCCGCTAACACGGGAGTCAGAGATTGACATTCCGGAGCAACAATTTCCGAGGCTTCGTCGCGCCTACACGGAACCCAGGCCTGAGTCTGACATATTGCACATCGCAAAGCCCTTCTCATCGTTCCCGGAACCGCCACCATCTGCCCACCTGAAACAGCTTTCCATTTCATCATCTCGGCACCTTCCGACTCTTAGCATCCTGGAGATCTCGAGCCCTCCACCAACAGCACCGGCTGCGATCACCACCTTTTCAGACGCATACCCGACACCACCTCCTTCCACGCAACTCCCGCCGGCTGATGTCCGCGATGCTCTGCAATTGATAGATTACGTGCCGCTATCTCCCCCAGAACCTCTTTTTGATCCTCCAAAGTTCAAGTGTACTCTTGTTCGAAGCAACGCTCGCCGCAATTCCAACGGACGACGACGTTCGAGCGGGAAAAATATGGCAGCTGACTTACTGAGCCCCCGCCTCAGCGGCGCCAAGGCCAGACAGGCCGAAGCGGCGCGAGAGATGCAACAGGCTGTTGAGCACCATGCTGATCGCTCTGGCGTCGCTGCTCCTGGTTACGACTTCCTTGAGCTCATCGGGAAGGGCGCCTTTGGGCGAGTTTACAAGGGGTATGAACTTAAGGCGCATTCTAATCTTTTTGATGTGCGCGTATGCTGATTGTCGATTCAAACAGTAAACACCGGGAAAGCAACGAGCTTGTCGCGATAAAAATCTGCGATATCGATAAAGCTGACTACGGAGAGGCCAGCCACGCGTATCGAGATGAGACCATCAAGCAGCTCGTCAAGGAAACCTCCATCCTCCAACAGCTACGGGACAGCTCAGCCCAGAATGTCAACCGCTTTTACGAATCTTTCGCCTTCCACTCGCAACTATGGATGATCACCGAATATGTCGCTGGTGGTAGCGTTCGGACTTTGATGAGGGCCACCCCCGGCGGAACGCCACAAAAGCCGATGCCGCTGGAAGAGCATTTCATCATCCCCATCGCAAGAGAGGTTGCGGTTGGTCTGAAGTTCGTGCATGACGCGGGTATTCTTCACCGTGACATCAAATGTGAGTGTTCTTCGCTCAATTCCCACAGATTTCGTGCATGATCGAGCATGTGCTGACGTTTCAATAGGCGCAAATGTTATGATAAGCCAGCATGGAAATGTTCAACTGATTGACTTTGGTGTATCTGGACTGCTTGAGACGAGTTTTGACAAACGATCCACCATTATCGGCACGCCTAACTGGATGCCCCCGGAAATGATCAAGGACCAAGTCGGCGCTGGCTACGGGACCGAGGTTGATTGCTGGGCTTTCGGATGCACCATTTACGAGATGGCGACTGGATTGCCCCCGGATGCTGGCCGCAACTTCGAGTTTCTTGCAAACCGACGCCAGGCTCCGCGTTTGGAAGGAAACCAATATTCCAATGGGCTCAGGGACTTTGTGTCGTTTATCCTCAAGGAAAGACCCTATGAGCGCCCCTCTGTTGCAGAAATCCTTCAGCACCCTTATGTATTTGGAACGCAAGAAAGCTTTCCAAACAGTAGCCTATCCACTCTGGTCAAGCGCTTCCTGGACTGGCAAGATCGTGGCGGTAACCGCACTTCGCTCTGGGCTGCAGGAGGAGCGGAGGGGCTTGACGCGGATCCTTCCTCTGACACGGGAGAAGACTGGGTGTTCAGTACTACTGTGGAGTTTGAAAGAGAATTCGCGTATGAGAAGCGTCTTTCCATGGTGGATCCATTTCGCGATGGCGGCGATGTACGAAAAGATGATGTGGAAGATGCCATGGCGCCCAGGGGCCGCGGCCGCAAGTTCATGATGCACCAGAAGGCAATGAAGGAGCAACAGATCAAACGTGGAGAAGCAGGATTGGACAGACTGTTCAATCTCGACGCGCCGGAATACAAGTACGGTGAAGACCCGTCAATGCTGCAGCCAGATGGTCCGGATCGATCGTCGCAGTCTGACCTGGCGCTTCGCAACTGGGAGCCGAATCGCGCTTCGAATAGAGTCACGATGATTGACCTGGATGCTGTGGATGCCGGGTTTGAGACGACGCCAAACCTGGACCTCGCGAATGCGAGCACTTTACGCGCTAGTCGAATCAACAGGATCATGAAAGAGTTGGAAGACGATGACGATGAGGAATATACCTACCAACCCAACAGAGGTTCACGGCGCGCTACCAAGGATTGGAAATTCCCAACGATGGAGCCAGCTGGAGAAAAGCGTGCAACCAAAGACTGGAAATTCCCCATGATGGAACCTCCTCCAGTTGAGACTGCCAGGCGTGCAACGAAGGATTGGAAGTTTCCAGTCATGGAGCCCCCGCCTATTCCCGAAGACACTAAAAGTCAAGACACGAAGAACCGTCGCACAATGGACTGGACATTCGCAACGGCAGAAGTATCGGAGGATGAGTCGCAGCCAGACTACCGGACAAGCCGGCTGGTGCAGCGTCGCGGTACGAAGGAACTGCAACTGCCCGCCATGGCGGCCCAATCAAGCAACGATCGTGGCAGCATGCTTCCGGGATTCTCATTCCCAATGGGGCCAGTGGAAGGGCAATCCGCGGCTGGTAAAGGTCTTGGTCCGTCACCACCATTGGGAGATGCGTGGCGCCCCCCACTTCGCCACGCTGCGACACAGCCTATTGGCCAATTCGATGACTTCCATTTCTCGCAGTCGGCACCAGGTTCGCCTGAACGAACTTCGATGATCGACCTGGATTTCGCCGATGTGAGCCTTGTTCCTCGTCCTACCACAGCGACCTCCATGGTCGATTCTTTTACCGGCAGCAACGATGCAGACGTCACCACCGGCAACCCCTTCGATCTCGAAGAACAGGCGCAACTCTCGCAAAACAATAATCGTGCCTCCTATCATCGCCAATCTCAATCCGAGCCTCATAAGCGGATCTCCGGCCTCCTCACGCCTGGCGATCAGGAGGAAAAGGGTCAGGGATACGTGTCAGACCATGGCCCCATAGTCGAAGGCCGTGAGGACCAGCATCGCGCTTCGGCCGGATCGAGAAAATCCTCAGTTGCTCGTGAATCAAATGGGTCTGTGGCTCATCGCCTGATCAACCCTAAAAGACGTACGAGGGGCAGCGATTCGAAAAAATCCGAGGATGAAACATTCTTGAGGTTCCCGAACACAATGGCAAATGCCCTTCCAGATGGAAGTGGTCTCAATGACGAGACCATCAAAAATCGGCGTCAGGTATCCCAGACAAGTGTCCCCTCTTTCAACCCCGAGTCACCTCGTACGTGGCGGTACCAAGATTCTTTACTTTCAAGCACGCCTCCTTCTACAAACGGGTCTTTCTCGAGCAGTACTTTCGCATCCCCCGATACTGCTTTGGCTCTCTCCGGCGACGTCACTCAACTCACGACACCTCGCACATCGGTTGCTACCTACTCACCTCGAAGCGCTGCAAGCTTCTCCATGCAGCTTGGCGCTGCCCAGGGAAGGCTCCGAATGCCTCTGCGCACTGCCCGTCCTACCCCGCCGCACCCGACGACGCTGGATAACACGGCTGACCAGCGTATGATGGTGACTGAAGCTAGCAGGGTTGCGAGAGATCATGTGCTTTACCTCAAGACTTTGCGCCGGACGCTCAAGGCATGCGGCTCACAGGCACAGGCTCGAAGGGCAAACAGAAGGCCCCGCAATGGCAGCATCAACGGTAGCCTTCCTGTATCCCATTCGGCCGCTACCTCCATCAGCTTGAGTAGCGCGGATACCAGTGACGCTGAGGGCGTGGGTGGGACCGCAAGACGCGTCCTGCGAAGGGCAGAGAGTTCGCTCGCCTAGGCAACGAGCCAAGGCTGCTTATGAAGACTATCTGCGAATGAGCACATGCACAGTTGGGCGTATTCCGGACACGTTTGGATTCGCGCCTGTCGTTCTTTTCTTTCTCCCTTGGCACGGGGTTGTACAGCACGAGCGCATTTCGACCATACGAAACGCATTTGGATGAGCCAGAAGTTGGCGTGGAACTTCGCTCATCCTCAGAACGTTCATACTTATCCACGCTTCCACTCTTTTCAGCAGAGAACATGCCTTTAGGACCCTCCAGCAACGAGCAAAATCATTGAAACAGGAGTTGTCGGCCAATCTCACGGCGTTCAACGGTGTGGCTGGGAAAAAAAATTCGCATACTCTTTACACTTCAGTTTTTCTTTTGCGACTATACCCTTGACCTTCTTATTTTCAGTTTCTCTAAACGGCCCTGGGTCGTCGAAAAGAGACGACAGCGCTGCGTACGCTATTTTCGTGGATCACCACGCTTCGTCCCTTGTGGACGACCATCTAAAATTGCGATCCGGCAAGCTTTACTCGTCTACTCAGCAAACAGCATACGGCTGAGATGCATTAGACCTGTTGGCAGCGCCATCCCTCGGAGACTGGACTTCCGTCCATTTGTCCTCTTGGGGGCCTTTGTCGAAGTAGCTCTTCTTCCATGCTTCTTAACAACAACTTGCTATTTTGCTGGCATATTCCCCTCGCGGCGGCATCTCTTCTTTTGTTTGTTATCACAACAGGCGGCACCTCCTTTTCACTCCAATCTTACTTTGTCACTCTCCTTCTTTTGACAAGTCATAGTTTTCCCCACCCATAGTCTGGTTTAGTCTGCATTTTGTCCTCCTTTGCTGCATCGGTTTTTCGAAAACTTCATCGATTCCTTTTACGTGCATAGACGGGCATGGTTTCACCTTTCTTTCTTTTCCCCCTCAGCACCGCATATCGAAGTCCTTGAACGTACGCTGGCTCGAATGGACTTGAGGCAATACATTGATCCACAAATCCTGCCGGGCACGTCAAGGATGAAGCAATTGCGGGCAACCATAGAAGTGAGAAAGGGGTGGTTCATTAGTTAAGATTCCCAAATTTGTACAGACAGACATAAGTATATGGACACGGATAGTCAATGATCTTCAAAAAACCGGGTTGGTCCCTTGCATGTGTGTGCGGCTGTTGTGAAATGAAGACTACAGTCTTGAATCTGAAAATTTGGGTATCGATGATGAGCTGAGAAAATGTAGTTCAAGATGAAATGCGGTATCCGACCTATCGTTCAAATGCCCGTCCGAACGCCCAGAATATGCAAGTGTTGTACATGAACGAGACCACCTCTCCATTCGTTCTGGGGAAACTAATAGGCTACCAAAGGATGCCTCTGTAATCAACCCCCGCTTCCCTCCTTTCCCAGGAAAAAAAAAAGAGAATCAGAAAAGAAAAGATGGGAGAGAGGCAGAGAGACGACGAGTTTGATGTCAAAGCACCTATACACGTTATGGTGATGACAGTCATGAAGTGGGGGTTAAGTTTCGGCTGTTCTTCATCCTTACACCATGCCCAGCTCCTTGGCAACCTCCCAAGCCGTCTTATCACCTGTTGGCATGGCGGGATCGACGCCGAGGCTCCTCTTAAGGCCGCCGACACGCGCTTCGATCTTGGCAGGCGGTATGCCCTGCCGCAACAGCACGGCGCGGGTCAATTCGCTCAGCGCGTTCAGCAGGATCGTCGCGTTGTTGCGGTTTGGGTCGTCGTCGGCTTCCGGTTTCTCCTTGTTCACATTCTCCCCGGCCCTCCTCGTCTCGGCATTTTGCTGGGATGAGGGGGAGGAGGAGGAAGAAGCAGAGAAACGTCGCTGCAACAGGGCGTGCAGGGCGCGCAGGATCTTATCAAGGTTGTAATGCAGGCCGGCCGAGGTGTTGAGTTGGCGGCGGCGGGCCGGGGTTCGGGAACGAATGTCGGCTGACGGGAAGCCCAGGCGCGCGAGGGTGCGCGCGAGCAGGTTGGTGGCATACTGGGTTGGCGCAGGTTGGCGAAAATTGTGGCGCAGCACGTGCAGAGCGACGAGAGCTCCCGTCAGGTCGTTCCAGGCCGTGTATGTGGCGATGATGCGGTTGGGAATGCGCGAACGAGAGAGTTCGGCGAGAGTAGAGGCGTGAGCGGAAGGGTTGCGTGCGGAGAGGGTGGAGAGCCAGGTCAGCGTGTGCCTGAGGATGATGGACGGGGGTGGGAAGGATGTGTGCGAGGATCGAGGTTGATAGGGCGAGCTGCGGCCAAAGGTGCGCTGCTTGAAGTGTGAGGCTTCCCAGAGGAGGGCGAAGGTACCGGTGTCGGGATTGGCGGGTTTTATTTTTTGCGAGGGCCGGCTGAGCACGTCGCGTTTGAAGGTACGCCAGACTTCGCGGAGGTGGCCGCGCTGGAGGTAGAAGGATAGTTGGGTGTTGAGTGCTCCAGTGGTGGTGGAAAGCTCTGCGTGCACAATTTGCCAAGTCTGGATGCTCGCGAGCGTCTGTTCATCGCCTCGTTGCAAGCAGATTTGTCTCAAGGAAGCGAAGGTTTCGCTCGTAGCAGGCGGGAGGGTGCGACGCAGGAACAGCTTTTGGCGCGGCTTTAGTCTTTCGGATACTCTATGTTGGGCCGGGCTGTTGCGACGCTGCACCAGGTTGATGCGTTGGACGACCATCTGGAGAGCCAAGGTCTCAGCCTTCTGTAGGTTGCTGGGGTCTCGAGTCTGGATCCACCCCCTAATCAGGGTATTGAGGTGGCGAGCGCGGGGCTGTACGTCTCGCTCGAACATCAGCTCCAATACCTGGGCTGCTGCGTCGACATCTCCGGCCGAGACCAAGCGGTCGATCCACTTGGCGTAGAAGAACTTGTTCTGGTGGGTTTTCGGCAATGAAGACAAACCGCTCAGGAAGATTTGGTTCAGCTGGTCTGCGCCGTGGAGAACAGCGGTCAGGTCATTGAAGCCTTTCAGGACGCTTGCGTTGGCCTTGTAGCCTCCAGGACCACGAAGTTCGTCGGCGGCCATCATGTCCCGGAAAACGGCCAGGGCATGCTCGCGGTGGCCGTATCTCAAGAAGGCAGCGTAACAGCGTTCGTAGTCCTTCACTGCCATGTCGTCTCCAAGAAGATGCTGCAGGTGCAGGTAGAGGGCCCAAGCCTGCTTCACGTGGCTGGTGCCATTGGAGGACTTTTGCAAGTGGGCATCGAAGACATACAGGATCAGGCGTGGATTCAGCGTCGGGTGGGAGGCAAACAAGTCGACGAGAAGCTCCTGGGCGCGCATGACGTTTCCAGCGACGGCATGCATGCGGACGCCGAGCTCCAGATAGTCAGGCCTGCAGCTGTCCTGGGTGCCAGATTGGTAGCCCTGGTCCCATTTCTCGAGGGCTGCTTCGCGTGCTCCTTGGCCGAAGAGGGTCTCTATGTGAACGAGGCGTTGTTCAAAGGTGGCCTTGTGTCCTGCAGTCTGCATGTGCTCGGCCAACTGGGTTAAATGGGCAACGACTTTTGGCTCGGCCATGGTGCGAAGAGATTGTGTGCGCCACAGAATGTCCCAGACTTTGGAAGACAGGGCGCGCAGGAAGTCGGGCGAAGTCAAGTGCAGCTTGGTGTACAGCCTCCACAAGACTTTGGCAGTCTTGCGGTCGGTTGGATCGGCCAAGCTCATCCATAGGTGCAGGTTGAAGTCATCCAGATGGGGCCGCTTGGCTGGAGGGCAGTCGAAGCGGACTTGGAGCGTGTTCCAGGGAGCACTAAGGAACTCCTTGACCTGCAAGGCTTTTGTGCGGTTGAGGAGGGAGGCCGAGGTGCGAGGGAAAAGCGTTTCGCCCGCTTCCTGCTCGAGGCGCACTTCCAGATCGGATTTGCCCAAGGCGGCGCCGTATGCGAGCCATGGTTGGCGCTGTGGTTGGGCTTGTTTCTTTTTACATGGCTGCGGCAGTCTTCGGAGAAAGCTTCGTGGGGGCGGTCTCATCCGGAGGTTGGCGGACGGATCCGAAAGCGGCCATGGGAGTGGTTTGATGGTCAACTTTCGCGATGGTGACGTGAAAAGGTTGGCGAGTCGCCCGGCGGCCCGGGCGAAGGTTTGTTGCTGCCGGGCCGGGCCAGTGCGCCGGCGCGGCTCTTCGGCCACAACTTAGCTTTGCGCACGAGTCACGTCCATCGCGCAATTGACGGGCCATCTTGCACACGCCGTCTATCCTCATGCCTATTTTGCTCGCGGCCAAGGCTCGGTTGCCCGGCACACTATAAAGCGGAGTGCATCCTCCTGCTCCCATCTACAGTCTCTCTTCAACCTCGTCCTTCGACTGTCGATGCGGATGACGTCAGCCGCCGCGCTTTACGTTTTGGCTGCGCGTAATGCCGGTCCCGACGTCTAGAGCCGCACCACCTTGCACCGGCTTATCCAGATCTGCCGGCTTTTCGAACCCCACGACCCGCTCTCGCATCGACCTTCTGCATCCAGAGCCGAAGGCTAGCGTGAAGAATGCTCCGGCCTCAGAACACCGACCTCACCACAGTCGGCGAGGACAAACAGCCACTCAGCAACACTGATAAATCATGCTCGGACAATTGCTCCGTCTGACACATCCAGCCAGGCATCTGACACAAATTCGCGAGAGCCTCCCGCTGTACTACTCTTCTGTACCATTCCTGTCGGCAACCGGTGATGGGCCCGATGTCCACTCCCGAAAGCACTGGCCGCCTGCCATTCCAGGCCGTCAATCATGTCCTGGGAAAGGCGTTCCTGCCTTATCGCCGCCCTCTGCTTCGTCACCCATCTCGCTAAACTGTACCACTATATGGACGCCTGAGCCTAACCAATGCCAGGGTTGCGGGGAGAGCCCGCTCTCCGCACTCTTCTTCCGGCATTTCGACCGGAGCACAAACGACGAACGCCGTTATCTTGTCCATCTGACTCACGGATGGACCACCGCAGGGCGTGCCAAGATCGGTCTTCACCGTCGAGGCTCGGGAGACATGTCCAAGATGACCTGAATTTAAAAGGCAGCTGGGCGTCCTTGTGCTTCTGCAGGCCGCTCTTCAAGTCTGTCCCTCAGCATGCGTCTCGTTTCACGCACCTTTGCCGCTGCCGCCTTCGTGGCTGGCAATGCCGCCGCTGTCTCCATCCCCGCCTCTATGGCCATCGTCTTCAAGGGCCCTTTTGTTGCCGAAGCCGATGGCATGACCAACATTCACATTGACTTCGCCCGCCCCATCGATGGAGAACTCTCTGTCCACTACGGTTCTTGCGAGATGGTCAGTCCGTACGAGGCACACCACCGTGTCGGCAGAACGCACGTGGGAGACCACCCGCTGGCCAAGAGGAATCTGGGCTGGGACGACTACCGCCCCACTCGCTTCGTCTGGCTTCCTCCTGCCGACATCCAGTCCGGCGGCTGTCTGCACGCTTTCGCCGGAGACGAGCTTGTTGGAAGGTCAGACGCTTTCACCGTCCGCAGAAGGAAAGCTCGCAGAAGCACCTCTTTCGCCGACATTGCCGATCCCATGGGCCCTTGGTTCGACGGTGTCGAGTATTTGAAAGAGAAGGAGCCTGACTCAGCTTTCGTGGCTGAAGCGAAGGGCAAGAGCGTGGGAATCATTGGCGGTGGCATGTCTGGCCTGATGACTGCCGTAAGTGATACCTTTTACTGCAACCCGTCTAGTCTTCTAATTCCGGCAGTACCTCCTCGAGTCCGTTGGCATCACCAACTGGAAGATCATTGAGGCCAGTGAGCGCATTGGTGGTCGTGTCCACACCTCTTACCTGAATGGCACTGCACCTGAGGATTATCAATACCAAGAAATGGGTCCTATGCGGTTCCCTGTCAGCCTGACCAACGCCACGACCAACGATACCATCCAGATCATGGACCACCGCATGGTCTTCCAGCTGGCCGACACGCTGAATGAGATGAATGGCCACGATCCCGCCTGGTCCGTCGACTTCATCAAGTGGATTCAGAAGAGCGCCAACGATCCAGCTGCTACCGCTGATGCCACTCTCTCCTACTCCAACGTCACCGCTGTAGAGAACGCCCTCGAGGCCATCGACGAGTGGGACGCACTGACCTGGGAGAAGATGCGAGAGATCGCCACCAACGTCTTCGATGCACACAAGAAGGCCGTGGCCGAGGGCTACTTCGATTTCTCCGAGGCAGGCTACCTGCGCTACAAGCTTCAAACTGATGTTAACATCACGGATGAGGCCGTCTCCACAGCGAGCAACAACCCGGAGTGGCTATATGACTCGGTTTATTTCAGTGCCACCGAGTGGCGGACCATCGACAAGGGTCTCAGCCGGTTGCCCAAGGCATTCACGCCGCTTGTCGCCAACCGCACCCTCTTCGGCAAGCGGGTCGAGCAGCTCTCGTACGATGAGGCGACGCAGAAGATGACCGTGTCGTGGCGGCCCGACGGGCCCTGGGGCGCTACGCTCGACGGGCTCGAGTTCGACTACGCCGTTGTCGCCGTGCCCTTCTCCAAGGTGCGCCTGTGGCAGCTGCCGAGCTACTCTGGCCTTCTCACCCGGGCGATCAAGACGCTTGAGTATGAGCAATCATGTAAGGTCGCACTGCACTACGACACGCGCTTCTGGGAGCATCTTTCACCCCCCATCGTCGGCGGCTGCGGCAGCACCGATATCCCCGGCATCGGCAGCATCTGCTACCCCTCCTACCAGATCAACAGCACCGGGCCTGGCGTGCTCCTCGCCTCCTACCAGTCCGGCACGCTTGCACGCACCCTCGGCAGCATGACCGAAGACGAGCACGTCGCCTACGCCGTGCGCGCCATGGCCGCTGTCCACGGCGACGCCGCCACCGAGCACTTCACCGGTGCCTACGACCGCATCTGCTGGGAGGCAGATCACTTCCAGGCCGGCGCGTGGGCCTCGCCGCTCGTCGGCCAGCAGGAGCTCTACCTGCCCGCCTACTACCACACCGAGCACCACACCGTCTTCGTCGGCGAGCACACCTCCTTCACCCACGCCTGGATCTTCTCCGCCCTCGAGAGCGCCGTGCGCGGCTCTGCTCAGCTGCTACTCGACATGGGCCTCGTTGACGAGGCCAAGCAGGTCACCGAGACGTGGATGGCGAGGTGGATCCATGTCTAATTTTGCCCGCTTTCGTGCACTGGGTCGATGGTAGAGGGGAAGCGGCGAGCAAAACATGGGGGGCTTTCTATGATTGCAATGTCTAAAGAGGGGTATGAACCATTTAACTCGTGTGGGCAGTTAAAGCTACTCTCCGGAAGTGAATGTATAATTGTCAACATTTACGTCTGGACGAAAGCTTCAACTGCCTAGGACGTGAGCGAAAAATCAATTCACGCAAAATACTCTTTTGCACGATTATGATGCTTGTAATGACCAATAGATGTCTGTTTGTATTCTAATAATGCGGATGTGAAATTTGTCGATACCTTCTCCCAAGGTATGCCCTTAGAACGCCAAGTATTCATGCAATGATGAAGGCACTAAGCAATAAACAAACAAGTAAAGCACAATGCCATCGATGCAAGAAAAACGAACAAAACACCCGTAGTCATGCACCCAAGACAGAAGAAGAAACAAAGTGAAAAGAAGGAAGAAAAAGGAAAAATGAGAGTGGTTGTGTCTATTTTCGTTACCTGGTTAACACTAATAGTTGATGGTGAACTCGTTGAAATCTTTCTCTTCCCCAAATATAAAAACACAGGATGAGGAGACCGGGGAATAGAAGAGAAAGGGAGAAAGGGGGACCTGTCCTCTACCATCTCCAAATCAGCCAGAAATACCACGTCAGCACCACCACCGCAATCCTCACCACGCTCTTCCCTAATTCTTCTCTGAACACTCCTTCCCCCTTCTTCCTCCTCTTGGCCGGTTTCGTGCTGACCGTTGCATTTTCCCGCTCCCTCTTCTTCTCTTCCGCGCGATCGGGGTAGAAGCCCGCGTATGCCACGAGCGGCAGCTTCGCAGCGCCATTTCCGGGGCCACCGTTCGCATGATAGCCCCCGCCGTAGCCGTTTCCGTTCATCGGCGATGATGACGAGGGGGGCAAGCCATAGCCGCCTGAGGGGACAGGACTGGGATTGCGTCCTGTAGTGTTCCGTGGCTGCTGAGCCGAGCGGGCGGACAGACCGGTCTTACTGTCGGGCGAAGTTGTCGACGAGTTGGAAGAGGCACCCTCGCCCATTGAATCGGTGCGGTTGCGGCTACTTCCCTGGGCTTCGGCAGCTGCCGCTCCCACCAGAAGCTTCTTCTTCTCCTGCTCGGCGGAAGACGTGTTTCTGTGGTCCTCGGCCAGGGGAAGGATTGGTGCGTCGTCAGGGTTGTTGGAGCTGGAGGAAGCGGAGGAGGCTTTGATCTTTAGGACGAGGGCGCGGATCATGAGGATGAAAAGCGTGATGCCGAAGAGGGTGGCGTAGCGAATGAAAGCACCGAGCTGGTCGGGCATGAGACAGAGATGGCTCTGGACGGTGGGATCCGTCGTGCGGAGAGACTGTCCCGCGTCATCGACCGGGTTCCAGAGGCTGAGCATGACGAATCCGGGATGGCGGACGCCCATAGCCCAGGAGAGGGATTTGACCGTAATTTCGCGAATGCCGCTGTGTCCACCGGACTGGTAGCCTTTGTGGACCACTTCACAGTAGTCGTGATCATCGCCCGAGAAAGCATACTCAATGTTGCCAATCTTTTCGGTGACGTCTTTGGACACATCCTTGGTAAGAACGTTTTGGTATTGGTAGCCGCCCCGGACGGCGATGGCGTTACGCTCGTCAGGGAAGACAGGTTCCTTTTGACCTTTTGGCGGTTCGGTAGGCGGCCAGTGTTCTCTCATGGGACCACAGGGTGTTCCTTCAGCTCGATACAAAGGGACGTGGCTGAGGAGGATTGTTGGAAACTCGGCATCACCGGCATCCGCGATTGGCAACTTCGCTTTCGCCATGTCTGCGCCGTCGAAAACCTTGTGGGCATAGAGCGGGTTTGGATTCAAGCCTTTCCTCGCCCTCAATTCCCTCGCAACAGCTCGTCTCTTCTCCGCCTGCGCCTGGTCGAGGAAGTCCTGGGTCGGCTTCCAAATATCCTCAGAACCCGCGGCGTGTCCCAGCGCACTCAGCGAAACAGCGTCTATCGAGACGAAAGTGTGGTTTGCTATAACGTCGATCCGGTTTCCATCGCCAAAGTAAGCATTGAACCTCTTCCGCACGTTGGTACGAATGCCAGCAGCGAATCCCAGGTCGTGGTTCCCAGGCAGTCCAGCGATCAGCTTGCGTCCTGGCTGGCCTAGTCGTGGCGCCATTCCCGCATCGCCCCAGTGGTTGAAGAATATCCGGCCAAAGCGGTCATATTCACGCAGCCAGAAGCTGTCTCCGTACTTCTTCCACTGCTTGTCCTCACTGACGCTGCCGTCTGCGGTCCATTCTCGACCGCCGTCGAACAGGTCGCCCAGGAAGAAGACGGTATCCGGGTAGAGGTCCTCTTGGATCAGCGACCACGAGCGGCGGAGGTACTGGTCGGTGTATGCGACGGTCAGGGTGGACAGAGGCCACGGGCGGCCGGGGTAGGTGTGCGGGTCAACGAGCTGTGGGTCTGCAACGAAGACGAGACGGTGTGGAGTGGCATCGTGGGGCTAGTTTCATTGCGTCAGCGCTCCAGATCTGGAATCGAATGTTGAGGGCACACGCACCCAGCTCTCCCAGTTGCTCCAGTCGCAGGACCTGATGCTGTCGCTGAAGGCGGAGCGCTCGTGCGACTGCAGGAAGAACAGCCAGACGAGGGTCAGGATGTTGGGCACGGAGAAGATGGGCCGGAGGTTCCAGGTCTTGCCGGCAGGGGCATTGGGGTTGTAGATGGCTGCGCGCACAAGGAGCGACCTGGCGTATAGTTGAATGTGCTGCATCAGGGTGGGCGGCTCGCGGAAGCGGTTGCGCGACGACGAAACGGGATACCCCCAGTCATCGTAGACGGTCATGTTGGACTGGAGGAGGGCGCAAGAGCGGTGCGCATCTTTCGGTTGAAAGACGGCGGGAAACGAGGAGAGGGCAACTTGGGCGCAACTCGTGTCTGGGTCTCCTAGCTGTTGGCGGCGGGAGCTTCGACTCGCCGCTAGGCCCCCTACCTAGTCCGCGGCCCGCCTGCAACCAGGGTCCAACGCGTACAGGCCGCGCAACCGCCTGCGTAAAGCCCTTGTCAACACAACACAGAAGCATTCTTGGCCTTTTTTTTTTTTTTTTGCCAGTGCCAGCTCTACAGCGCTGTTGTAAAATCCATCAATTCTTTACAGACCCACATGCTCCGCCCACCGCAAATTATGTATCTACGTCCAACCACCAGCCCTCCGTCATTTCCTTTCTTTCGATGCGTTCCCGGCCGCCGATCTCAATACGAAAACAGCATGCTTTCAGTATACCGCTGGTAACTATCCATCGAAACTCAACTGGGGAATTATCATAAAGATTAATGGTAGTAGACTGACTACACGAGACCAACCCCCCAGAGCCTCTGCGTGCTGTTGGGCTAGGAGCTGCTGTCCAAGAGCACGAGCAATCCGAATTTACAGTCATTCTAGCCGGCATTTTGCAAGTAGCTGAGCAAATTGTCTGCACGCGACGGCGGCATTCCGTCCAAACGAACGCTTTTAGCCCTCGCCATTTTTCTACCGGTGCAATATGTTTGGCTTCATCTGTGGAGAGTAACAGTCAGCATCGTGCTTTACATTGCTTTGCGATTCGAATGCTTGTTGTGCATGTAATCAGAGAGAAGATTACTCGGCAGTATCAAGACTGCCCATGTGGCGCTTGAGGTCCCGTGCATGTGTACATCAAGTGCACAGCAAGACGTTCCTCCCTCAACCGCTCAGCATGCGTCTCAATCTACGCCTAAGGATGACGATACGAAGGTTTTCATTCATAACATGGGGATTTAAGAAGCAAGGCCGCATGCCCAAGAAGGCCACGCTGCTGCAAAATTTATCGAAAGGCGTACGTACCTTGTACCTTGGTCCTGCATGAAGTCGCCTAGCCTGCAACGGTCCCTACCTTGTTGCTGATAATGAGTATTGGTATCGCGGGTTCAAAATCAAGGGCGAGAAAAGGCAATCAATAATCAAGCTCCACCGACTCGCTCGGCATTTCATCCAGCTCGCGAGCAATCCTACGGTAGGTGATGCCATCATCATCAGGACGCGGCTCGCGTGTAATACGCTTGCGCTTCTTGCCCCTGTTTGCTTCTAAAGTAGCAGTCATCTTCTTCTTTGAAATGTGAGGATTTGGGCGCTTACACGACTCGTCACCAACCAGCTGTGTAGTCGAGGCACGTCCATCGGTGTGCTCCGCCTCGATGACTTCGCCCAGAGCCGCCTTCGACATGGCCACGGGCTGAGGGATTTTGGAACTGGCGTCGGCAGAGCCGGCGACATCTGGCTTGACGCAAGTCAACTCGATCGACGCGCCACCAGTAGATGGCTCGTCAGGGTTGATATCCTCATAGGCAACCTTGGCATCGTGTCCAGTCTGGCTGTGAACCTCATTCAGGTTGGCCTGCTCGGTAGCGTTGTACTCCTTAGCACCCGGGACGTCGTGCTCATGGGCCTCGCTATTCTTCTGTGCTTCCATCTCCGTCTCGGCCTCAAGGTCTGCCTCATGCTCCATCTGCTCCTCCGCCTCGCGCTCCTTGCGCTCAGCAACACGGCGCTTAGCATCCTTCAACATTTGCATGAGCTCAGAGCGACGATAGAACTGGATATCCTCATCATCGATAGTGCGCTTGGCGCCATCGGAATAGAAGCCCAAATCTTCCTCTTCCTCGTAGTACGCCTCACCATCAACTGCGTGGACTTGGTCTTCAACTTCGACCTGCATGTGGTTGCGATCCGGCTCAGCGGGTGCGGCAGCTTTGGCAGTGTGGATACCGAGCTGAGCAAGTGCAGCATTGTAGCCCTCGGCATAGCCGGCGGCGTGCCCGAAGCTAGCACCTGAGGTGAAGCCAGCGTTGTAGGCAGTATCGAAGATAGCGGGATACGGAGACGTCTTGGTCGGAGTCTGCGGGTTGGCTGAAGGCGTCACGAACGGTGGAAGGAAAGTCGGCTGTGGCTCGCCGGGGAAGTGCTTGCGACCGAACTCGCGAAACTCCTCCTACGAAGTATGTGAGCTCGATGAGCGACACGCGCGAACCTTCCGCTACTCACCTCGGAGGTTTGGACGAGGGGGGAAGAAAAGACCATCTTGAGCCAGCTGTAGGCCTGTGCCCACCTGAGTATGCGTATAGTTACCGATCGATGTTGTTGTGTCCACGTCGACGCGGATGAGAGGCAGCAGCAGTGGAAGAGGAAGTAATGGAAGCTTAGGCGCGCGCGCCTACCTAAGCGAGTAGGGAAAGCGCGCTAACGACAGTAGCACGTGCCGATAAGATAGCGCTGCAGGTGCCACCTGATGACGCACGGCCGGGGGAGGGTGGTCTCCCAATCCAGGGCCCAGTCGCCTGCCAACCCATAATAAACCTGACAACCCAACCCTCCAAATATGCGGCACCCTCTGCTTCTAGGATCCCTACTCGCTTACACTCTCTTCTTCGGGACATCTGCTCGGGCTGGACCCCTGTGGCGAGAGAAACTCATCGACGTGCTTGACCAGGTGCCATCATTCAACATCCCCAGCATCGCCATGCCACCCGGCTCCTCATCCAACGACGCCCCGATCCTGTCCGACGTGGTTGGTAAGGATCGGAGCATCAACATCTTCAGCGGTTTCACGCGAGATGTCGACTCCGTTGCTGCCCGTTTGAATGATGGATCCCAGAACGCCACCATTCTGGCACCCGACAACAGCGCTATCCACGCACTGCCGCGCAAGCCCTGGGAGGACCCCAGAGAGTACGAGTCCTTGGGTGCGAACGCGTACGAGGGAGCCGATGGCTCATCCCGGGCGCAGAAAAACTTGGAGCGCTTTGTGAACGCGCACATCATACCTGAAAGCCCGTGGAAAGAGAACCACAAGATCCAGTCGCTTGGAGGAAACACGGTCTGGTACGAGATCAAGGATGGCAAGAAGATGGTAACGTTACCGGGAGATACATATACTCAGCCGAGTACTGATAGCGATGCAGCTTCAACCGGGCGACATCGAGGTTTCCAGCATCGCTGACAAGGTTGCCAACGGTGAGATCTGGATTATCAAGGGCGTCTTGAACTACGCGTGAGATATGACCTCTACGGCCTATTAGTGACGATTTTATTTCCGGCGACGTTGTGATACCTTGAACATACGCCAAGGCGGGTTGGCGAGTAGACAGAATACCATGGCTTCTTTTGATCAAGTTATTTAACATCGGGTTTGATGGTGAATCCACCCACTCTCGCGTAGGTGGGCATATGGTGACCTCACTCTTGTCCTTCCGACCCCACCTTTGCCGACTCGGATTAGCCCCGCAGTTACTCGGTACCATAAGTAGACCAGTGCTCTAGTGAGCAGCTCTGGTAGACTACAGGCCCATCCACCATGACTGATGCAGAAAACCTCCTAATATGCCACACGTGCGGCACGCAATTCGACGTACCCGCCTCCGAGCCTCTTCCTAGCTGCAGAATATGTGACGTATGTTCACGACTCATGCCGATTTCTTCCGCGATGCTCACAGCTGTGTGTAGGACCCCCGCCAATTCGTTCCGCCCACGGGCCAAGCATGGACGAGTCTAGCTAAGCTGCGAGGACACTACGAGAACAGATGGGAACAGGATGCCGAAGAAAAAGGCATGTGGTCGATATGGACGGAGCCGAAAGTACGGGGACCGCTGCCAATAACCCTCCTGGTATGTGCTAACATCGCCATAGTTCGCCATCGGCCAACGTGCAATCCTGATCGAGACGCCCGAGGGCAACGTACTCTGGGACCTCATCACCTATCTCGACCCCAAGACTATCGACTTCGTAAGCATCTTTTGCAAACACGCAGCCTCCACTCCGAAGGCTAATTGCACACGTGAAAGATAAATTCTCGCGGCCCTCTCCGCGCAATCGTGATCTCCCACCCGCATTACTACACTACACACATCGAATGGGCCCGCGCTTTCGACGTCCCAATATATACTTCGGCGGAGGATAGCTCCTGGTTTAATCGCGCCGATTTATCTTCATCCCCGATCCGCCGCCTGATTACCCATCCTGTCGAGACCATCCTGCCCAATGTAACCGCTATAAAGACGGGTGGGCACTTCCCGGGCAGCCTGGTCCTGCTCTGGAAGAAGCATCTTATGGTCGCCGACACCTTCGTCACCGTGCCAGTAAGTCGCATTCTCTCCTTTTCTGGTGACGAGAAGAAAGCCTTTTCATTCATGAAAGCTAAAACTCACTAGTCCGGACTCTACCACCATGATCGACCTCCCGGTACGACGTCCTATTCTTTCATGTGGTCCATTCCGAATATGATCCCCCTTTCTCCACCGGAGATCCACGCCATGTGGAAAGCTGTTGCCCCTTTCGAGTGGGAGAGCACCCACGGCGCCTTTAGAGGAATGGACATCCGCCGAAAGGACTGCAAGAGCGCTGTGCTTGAGAGCATGAAAATTCAAGTCAAGTATGAGGGGCATGCCAAACATGCCATCTTGAATGAAACTTGCTAGTTGCTAGGCTGCATTTTCGTTTTTTACAAGTGGCGCTTAGTGGGAAAGTTAATTGGGAAGTGCAGTCGAAAGAAAGACCTTCGCTGGCGTCCAGAGTAAAGACAGCCGTGTAGAATCGGGAATGGTGGCTGATTAGTCGTAGTGGCGCCTGCCCATGAGTTTTTGGTAACGAAAATGGAGCAACATTTGTTGAACCGCCAGCAAGTAGAACCTGTTTCCCAGACATTTTTCGGGGACTCAAGACAAGCTGCGCCGGAGGCGTGGAAGAGCATCGGCTTTTGTTGATTCGTCTAATTGACACAAGGCGACGTCGAATTGAAAAGAAAGCACCTTGTGGGCAATGAAGAGGAATGGTCTCTCAATCCGCAAGATTATTCACCAACCTTGTTCTCCGCCGCATCACGCATAGAGGCGTCAGAAGCTGGAGAAGACCTGCGGTCCGCCCGCGGAGGAGATGGCTCAACGGATGATGTGTTCTTGCGCCTCTTCTCTGGCTCATACCTGTCAGGGGAACGACGCCGCTTGTGGTCCCTGCGTGGGCTTTGGCTTCTGCTGTAACTACGCCTGCGGCGGCGGTCGCGACGATCACGATCCTTGCGAACATCAGCGCGCTTGTCTCTGTCGTCGTCAGAGGAGGAGGGAGATCTCTTTTGCTTGCGATCAGAGCGACGGGGACTACGCGAGCGGGATGTGGACGGTGAGCGAGTATAGCGGCGCCGGGAGCGGTCCCTGCGCGAGCGTGGAGGTGGAGAGCGACTGTCAGATGCAGCCGAAGGCGAACGGTCTCTGCCGCGGCGGCGTCTAGGCGAGCGTGAGCGAGATGTCTCGGGCGACGCGGAAGGTCGGGCTCGATCATCACCACGGGCGGGGCTCCTGGCCCGCCTCGATCTTCCAACAGGGCTGCGTGAACGGGACTTGTCTCTGCTGTAGCGGCGACCGCCATGACTACGACGAGGACTGATAGAACGGGACGGAGAGCGGCTGTATGAAGGGCGACGGCGACGGCGTGGAGGCGTTGCAGAGCGAGAGCGAGAGCGGCTGCGAGACATGGAGGGACGAGGCGAATAGTCCCTGCGCCTGCCCCGGCCAGCGGGAACGTAGGAATCCGTACGAGGCGGACGGCGGAATTCATCATGGCCACGGCGGTAAGGCGGTGGCGAGCGGGAGCGGGAGCGTCCAGGACGGTATGAGTATGCAGAGCCACCGCGTCCACCACCGCGACCCCTGCCACGAGGTCGGTCCCTGTTGTGGTCGCGTTCGCGACGTTCCCTCTCGCGAGTGCGGTCAAGGTCTTCTTCCCGTTCGCGTTCGTTGTCGCGGCGCCTACGAGCCTCCTCAGCTGCCTTCTCCTGTGCTTTCTACAAGTGAATCGTCAGCTAGATTCGTGAGAAGCAAACGGGGTAGTATCTACCTTGTCCTGCTTCATCTCATCCTTCTTCATCTCCAGCAGTTCTCGAGGAACACCAAGAGTATCCTTGTTGCTTTGGGCACTGAGACACAGGTTCCAGAACTCCCTGACAAAACGCGGGGCATCATCGTGAAGGAAGCCGCCGAGAGCGATCTGAAGCTTCTTCGGGTCGGGCTGCGGGACGACGTCAGCGGGGCAGGTTGGGGGAGCAAGGTTTGTCTGGACAACGTACGTAGCGCTCTCCGTCGAGCAAATTGTAGATGAAGTCGACTACCATGTCGTCGTCGGTCTCGAGGATTTGCTGGACCTTGGTGGCAATCCATCTTTCGGTCATTAGCATGGTCTTGGAAGGATAGCGGGGGTGAGCTCACTTCTTCATGATGTCCATCTGCACCTTGGTCGTGTCGACCTTCTCTTCGAATTCGGGCGGGAACTTGGTGCTCTTCAAGAGCTTCATGTCGGCTGCGGACAGCTGCATGATAGCGAAGAAGGCGCCGCAAGCAGGACGCGTTGCAAAAGGGAGTCGGCGAGGAGAGGAAGTCGGAGGGTTAGCGGGCAGAAGCTCATGGCGCTGAGCAGACGAAACGCGAGGCCCGTGCACCGCCGAGATTTAGACCGACTCCCGACAGTCTGGATTAGCGGCGGCACGACACGGCGGGGTTCGCAGGCCGATGATGCAACCTCTGTGTCCCTATCACAGTCCGACACTTACACAAAACAATCCTTTGTCAATTTCAAAGCTTCGCTCAGCTCAACCTAGGAATGGCAATACCGCTCTTGGATCCGCTCCGCGCACACGCAGATTCGCACTCATGTTCCAACGCCGTGCTCAATCTCCCATCAGCAGTAAACAACACAACGCCAACCAAATGCTAGAAGTAAATGTAAGAAAAACGCTCCAAGAACCCTCCGTGGTGAGGAATCCCATCAAGAATGTGTACAGCCTTGCCCATTACTCATTGCGTATGTCTACCACGCCCAACTACCACGCCGTGCAGCAACACCAAACCCACCGAGGGCATAGCCCGCATGTAGAAAGCGTGGCTGCTGCTTGGCCCACTCGAAAATGTATGTCCTCAACGCCCTCCAACGCATGCAAGTATCTTCAGTGATGCCTGCATCTCTGGCGTTGTTATCCTCACCAAGCCGAATGTACCCCCTTGCCTGGGCGAGTTCATCGTCCTGCCGCAGTTCTTCAACCGGGATGCGGCTGATCTTGCTCAGCTCATCATCGAATTTCCGTGCCAGCGAAGGATATCCGAGGGATAGGTAGTTGTACACCTGCGTCACGAACGCATCGTTGAATTCCTCTTCAAGTGCCTTTTGAGCAGCAAGCTTGTCGTCAATGCTTGCAATGTCAGGATTGGAAGGCGGTGGAGATGGCGGCGCTCTTGCAGGAGTCGGCGGTGGACTGTCGAAGGGGTTGTCGACTTCGATCCGTGGTGTAAGCATACCCGCTTGCTTAGTGCTCTCCCTCGAACCGGGCCCACGGCAGCACCCATTCCACAAGCCAGCTGGACTGGGTGGGCGGCTACCGGGATTTGACCACAGAGTTGGCGGCTTTGATCGTCCTTCTTTGGCAGATAGTCCTGTGGGCTTCGTGGCCTGCTTCCTTGGCTCCTCCTTCTTCTGCTCGTGCCACCACAAACCCTGAGGCTCTGAGGGCTGGCTCTGCTCCGTTAGGTAGCACATGGAGTTCCTCAAAGCCTCGGAGCCTTGCGTGACATCGAACTTGGCGGGCTCTGGTGAAGGGCAGCGTGGGAAAACGATATCGCTACCAAGCATCGGCGGCCGTGCCCCTCGCTGCATCCCCTTCATTTCTTGCTCGTCTTGGCGACCGCGCTGGTTCGCAAACGGGTTCGTCCATGGACTCTTCGTTGCAGAGTCTGCCAATGCGTTCTTCGTTGACTTCGCTCCCCATTGAGGCTCACCCCAAATGTTCTTCTTCGTGGGTTCATCTGCTCTCTTCACCTTCTCGCCATTGTCTTTGCTCTGGCCCTCTTCTCTCTCCTCCATGTGCTTCTGCATGGCCAGCAGCTCCCAGTTCACCTTGGTGAATGATTCGCGACGCTCCTCGTTCACATCTTCCATGGTCTCACCTACCACATCGTCCTCTTCATCACCAAGGAAATGGGCAACGGGTTCATGGTGATCGTCGTTGGGAAAGGCCGCCATGGCCGCCTCTCTCATCTGCTTTTCCGCTGCCTTCGCGGCTATTTCCAACAGATATCCAGAGAAACGCTCATCTACGCTCTCCCTGCGCCGGGTGGCATGGTAATACAGATATGACTGCTCCGAGTCCGACTCGGCAGACGGAGAAGTAGACAAGGATGGCGTGCGTTCCTCTTCGGATTCCGAGGACTCTATGGTATCCAGGTCAGGAACTCTGAAAGAGTGTGAACGGTTGCTGCCAATCGAGTCGCTACGAGTAGGTATTCCAAGACGGCGGGCTTCACGAAGAGAAGGCACTTGGGGCAGGGTGCCGTTAGGTGTGTTCGAAGGTGCGAGTGGTGTAGGCGGAGGGCGTGGGCGCCTTGCCGGGCTGCGCGTGCCGGTATCGGGCGTTGCCTCAGTCCTGTCTGCCTCATTCACTGTAGGACCAACATCCCCCGATTTCCTGGTACGTTTTGCCGTCTCAATGAGTTGCGGCGCAAACTTGCGTCGGGGCTTTGTTACTGATTGCGGGGGACCGTCGATCTGCGGAGAAGCCTGAGCATCGGAGAAGCTCGTGTCGGAGCTCCGCACGTCAGCACCGTTTACACCATTTTCAGCTCCGGCCCGGTTAGTTCTCGTTGTCGTTTCGACGGGTTGCGGAGCGAAGCGCCTCCGGGGAGCAGCATCATCCGCAGGTGGCGGCCTATCCTTGCTGCTTCTGCTGCTCGTCTCTACTGGTTCCGGGGCAAACTTCCGCGAGCTCCTGGCCGTGGTCTCAATCGGCTCGGGGGCAAATCTGCGACTGGATTTTATTGTTGTCTCCACGGGCTCCGGTGCAAATCTCCGTGACGACTTGGTCGTGGTTTCCACAGGTTCCGGGGCAAATCGTCTCGACGATTTGGTTGTTGTTTCCACGGGCTCCGGCGCAAACCTCCGAGAAGACTTTGTTGTGGTTTCCACAGGCTCCGGCACAAAACGCCGCTTTGGTGGGGGGGAAGAAGAAGACATGGCGTATAGTGTGACAAGACCTCTCGACAACACTGAAGGAATATAGCGTGCAGTTCGTAGCCGCTTCTATGGAGATAAAGACTCAAGGAAGTCTATGTCTCGGCTAGCAAACCGAATATATGAACGGCAGCTTTGTCAAACAACGCCCTTGTCTCCAACCCACCAGTGCATGTCCCAAGCTATATTGGCGAAGGAGCGCGGCGATTGGCGCTCGACCGACTGCGGGGCGGAGGGTGATCGGAAGAAATCGGAACGGCGTTAAATAATTGTCGCGTGCGCAAGCAGCTGCAGCCACAAGGAAAGCGGAATACTGAGCTCCTTTTTCGTGCGTCCCAATTGGCCAGCAATCTAGCAGTTGTTCGAGGTCCAGGCGCGTCGAGAGGGCGGGCGCTTTACAAGGCTCTAGTCGATTTGTAGCGGCCGAGGTGCACACAGAGGCGGGACCGAGATATGTCCAGAGATGGGTGGATTGGCCTGACAAGCAGGGTCAGTGAAATTGCGACACGGTTAGGGGGTCAGGAGTGGGCAGGCGAGGCGCAAGACGAACCTCTTCGACGCGGGGTTGGGACGAGAGTGGTTGGGGCGGCGCAGACAGGCGGACACAATGACGAAGGGCTGTTGGAACACGGCTGTCGCTGGAGCGAGCTACGTCGGTCTTGAGCGGTAAAATGTCGAAGTGGTGCGTCGGCGACAGTGACGTCGAGAAATGTGGAGCCGCGGGTCAAGGATGCAACGACGGGGCCAATGGCGGAGGAGCAGGATCTCGCTGGACGGGCAACGCGCCAAGCTCTACACCTGGAGGCGAAACGACACAACGATGCTGGCAAGAAGGAGTAGCAGGTTGGATCAGAGGGAGCCTGAGGGAAGGAGGTCTGGAGCCCTCCGTATTGCGACGGCCGTGCAGCAACCAAAAATATACGGTCAGGAGGCCGGGCTCCACTCTCTCCCCAGACGGGAGCTGGAGCAAAGTCCAGGCGGGCGGGGCGGAGGGCTGGTGGTTGGTACGACTCGAAGAGTGCGGAGGGGTTCAGGCTGACGCGGACTCTCCCAGTGCAATCGTGGACGCGGCACGGCAGGGACAGCTAAAAGGCACTTCTCTCGCAACCAGCGCGGTTGGGGTTGCACGCACCTTGGAATGGTCGAGAACAAGCTAGCCCCAGCAGCAGAGATCGGCCGGCATCGCGCCGCGATAGCAGCTCCATGCGGTGTGCGAGCGAGACGGCTTCTGGCGGCCATGCGTCTCACGATGCCTGCTCACCGCAGGCTGGCCATCGGCACCGCACCCGTCGTGCCGCCGGCCGCTGCAGGCATCGCGCCTCTCTCACACCACAGCGATGACTCGGAGAGCTGGTCGTTGCCACTGCGCGGCCAATCGCAGACCGGTCAGGACGAGAAAACGAGAGTCTCGACTGTCCCCGGACGGCGCTAGACCCAGCGCCCCACGGATATGCGCAGATCGTCTGATAAGACTCTGCGCCCCCGCGGAGCGGAGATGCTCCTGCCCGCCCAGCCGGGAGGCGGCGCGCATGCCTGCGGGCGAGCCGTTTCAACGTTTTACCTCAACAGATGCATGCAGTCGGGCGTCGTGCGCCCTTCATAAGCGCTGAAACGCGACGAAAACGGGCAGATTCGTGCGAACCCGCGGCACGGGTTGAGGTACAAGACGTGGTGGAAATAAACTGTTCAAGAACCACTAACACATGTCCTCCAATCAGCCGCCAGAATCAATCCCGCCCAGGCGACACAATGACCACCACCGACGCCGACATTTCACCTGTTACGGCTACTTCATATCCTCCTCCCGGATTCCTGCTGGATAGCCCACATTCCCACATGCTGGCGCACTGAGCCACGGCGGTTGACCGGTGAAATGGCACCCAGGGCTGGACGACGCCTCATCCCACGAGCCGACAAAGTCCAGCAAATTCTGCACCGTCTCTGCCCTCCGCGGAAGGAACCCGGAGCTTGCCACGCTAGCCACTCCGCTTGTACCCTCATTGGCTAGAGAGGTTGAGGTTGCGGTCCGATTGAAGGTAGCCAAGTCTCTCAAGATTACGGACCGCCGCAATGGCTCGCACTCATCGCTCTCAGAGTGTTGAAATCCATCCTTGGTCATGTCGAAGCCTCCAAAACGGTTGTCGACATGCTCGTCAAAGCCGGGGTCGCGCCAGGAGAAAGCCGCCGGATACCCGTCTGTTCCTTCCTGTGATAATCGAGCCTCCGCACTTCCCGGCCCAGCCTGGAAGACATTCGACTCAAAGTCAAGTCCACCGACATCATGGCCACTCTTTCCGTTGCAGAAGCAGTCTGCGCAATTGCACTTGCAATCGCAAGCCCCCGCTTCACATTCTGAGGCAGTCGACATGATGTCTGCCTTCTTCCGCATATCCCTCTCCGCGCGTGATGGCATACGGCCGGTTGCTGCTACAAAGTCTATCGACACTACGGGGGATCGTCCAGACTCCGCCTTTCTAGGGAGCCCTTTCCCCTTCAGGCTGATTCCGGTAGGAGGTTCTGCTGTCTCGGCAAAATGGATGGTCTCTGTGGACATGCTGATGAGCATTCACAGGTCATCAGAGGAAGTCGAGAAATGCGTACGGTCTAGCTTTCGGGAGCAAATTCACGGCGAGGTCTAGGGCGGCCGGACCTCGTGGTGGAGGAGCATTTGCTTATGCAAGACACGGAATTCGCGCAATCGCATGCAATGGATGGTCGACGTAGTGACTGAGCAGGGAAGGGACGGGTATGTTCGTCTTAAGTGCTCGAACTCGGGGGGATCGACTGATTTGAACAGGCCGTCTGCCGAAAGTAAAGGAAGATAGAGAAGCACCAGCCGAGCACAGCAGCACCACGCCGAATTTTAAGTTATCGGGGCTCTCGGCGAAGCCGCGCGCAGTCGTGTCACGGCAGCCGGTGCCGTAAGAGGTCACCTGCACCGTGACACAATATCGGCGCGACGTACCGACAGCAAGTCGCAAGGCAGTCCCCAAAGCAGCTTTGCGCAGGTCGCCGACGGCCGTATCCTTGTTTCTAGAAGCCGCCAAGGCAGACATATCTCTCCGTGCCGCATCTCCAGCGCAGACTTGGGACGTCAGGTCAGCCTTGCTAAGTTAGCGCGCAGATTAGCGCCCCCTGTCCCCCGCTTCCACGCGAGACGAGTATCCCAACGTCGTGGATTCGCTGTACCGAACGTTGTTCGGCCGAGCGGTTAACCACCGTACCATTAGCGCCCATTGTCCTCTCCGCCTCAAGCACGGCGAACCCGAGTGTAGACGGTGGATTCAAGACTAGAGGGTCCTGCTGCTGCTTCTTTGTTGTTCTGTGAGCTCTATCCGGTCGACCGGATTGACTCATCTGCACAACACATCTTTCCCTCTCGTGTCACCGGCCATGGCAGAGCTGGCCTTACCAGAAGTGCTGCAGCGTCTTTCGGAATATCCCTCACTGTCGTCGCTCAAACTCGTCCACATCTGTGTTGGACAAGGTACGTGTTCGCTTGAAAATCACGCACTTGCGGCTCTTCCCGCACCGCGCAATTGGTCGCCCTGCACCCCGACCACATGCGGCGCGCCCTGACGTTGGACATGTCTTCTTGGCCACGCTAGGGAGAGTGCCGCAAAGCAACATTGCCACAATCGGCGTGGGGACGAACACCCGGGGTATGCAGTGAGAAGGATCGCGAACCCTGTCGCTGTACGAACACACAAACGCTCTGCTGCTCTGTGTTGTGGTCTTGTGTTCATCCAAGCCTCCCGCCTCTCTCCAGCAAAGTGCCGCAACTGTGTCCACCTTGCTTACCCTTGGAATCCATCTCGGCATTGCGGCACCGCGCGCCTCACAGTGCCAATGCCTCATCATGGTCAGCTCATACTTGCGATTCCTTCGTTAGAGTCATTTCTATTATTACGCAGCTGCCGCATCGGACTCACCGGTGGCAATTGCGGCCCTTATCCCGTCGAAGCTATCCGACACATGGGCTTCAAGCGTGCTTTCGAGAAGAGACGGCACGGGTGACGCTCCACGGCGGAGTGTCGACGTCATCGGCATCGCTTATCTGCAAGGTTATGCGTGGAATTTGTTCAAGCTCCATCTTGTCTTCTAGGCATTCGAAGAGTCATATTGCAACCAGCGCGCAAACATTTCTACATGAAGCCAACAAACTTGCAAGTAATCACATCAAGAGCCGACCTGAAGAATCCGTGTCCCCCGTTCCAACCTGGACTTTCCTAGGTACAATTAACCCGTCCAGTAACTTGACTGCGCCATGACGCCATTTACCCATGCAATTCCCAAAGACAGTACCCGCCCTCCGGCCGTTACCTTATCCTAGAGAGCTTCTTCTCTCTCTCTCTTCTTCGACTTTATTTGTTATGCCAGATGAGCGTCCGCAACGAATCCCAGTGGTCCGATTGCTCGTAGCTGCAGACGGAGGGTCATCAGCATGGAACCGACACGGACAAAAAGGAATACCCACATGTAATGCATGCTACTCCGCAGACTCGACTGCAGCGTCTCGGGGTGCCACCGGAACAGGTACATGACGAGAGCCCAGCTCACGCTCGCAAAGACGGTCCATCCATTGTCCCTCACCTTGGCCGCCAGCACTGGATCACTGATGATCTCCCAGCCACCACCGCCACCCACCCTACCATGATGACCGTGACCATGGCCGTGGTGGTGGCCGCCCTTGCCGTTGGCGTGTTCGCCTTTGGGCTGGACGAGCAGCTTCGCATAGGCAAGCACAACGCGGGCGAAGACGTAGATGACGATCTGCTGGCTGACGGAGCTGTGGATGGTGCGGCCGAAAACGGCGTAGCCGCCTACGAGCCCGGCCAGAAAGGCATCGTAATGCTGCTCCTTGCCCGTCGGCGACGCATGCCGCAACAGAAGCATGCCCGTCTTGTAGATCAGCGCAAACATGCCCAGATTGCGCGCGTGCTGGCGCGTGGCTTTGAAGACGAGCTTGGCCTTGGTGCGGAAGCTGTGGAGGCGTGCCTGTTAGTCGCGTCTCTCTTTTATCCATCGGGAATACATACTCGCCGGAGCGGAAGAGGAATATCATCCTAGCGTGCAAATCGCAGTCAGCATCTTTTCTTCGGCGTGTTGGAGGCGAGCCTTACACCAGCGCGTGCGGAAATCGCACCTTGGTTCCGTAGACGATACCATTCCGAATGCCTTTGACCAGCGTGAGGACCTCATGGTATTTTGGGTCGAGCGCGATGCGCTCTGCCGAGGCCTGCGCCGCGTTGAAGTTCCAGTCAGCCATGAGTTCGTAGTAATGGATCAGAAGGCCGCTCTCGGTCGCCTTCTGCGCACCTTGCTGGCCACCCAGCGAAACTGCAACACTACTAACCTCCAAGCTCTTCACAAGCTCCATTGCCCTATCCATTGCGTCGGTCGCTGTTCCCCGGTCCTAGTATAGCACGACAGGCGGCGTGTCGTCGAAGCACGTCTCTCTCGAGCGTCGCAAGTTCGTGGTCTGTCGTCGTCGTCGTCGCGAGATCGGGCACGGTATGGGCGCTCTGCGGTCGAGTACCAATAGCTTTGTGAAAGGCGGCCTGCGGTCATCAGGTCCAGGGCATATTCCAAGCAGGGGGACAGAGTAGGACGCTCCTCGCACGCTACAGCACTCACAAACGCTGGCCCTGCCCCCGGCTATGATGTCGGTCGCGCACATGCCCGCATCCTCGGCTCATCGACGCCCGCCGCAGGCCGCCCGCCCTATCGATTTCTCCCGCACTCCAGCCACCATTCCTCTGCTGAACAAGCGAGGCTGACTGAGGCTTGATGACATGTGATTGTGGCTGGTGATATGCTCAAGTGCAAAAAAAAGGCTACCCCTCGTGCCCCTCCTCCAGGCTGGAGCGGAGAAAAGGGCGGACGATCCGCTCCACCGCGCACTCCGTACCTTGATCTCTTGGCGAAGGCGCCAGAGGAATGCTTAGCACCAACATGAGGCGGCGAAACCAGTCTCGTTGGCGTCCACCCGGACAGGCCTAGGCCTTGAGACAGGCGGACCGGTCAACCTGTGTTGGCGCGGCAATATGGCTTCAAGCGGTGCTCTCAGGGCCCAGGTGCGTAATTTTCCCTAGCCGCGTGGCTGAGCGATTACAACAGCTGTGACGGGGTTTGCGCCATTATCCAAAAGTTTCACGGCTCAGACCTAGCAAATCCCAGCATCAGACTGCCAATTGAACAAAGTAAATTCCAAGACCGTCTATATTTAGCAGAAAATGGTATCCACGCTCGAAACAGTCCGTCTACCTGCGAGACAATCGCCCCTTTTATGTGAAGTACGCTTTGTTGCTCTTTTGCACCGGAACACCCTAACACCAAGGAATGCGAACAAACCACGCTTCAGCCAACATACGCCCGCAAAGTCTCATAGATCGTGAAAATGAACGCGGAGCTGGGCACAGACCGGGCAACCGTGATGCCACACCCTCTGTACAGGCCGCGCAAGCCATGCTGATGCCAGATCAGCTTGCCGACCGACCAGAACGAGCTCCGCCCGCCGGCGACGCTGCGGCTGACGTCCTCGGTCTGCATACGGCTCTTGATGGTGTCGGCCGGATAGAAGAGGAAGTTGTAGCTGACGCCGGCCGTGGCGCCGCACACCATCTGCTGGTGGATGGGCAGCGGCTCGTCGCTCTTCTTGCCCGTGCGCTTCTCGCGCGCCTGCCGAAAGACGAGCCCCATGCCCTCGTACCCACCGAACCACGCGGCTGACCCGCCCGTCTCGCGGATGAGCGTGCCGAGCTGCCCGTGCCAGAACCCTGCGATTCCCTGGTGTCGGTACACCGACGCCATGACCCCCAGCGGCCCCATCTTCACAAAGTGGCCGCTGGGCGTCTCGACGGGGACCTGCACCTTGCATTTGACCAGTTCAATGGGTGTGAGGAGGGAGGATGCGAAGGCGCCCGACGCCGCACCACACAGAAGCAAGGCGCCGAAGGGCAATGGCTGGTTGGCCGGGTAGATTGTGGACTGGAGGGCTTCCTGGCAGAGGCGGTACTACAGCAGGGAGTTAGCGGGGTCGTCTCAAACTGCTAGGTCGCACTCACGCTGAAGAACAGGCTGGCATTCTCCACTGCGGCACCAACAAGCGGCGCGCTGATGCCCCTGTACAGGCCCATGAATCCATCCTTGGCCCAGGACTTTTGGAAGCAGTCCAGCGGCCCGGTGTACCGGAGGGGGAGGTGTTCCGGCTGCGACTGCAGGCGCACCTTGATCGTGTCAAAGGGGTATTCGATGTATTTGCCAATGATGCCGGCAAGGGAGCCGCAGGCGATGTCCTTCAGGGCCTCCATGCCCTGGCCGGCGAGCGCTTCTTTGGTCGACTCCGGGGTGGTGTTGGGCGTGGGGATGGCCAGCTCGGCATCGGGCACGCCAAGCGGGCGCTCGGAATAAGTGGCTGCCATGGTGAACGAATTGCGTAGGGGGCTGGGTCTTCTGGGAGAGCAATTGCTATCGCGGGAGCATTGTGGTATAAATGAAAATCAGGAGAAACAGGCGGGCTGCGTGGCAGCGGGGTGGGCGCAATCGGCGGGTAGTGAGTGGTGATGGCGTGCAGGGCGACCGCCGCTGCGGGCTTTTCGGGCAGCGGCAGTATTTATAGCACGTGAACTAGGGGCGCGGTAATCGCGCTGGGGCATGAGGGAATTTTCTGGCTCGGTTTCTGACTGGCACGTTGGGCGCATGCACCGCTGTGTGGGTGAAGTCATGGGAAAACGAAGACCCAGTGCCATGCAGTTGCGCGGCCGGGGCTGGCGGCGGAGTCGCAGGAAACGAGACCAGGGCTGGCGAAAAGATTTTGGACGCCCGGCGGTCCTAGCAGGCTCCATCTGCCATCCAGCGCGCGCCTTGCGGGGCGGCCAAGCCGGTTGAGTGGCCTATCTGCGGCTAGTGCCCGCTTAGAGTTATCTAGCGCCATCAATTTTATCAGATCGAGTGGAGGGCTGCGGACATTTTTCTTAGCAAACGACCGCACGCCTTTGGCACTCCTCACCCCACCCCTCCCTCCAATCCCCGATCATGTCCTCCGACGCCGACAGTTCCGCTCCTCCTCCTGCTGCCGCTGCTGCTGCTGCTCCCGCCAGCGAGCCCACGCCGGCCGCGGCGGGCATGCGCAAGAACGGTGCGTTCCTCCTTGCTCGCCCACGAAAAGTGCCGCAGTCGGCTAACTGTGTCCACAGGCAAGCAGTGGCACCAGCCTAAGAAAGCCTTCCGTCCTAACTCCGGCCTCACCTCTTATGCGAAGCGCGCCGAGGAGCGCAAAGCACTTGCCGCCATCAAGGCTAAGGAAAAGGAAATGAAGGATGAGAAGGAGGCAGAGAGACAGGTCGGTGGCCTTGAAGGCCGGGGCACGATTGCTAGCAGCTGACACTTTTGGTGTAGACACGGATCGCAGCGATCAAGGACAAGCGTGAAAAGAAGGCAGAGCGCGAGAGATACGAACAGATGGCCGCGAAGATGCACGCCAAACGGGTCGAAAGACTGAAGCGGAAGGAGAAGCGCAACAAGAAGCTTAACTCTTGAACGTGACCACAGCTGTCATTGGCGACAAACCACAATTTTCTGCTGGCAAAGACGGGGATTGGTGCATGCGCACGGCACCCGCGGACGCATGTAGACAGAACGGCGGACCTGTGAACTCTGTTCGTATTCCATGCAGGGGCCAACCACCATCCCCCGTGGCCACCGCACCAAGACGGTCGTCCACAGTAGCCAGAATGGGGAGGTTGTAAACGAGAGAGTCGGGTCTGCTACACCAGAACGAGGTTCTGTTCGGACGTAAAGGCTCCGTGATAAGCAAGATTATATACCCTTTTAAGACCGATCAGCTTTCGCCTTACGTCGCGCACATGAAACCAACATGCGCTGCTTTCTGCATCTCTTTGCGCAATTGCGATGTCGGCACTTTCGTCGAGCACCTTCGGAGATGAGGCAGCTGGACCTTTCCGAAACCACACGTGCCGTGCCACTTACAACCCCACGCTGAGGCGTGCAGGGTAATCTTCCGAATTTTCACTCAAGGTACTTGCCGTCCCGATTTACGCACCTCCCGACGTATGCTCCCGCGCTATGACAACTAAGCTCAACCCTGCATTGCAAAAGTAACAAGACGACGCCACATTTTTACTCCTTCGATGGCAATTTCCAGAGCGGATTCATCTTTAGCCCCCAGCGATCTTTGATGTGCGTTGATCGACTCGACCGGTGCAGTGACGATCCCTCCGCAGGCCTGCGTCGTCACCCACGTGGCCCAGCTGATCATTTAATCCTCCAGAGGCCCGATCCACACATCCAGTTGCCCCAAAATGCCTATAGTAGAGACTACGCTTATCTATCGCAACCCTAGTGGCCAATTTGCTGTGGGGCGGGCCGTTCCATAGATAAGGTTTTCGGATCACAGCTCGACTGCGAACGACTCCCGGATGCGCTCGCCGAACCGGTAGAAAACCAGCGGGGCGGGGCCGAGCAAAAGACTGAGCAGTCCGAAGACTGAGATCCCCCAACCGTAGCCAATGCTTTTGAACAGTGACGGCGCAAATAAGGGCACCACCCCGCCAACAACTGAACGAAACACAGCACCCGCTGCTATGGCCGAGGCGGCGTACTTCTCGAAGGCGTCTATGTAATAGTTCTGCGTGCAGTTGATAATCATGACTTGCCCTATACCATAGAAAAAAGTGCTAGCAAGAGACGCGGCCCAGTGAGTATTGAAGTGAATGGTCCAGGCAAACCTAGCGAGAGCGTGAGCCTGTAGAGAGAAAATAATGATGGACGGTTATGCTCACTTACCACAAAAGCGACACAGGTATAAATACAGACCCGATGTTTGCAAGCGGGAGTCGGTATTCGGGCTCCCCCATATTGCCGTTGCGACTCTTCAATCTCTTGTATACATCGTCAATTCGGGGAACCAGGAGCCGGACCGCGAATATAAACCCGATTCCAGGGCCAAGGTACGTGAGTCCGACTTGCTCAGTATTGAAGCCGTACTGTCCACCATAAATATCCTGGAAGTTGGTATACAAACTGTAGGTCGTGCTGAATAACAAAGCTTGGTATGAGGACATTGTTAAGACGATGGGGTGTGTCAGAATACGAAGAGGGCGCAAAAAGGAGTGACCCAGTTTGGTAGACATTGGCCTAAGGTCTTCACCCTCGAACCAATACTCTGTGTCTTCTGATCTTGCCTCCTTCTCCATAGCCTCCTTCCTCTTCTTCAGGATGACTGGTGCGTACGTCTCTTTGAGAAAAAGAAATCCCGAGGTGGTGTTGACTCCGCAAAGGACGGCTAGGATGAGAAAAAGCCACCTCCAGCCCAGCCTCTGGACGATAACACCCCCGATGAGCGGGCCAAGAGTCGGCCCGAGCAAAGGACCCAGTAAATACCATCCGAAAACGGCAGCTCGTTCCTCGGGGTAGAACATATCACTGATGGTTCCTCCACCATTGGCGATGCCAACGCTACCAAAGAAACCAGCAAACGTGCGGAGAGTAATCATCACCGCGATATTGGGACTGAAAGCCGTGGGTATTTGTAGGAGGGTGAACATGGTAAAACAGGATAGGTACAACTTCCTGCGCCCAAAGGCTTCCGAGAGAGGTGCCAGAATTAGTGGGCCGAGACCTAGCATGACGACGAAGCCGGTCGTTGCACCGATAACAGTGTCGGTGCAGGTGTGGAGCCCCTCAGCAATCTGGTTCATTCCAGGAGTAAACATAGAACTTGCGAGCGGGCTCAAGACTGCAATGATTCCATCAGCAGGCTGTCCGATCACTTGTCTTCGAAAAGGGCACAGGCTTACTAGCCATCGAGGCAATGACTGCGACATTGGTCATCTTCGTCTTTCTCGTCCATGATCGGGGGCTCTCTGGATCATCTTCCGAGAACTTGATCTGCTACAAAAACGTAAGCAAAATGCACGAAAGTTCATGTAGCTCTTCGCTCACCTCTCTGTGTTCAGGATCTTCTCCATGACCGTTTCGAAGGAGCGGGGAACGCTCATCGTGGATATTCGACATTGTGTAAATATTGTTGCGGAGAGGAGGTCATGCCGCATCAGCAGAACTAAGTATGATCTCGCGTTACATGCAGACCTGGTGCTGCGCCCCGTTGTGCGAGGCTCTACAGCGCGTCATCGGCTCGGGCATACCGTCATGGATCCGCCGATGTCCGCCGCATTATTACGCTAATGACGTGACCCGCATCAACTCCGGAAGTCAAATAAGTATTCCTAGGCTCCTATCCTTTTTTCCATTCCCATGGGGATTTTTGTCGTGGTTCAGTCTAGGAGTCTTCAACCATAAGCTGAGGTCATATTGGTGAAGCGGGAAAAAGGGTATAGGAAACCCCACAGCTGAGGATAGTCATTGTTCAGCTGACAGGAAGAAAACAGACTCGGAATCCATTTACTTTGCCCATCTATGAGGCAATGGGACCTGGTGTTCTCGCTCTTAGTAAGACTAAGCGACTGTGTGGCTGCGTCGGCGTAGGACTTGGCTCTGCCCGTGGATGTGGTGAAACTAGATCCCGCATTTCCATTACTGGTCAGGTGTGTCAATCTTGAAACTCTTTCTTGTCGGCTGCTGTTCGCATGGTATTCATCCTTCTCGGCAGAATATTGGCCAAGAAGCACAGTAAGCATGCATTTTGATCTTAGGGACTTTCATTTCAAGCCGCTGTCATCCAGCACCAACAGGCACTTTCTTCGAGCCTCCCCCCTTCACAAATTGCACCGCCCGGTGCATCCTTTCCTCATAACCAGCGCTTTCGCCCCGGTGCCCTTCATTCCAGCATCCTTGACAATACAAATCACCATCACAACCCAAACAGCGTACTGTTGCATCAGCATAGCAGATGATACACCAGCTATCGATCTCTTCATCCGTGAAATTCGACGCCTTGACCGGCGGCTTTTTGAACGGTGCGAAAGATGGCGCAGAAGGTAAGCCAGTTGCGCCGTCAAGTCCAGGAGAAGGGCTACCGCGGGACAGCGCTTCGAAGCGGGCAGTCAGGGCATCATCAACAGCCGTGGCCTTGTCGAAGTCGTCTTTGGAGGCTGGAGGAGGTGTTGGAAGGGAGGTTGGGGCGGCTGGAAGGGCGAGGGATGGTTCGGTACCGCCATTCTGTTGCTTTTCTGCCTTTTCCGAGGAAATGGTGGCGGCCTTAGCTGGAGAGCTCTCATCCACTGCTTGCTCACCGGCTCTGCCTACACCTTCGCCCTCCTCACCACCATCGCTGTGCATTGTCTCCAAGTCCAGCTCCGCGAGCACCTGTGCAATGTACTCGTCTGCCTCCTGTTCATCCAGCGCATCCTGATCCACATTCTTCCCATCACCACCCTCAACGTGCCCCCGCTCCTCTTTCCCATCGTCCTGCCTCGGCTCCGCCACATCTGGCAATACACTCCGCACTTCCCTCACCAATTTACCCACATCTGTCTCCTCCTTCCGTGAAACCTCCCAATCCTCTCTCTCGCTACCGAGTTCCTTCAGCAGCTCGTCCAACGACTTCCCCTCCTCTCCAACCTCGGTGGAACTGCTCTCCGCTGTTATTCCGACGGTCGCGGGACTCATCTTTCCGCCGTTTAGCCGCTTGAATCGCGCCGCAAGATCTAATATCGGATCACCGTCATCTTCCCCTGCCGGTTGCTTATCGTCCAATCCCAGGTCGCGCAATGCGTCGGGCGTGATTTCTTCGGCGGCGGACGGAGGCTGCGTAGATAGGGTGACGGAGGATTTCTTGAGGGCGTTGAGACGGGCGAGGAGGACGTCGTCGGAGTTTGGAGGCGGCATCGTTTATTTCTATTCGACTGTACAGGAATCGGTCTATGTGGTTTCACGGCGGTCGGTGAGGCGGAGATGGGGTTGATCTAACAGCCTGGTAGAGGTACTATGAGGTTGCTAAGGCCCTGTAATCATCTTGTGCGGCGGCGGTGTTGCATGGGTCGTGTCCGTGTTGTGGCGCGGGGAGCTTGGGGCGCATGTAATGCGCGGACGTGCGGCACGCGGTGTCGTCACCGACAAGGGTCCGTCGGTAAATAGTCATCAAGTTCAAAGGATACCTTTCTCACCAAATCAGTCTCAGGGATTGAGTTGAAATTTCAGCCAAAAACTTTAAACTAAACAAGCTGTTGTCAAATTAGTACGTTCAGAAATTTTGTGGGGGGGGAGCGCTTTTCTGTGTTGAATCCAGAACAACCGACGGACAAATAAGCGTCATTAAGTAGCATATGTTAGTAAAGGAAGGCTTTTTTTTTCTATTTCACCTTCTTTATAAATAGAATCTACGAGTAAAAATAAAAGTCGGTGGTATTTTTCATTTCTAATACAGTACATTAATCAATCACACCTTGCAGCAGTAATCTAATCGTAAACATACTTTAGTATTCCCACATAAAGAGCATATTCAAGAAGAGTATTACCTTATAGGATAATGTACATAAAACCATGCCAATTCTTATTATTTCGCTATCGGTTTGGTTACCTCCTTACCCGAAGAGCGCCATCGGGGTTTCTGCAATCTGTGTCGTTACTGCTTCTTGTTTTGAGAGTAGATGAAGTTGGCAGCTGTAGCCATCAGTAAAATGAACTAAGCCAACCTAAAATAAGACTTACCAACTGGAGTAAGACCATTCTCTTTGGCCCATTGCCTAACGCCATGCCGTTCTTCCCCGGTACCCCAGTTCTTGCGGTCCCTCGGTTTGGTCAAGTCCAACGGCTGGCTCGTGCTGTTCGTAGGCGCGAATATTATGAATACGTATCGATGCTTCCATGTCTTCGGCGGAGGGCCTGGTGGGTAGTATTCCATGATTTCCTTCAGCCCACTGGCCGCCGTTTCGGCATGAGCTCGACCATCAGCAGAGCTTGGAGACTCGACACAAGAAGCGTCTGGACTAGAGAGGGGAATGCCGGCAACAATCCAGTGGCAGAACTCAGCCCACTCCGGATTGTCGCGAGATGGAGCATCTGGGTCGGTCATTGCAAGAACATATGTCATATTCGATTTGCAAGGACTCATGACGGAAGCAGAAGTCGGCTCATCATTGAGGTGAATCGAAGGTGCCTTCTTCAGCTTTTTCGGTTTGACGGTGTTGCCTAGGTTGGCGGTCTCGTCGGACAGCCACGTGATGTTGACAGTAAGAGATGGGAGAAAGTCGTCAATGACTGCATCCGGCACATGTCAGCAGACATTGTACCCGCGGCTCGCACGACTGGACTGCTCACCGGTCGGGATAATCTCCGCTTTGATAAGCCTGCTCAAGTGTGTAAGCCTCTGCTCTAAAACTAGCTTACCGGGACGATAGATCGTACTCAGCACGAACACCCAGGATACTCTTTGGGGCGACAGCACCGTTGTCGTTGCTCAGGAAGTGCTGCTCAGTCGGTGCCACGAGAGCCTCGGCACGGGGGAAAAGTAATTGGAGAAGACCGACACCGAAGAGTAAGCTGACAAGAAGGCTGGTGCTCGCCCAGGCTCGTTTCGGCCCATGAGTGGAAGGAGGATCGACGGAAAGTCTCATTGCGGGCAAATATGTCTGCGAGTTGAGCTGATTGCAATTGAGAGAAATCACTATGAAGGTGTTGCGGTGTGAAGCATCCCCTCCCCGCAAGATTGCGTCATTGTGTCGCATGCACGTCGCGAAAGGCAGGAACCATGCATGCAGTTCATATCATAGCCATGATGCCTCAGAACCCGTGTGCTCGGCATGCCTTTGGAAAAGTATTAAACTGAAAATCTAATGTGGTATCGTGATAATGTATGAAAACCAGGCTTCATCAACAGCCCTGTCGCCAAATGCCTGCACGTCCAATATCGCATTGCGATTAATTAGAAGCCTGCTCATTGCAGGATAACGGCAGCCCTACCTGGCCCACCCAGCGTCCCATGCGTCGTCCAGACACGTTTCAGCGACGAAAATCCTCATGGAACCTCCACTCTCCCAAGTTTGTGCCCGCTCTGAGACACGTGCAGCTGACCGGCCATGAGGATAAGTGGAGGGAGTCTGTCAGCTCTCGCCCGGGCCGCCAACTGGCGCTGCTCGCCGCAAGTCCCGTCAATGGCTCTCCGCCGCAAGGAACGACCTACTGTCAGCCACAAATCCCATGTTTGTGGCAATGTTGTAGTCGCTGACGACCTGCGCCTCGGGGCCGGTCATCGTTCCGGTGCAGTCGCTTAGCAAAATGCAGTCGAAACCCCAAGAGTACGAGTCCGAAACGGTTCCGAAAACGCACTGGTCGGTGTTGACTCCTGCGAATAGGATCGTTTTCTTCCCGCTCTCGCGAAGGTACCGGTGCAGAGGCTCGTCCGGAGACCACATGCCGCTCATGCGATTCTTGTCGAAGAAGAGGTCATCGCTGGCAACCACGGCTTTGAGAGGTTCATAAAGTTGGGCGTTCCAAGTGCCCTTGAACAGGCAGCGGCCATGTCCATTGCCCATGTCGACTCCAAGACGCGTGTGCCATCCATAGCCTCGGGTCTTTGCGATGTTGTGGCAGAATCCTCTCTGAACGGCCGGGGGCATAATGCGGAGATCATGCTCGTCCAGGCCCCAATTGAGCCAGGCTACCTGGATCCCTTCGCTTCTGCACCGCTCAATCACCTTGATGGTGGGTTCGACGGCGGCAAGTCCGGCCACGTGCTTGTGGAAGAGCGGGTGGATGAAGAAGTTTTGCATGTCAATGACCACGAGAACCGTCTTCTCAGGATCAATGGTGCATCCACGGTGGTGACGGATGCCATCATCGGCGTCGATGGTCAACTTCCTCCTAGAGCCCCGGCTAAGGTCGAAGCGCTTCGTTTTCGGGTCGAACAGCCACTGGTCGTCGCCGCCAAACGAGACGGGCTCTGACCAGCGCTGCTCGGGGGTCGGCTCCGAAAAGACCACGTCCTCAACAACCTGAAGAGCGCCGGGCGCCATGTGCTTGGTGGTCCACGTGAAGGGGGAGTAATCACTAGTCGAGCTTGTGGCTTTGGTCGCGTGAGTTGGACACCGAGGTCTAGGGAAGAGAGCGAAGAAGAAGAGCAGAGTGCAGAGAGGGAGGTTTCAACTTTTTCTTTCCTTTCTTTATATGGTCGACGCTAGATAAGGCAAGTGGTCAAGGCGGAGGCCGCGTCTGGCCGACTCTGATAATGGGCACGGCATGGCGGGCACGATAGGCGGTTTCGGGCGGTCAGAAGCGCGGCGCGGGCTGTGTATAAGGACCCTGGGAGGCGGCGCTAGAGCGGCGCGCAACGAGACCGGCGGCTGAGGCGCAGGGATGTTGTGTGTGTTGAGAAGTGAGTGCGGCGATAAGAAGGGCGCTGGCAGTGGGCGGCGCGTGCACGCGTCCGAGCGCAATGCGCTGTCCAGCCTGCCGTACCGGCTGCCGCTGCGGTTGGCCTGGACGTGCCGGCGCTTGCATAGCCGGCGCGCTACGGGCGGCGTGATAACCCCCTCACGCAGCCTGCGGAAACAGCCTATGGCATCTTCTCGTACTAGCGGTCTGAGCCAGGCGCAACGGCTAGACAGCAAAACCGGGCAAATCGTCACCAGGACGTTCCTCATCCGCCCTCCGTTCACTCGTGCCCGTCATCTGCCCCGGACGTCCTGCTCGCCGCCGCGCCGCCGAGCTGCTCCCCGAGTCCGCCGTGTTGACCGCCCGCGCCCGAACAAAAACATCTGCGTCGTCCTCGAGCGCCCTCTCCCCGCGCGCCGCTAGTGTTTATTCCCCTCCGCGCCCGGCTCCCCTCGTCAAGACGCCCGCCGGCTGCTGGCCAGCGTACTGCAGTAATCATGTCTTTGGGCGAGGACCTGCTCAAGATCGTCAACAAGCTCCAGGACTTGGTCTTCAACACCATCGGCAATGATTCTCTAGACTTGCCGCAGATTGTGAGTCTCCCCCCTCAGGGCCCCCGCCGCCAGCTAACCCCCAGCCCAGGTCGTAGTCGGCTCGCAGTCCTCCGGCAAGTCGTCGGTCCTCGAGAACATTGTTGGCAGAGATTTCCTTCCCCGTGGCAGCGGCATCGTCACTCGCCGCCCGCTCGTCCTCCAGCTCATCAACATCCCCAGCGACAGCGAGAAGCCCGAGGGCGACGAGGTCCACATCCCGCACACCCCCGCAAGCGTCGCAGGCCAGGATGAATGGGCCGAATTCCTACACATTCCGGGGAGGAAGTTCTTCGACTTTGGCGAAGTGAGGCGCGAGATTGAGAACGAGACTGCTAGGATAGCGGGCAACAACAAGGGCATCAACCGTCAGCCCATCAACCTCAAGATCTACTCGCCTCATGTGCTGAGTTTGACTCTTGTCGACTTGCCCGGCCTGACCAAGGTCTGTAGCACGCGAAGCGCCGCCAGGAATCCAGCTAACCGGACGACAGGTGCCCATCGGAGATCAGCCGACCGATATTGAGAAGCAGACCAGGAACCTCATCACCGAGTACACTGCCAAGCCGAACAGCATCATCCTCGCCGTGTCGCCTGCCAATGTTGATCTGGTGAATTCCGAAGCGCTCAAGCTCGCCCGCCATGTGGATCCAATGGGCCGCAGGACAATTGGCGTGCTCACCAAACTGGATCTGATGGACCACGGGACCAATGCGCTTGACATCCTTTCTGGCCGCGTGTACCCGCTGAAACTGGGCTTCATCGGTGTTGTCAACCGCTCGCAGTACGATATTCAGGAGAACAAGTCCCTCTCCGACGCCCTGCAGGCCGAGCGCGACTTTTTCAGGCAGCACCCGGCATACAGAAACATGGCGAACCGCTGCGGAACCGAGTTTCTGGCCAGAACTTTGAACACCACGCTGATGGCGCATATCCGCGAGCGACTGCCCGACATCAAGGCTCGTCTCAACACGTTGATGGGCCAAACGCAGCAAGAGCTTGCCAGCTACGGGGATGCTGCCTTCATCGGAAAGGAACACCGTGGTTCCCTGGTTTTGCAGCTCATGACTCGTTTTGCTTCATCCTTCATCTCTTCCATTGACGGTACTTCTTCGGAGATCTCGACGCGCGAGCTTTGCGGTGGAGCCAGGATCTATTACATCTTCAACTCGGTTTTTGGAAACTCGCTCGACACCATTGATCCCACGCAGAACCTGTCCACGCTGGACATCAGGACTGCGATACGTAACTCGACAGGCCCTCGGCCGAGTCTGTTCGTGCCGGAGATGGCTTTCGACCTGCTTGTCAGGCCTCAAATCAAACTCCTCGAACCTCCGAGCCAGCGTTGCGTTGAGCTCGTCTACGAGGAGCTCATCAAGATCTGCCATACTTGCGGTTCCACCGAGCTTAGCCGCTACCCCCGCCTTCAGGCGAAGTTGATCGAAGTCGTCTCCGATCTGCTGCGCGAAAGGCTCGGCCCATGCTCCACCTACGTAGAATCTCTCATCTCGATCCAGCGCGCGTACATCAACACCAATCACCCCAACTTCCTTGGTGCGGCTGCTGCTATGTCCTCTGTCATTCAAGACAAGCAGGAAAAGGAAAGGAAGATGGCAGCATTAGAGGAAAAGAAGAAGAGGGAAAAGAAGCGCTTGAAGGAGCTGAACGGCGTTAACGGAACTGAGACACCGGAAGAGGAGCAGGAAGAGACGGAAGCTCCTGGTGAAAAGGCTGCCAATTTGACAATCCGCGGCCACGCCAGCAAGAATAGCAGGAGCATGTCTCCGGCTGTTGGCCGTGCTACCCCCTCCGGAATCACAAGCGCGCTGAACGGTGCTCGTGGGGCCTCGCCACCCAGGTTCCAGCAGGCCGGATCTACCAAGGATAGTTTCTTGAACTATTTCTTTGGCAAGGAGGGTGGTTTGCCCATGCCGAACACGCCGCCCACCCCCATACTGGATACGCGCCCCGGTAGCAGGCACGTCAGCCAGAACCAAGAACCCAGCTTCGCTGGCAGCCTAAGGAGAGGTGACAACCGCATGCTCGATCGCGCTCCTATCTTTGAGGTCTCGCAGGAAGAGCCCGAGGTTGCGATCCCTCGGAATGACTACGACAGTCCATTCGTAAGTTAACACTCATTCAGTTTCGGAGACTTGTTGCTGATATAACACAGCCTGGAGAGCCGGAGCCGCCTGCGCTCACCGAGCGTGAAGCATTGGAGACCGAGCTCATTCGCCGCCTTATCTCCTCCTACTTTAACATCGTTCGTGAAACCATTGCCGACCAAGTGCCAAAGGCTGTCATGCACCTTTTGGTAAACTTCTCCAAGGACTCGGTCCAGAACAGGCTGGTTAGCGAACTCTACAAGGAGACCTTGTTTGAGGAACTTCTGTATGAGGACGATGCCATCAAGTCGGAGCGTGAGAAGTGTGAGAAGATGCTCAAGATGTACAAGGAGGCTGCCGCCATCATCGGCGAAATCCGGTAGGCGTCGTTACTGCCATTCTCCCCCCAAGTTCTCTGCGATTGACCTGGCGAGCGCAGTGTGTATTAGAAATGTACTTTAAAAAGAAGGCAAAGCAGCCCATGGACATGGACACGTGATGTTTCGAAATGCCGGGCAGAAATCTTTGTGTTCTTTTCTCATCAGTCCCTCAGATGACTGATTTTGGTTTTTTTTTTTTTGCAAGACGGAGCAGGGGAGGCGTTGAATATCGCTGTCGTCTTCTCCTCGTTGAGGTTGGCTTCATCGTTTCTTCGTTTTTGTACCCTTGAGATTGCATTTTGGCCACTTTCCTCTGCCCTACGAAGATATGTACATTCAAAGGCTCTCTACTGCCCCAGACACTGAAGAATTTTTCTGAACCACTTTCTATTCCATCTGTCCGCTTACCGGAATCTAGAGAAGGAAAGGCTAGAAAAACTCGGATCACCACCTCCTGCCGCAGGGAACGACCGAGCTATATCCCGCAACCGATTCAGGGGCACGGCTAACAATCCTGCGAGACTCTCGGGCGATGGGTGATTTGGCGCATAAGGATGGCTCCGCATCAGCAACATCCTTTTGTTCATGAGAACTCGGTAGTGAATGTCTTGCTTCTGTCCGGCTGGAGCAACTTCTCAACATGCGGTATGTCCTAATCCTTTTCACGCACGATGCTATACATATCGTGCATTAGGTGCTCTAGCAGTGGTCCAAGATTGGCGTTAGCGGGCGACGCATCTTGTAGCTTTGAGAGATAACCGCTTTACCTTTTGTTCCTCGTGGGGTCAGTCTATATGGTCGGTGAATACGTGGAAAACTCGTTATACATACGGCTTAATGCTATTCCCGATCCACGTCTGTAAGCCTTTTCCATTGTCAGGTGGTACGTTGGCTTGTTGCATGTGGCGTGCTATGCGATGGTCTATGTTAATTGGCTGCGCTATTTGGTTTTTTCTTTGATGTATTGGGCGGTAACGATATGCTCATAGCAAGTGTCCAAGTAGTGGTTAACGCCAATTACTACTGGCATGGTATCGTATGCTACTTATAGCGCAGGAAGAGCAGCGTTGTGCTGTTCTACGGTGTTGAGGGACATTATTGCATGGTTGTTTTCACCGTCGTTGGCGCTGTAGCGTTGAGATTTGCATCTTCGCTCTCGTCTCTAAGCCTATAATCCATAGATATACCTCGGTTTGCGCCTGTAACCCGGTACAAATGGTGTGCGTGTACAATGCCTATTTGCGGATTTCAACGGCATCCTTGTTCTTCTCGAAGTGGAATCGGACATGCAGAGTTGAAAAGATCGCATAGTGATTGTATTCAGCTATCTACCGGTCGTTTATAGACTGGTTGACTGATTGCTGGTATGTTTGCCGGGAATCTACTGGAAGTTTGCTTGTGCCCGGCTTGATTTTCCATTTGAAGCAGTGACAGTTTTGAGCAGAGGACAGGATAATCCTGTAACTTAGCAGCATTGCTTCTCCAAATGCTGGTCTGCATTATACACGAGGCCTATAGACTCCGCCCTTCAGATCCACTGACACCTCCACTCAGTCTAGTTCTTTTCTAATTCAGAAAAATGCTGAATTACATCCCTCGTTGATAGCCAACCACTCATGGTGTTGAATTCATTGACCAATGGATAGGCTTCGATATGAGCCTATAGAGGTAGGAGTGGAGGTGGCAGTAGATCTGCAAGGCGGAGAAGGTAGTCTAGATGATTAGGATAATATTCATGCGAAGCTCGATGGAGAATAGCCCTACGAATTAAAGTGAAAGTTGAATAGCTTGTCTTAATGATTCGAGCATTTTATAACATCATACAACACCAAATGTGTGGGTCGCGTTGATCTTTGACTTGGCTGTGTCCGCAGAGCACCGAAAAGGCTTGAACAAACTGCTTTGCATATTGCATGGTTCTCGCCTTCTAACACCTCCCAGATGGCAAGTCCCCTTTGTGCTACAAGTCCCTCCTGACTCCGCAACAGAACTTCCCGAAATGCATTGGAGTGTCTCTAAAACGCCAAGCGCTATGAAAAGCACAGCAAAACTCCCATGGGTACCCGTCATTACCTTTTGTTTATTTTTTTAACCCAGACTACTAGACCATAATTCAATTCTCCCTTCGGTAATTCTCAGCGCCCTCATTCACACCACCATCGTCTTCGCATAGAACTCGGGGTGCTGGCTCTGAACCATAGTCGTCACGCGCTCAACTTCCTCAGCCAGGCTCCTGACATTGTCATCCCATTTACGCAGCTCACCTCCGACTATGCGCTCAAGATGGCCAGTCTTGCGCTGGCCGGAGCCCTCGCCGCCTTCGAAGTAGATAAAGCGGGCGATCTGGTCAATATAACCAGCCAGACGCCCTTGCTCGATCATCTGCGCAGCGTAGGCCTCGGCGCGCTCGGCATCGACGTTAAGCAACTCGGCCAGCTGGTCGATGCCGATATTGCTGTACAAGCGCGATGCAGCGAGCAGGTTGTGCTCGAGCACAGCCTTATCAAGCACAGTGCTACCATCCGACGTCTTGGCCAGCTGGTGCGGCTGCAGCTTGGCGGCGAACGCCTCGACCTCGGCCGGTATGAGTAGCCGATCTAGGAATATCTTCTCCAGGATGGCGTACTGGTCGACCTGCGAGGCGCGGTCGTCCTTGTAGAGTCGGGCGAGGGTGCGCGAGCGCTGCGGACCGGCGGGCGCCAGAACGGCACAGACAATGGCGGCAGAAAGGGTGTGGAGACGCTCCTCCTCATCGATGATGGGCTCGTTGCTGATTTGGTGGTAGGCGGAGCTGGCGTCGAGGAAGCTACGCTGCGAGTCGTGGATGCGGGCCTGGGACAGCTGGAACTGAAGCTTGGTGGTCTTGTCGGTAACACCGTGCAGGACGTTCTTTACGCGGTTGAGATAGGTTGTGGCGGAGGTCGGGTCATCCTCTTCTAAGTAGCAGCGCACAATGCGGATCCAGACGGCGGCCTTGTCGTCGGCGGAAATGGTGCGCTGCGACGAGTCGAGCGGAATGGCCTGGAGGATCTTTGCGGAAGCGATGAAGTCGTCGTTCGCCTGGTACGCATCGGCCAGGATTTCCTTGATGGCGGTATCCTGCTCCTCGTACGACACGACCTTGGGTGCCAGTAGTGCCAATGCCCGTGTGCCCACCTCAATCTTGACATCGGCATCGCTGAGCTCGCGGAAGCGCAACACGAAAGATGCAAGCAGTGGCCGAGAGGCTACGATGCCAATAGTGTCTCCCAGAAGTGACTCGGCGTAGGCAATGAGGTTGGGGGCGAGAGTATCGGGGGTAGAGGTGTCGATGATCTTGGTGAGCAGGTCGTTGTAGCCGGTGGTCTTGGACGCGGCAGGAGATGATTCGAGCTCCTGCAGAGCTGCAGTGACGTCGGCAGAGGCAAGAGTGTCGGGATTCATGGCGGCGGTGTGTGGTTGCGTTCGAGAGCGTTCGAGAGAGTTGCGGACGAAGCTCAAGCCGGAGGCAGCAGCACAAGCTCTGGGAAGGTGGTGGTGGGAGGCGGCGGGAGCTTATCGGCGATAAGAGCCGCAGCGCAGGGCTCGCGTGCATGACGGAGACGGTGCTCGCAGGCTGCGCCTTGACTTCCGCCTCCGCAACTACCTCTCTCATTGTCCGCACCACGCGCCCGCCACCCACGCCGCGACCGCACCCACGCAACACGTCGGCATCGTTCCCGCAGGCCCTCCGATATTCCTAGTGCCCCGCCCACTCGACTGCGCCGCGCTTGCCGGCGCTCCCCTCAATAGCGCCCGCCATGAACGGAGTCAAGATGGAGGTCGATCCTCAGATCAAACCCGACCCGGACACCAAGTCTCCCGGCGGCCCGGGGTTCGCAGACATCGACGACATGTACGAGGACACCGGCGAGCTCAACATCCCGACAGATTTTGCCGATCGCCAAGTGTGGCTGACGCGCGTGCCGAAATGGCTGTGGGAAGTGCTGTCCAAGGCCGAGGATGATGAAGAGGTGGAGATTGGTCGCATCCTGGAGTGGCAGGAGGCTAACGACACCAAGGTGCGCGGCGACATGTCTCGCGCTGCTATTTTGCTAACATGTGCGCAGAGGAAGCTCCAACTGCGCCAGACGGTGAATGACTTCACCGAATACCCCAAGGAGTACAAGCTCAACGTCACGAACCCGCAACCCCTTAACGAATTTGTCTTTTCCGAAAAAGATCTGGAGGGATACAATCCCAACGCCTACAAGCGACCGGGTCGGCAGGGGCAGCAGGGCACTTTCGCCGGCCAAGGAACGGGCGTCAAAGACGGTAGGGTGGACAAGTGGTGGAACAAAGGCGGTCGGGGCGGAAAGAAGCAGCCAATCCCCAAACACACGACTCTCGTAGCCCGGTCTTCACTCGACGTCAACTGCATCCCCGTTGATAATGCCGAGCTGGCACGCTTCCGTATGCGCGAGAACAAGAAGACGCAGCAGGCGTCCAATCGTCTGGTGCTTGAGAACAACCTGCACGAATTCACCCGCCTCATTGGTGGCACTACGCCGGCTGGCAACCCCACAATTGACATCCAGGCCACCAGGGCGAAGCCAAAATCCCAGGACAACAAGTTTGCCCGCATTCCACAGAACCAGCTTCTGGACATGCTGCTCAAGCTTTTCCAGGAGTACAAGTACTGGCCTATTAAGGCGCTCAAGGACCGCACCCGCCAGCCGGAAGCCTACCTCCGTGAGACGCTGTCCAAGATTGCTACTCTCGTCCGCACCGGCCAGTTCGCCAATACGTGGATGCTCAACAAGGACGCCGAGGAGAGCAACTACCTTGCCAACTTGGATGAGACGGATGTCAAGGAAGAAATGGCGCCTGAACCGGAATTTGGAGAAGATGACGATGAGGGTGACGAGGAGATGGAGGATGCCCTGTGAGTTCCAGCTCGTTAGACGACGGGCATTCCCGCCCGTATTATATGGTGTCTGGACTTTTTTTTCTGAGCCTTAATATTTTTTGCATGGGACGGCGTTTGGAAATACAGATCGAGCGAAAGGGAAACTCTCAGGACGTCTTTATTTTTCAGTCTTTCCAGTCTTTTGAGAGATGGCTGGTGGCTTGGCAGGTGCGGATCAAGAGCTGTTGCAGGGAAATGCAGAAGGATGGACGCCTGCGTGGAATCCAGGCGGAATGTACCATAGGAAAAGCTATCCTGCGGTGATCCCTAGTGCAAATGATGCTAAACAATCTCCTGGTAGAGGTTGCGGTGATTGCGCACGGGCCTGGCTTGGCGCCGTGGAAAAACAGCGCGGCCAACCAGACCCGCGGCCGGCGATGCAGCACAACTTCCGCAGCAGTCGACCAACTTCAGCCTGCAATTGCTGCCCGCCCACGCGCCGCAGGCCTCGACCCTCACAATGCTGTCTCGCTCGATAGTACGGCGCTCTATCCAGGGCGCCAATGCCCTCCTGCCCGCCATCCGCACCCTGCGCGTGCACGCAAGCCCTCTCTCCACCGTCTCGAACTCTCTCGAGCCCGGCAACGTCCCCAACGAGCTCATCCGATCCGGCGCCCACAAGACCTCCAGGCCCGCAAGAAGACGGGCTGAAGCCGCATCGTCTCCCTCCGCCTCCACGCCCTCTTCTTCCGCCTCCGCACCACTTCCTTCCCCGTCCGCCGAAGCGCCCTCCCAAGGCACCACCCCCCTCTCGGACTCGGTCAAAGAGCTTCTGCCGCTTCTCCAGGCCCAGCAGCCTCACTACATCTCCGCGCATATCCATGCGAAGCCCTACCTCCTGACGGCCGGTGACACGCTGCGTCTGCCGTTCCTTATGCACGGTGTCCAGCTCGGCGACGTCCTCCGCCTTAACCGCGCCACGCTTCTCGGAAGCAGAGACTTCACATTACGCGCTCCCGCACCCGTCAAGGGTACGAGGGAGCGCCCTGGAACCATTATCCACTACTTGGACGACAGGCTGTTCGTATGCAGGGCGAAGGTCATAGGTGTGGAGAGCGAGCCGATGAGGGTGAAGGAGAAGACGAAGAGGAGGAATAGGCATGTCAAGCATGTGAAGAGCAAGCACAAATACACCGTCTTGAGGATCACCGAGTTGACTGTGAGGACGCCGGAGCAGGTGGAGGCCGAGAGCGCGAAAGCCAAAGCCAGACAGGCTAAGAGCTCCGCAGCAACGATCCCAACCGCGCAATAGACGGGTATACGAATTTCTGGCCGCGGGGGGAGGGGGGATGAACGAAGAGGACTGCTCTTGAGAAAACTTTACACCAGTCTTCAGAGTATCAATGGCACTGCCACTACTACGGTCTGGGGCAGGGGGAAACATTGCAAATGATCGAGTACTGTATCATATATGGGACCGGTGTTATCTGGGTGATTATAGGTCCGGATCAAAAAATTTCTACCTGTAAAACCGGATATCTCGTTCGTTCCAACCAGAACTCCATGTTACCATCGTATGGGAGTACTATGTGTCTAAATCACTTCAGACTTCCAAGGCAGTATGATGTGAATCTTTCAAAAGGGAAAGGAATTTGGGGTGAGAATGCCAATGGGCAACAAAGCGCTACTGTTGTTTACCTTGTCCTCATTTATGTCACCTTGCATCTATTAGGCAATGAAAAATGCGAGAGAAAGAGATCTATCTGTTTACATACAACACGTCTTCTCTTAGCCTTGAGAGCTGACGCTTAAGCTAAGGTCAGTCTTGGCTGGTTAAAAGTGATATTCTATCTTATGACAAGCTTGCTGGTTATCGTAAGTCTAGCTTTGATATAGGCCTGAGGTTTGCGAATTTATTATAGAAAGTACAGGCCGTGATATGATACAGATTCGCATTCTACCAGTGTTTATGAACACGCTTTTCATGTCCTACTGTCGAACATCAGCCATGTGGTTAAATTGATGTTTTGCTATTCAAGCTGTTTTGCACGATTACTACCTTCGCCATAGTTTTGATCAAAAGCATGGTTATCTCATTTGATATTTCAGCAACGAGGAGTAGCTTAGGCGCTAACTTATTATTGTAGGAGTTATTTTGTAGAAAACATTCACGCTCTAGAGATTCTCCCTGCCTGTGGCGTGGATTCTACGGAATATCGCGGCTCTGTTCATTATGCAAATTATTTCTGACTTGAAACTCTATCTTGACTGACAATTGATTAACCAAAGTAGCTTGTTATCATTGACTTTTGCTAGATGAGCTAGTACTAATCAAATGATACGTGCGGTATTGCACATGGAAGTGATTTTAGTTCAAGTAGCATTTTCCTCTCACGAAAACGAAATGTGGGATGCACTCGCACTCGACATACTACCACCTCGAAGTCATGACACTTATGAGGAGTCTCTTGATAATCATTCTGCAACTGTATTACACTTCTCCATGTGCCATGGATACGGGATAAATGGCGTCATCGATAATATCTATATTACTTGAATTATCATTAAGTTGTAGCTATCTTCAGTATTGTTCTAAGAGTTTCTCGTTTTAGGCCTTTGCACGTGTAGAAACACTTTCGGCGTTAGATTTTTACGGTAGATGGGTTCGAGAGCCCCGAGTCTAATATTTCATTATTCTAAGAAGACCTGTTATGCTAAACCTCTCCCTGCGTTTTGAAGACGCCATTCATGCACAATAGCATACTCTGAATCTGTACGCGCGTCCTCCGCCGGCGGTGACTGGCAGCTCCCTTGTGCCATCCCATTGGCCTCCTGAAAGGCGTCTGGATCGACACCCCGTGGAGGCCTTACAGCGAGCGGGAATAACCACAGCCACTGTTGGCGCCTTATGAGCTACAAGCATCTTCCTCGGATAAGAAAATCTGGAGCGGGTGGAGACCGGAGATGCGGAACGAGATGATGTTTGCTTTTTGCCATAGGCCCCTCTGTGTGGCCTGAAACCATTGCGCACTGCGTGACCGTAAGTGGTGAAGCATCGGAGGGGGAAGAAATCCACTTCTTCACTACCGTGCGGGTTGGACTGCTGTCATGAGAAGACGGGGTTTCTAAAGATAGCAAGACTCAGTATTATTAGCTAGCCATTAGTTCTTCCTTTGTTCTATCCCGTTCGCTCGGCGCCGAGTCGAGAACAAGTGCGAATGGAGTGCTGCGAGCATATCTTGAGACGCCGACGCCACACTACCCGAGAGATCGGGCGACGAAGCCACACTTGCTTTTCCCGGCTACTCCCTCTCTCGGCGGTGCTTGGTGCGAACACGGCCCTGGCGGGTCCTTCCTTCGGCCAGGCCTTGAATAGGCATGGAGAGGGGCGGCCTAAAAAAGAAGCATCGACCATCCACGCATCCGTACCCGGGAATGGTTCGGCCGCTGTCACTCCCGATCTCGACTAGGAATCCCAGTCCAGCCGCCCTGCTCCCACGAACTACCACCATCATCCTTCGGCGAGGAACCAAAGGGCCGTGCGAAGTAGGTAGAAGAGTAAACAACGACCGCCCGTTGCACCCGGCGCGAGGACAGGAAGCTTGAAACGTTCGGTCTTGCACCGTGCCTATCGTGCAGAAGAGGCGCATAGCCGTATAGCCAGCGTCATTCTAGAACACTTCGCAGGATCGGCGGTTCCCACCCACATCCCCGCATCAGGCTGGGTTACGTAACCCGAAGCGGAAACTTTGCTTATCGGCGATCGGCGAAGCTAAATGAGACAACCCGTTCCCCACCGGTTGGGCAGGAATGGGGACCTCGATCAACTGACTCTTCGTCAGCGGCGCTCGCAGGCATTGTGACTGTTTGGATTTTTTTATTCCTGCTGGCCTATTCGGCGGGTTCCGTCGTGGGCGTACGGAAATTTCTGTTAGGGCTGACTGCGGGTGGTGAGAGAATCGAGAGCATTCGGCAACCTGAGGTCGCAGCGTTGGCGGATCCAAAGATGGCCATAGCAGTGCATTGGTTTCGATACGGGCAGCGAATGTTCGAAGGGCAGAAAGATTGAGTTTTGGGGTTGATCGTGCTTTGTTTACGCAGATCTCGGGCTAGGAGGGACCTGATCTGCGAAAACCTCCAGGTAGCCCTGAACATCACTGCCAATTGGTGTTACAGGCTGTGAATAGTAGAGTGCTCGAGCGTTGGACTTGGTATTGGCCGCGATAGGCTCGTTGCTGAAGGATTAGCTGTTTTTTTTAAGTTGAGTTATTTTGGGGCATAAAATAAGGATTAATGGGTGTGATGCACTGTGACATTTCTAGCCTGACGTATCGACAGAGCGGGAATATGCCGTGGAAGCGATTTGTAGAACATAGTCACAAAATCATCGTTGATCACAAGAAGAGGACGCACTTACAGCTACTCAGTCATCAGACTCGTTTGGTACCCAACGGAGAGGGATGACTCTTGGGCATTGGAGCAGGGCGAACGGCTGCGAATGCAGAGTGATGGGAATGTTGAGTGGAGGCGCAGAGGTGAGGCGCTGTCTGAGAATGAAGTCGGCTGCTCCTGGGATTGAGAGGTGTGACGCCATGCGGTGATGTTGCTTGGCGATGAGGGTGTGTATTACTGTCTGCCTTGGACGAGGTAAGCAGGTCGGAAGTGGTTTGCCCGAAGCAGGCTAGCCATACGTCAGAGATTCCAAATGTCGGTGCTACGCGATCGCCTGCAATTCCCAGAGACATGGCGCTTCCGCTGTCTGGCATCCGCGCGCGGGGTCGTGGCTGAGGCTGGCGCAACGCTCAGAAACCGGGCGTCGCAGACTTCCAGGCCACGAGCTCGTGCCTGAAGGCGGCCACTGGAGACCGGAGGTTTTGGGCTGGGTGAGACAGGCATTCCGCTTTCGGCAGCCTCCCGGCGCGCTGTGCAACGCTTCGAGACTGATTGCTTGCCAATGCTCCCACAAGGCTGCAGCGTCGCCATCACATGGACTCATCAGCCAGGGGCCGATGCTCGCACCGCGTGTTGATACAATTTCCGGTGGTGAGCTGAAACGGCGGAGCGGTCCCGGAGCGCAGAATCTGGTGCGACCGAATGCGCGGCGATGACAAGCATGATCTTCCCGCTGCTTCGCTGCACGTGAGGGCGCGGGCGTGGGCGTGGGCCGGCGGATGGGAAATGCACAAGAATCGCATGAATGCAGCCTCGATCGTTGGGCGTCAATTGCTTAAGAGAGCTCGCCCTGTGTTTGCGCCCTTGCGGCTTCATGTCAGCTCAGCCCCCCAGCCGTCACGCGTCGTCCGGATGCACGCAGCCAGCCCGCCGGAGCAGGTTACAGGTACCGGGACGCCGTTTATGGCAGCCACAGCGCGCCGCTGCCACTCGCAACCCTCCTTCGCCCTTCCCCCCGGCCACCACTCCCTAAGCGCAGTTGCACCGCAGCCGCGCCAGCAACTAGGAACTCGAGCCCGCCATCCGACGACGCACTCTGCAACTCTTGCCGCCGCACCCTGTCGGCGCCGCTCTGGACCCGTCCGATTTCTGCAGCGCGCCACAGCCCGCCCTCAGCATCGCGAGAGCACCACGAGCAGCTTCATCGCGCAACCTAGGCTCGCCCGCAAAGCTCGCGCGCACTGTGCTCGCCGCCATGATGTCACGGGCGCCGCGTCCGCCGTCTTCTAGAAGGCCGCTAGAAGTCCTGTTGAATCTCCGGCCGGCAAGGACCACCATCTCGGGGGCTCGTTGGGCTAGCTGAAAGGCTAAAGCGACGTTGAAACGGGCCTGTGTCTACTCCAGGTATACGCAAATCTCGGAGCCGCCCCGGCCGGCGGCCCTCACTCGTCGAATGGGCGTTTTTAGCGTGCGCACCAGGGTGTCAGGCTGGAAGAGTTGGATGCAAAGTTGGACGGATGACATGCCCGCCAATCTCCCGCCGCCCTCGCCCTCCCCCGAGCCCGCCGTCGATGTCTTCGTGAGGGATGGTCCGGCGGCGCGCGGTGAAGAATGCCTAAGGCACTAGGTGCAGCCGGTCGCGCGGCGAGGCTGGATTAAGGCCAGGAGAGCGGACGGGCCGCCCGCTGCTGCAGCGAAGGTGTGACGGGACGGAGAGTCTGCTGGTCACACTGCCGGCGTGTGAGTGGCCGCCGGGAATGGCGCGGGCATCGGCAGGCTGGGGAGCGCAGTCAGCGCCAGCGGCAGCCAAGTCGACGGCGGCGCTGCCGGAGCAGAGGGCACAGCAGGGCAGGCAGGGCAGGGCAGGGCAGGCAGCTCGCAGCGGGCGGCAGCCTCGGCGCGACGAAGATGGCCCGGAGAGCTCAGTCGTCGTGCTGCTCGCTCGACCGCGCTGCGGACACTGCGCGACATCCACAGCGTCCAGCATCTGCTGGGGGGCCCAGAGCTCTCTGGCGTCTCGGCGAGCCGGGGTGATCGGGCGCTTGGATTCTCTGGTCAGGATGGCCCGAGGGCTGCGCACGGGGGGCCACTCAGTGCTGGGAGCGCTTTGGCGGTCCTGCACTGCTACCTGAAGCGAATGATCACTCTAGCTTTGAGGCATCGAATGACAGCGCCCGCGGCTTGTTTCGCGTGCATCCCAGTCGCCGACAGGCCTCCCCACCCCTCACGCTCGTGAGTCGCCATCCCGGCTGAATGAAAGCTTGGGCGCCGCGATAACCAGAGCGCAGATACATTACGGCTCCGCCAGCCCACGCCGTCCCCTCCCGCTCTGCACACAGACACACAACCATCATCGCAGTTGCTGGCCCGAGATCTTGCCCCGAGCACAGCCAAACGCCGCGCGTTTCCCCTCCAAATCTCAGCGAGCACACGATCCGCATCCGAGCGTGCGCTGCCCAGCCCGCCCGTCCGTCTTGCACCTTTTCCCGATCGGGCGCGCTTCACCGCTTCTCAGATCTGCAGTCACACCGACTGTACAAGTACTGCCCGCGCTCCACCCATGGCGCACCACCAGTCCATGGACTTCACCACCAACCCCAACGCATCACGACTATCTCACGACTCCAAGCCCGCCTCCAATTTCTTTGACGACAACGACTTCGCTAACGACTCACTGCTGGACAACCAAACCACGGTCATGTCCCCCACCACCAGCGCCGCCGGCATCTTCTCGCCGGAGGCCAATTTTTTCGACAATGACTTTGCCCCCGCATACCTGGACCGGAGTGCAAATGTATCAACAAACCCCTTCTTCCAGGGCTCCACCAACAACCCCTACATGCGCCACACCCAAGCACAACAGATGCCCGGCATCTACGACCAGCAACAACCCGTGTGGCCGCCCATGGCCGAAGAGGACTCCCGGACGCCTGCATCCAACATGTTCGGCCAGGACTACGACTCGAATTACCTCGCCGTCGGCTCGACCGAGCCCGCTGCCTACTCCGGCCTGCCCATGAACGTTCGGCCCGCTTCCGTGTTCCAGCCGACGCCTTCCGGCAACCCGCCCTCGCCACACTCCAACAAGGAGTGGATGGCCATGGCCGCCCAGGAGATGGAGTCGCGCCCCATCAACAAGCGCATGCGCCCCAACACCCCTCCCGCCCGCTCCTACTCTCCCTTCCCTCGCCGTGACGGCATCCGCAAGAAGAACGCTCGCTTCGAGATCCCGCCCGAGCGCAGCCTGCTCAACATCGACCAGCTCATTGCTCAGTCCACCAACGAGGAAGAGATCAAGGAGCTGAAGCAGCAGAAGCGTCTCCTCCGCAACAGACAGGCCGCGTACGACCCTCCCTTCCGCATTTGGTCTTTTGGTTCTTGCAGCCGCCTTGTTTTGGTGTCTTGAATTCCCCTTGCTAACTTCTACTATAGTCTCGACTCGCGGCAACGCAAGAAAAAGCACACCGAAGAGCTGGAAGAAGAGAAGAAGATCTGGACCGAGCGTGTCGTGCAACTCGAGGACGAGCTGCAGAACATGAGGTTGCAGGTCGAAGCCGCGATGCACGAGAAGGAGCAGTGGCAGAGGCAGCAGCTCGAGGCTCAACATGTCATTGACACCCTGCAGTGGGAGAAGGAGGAGATGGTGCGTACTCACACTCTCGAGACTGGCGAGCTTCGCAAGAAGGTCTCCATCCTCACCGAGAAGCTCGAGAGCCAGAGCAGCCCGACCATGTCTGCTGTGCCCAGCTCTACCTTCACCGACTTTGCCAACGACATGGACAACCTCAACATGGGCGGCAACGAGTGGGACAACTACATCTACAACGACTTCTGCATGGAAGAGGCCAATGGCCAGCAGCAGCAACAGCAGCAGCAGCAGCAGCCGATGGAGACGTCGCTCGTCCTCAACCGCAACAAGAAGGATGCCAACGAGCCCGAGAAGCCCGTCGCTTCGGGCCTCCTGCTCATGCTTCTCCTGTGCGGTGCCTTCGTCGCCAGCAACTCTGGCTCGTCGGCTCCGGCCATTCCTCGCATGCCCGAGGATGTCCGCGCCGCCTCGGCCTCCGTTCTCGACAGCATCTTCAAGGATGCCGGTGTCGAGCCGTCGGCCCAGTCCGCGCACAACCTCCTCGTCAACCGCGTCGAGGCCCTGGAGCCTGCCCCGTCGGGCACTGCTTGGCCCAAGTCGACGCTTTCGGGCGCCGAGTTCGCGTCCATCTCTCACAACACGGGCAACTCGCACTTTGAGCAGTTGCACGCTCAGCTGACTCAGCCTACCAAGGAACAGGAGGCTGAGCAGGTCTTCTCCATCACGCCTGCGCAGTACAACAGCCTCACGTCTGCGGACTTTGGGCGCCGCGATGAGGGAACTCCGCCCGCCACCCCCACCTCGCAGCACCGTCGCAATCTTGCCGAGTCGCTTGCCGCCATGCGCGAAGAACGCAAGGGCGAGACGGCGGCCGAGGTGTACACGCGCAGCCTGCTGTGGGACAACATTCCCACCGAGGTCGTCCGCGAGTTCAAGCGCATGGTCGAAGAGAGCAACCACCTTGCTGGCAGCAGCAGCCCTGGCAGCGTGAAGAGCGAGGCGGCCAACGTCTGAGACAGGCCTGCCCGCTGGTCATCTGTCCCGACGATCATTTAAACTACCAACGAGACCACACAACCCTCAGCCCGGCGTATATTCGCTTCCAAGATTGTCTACCATCCGAACGATTTCCATGGATTTAGCCTGCTTGTTTCTCAGCCATGCCATCATACCATCGGCTTCAAAGCATCGAGGGCATCCTCATTGTCCAACGCGGACTACAGTCACGCCCGCGACGAAACGCCTCGTCCCCTTTGCGGGAATGAGCGCATGGCCACGCCGGCCACACGTCGCTTGATGCGGCGGGGCTAGCGATCACGCTCACAGCCTCGCCGCGGGCTCAGGGTTGTTGTGGCCCTCCCCTCACCCCTTTCGAAATTTTCTTGCGTCAACATTTCCATTTCTGGTCCCTTTGTCGATTTGATTGATTTTAGCAGAGCGTGGCGAGCGATCCTTTCACTGTTTCCTTTTGCTGGGCATTTCTGCGGTCGTGTGTGTTTTTGATTTCCTTGTTTCCTTTGTACACTCTCACGAACACATGGGTTTGGGCTGGGAGAGGGCATAGCGTGGGATGGACGGGAATGGGCGGGACATGTGACACGAACGGAAGGATGATGACGAGTGATGTTGATACGGCGGGCAATTTGGAGGCACTTTTCCACATTTGGCAGCGATGTTTCCTTGATTTTCGCTTTTTTTTGCTCGGATTGGGAACTGGCTTTCCCTCTCGACAGGCCGGGACGACCGGCACAAGATACAATGGCAAGACGGCGAATAGGCTTCCTCACTTCGATTCGATTCTCTTGGCGACGCTATTTTGGGCATGGCTTGAAGGAACGGGTTTCCTGTATCTAATGCAACGGCCAGATGGGCATGGGTTGGGGGCGCCTCGGATTCTTGCAAATTGGATGCCGGCTTCTCCTTTGCTTTGCTGGCAAGCAACCCCGCCATCACGTCGTCCTTTGCTCACGCACACGCGCACGCACGCACGCACGCACTTGTCTCGCACATGGGAACAGACGGCGAGAAAAGGATCTGCCGGCTGCTGCAAGCGCACGGTGACGGGCACTGTGGTGGCCGAGTTGAGGGACCCTGATGGGCGGGCGCGCTCCGCAATCGTGCAGGACCTGAGACATTCACCGCCATTATGACCACGCCCGCGCGCGCAGCCACTCAGCAGCGCCCTCACCCGCCGCGGGCTGGCACGCGGCGAGGGCGACGGGCAGGCTAGGGCGGGTGCGGGAGGGGAGGATGGGGCCGCACCTGCCGGCTGACGAGGGCAGTTGCGCTGCCCGGCGCCGCCTTCCCTCTTCCTGCGGCCACGGCTGCGCGCTGCAGCCGCAATCACAGACAACTTCCCCACAGAGATGTACGTCGATGGTGTCACACACGCACTTGCCACCGCTAAACCACTGCCACAGTCCACTGCCAGCCGGATCAAGCCGCAACCCGTCCACGAATCCGCTGCGGCCCGTCCAGATAGGCAGATAGGACGCGCCGCACCGCCGCCGTACCGCCGCAGCCACTCCGCTGGCGCGGGGCGCGCGCAAAATAATACTCAACGTCGTCTGTTCTCGCACACTGGCCACCGTCCATCAGGCGCGAGCACACGTCTCTCTGCTGTCCGCACGCTCCCGACTCGTCTGGCCGGATAGCTATCCGGATAGCTAGCCGGCCGCCGGAGCAACGGCTCCGGGCAGCCCAGCGCGCGCACGGCTCTCACCACGCAGCAGAAGAGGGCCTCCGCGACGAGGCGCAGCAGCGCGACTCACTGACCATCCGCTAGACTCAACACCAAAGGGCCGTATGCGCCTGCAGCAGGATAGGCACACCAGCAACCAACCCTCAGACCACCTCGGTCCGGCTACACGTCCCTCACTTACTGCTTTCTCTACCTGCGTCCGCGGCCGGCGCCGGATTGGAGTCTAAGCTTTCCCGTATTCCCACCTGCAGTGGTGTAGGTACCTCAGCTGCGTCGCCCCATTCGCGAACGCGTTAGATGAAGGAGCAGCTCGGGCGGGTCTGGCAGCTCCTCCAGCGCCAGACGCGCGAGCGGAGGGAATTGCGTGCCTTGGGCGTATGGGGCCCGCGTGGTTAGAGCCGCAATAGCAGTTAGAGCCGCCGGAGCATCGAGCAAAAAGGGCTGCCCGCGAGTAAGTAGCAGTGAACACATGAACCGCGGCCGATCAACCCCCCCACCCTGCGCAGCTTACTCGGCCTCATTCCTCAGGCTCGCATGAAAAGCTCGGAACAGGACGACGAGAGCACAAGCCTCAGCATGGCCGGCAAGAGGCAGAGCACAGCCAACCGGCCCAGCCGCCCGGTACGGCGGGACCAGAGCGCACCAGACCGGCGAGAGCGTGGCGCTGGCTGTGCGCTGCGTCTGGTCGTTGGCCCTTCCCGCGCGTCTGGCTGTGCGCGCGCAACAGCCGCAATAGCCCTCAACCATGGGCCCACCGTACTGACTCTCTCAACCCCACAGTTTTGCCTGCCTGCCAGCCACCTGAATTTTTCAGAGCCTCTCGCTGCGTCTCCACTGTCGATGAAGATAGCGCACGACTCGTCGCAAACAACCAAGATCGGCCTGACCTGGCCGGAGCATGCCAACGTACGTGAAGAAAGATCTACGAACGGCGAGCGCGAAAACGAACCGCCCACTTTTCCCGCTCCTGCAAGAGAGACTTGAGCCGCAAGTGGGAACCGGCAGTACAGACGCCCCATCGTAGCCAGATTGTGCGCCTAAGATCCGGAGGAATAGGGCCAGACAGGAGCTTGGAGGTGTTCGTTTGCGTGTCAGTCATGTTCCCACTTTCTCCCTCCCCTTTCCCGTTGCGAGCCACAAACACTCCACTTTGCGCAATGTAGATGTTTGTGATGTGAGATGTCGTTATCTGACGATCTCGTTGCTGCTCACTGACGCCTCGCTTACTCTCTCTCTCCACCGCCGGCACCGCCGTGATGGTGACACAAGCGGGGGCGCGAAAACTTTGGAGAGGACAGAGTGCACACTTTTGGCCGGCATTCGTCATCATCACTCATCACCACTCGTCATCATCGCCCATCACCCAACGAGGGATCAAACACGCAATCCCCTCACGTACATCCTCCTCATCATCTACCATCTCCATTCCCCCTTTGGATTGCCGAAATCAACCGAACACGATGCCCACACCGGGCCCTGCAGCTGGTAGGGGCTGGGGCGGGAGAAGAAAAAAAAAGGTCAAGTATGTAAGATTTTGTGGGCCTCGACTTTGCCCTGCTTCTCCGCCCTCCCCCTCTACCGATGTCCATGCCGGTACTCTCTCCTTCTCCTTTAGCTTACCCCTCGGCTTTCCTATTGCTAAGCTTCATTCTTGGCGTGCCCTTTCTTTCGGGTTCCCCCCTTTTCCGGCATACCGAGCATGAAGAGTAAGCCGACTGCGTATTCGCTTTATCATCCTATCGTACGCTCTCATCATATGCGTGTAAGCATACATGGGCATCGCATGTGTACTGGGCAATGAAACATCCCAGTCATTGGGTTTTGATTTGTTGCCGCTATCCTCATCTCAATAGCATGTTGCAAGGCCATGGGACGAGGAATGGAAGCGCCTGACGATTACGACTACATGCTGCTGCTTCCACATGAAAGGAAGAAGAATGCAGAGTTTATGCTCAGAAAGACTACATCAGTCATGCACGCCGGGAAAGTGACCGATGGACCGGGAGGGGAGTAAGCTTTTTGTCACATGGCCTTTCGCCGCTGAGTATTTGTACGTTGATTGGAAAGTAAAAGCAACCAGTAAGCGCTAACTAGCTGGCATTTGAAACAATCTGCTCCTTCTTGACTTTGGCTTTTGCTCAGCCACATGAAGCCGCCCGTCTCGTTTGCTTAGGGATTTCCCGCCAGCTCTTTGTCTTACTGGACGAATCGTTAATCAGAATCCCACTGGTTTACAATTTGATGGGACGGTCTGCATGATTCCGAATATGTGTCTATCGACCCCGACGCTTGCGTATCACTGGCACTGCCACAATATGACCCGCGCCGTCTCAGTGACCAACTCGCCCTTCTTCGACCTGAGCTGACTTGACAGTATAGCGCAACGCCACACGCCCCGTATAGCCGCCCTGTGAAGAAGCGAGATGAGTGGAATGTAACAGTCGCGGCGGCAGCCAATCATTCGGATAGCAGGCCAACTGTGTGTGCTGCAGGATAAGGAACTGGAAAGATAAAGCGAAAGAGATGCAATGCAGTCTGTCGTTGACGGGCTATACCTCGAGTCAGCTTTAGGCAGTCCTTCGGTGAGAAGTCCCATCTCCCGGCAACGAAAGCCAATGACCTTGATGCAGCAACACGGGGAGGGATTGATTGGACGGGGGAAAGTCAAGTGATATATCCTAGGGTATCAGATATGAAAGAAGTGAACCAACAGAACCTCCGATGAAGCAGCTTGCTTCCATTGGGTTAAAAGACATCTTTGTTTATTGTTCTTTTCCAGTTACCCTTTTCCTACCGTCCCCCCTGATGCATCCCCCCCCTCCTTTCCTATGCCCATTCCGCCATCCCTGAATCTCTTCCTTACCCAAAGTGAAGAGAGAGATATCCAACCAGTCAAACTCCAAATAAGAGAGAGGAACAAGTGATATAGAAAAATATAAGCACAAAAGACTAGTGAAAGGGAACGGAATACGATCCCTAGAAAAACCACAGGGAGGCAGTGAAGAATGGAAAGGAGAAACCAAGGTTGGGACAAAGTCCTGGATGCCTACCTCTGCCTTCTTGCCCGCCACATGTGCCGGCCGGCCGGGCGTCCGCCGTATCTCTTCTCGGCCGCCTTGCTCGTCGTTTCCCGCCGCGGGACAGAGCGAAGGCGAGGTGGAAAGAAGACCGCGGACAGAGAGAGAGAGAGGAGTACCGCGTGCATCTCGTTGCCCGTCCGTCTGGAATTCCATCCGTCCAGCCATTCCAGATTTCCATGCAGTTGGGGGAGCCAATGGAATTGAGGCGAGGCAAAGGGAGGATGACCAAAAATAAAAAAAAAGAATCCAAGACCGTCTCTCTTTTTCTCCGCATGCCATGAGGCTAGTGACCAGCCACGCCCATCCGCCATCCCGCGTGTGCAAAGGGCTGTGTCTCTCACCCCACCCCCCCCTCCTTCGTTCGCCCCTCACAGTATCCGGTCACTACTCCTTCTAGGCAGCGGCAAAGCAAGCCATTGTCATCATCATTATCATGTCTTGGGATTGTATTTGTCCTTCCAGATCCTGTGCGCCGGAGAAAAAGACCAAAATGTCAGCAGATCTGTACTATCACAACGACTGGTGTAATGAGACAAGAAGAAAGGTCGGCTGCTTCGATGCCACGCGCGCTGCCATTTGCTCGCAGACCCGTCTTTCTCACCCTTGCCAAAGCATTACTACACACCATCCACGTCTATATCCCATCTCGATTCGAAAACACGTCGTCATGCAACGTGCACGAGACCAGATGGAGGGACGGAGTGCGAACGGGCTTGGGTGAGATAACCCAGGTCTGCATAAGCAATACATTGCCTCGCTCCCGGGGGGGTACCGGGGAGAGAAAGCGGCAGGCGGGCTGGATCGATAAGCAGGGTAAGGAAAGGGAATCAACGACAAAACGAAAGGCAAGGGGGACGAGAGGACCGCGGATTGCTCCGGCTGCTTGTTCCTGCCTCTGTGCCGTGCGCGCGCACCCGCGGGCTGGTACGAAAATTTTGGCGGCTCCCCGCTGCTGGCGCCCATCTGGGATCGAAATCGCGAGAGCGAAAGCAAGATGGACCGCCAAAGCAACACCACCGCGGGCGCACCTGGTCGACGAACATGCCCGTCATCGCGCGATCCGGCGTGTTGGTGGAAAGCGGCCCAGGGTGGTGTGGGTGGTGGTGTGGCAGCCGGGGGCAAGCGAACGGGCAGCAGGACGCACACCACTGCTGCACTGCCACGTGTATGCGCAGCAGAGGGAGAGTCGGCGAGCCTGGAGGTGCGGCAGGGCGCATGAGCGTGCAGGATGGGTGGGGGCCGAGCCGTGCCTCTTCTCCGGCGGCACTAAGCGAGAGATGACTTGTTGTGTCGGAGCCGTGTACGCGCACAGCCAATGCTTGCCAGCACCACCTGCCGCCTTGACACGCGCTAGCCTGCTTTCCGCCGTCCCGTTCGGGTGTGCCCGTGACGAAGCCACAGCTGTGTGCTGTTGAGTCCTGCCTGCCGCCGCCATGACCGCCGCCCTCGCCGCCGCCTCGCCAAGCGCGGGACGAACGCGGCCAGGGTCCGCCAGGCGGATGACGCAGTGCGATCATTTGCGGGCTGGCGTGGAACTCGCTTCCCGTCGTCGTCGTCTGCCGGTAACGTGACGATGCCGACGCGTGGCACCGAGTGAAACTGAAAAGAATGCTTACCAGGTGTTGCCGATTGTCTTGTTTCCCTTCTGCTCCGCCAATCGAAGGAACTGTGCGGCTTTGAACTGCCATGCGTGTGAATCCAGATTAGCCCCTGCCCGTCGCTGCCCAACAAGTGAGGCTGTCGGAGAGATGTGGCTTGCGCAGGACATCTTTCTTTTCTTTTTCTTCGCCCCTTCCAAAAGCGTGACTCACCTTGTCCTTCTTGCCCCCAAAGCCTTCGAGATAGCACCAGGCCGCCTCGTTCATTGCGTCAGTGTCGCCCAGGTTGGCAGCCGTCTCGTAGTATTGTCTGGCAGCCGACGCATCCTTCTTGACGCCCCAGCCGTGCCGGAAACTATTGGCAAGCTCAAACATGGCCAGCACGAGCTCGCCTTTGGCCGCACCGCCCTTCTTCATGCCCGCCTGCAGCGCCAGAGACTCGATCTCGGCGCTGTTCGATGCCGCATACGAGAGATACGTGACTGCCAGCTCAGGATTCGGTGGGCATCCCCAGCCGTGTCTGCCTCGCATGAATTATCATCAGCACGCCGCCCACACTCGTCACATCTCCCGCATGACTGACCTCAGGGCGAGCCCGTATAGCACCTGGCTCAACGCGTTGTTGGTACCGTTGGGGTCTGCCAGCCGCCCGAATATCTCCGTCGACCGCTCCAGGTCTGGCACCAAGTCAGCATCAGGCCCGTCTTTGTATGACCGCGTGAAACTCACCGCCAGCCTCGTGGAGCCTGATGGCTTCCTGGATGTTTTCCTGCGTGAAACCCCCCGCCTCAGCACTCTCTGCAATGCAGTGGGTTGACAGGGACAACATACGTCTCTCCCCGGGTCGCTCACGGCTGGGCTGGGACTCCGGCGCGGCACGTCCAGCCCGCCATCTCCCAGATTGCCCGCCTTGCTGATCAACGTGCCCTTAGCCAGTATCGTCGCCCTCTTCTCCCACTGCGCCTCGTCGTCGGCATTGCGCGCGACGCCCTCGTTGACCGCGGGCAGGTCTGAGGGCAAGCTGACCAGGCTGGAGGCCGAGCGCGAGCGCCCGCCGAAGGGCAGGCGCTCCGAGAGGCGCTTGTTGTCGCGGGAGCCGGCGTTGGAGAGCGAGCGGCCGAAGATGCTCTTGCGGCTCTCTGGCGAGGACTTTACGCTCGGGGAGATGTCGTGGGGCGACAGAAAGTTGCCGTGGTGGTTGGTGGGCGTCTTCGGCGGCTGTTCGCCGGGGAAGCTGGGTGGGGCGATGACCTCTTGGGTTGTGGTCGTGGTGCGCATGAACGTGAACTCAGGGGGCGGAGCGCGCGCTGCTGCGTCGTCGGCGCTGGCGCGCGGCGGTAGCGGCTGCGATGCGGCCTCGTCCCTGATCCTGTCCTTCTTCTTCAGCAGGTCCTTGAGCGTCATGGTGTTGCTGTGGCGGTCCGCTCTCGGGGAGAAGCGCGGGGGTTTCTAAATTAAAAACAGGCTGGCGTCAGGAGAAAGCAGAGTCCGGCTGCAGGGTCTCATCGGACGCGGCGATTGATCTTGTAGCGCTTGTGAGTCTGCGCAAGGAGCAGCGGACGCATGGAGACTTAATGTACAGCCGCGCAGGAAGCTGTGGTCAGCGGGAGGGGCTCAGCCGCGTGCGGGAGGTGGTGCCTACTGAATCGCGAGCCCCGGCTTGGCTAATTACAATGCGCCAGGCACAAAGCGCTTGCTGATCGTCCGAACGACCGCCGCGAGTCTTCTCCGCCAGGAATTTTATACAGAGCCGGTGACTGTGGCGGGAGATCGACCTTCCCCGCATGCGAAGCACAGTAGGGATCGGCCGGCCGGCATCGCGCGGAGATCGAGTTTCCCTTCTGGTTTTGGATGGCACTCGCGTAGTGCGATTCAGTTAAGCTCAGGTGGCATAGGCTCCAATGCGGAGGCGGCTTGACACGACAAGATTAGCGTGGGGAGAGGTTAATTTTTTCAAGACCATTTTCATTTCTTCTACCATACAGCAATGATCCTTAATCCATCAACGGGTATCATGACTGTGCCGCCGTGGAACCAAATAAAAACTCCAAGCAATGCTGCGCACGCAGCGGTCCACATGGCAGGTTCCACCAAATGGGAAATCGGTGGCCCTGGGAATAGCACTACAGCAGGTAACCTCGGCACTTACTCTTGCAGATCAGAAGCTCACAAAGTCCTGTTGCTGCGACAGCTCCTGGCCGTTGGCATCCGAGCCTTGCATGACAACGTCTTCCTCAATCTCCTCATCCGAATCAACGTCGTCGCTGTCGATCTCGTCGTACTCATCGTCACTCGACAAATCCGGAGATCCCAGCTCGGCGCTGGCCGTCTGCGCAGCGGCTGCCTTGCGGATCTGGCCGGCCCGGTCAACGTGAGGAAGCCGGCACTTGGGGTTGCGGCAGACTGCATGGTTAGCATAGTCAGGACACTCAAACACATGGCGCTCAGCGCAGTCAGTTCCCTTCTCGCAGTAGCCGAGAGTCCCGAAAGCACGGCACACGGCCGCCGTTGGGTTAACTCTGATGTGCGCGTAGCGGCAATCGTCGTTGGTGCAGTTGCCGCGCAGGAAATGCACGCATGCAGGGACGCGATTGGGTGTGGGGTCGTGCGACAGGTCACACCCGTCGCCAAGCGCACAGCTGCCCCTCAGCAAATAGTCTTTGCAGATGGCAACCTTGTTCGGGTCATGCTGATAACGGCACTGCGGCCCCTTGGCGCATGTTCCTGCTCTTCACGTTAGTGTGGGTTCTGGGCATACGAACCGGACCGCGAGGCGCGAGCCCTCGCTTTTATCCATTTGAGTGGGAGGGAAAGGGCCAACCGGTGGTAGTGAACCTTGGGCAAGGCTCGTTAATCTTCTTGATAGGCTTGTTCCTGCGGCGGGCGTTAGTCTGTTCATGAGTGCAACCTTTGTCCGCACGTACTGTTTGTTTTTGATGAGTCCAGAACGGTAGAGGTTGCCGTTCTTGCTCCTCAAGAACGTGACGCCGCCAATCTTGGCCTGCTTTGGAGTTGCCCGCGCCGTGTTGGGATCGCCTGTCATATTTTTAGAACATCCATGTGCCATCTCAGCGGCGCCAACGTACTAGAGATCCTGACGAGCTTGCTGCCGCCATCGGTGACGCGGAAGCGGATGTTATCGACTTCGATTTCGTAGTTGTGCGGGGTCGTGGCAGCCTGGTTCCCAACAGACGCCTCCTGCTTGATCTGAAAGTGTTTGCTGAGCCTGGCCTTTTCCTTCAGATTACGCTGTTGGCGGCGCTGCTCAGTGCTCTGCTCTATATCTTTGGCTCGCTGCTGGGCCACCTGATCATAGATGGCCGGGTTGATCAGCTGCATATGCCTGTCGCGCTTGACAACCCATCCGGATGCCTCATTGGCGTGCGACGAAGGAGCGCCGTCTGCAGTAGTTCCGTTGGTCGGGGAAGTGATATCGGCGGAAGCGTTACTGGCTCGGTTGTTGTTCAAGACCAGAGTGCGATTGAACACCTTGCCACCGCGGCCACGCGGAGCGCCATATGGGGTGCCACGGTAGGGTGCCCAACCGCCACGTCCACGACCGCGACCTTGACCGGCATCAGCGATTCTGTCCCCGCGGTGGCGAGTTGTTGGTTTCAAGGATTTACCGTGGTAAGTGGGCGGCTGGTAGTTCTCGTTCTGCTGCTGCTGTTGCTGCTTGTGGACGTTGATCCTTCCTGTGGCGAACACGTTTGTCAGGGCCGACGGCGATGGTGTTTGGTAGTCTGCGGCTTACCGGCCAGAGCCGCGATCTTTGCTTGCAATTCGCTGTCCTCGGACATGCTGAGCGTTTCAACTGTAACTGCAGGAGGAGGGGCAAGAAGACGCGAACAGGGAGGGCTCGATGAGCTGTGCGCGCAGCGTCGTGGGCGGCTGTGCGACAAGAGGGAAGAGGATGGAAGGCGGGAGCTGATCTTGGGTTTGACGCGCGCACGAAGTGAAGTCAGCGATGCACGTGATCGTTTCAGCCCTACGGAATGACTCGCACCAACAAGGTACCGAAGCTTTCCCACTTTGAGCTTTTGCCTCGTTCATGCAGCGGATACCGAGACGGTCTGAGCTTGCTCGTGATTTTCCACTACATTGACCCCTTTGTATATCGATAGCGATGCCGAAAATTGAGATCTTCATTGCATATGAACGGTTGGGCTCCGTGAAGCGACATTCATGGAGGAAATGCTCGGCAGAAATTCAGGAGCAAGCCAACAGTGGGAATCTTCATATTATTCTTGCCTTGGAGGCACATCTAACAAGTCTCCAACACCCTGCTCATAAGTCCGCCAAGAGGTCCCAAGCCAGAGTCATCCGCCGTGAAGATCCTCTTCGGGATTTCATACTCCACGACTGGAGTCTTCTTCATCTCTTTGCCAAACTCTGCTTCAATCAACTACGATTACGTTAGTATGGCCTGTAAATTCACTTTTGGTATGTTCCTGTGACTTACGCCATTGTATGAATGGTCCAAGAAGTCCTCTAGATTGTAGGATCGCTTGGTGAACTGCTCGGAGATGATCTTGGCAAGTGTGGCCACGTTGGGGTGGTAGTGGGATTGCAATGTCTCGAGTTCCCAGAGACTGCTCTCGATAGCGCCAGTCTCCATCGGATCGGACTCCTCCATATCGAACGGATCGTCCATCCCTTCATCTTCAAGCCTTTTCCGCGCCTCCGGCCCTCGTATCACTCTATGGATCATAAAGGTGCATGCAGGGTGCTTCATCAGCATGTTGTACACCCAAGGCACAACGACAACAATTCCCGCTGGAGGCGCATGAAGTGCCAGCCGCGAGAGTCGCTTGATAAAACTGGCTACCAGCGCGGCCGGCAAGTGGGTGGACGACATAAACTCATCCAAAAGTCGGAAGAACCGTGATCTGTGTTTCGAGTGCAGGATTCCCTCGTCCAGGAGGGAGTAAAGCTTGCCGTAAAACGAGGGGTAATCCAAGTTCTTCTCCCTAATCAGGAAGAAGAGGCCGGAAAGCGCTAGCAGCGAGGTACCACCGCCAACATTATACGAGTCAGTGAGAAAATCCATGAGCATCTCAACCTTGGAGAACCACGGGGTGACCTTATAAGTCATAATGTTCAAAACAGACTTCCTTTGCTCCTTGTTCAAGCCTGATCGGAACAGAGCTAGCCAGGCATCTTGGCCTTGTCTCTTGTGCGCGGACAGCGAGTAGAGCTGGTGTTTTTGATGGTCGGGCTCCGGGCCATAGAAATTCTCAAGCTCGTCCTTGGATTCCGGAACGCCTTCGAGGTCAGACAGGACCGACAAGCTACTGACGATGATCTGCTCTTGCTCCACAGGCGAAGACGGGTTTTTGAGGCACGATCTGCACGGGTCAGCGACAATCTCCAGAAGGGAAAATATCGAGGCAACATACGCAATGGCAACCAGGGCGTAAAACCTCACATCATCATGCTCTTCAATGAACTTCTCCACGAATTCCTCACGCGCATGCTCTGCGCTAGTAGAGGCGAGAAGGGCGTACACCAACTGGTAGAACAAGCCGTTTCTCCATGCATCTTCTCCAGAGCCTTTCTGCGCCGAAGTCTCCTCCTTGACCAAGCGCATGGCCAGAGTGAGCGCAGTGCTCTGCAAAATAGGGTTCCCACTCTTCAACAGCTGTAGAAGCACATCCGCGTATTCCTTGTACCGCTCTTTCAGCCACTGGATGATCATGACCTCCGAATCCGGCAAGCCCTTGCTTTTCTTCATGCTCCCAGCGACCAGCAGCCGGCAGAAAACGCGGCAAAGCGCGACAATGGCGAGCGTCGCCGATTCCTCCGCACCGTCATCTTTTGCCAGCTTGATCAGCTCGACAATGTTGTTGTAGTGGCGGCGCGACTCGGTGATCTGGCTCTCTAGGAGCAGGATTCGAGCTTGTTCGTCGTCGTCGCCATCGGTGGCTGCGTTTTTGGAGGAGGCTTTGGACTTTGAGCGCTTCTCGGCAGCGCCTTTTTCGACAACGCGCTTTCTCTTGTGACCGGCGAGCGCTTCTGGAGCCATCGAGGCGTATAATGTGCGTGGGCGTGTGCTGTGCGGGCGGGCTACCGCATTGCTTGCGCCTCGAAAAAGTTACGAGGGCACGCCCGGAGCGGGCGCTCGGACAATCGCCCCGGCGCCGATGCCAAGCCCGTCCTCAGGTTCTTGCAACTCGACTTCCGAGCTCCTCACCAAACGTCAAGCCGTCGAATACCTCTCCGCTCTCATCCGCAACAATGGCTTCGCGTCTCGCAAGGAGCGCCGTCGGTATGCCCCAGCCCAAGCGGAGCGCGACCGGAGCGATTGGCGTACCAACTGACCGCACACAGGCGCTGCCCGCCTCCGCCCAACCGTTCCCGTCCGCGCCGTTCCCACGGTCTTCGCCCAGGCCCGCGCCGCCTCCAATGTGCCGTCCGAGGAGCCCAAGAAGAAGGCGCAGTCCATCATCGACTCGCTGCCCGGCAACAGCCTCGTCTCCAAGGCCGCCATCCTCTCCGCCGGCGCCGGTCTGTCGGCCGCCGCCATCAGCAACGAGCTCTATGTCATCAACGAGGAGTCCATCGTCATGCTGTCCCTCCTGACCGTCTTCTTCGCTGTCGGCAAGTTCGGTGGCCCCATGTACAGGGAGTGGGCCGAGAGTCAGAACAACAAGGTCAAGAACATCCTGAACTCGGCGCGCCAGGAGCACACCGAGGCCGTGCAGAAGCGCATTGAGAGCGTCAAGGACCTCAGCGGCGTCATTGACACCACCAAGGCGCTCTTCGAGGTTTCGAAGGTATGATCCCGCATGTAGTCGTGCCGCCGGGCGCCCGTTGCGCCTTCCTTTTGGGATTTCCGCTGGGCCGAGGAAGCCTGACAGTGGCTGTAGGAAACCGCCAAGCTCGAGGCCCAGGCCTATGAGCTCGAGCAGAAGACCGCCCTCGCTCACGAGGCCAAGTCCGTCCTGGACTCCTGGGTCCGCTACGAGGGCCAGGTCAAGCAGAGGCAGCAGAAGGAGCTTGCCGAGTCCATCATCGCCAAGATTGAGAAGGAGCTTGAGAACCCCAAGACTCTCAAGCAGATCCTTGACCAGAGCGTCGCTGACGTCGAGAGTAAGTTTACCGCAAAGGAAGGCAAAAGCCCGCGACTGTGCTAATGGCCCGCAGGGATTGTTGCCCAGAAGGCGTAGAAAACGAAGCCAGCGTTTGAATGGCCATCCAACAATTCTCCGCCTGTTACATAGATCCTCGTGCAATACTAGTCATCGAACTCCGAGATATCCATCGTGACTATTCAAATTATCTAGAAATCGAGCGTCTACTGAATGGCGACCCACACTGATCAACGCCGTGCTGATGCAGAAAACTCAGAATCCCAGGAAGCGCGCCGTCCCTTTTCTCTAACCTCCAACGTCCAGCGCTGTGGCAGAAGATACCAAACGCCGAGAGCACCCCCAAAAACCGACAATTTACTCCCTTGGAGAGCGTCCATTCCGATAATGCCAGAGACGACTGAAGTCCTTGACCTTCGGGTGCTTCGGCAGCCGTCGCGAACTGTTGGCCAACGAATGGGCGGAAGCAATGGGAAGGACAGGACTGTTAAAATCGTTAACAATAGCTGTCGTTTCTGACGTGTCTGAGTCGGAATCTGTATCAGAGCCACTCAGGAGTTCGCACAAGCTATCTTCCAGCCCCTCCCTGTCGACGTCGAAATCGTCGTGGTCAAGGTCAACCTCGCTGTCCATGAAGTCGTTCTTGTCGAGGACTCGGTTATCCGAGCCCAGCGGGAACATGTAATTCAGGTAGTGCTGGTTGAGCAGGTGGCCGGTGCCTTTGCGCTGGAAGAGGCGGCCCATGAAGCGGTTGGGGACGTGGATGAAGTGCAGAACGCCCCATCTAGCAACCATGTCTTCGTCGTTGACATAGTGTTCGATGTAGCGGATGGCCTTCTCCTTTCGCCTGCGCCCCTGTCCATCCTCCTCGTGGTTTGAGTAAGAGGAAGACTTGGCAGGGTTGTTGAAGTGATTGGCTGCGTTGCCAAAGGTGTAGACCTCAAGCTTGTGCAGGATGTCCTCTGACAGCTCGGCGAGCAGCCAGTCGATCATCAGACTGCCCTGGAGGGCGCCCTGACTGTGCAGGATGAGAACGACCTTTTTGCGCTGGTCGTCCATAAGGGCTTCCTTGACGAGCTTGTAGGCATCGCGGATGTCCTGAGTCGAGTAGTTGAGGTTGCGCTCGATCATGCATTGGACCAGGTCGAAGATCAGGCCGTTGGTCTTGTTGTGGATACCCGTGACCGGTCGGCCAAATATCCGGGCAAGCCTGTCCAGGTTCGCCTGAAGCCAGTACCTCCTGAAACCATGTTAGCAATGCGTGACGTTATGGGCGGCTGTGCACTCACCCAACAGCGACGCCGTTGATGAAGATCCAGTATTCGTCGGGGTGCTCGTGCTCGGAAGCGATGTCGCGGCGGGAATGCACTTCATGCCTCCTTCCGTTCACGATCATCCAGATGGGAATGCAAAGGGCGATTGCGACAGTGGCGTAAATGAGGAACCATCCCAGCGGCAGGATGAGGCAGAAGGGAAGCGATAGGATGAATAGGACTTGGTAGATGGTGAGGGTGATTTGCCAGCTGAGCTGGATGCCGTTGCCCAGGTCCGGGTAGATCTCGTCGCCTTCTCTTTTGCCCCAGGGGTAGAACAGAACGGGCAGCAGGTAGGAGACGCGGAAGAACAGCTTGAGGTCGCTCCAGATGAGTTGGGCGGGATCTGAGGTATACGGCAAGGGACCCGGACCTCTGCCGTGATCGCTGCCGATTTGCGAGGGCAGGAGCTTGACCGTCTCGGCGCGCAGCATCTTCAGTTTCGGGGAGATGCCATTGGTTTTTGTCGAGGGGCATTCGCCCCTCCTGCGGCCCCAGAACATATCGCGGGAAAGGGGACAAGGAAAAACAAGAAGGGGAGCGCCGGCGAGAAATAGGAGGCTGGTTCGTGTTCTCAGTGTTGCGTTTTGATAGACGATAAGACGTGCATTGGGCCTGTGTTTGCCAGGAAAGCACGCGCGCACGACCACGAGCTTATATTGCGCTGGGCGTGCAGCCTGCCGCAACATCAGCCTTAACAGGGCAGCGCAGCGCAGCCCGGGAGGCCGGCACGCACGCCGCGCTGAAGGCTGAGCGTGTGATTGATGTCAGCAGGGACAGGCTCTCCAGCAGTGATCATCGGCAGCAATCTGCTAGTGGCGCCCGCCATCTGTCCTTTTTCGGCAGCCCTGTGGTGGCTTTGGCGCATGACTCCTGCCCTCCATCACTGCCCCCCGAATCCATCGCCCTTTATTTTTGACATCATGATGCTGTGTTATTGGCGATGTGCCCAAAAATGCATCAGCGCTTGGACCCTTCGCATCCCTGTCGCTTGCGCCCATCTCCCGTTCAGCTAGCCCGTCTCAGCTCACCATTGCCCCGTTGATTGGATCTCTGAGTGCTGTCTTCACGTGCGAATGGCGGAGGTTTTTATGAGGCTGAGTGCATAATTAAATCTATCTCCGGAAGCTTACGTTGAGCTGACAGCGTTGGACAGCTGCCATTATTGCACCTGCCAGAGACGTCATCATTTAGCGTACCCAAAGGCATTCAGCTTCCGTTTAGGCAGAAAGAATTGTTGTTATACATGGCCGAAATTTCGTGCGCCCCTACAATTTTGACTTTGCACTGGGCTCGAACATCCCCTCCATGAGAGCTTTCCAAACCAAGACGCTTTCTTCATCTATGGCGTTGCCGTCATACGATACGCTGAATTTCAAACCATCCTCTGAACCCCAGCATCCACACAAGAACTCAAAATCCCGGGCCCGTACACCCGTACGGTCAAAGCTGTACAGATCCGCGGCAAGCCCGTTCTTCCGAACCGTGTCTTCGTCCAGACTGTACTTTCCCCGAGCAAGGAAGTTCTTTATCGACCCAATTGAACTGACGCCACACGTTGCAGGCCTCCACTTGAAGTTGGCTGGGTAGTCGCCCTGGGGATTGACTCCAGTCTTCAGATGCTGCGGCCTCAAAAATTCGGCCCTTTCAACTGCCAAGATGTAACTTGAAGCAATGATGCGGGCTGGATCGGTGGGATCAAAGCTCCCCTTCATCCCCTCGCTTCGGATTCGCTTCTGGTACTGGCGCAATTGCCTGTGCGCCTGCCGCACCAGCAGCTTGAACCTCCCTTCGGCGGGAAGATCCGACGGCAGAAATGGCAGCCATATACCGTCGCTGAAAGTGAGCATAACCGAATCGGCAGGGCCGGTGTAGCCAAAGAACGGGCGAGGATTGATTGGGAAGGAGCCGACGTATGGCATACGTTCCGACAGCAGTGTGTGCGGGTCCCTGGCCTCCTCTATCTCCATCATGGCCATACCAACGAGAGCGAAGCAGGCGGCTCCGACGCTGGCACCGACTGATTTCGCCAGTCGCTCAATGCGAGATGTAGCCTCCCTGGAGAGCTCTGCTTTGACGTTGAAACTGTTCATGGGAGGCTTGCGGTCTTCTGAGTAATCCAAGACATCGGAGTATTTGGGCGGCAACGACATGGCTTGCTCTCTCCGGTCTCTCCGCCGCAGGGGGTTGGCGAAACCGGCTGGCGGTGGCCTGCGGACATGCCGGAGGATTCTCATGACGGCCCAGAACCACCTTTTGCGTGCCGGACTGCCCTGAACTAAAGGATAGAGGTCTTCCTGTGCTCTTGGAAGACGGGTCCATAGACGATCGGGAGATCTTTCGACTTCCAGACCTCTCTTGAGGTCTTGCTCTGAGCTGTTCAATAATTCGAGGAAGTGTGGTTCCCAGTTGTAAAGCACGACAACGCCATCGCAAATTTCGTGCGCGCACACCAGCGTGAACGTCAGTTGAAAGGTGTGCTGGGATATTGGCACGACTGGGTGGACGAAGAGCCGCGACAGAGACCGATCTGAGTCAACAACACGGCTCGAGTTGTTGATATGTTTGAACCAATCGTCAATGTCTACCTCGCTGTAGTGATCGGCAAGGAAAGCCATGGATGCCAGGGCGTTTTCGACTACTTCAGTATTTGTTGTGGGCAGATCGAGATTGAACAGTCTGCGATCTGTCACAGAATCTCGGGTGACAGTCGTCATGAGGAGAATATGATGGAGCCGGAGATTGGCCCAGGCGAGGACGATCCTTTCGCGCAATTGCTCAGGCGTCAGATTGCTTCGGACTTCGAAGGAAATGACCGTGTTAACGTCTGCCCTACCGCCGAAGAAAGCCCCGTCATTGTCGAAAGACGTCTCGATAAGGCCGAGAGGCCTCTGAAAGACGTCTCTTCCGCGGTGTTGAGCTCGACGCCATGCGTGGTAGTCGTTGGCGTAGCGGCCAAGCCAATGGTCCTGGCGGCTCTCTCGCTCCATGTGGATCAGTGCTCGCCTACGGTTACTGACGGGTTCAATGACGACTGCTATCCTCGTGCAGCAGCCTAAATTATGGAGGAAATGCAGAGGAGAAAATTTGGCTTGCGACACAGTGCGATACCGGACAGACAATGATGCTCGGCGGCAACGCCGCGAGTGTGCTTGATGCGCAAAGAACGAGTGGGGCTTCAAAGCGCGAGCAGATCGAAGGAAAAAGGTGTTTAGAATGCGAAGCGGGACTGAGACGATAGGATGGGGCCAGCGAGCGCGCCCTACGACAACGGGGCGGACTTATGGGTGGCTGCCCGCCGCGCGCTTCCCCGAGACCCCCTGCATCGCAGCGCGCTGCCGGGTCTCTGGAGCCGCCAGACACGTCGAGGCAAGGCGGACGAGCATTGAGCATAGCAGACGTTTCGCAACGTGATTTTTGATGGGCGTGGTTGCGCACCGGACAAGGACGATGCAACCGGGCTGGTCCAAGCTCTCGCCCGCCCCCCCGGTGCGATACGTAACCAGCCTGAGGCTGAATTCGAACACGCGCTAGGCAGCCGGTGGCAGCAAGCTCACAGCTCCAGACGCCGCCTGCTCCGAACAACACCTGTCGACCCGTCCTCCGCCAGCCACGCCCTCGCCTCATGCCATCATGATACTGAAAAAGGCCGTGTGGCTCAGCGCGCTGCTGGCTATCGGCGCCGCTGCCAAGGCTGACGAGCCAACCATCAAGAAGCAGAAGTTCGAGACGCCGCCAACTGGCCTCTTCTTCTTCGACGACACTGAGACCGCCCTCACCATCGAGTATGGCAACAGCAAGGTGTGGCGCACCACCAACGCCGGCCTGGACTGGGAGCATATCAGCAGGCCGCTCGGCGAGAACCAGGTTGTTGGCATCCTCCACCACCCCTACAACAACAAGGTCGCCGTGGCATTAGGCAAGGAGAAGAAGCACTGGTACACCAAGGACCAGGGAGAGACATGGCGCGCCTTCGATACCGACGCCGCCGCCGGCCAATCTCCCATCAGTTGGCACACCGACGACCCTGAAAGAGTCCTCTTCCACGGCGCAGAGCGCTGCGATCTTTTCGGAGGCTGCGTCGGAAAGGTGCGCCGCCGCTCTTGTCATCTTGCGCGCTTTGCTAATCCTTGTTCAGACGTGGTACACGACGAATGGCTTCGAGCACTTTAAGCCTCTCATCGATTCGCGCAAGATTTGCATGTGGGCGCGCAACACCGATATCTTCACCACCGGCGACGACCAGACCGACAAGAACCGCATCCTTTGCGTCACCGAGGGCAAGTTCTCGAAGCAGCGCAAGGATTACCGCCTCGTCATCACCGACAACTTTGGAGAAGATGTCGTCGAGCCGCCATTGTCCGAAGGCCGCACTGTGGCCGGCATTGCGCATTTGGCCTCTGCCAAGGGCTTCATTGTCGCCGCCGCCAAGTCGGAAGGCACTGACGAGATGGCTCTCTATGTGACGGACGACACCCGCACTTGGCACAGGGCCGAGTTTGGCCAAGACCACAAGCTCCAAGAGGATGCGTACACTATTCTGGAATCCACCAACTACAGCATTCAAGTAGACGTCATGTCGGACTCATGGACGGATATGGGCAACATGTTTACCAGCAACTCCAACGGAACCTATTTCACTCGCAATATCGCCCACACCAACCGTGACGGTTCGGGCTACGTCGACTTTGAGAAACTCACCAATATCCAAGGCGTCATCCTGGTCAACACCGTCAAGAACTGGGAGGCAATCGAAAAGAACCCTCTGTTCGAAACCAAAAAGATCAACTCCAAGATCAGCTTCGACGATGGTCGGACGTGGCAAGACTTGAAGACGGAGAAAGACCACATCCTCCAAGTGCATTCCTACACAGAACAGCACAACAGTGGCAAGGTCTTTTCCAGTCCAGCACCAGGCCTAGTCATGGCCATCGGAAACACGGGCGACGTCCTCAGGCCATACAAAGAAGGCGACCTCTGGACTTCGGATGATGCAGGCATGACTTGGCACCGTGCTCTTGAAGGCCCCCACAAATACGAGTTTGGAGACAAGGGCTCCTTGCTCGTCGCCATAAAGGATGGAGAACAGACCGACGAGGTCAAATATTCTCTAAACCACGGCAAGGATTGGAAAACGACCAAGCTCCCAGATAAGGTCGTGGCCTACGAGCTCACCACCATTCCAGACTCTACCGGCATCAAGTTCATTCTGATAGCGAGTAAGGGTGATGAAGAATGGACTATCTACACCCTGGATTTTGCTGGGCTCCACGAACGCAAGTGCAAGGATGACGACTTCGAGCTCTGGCACGCCCGTAAGACCGAAGACGGCAAGCCCGGTTGCATTATGGGCCGTAGACAGTCTTTCCGCAGACGCAAGCCGGATGCAGATTGCTTCATCTTGGACGAATTCGTCGACCCCGAACCGAAGTGGGAGACGTGCAAATGTACCGAGGAAGATTACGAGTGTGATTTCAACTTTGTACGCAAGGACGACAAGTGCGTCCCGGCCGGCCCGATCCCTGTGCCCAAGGGACAGTGTAAAGAAGGGGATGAGCATTTCGAGGGCAGTTCCGGCTGGCGCCTTATCCCTGGTAACAAGTGTGACAAGGAAGGAGGGGTCGTCCTTGACAAACCTAAAGAGCGGGACTGCAAGGACTCGGAGAAGTCACCAGCGAGCGGAAAGGTTGAGCACACCTTCAGCCGCTTCCAGAGTGCCCGCGACTTCCGGGAGTACTACTATCTGGAAAGAGTGGAATCCACGAAGCAAGAAGACAAAGATGAGACTATCGTCATGCTTGACGATGACCGCACAGCTTGGATAACCCACGATCATGGTAAGAAGTGGGCCAAGGCCGTCGATGATGAAGTCATCACCATCTATCCCCACCAATACTTCAACGATATTGTCTACTTCTTGACCCCAACCGAGAAGGTCTACTACTCCAAGAACCGCGGTCTACCGGATAGTATTCATAGCTTCAAAGCCCCGGCGCCACCAATCAGAGAAAGTATCTCGACACTAGGCTTCCACCCCCACGAGAAGGACTGGATCCTTTGGACTGGTCGGAAAGACTGTGAGAGCTCTAGTAGCGACTGTCACTTCGTGGCCTGGAAATCGACCAAAGGAGGAATCGAAGGAAGCTGGGAGGCGATGCTACCGTTCGTGCAAAAGTGCCAGTTTGTTTGGAGAGAGGAGCGCGAAGACAGCGAACAACTCGTCTTCTGCGAGCAGTTTGCTGACGAAGACACCTCAAAGCCCCTTCAACTACTGTCCAGCATCGACTGGTTCGAGACCAAGAAGGTACACTATGAGGATGTCGCCAATTTCGCCACCATGGCAGAGTTTATCATTGTTGCAAAGAAGACGGATGATCACAAGTGGCTCAAGGTGGATGTCAGTATCGATGGCAAGACTTTCGCCGATGCCAAGTTCCCGCACAAGTTCAGCTTAGAACATCGCCAAGCCTACACCGTTCTGGACAGTTCTACGCATGCCGTTTTCCTGCACGTCACAATGAACAACGAAAAGGACCAAGAATATGGATCCATCCTCAAGAGTAACAGCAACGGAACGGAGTATGTTCTCAGCATCGCCAAGGTAAACCGTAACAGAGATGGCTACGTCGATTTCGAGAAAATGCAAGGTCTGGAAGGTGCAGCGTTGATTAACATCGTGGCCAACCCCGATGAAGTCGACAAGGGTGCCTCAAAGAAGCTGAAGTCTATGATCACGCATAACGATGGCGCAGAATGGGCACTGATTCCTCCCCCCAAGCAAGATTCAGATGGCGCCAAATATCCTTGCTCTGGCGATCTTGAGAAGTGTTCTTTGCACATTCACGGATACACCGAGCGTAAAGATCCTCGAGATACCTTCTCTTCCCCGTCTGCTGTCGGGCTGATGATGGGCGTTGGCAACGTCGGTGAGAATCTGGGTCGCTACAAAGACGGGAACACGTTCGTCACAAGGGACGGCGGCATCACCTGGCACGAGGTTATGAAAGGAACCTTTATGTGGGAATACGGTGACCAGGGTTCTATTATCGTCATCGTTCAGGAAGGAGAGCCTGTCGACACTGTCTACTACTCTCTTGATGAAGGGAACAAGTGGGAGCCGTACAAATTCAGCCCCGACAAGCCAATCATCGTCGATTCAATCTCGACCGTCCCCAGCGACAAATCGAAGAACTTCCTTCTTTGGGGTCGCTCGGATGGTTTGGTCACCGTCAATCTGGATTTCTCCGGACTTTTTGACCGCACATGCGAGCTTGACGAAAACAACCCCGAGGCCGGCGATTACGAGCTGTGGGAGCCCAAGCATCCAATGCAGGAGGAGAATTGTCTGTTCGGCCATATTGCTCAATATCACCGTAAGAAGCTCGGCGCCGAGTGCTGGAATGTCCACGACAGCCAACAGCTACACGACATCCGGAAGAACTGCACTTGCAGTAGAGCTGACTTTGAATGGTAAGCCCGTCGACACCCTTGCTCTGAAACGATAGCTGACATCTGCTATACAGTGATTACAACTTTGAGCGGGATGAAAAAGACGGCAGCTGCAAACTCGTTGAAGGTCTTGATCCAGTGGAGAATGATGCGGTCTGCAAGAACCCCAACGTCATCGAGTACAACTACGTTACCGGCTACCGCCGCATTCCCCTCACGACGTGCCAGGGCGGCAAAGAACTCGATCTTACCGCTGGTACCCGGCCGTGCCCGAACAAGGAAGAGGAATACAACAAAAAGCACGGCACCTCGGGGGTGGCCATCTTCTTTGCCGTCATCATTCCCTTCGCTGCGGCTGGGGCAATCGGCTGGTACGTCTGGCGCAACTGGGATGGCAAGTTCGGCCAGATCCGCCTGGGCGACAGCCAGCCCACGTTCGACAGCGACAGCCGCTGGATCACGTATCCGGTTGCCGCCGTCTCCGGCGTCGTCGCCGTGCTCTCGGCCATCCCGCTCCTGGCAGGCTCGCTGTGGCGCAGTGCGTCAAGCCGCCTTGGTGGCGGCGGCGGTGGGTACTACGGCCAGAGGTACACCACTCGTGGCTCTTTCGCACGCGGTAACTATGCGGTAGTGGATCCAGACGAGGGGGAGCTACTGGGAGAGGACAGTGATGAGGAAGTCTGATCGGTTTCTTACCTTTTTTCTTCTTCCCCGTCTTTGTCTTGCCTGTATTAGCCATATAGATATCTAGTGGAACGGGGGATTGGGCCTTTCAGACGAGGCAATTTGAAAGGGTGGAGGAGAGGGAGAGAGAGAGTGTGTGTGTGTATATTTGTGTGACACCACCGACCCACTCTCTCCCTTTTATTTCTTGTACGATGTCCCTATGGGGGTTTGCGACGAAGTCTTTCTTGGTTGCTACTTTTGTGCACAGTGTGTTTGGTGGAGTTATTCCAATAGGTCTGAAGCGTTCTTCCCTGCATTGCTGATGGCTAGTGACTGAAATGTCTGTCGTAGGAGGAGATTGGTATGAAGAGGGGTTAGTTGGTTAGATTGGATAGGTTTTGATGAGCTGCTTGCCAACTGTACATAAACCTCTTGTCGATGCTGACAGCGAGATTATGTAACCCCATCAAAAATGTAACATCCTCCTACAATTGCAGGCAGTGAAGGGACTAAGAAATTACATTGCTTCCGTACATTCGCCAGCATGTCGTGTTTATGGATGCACCTCTAAACCTCTATCTAGAGGCAGCTTACCATCTCTCTGAGTACTGTCTACAAGGTAAGAGCGTAGTACCTCTCACAGAGTACAGAAGGATGAAGTTCTCTGTACAACATTGTGCTTAAGACGCGCCTACATGGGGTACGCTAAATTTATGAGTAATTTATTCCGCAAAGACAGGGACTTTTAATTTTGTATGGCAATTTTGGGAACAAAGCGGATCAGTGCTTAGTCTTGACAGCGATAAGATTGAAAAGCAACCCACACAGAATTCCGGTGGGCGGATACGTTACTGCAAGTAGTAATGATCTGTTGCGTTTATATTTCCACCAAAGGAGATGGCCCAAGCGCTCGCAGTCGGTCAAGCTGCAAAATAATCACGAGCAAATATTGCTTGAAAACCATTGTGTTCTGCTGGTACAAGCTAGAATTTAGATTACTCAACGCTAGAGATAATGTAGTAGAGACTCAGTTAGTCGTGCATCGAGTGAGGTAAGCATCCATTTGCTGACAAAGGAACTGTAGCTCCCTGACCCCGAATATTGATGCATAGAGGCCATTATATCCGAGCACACATCTCCGAGCTGATTTCTCTACCATCTCACTGCTTAGTGATCGGACACAGTGACAAATCATCAAAGCAACACACTCTATACATCCCAGTAAGGTGCTATTTAGACCCCGCAGGCTACCTTACCCCGTCTATCACACTCAACAATTCACATTCACTTTGACATGGAGAACAACTCGATCGCCATTTTCCCCGCCTCAGGAGGCATTGGAGGGGGGACATATCGTCATCTTTTCAATCTTATCGATGCGAAGAAGATGATCCTCGTTGCCAGGAGCCCAGAGAGGGTTCCCGAAAAGTACAGGGCTGCAGGCGCGGTCGTCAGACACGGCGACTACGATCAGCTCAGCACTCTCGATCACGCGTTCGATGGAGCCCGCTACCTCAACCTGATCTCCTACGCCAGCATCTCGCATAGGCATCGATTCAACGTAAGTAGCAAGACCAGACTTGAGAGAAACCGTCTAAAAATCCGGAATCAAAGGTCCAAAAGGCGGCAATCGACGCGGCCGTCAAGTCCGGCGTGACCCATGTTTTTTACTCCTCTCTCGGGTTCGCTGGTGGCAAGGACGACACCATCGCCCACGTCATGAAAGCTCACCTCGATACCGAGAAGTACCTCGCCCAGCTCGCCGCTAGTGTTTCTGGCTTTACCTACACCGTCGTGCGCCAAGGCCTGTACACCGAGTCTTTCCCCATGTACCTGGCCTTCCTTGACCTGAAGAACCCTCCCGCTGAGGTGAAGATCCCCCATGACGGCACAGGCCCAGGCATTTCTTGGGTGAAGCGGGACGAGTTGGGTGAGGGTACCGCCCACCTGATTGCAGACTTCTGCAAAGACCCGGCCTCTTTCCCGTACGTCAACACCAAACTTCTGCTTTCAGGCCCTCGGGACGTTTCCCTTGAAGAGAGCGTTGAGATAATCGGTCGCGTTCTCGGGAAAGACATCAAGGTCCGACAAGTTTCGGTCGACGAATGGGCCACGCAGGATTCTGTCAGAGGAGCATCGCATTACTTGGAAGGAGATAATGCAAAGCTGTGGGCGACGGCGTGGGACGCGCTAAAGATCGGAGAGGGAGCTGTAGTCACGCCTCATCTGCGGAACTTGATTGGTAGGGAACCTGAGTCGTTTGAGAAGACGATTTACGATTTGTCGAGGACGTAAAAAGGTGGTCTAGAGAGTAGTTGAGTTGCTCATGAGGAGGTATTTCAACAGGGTGAATGTTAAATCCAACTCGTATCGTACAGAAAATACTCAAGCACTTCCCGCCTACACCAAATCCAACCTTTAATCTGTGCAGATTAAGTTTCTTATGTTTAAAATACTTCTCCTTTTGCCGTAATCAGAATTTGCAAGCTTACATACATATTATGCTAGCAAAATGAACATGCTGAAATTCAATTTCCGTTGAACTGTCATGGCGCTTTGGAAAAATTTAGGTTTTGGTGGGAGAATTGGACTTGGGCCGGGCTGGTGATGGTTGGGTTTTTCGAGGTCATACGAGCTGGGTTTAGTATTTGTCCTTATTCAAATTAGAATCGACGCTCCTGGAGTGCTGAATTCCGCGGTGTGAATGAATCCAGAAAGCTGTTTCGGATATGTTTTGACAGGTTGATGACTTATAAAATCAGGAGTGGATTGCTCAACTAAATAAAATACAGCGTACAGGGTGAATCCCACCGTACGGTCACCCGTCATTAGAAAATAACGGATAATGGCCCAGCCCCTCTCGCTAGCAAGGCATGATGACCACAGTCACTACTGAATTCTTCAAGCCAAGCGACAAAGAAGGGACCTGATTGCTCGTTAGAAATTCGCGAAGGGAATGAAGGACGTCTACGCCTTCTGCGTGTCCTGCTGCGGCGCAGGACCGCCCGTGGTAGGGAGGCCCATGAAAATCTTGAAGTAGTCTGCAAAGAAATACGCGTTAGCGGGATGGCACCTGTACTGATCGCTTGCGTAAAAGCTCACCATAAATCATCCACTGCAGACCAGTGAGCGTGCCAATCATAACGATCCTAACCGGTAAGCCGTTCCACAAGCCCGCAAAGCCGATCTTGCCGTAGATGCGTTTCATGGCGGCGCCAAAGGCCTCACCGGACTCGCGTTCAGCATTCAACTTCGAAACCATCACGTCGGCTGGATGAGACACAATGGCACACAAGATACCCGCCAGGTACCCACCGGTAAAGGAAACAGCCGTCTGGGCGGCCTTGCCGTAGTCATCTTTCTTGCCGGGGAGATAGTTATAGATGGCCTCGACAATTGTCTCAAAGGACGCAAACTTCATCATCGTGTAGGGGATCTGACGACCCCACAAGGGGTAGAGGCCCTTGAAGAGACTGGAAGAATGTTAGTCGAAGTTACAGGGCCGAGTCGGGGGGGGGGGGGGGGGGGGGCTGACCCTGCTGTTCCTTCCTTGGCAGTAACCTTGGAAATGCCATCGAGAGTCCCCTTGGCGAATGGTGGGATGGTAGTCTGAATGCGAACCTTGACGGCCTCGAAGGGGCAGAGCGCGACATCGGCGATGAATTCGGCGGAGGCGCTGGCGGTCAAGTAAAGCAGCGTCTTGTATTTTTGGGCGTTCTCTGGACCGGCCAGATCGGAGTAGAACTTCTTGAAGTATTCGTAACCGCCGTACTTGAAGGCGCCTTGGGCCTATTCACACCATTGATATCAACTATTAACGCCCGCTGTGAAGTGTATACAAAATGCTCACCGAGTATCCGAAAAATGTTGGACTCCAACCCGTGAAGATGCCGCGGAGGCCCTCGGCCCGCGCAATCTTCCCCCACGCCTCGAAATTGCCTTTGTAGAGATTCGCGTCGACCTGTCGGCGGCACTTGACTAGGTCGAGGGGCGTGACAGCCGTGTGAGTGAGGCCGCAGGCCAGCAGGCCGCCAAAGGTGCACGCGGCGTAGTACTTCGCCGAAAACAGTTCGATCTTGCCCGCCTTAGCTTGCGCCTTGCCGCTCGCCTTCTCGAACTCCTGGGTCGCCGCCTCGCTCAGCTTGGCCGCCTTGGCTTTGGCATCGTCGACGGCGCTCCAGGTTCCGTATAGCTCCTGGTGCGCGGGCGGGTACTTGGACGTGCGATTGGCATCAGTGCCGGCCGGTGCAGAGGGGAAGGCGCTGCACAGAGCAGCCGGGGAGGGGAACAACGGCGACACGAGCGGCATGGTCGTTGGAGCTGTCTGTCGCATTAGCTTTAGCTGGCTCGGGACGGTGCGGGGAAAACCTAGGGTGGTGTGAGGACTCACATCTCCGAGCAGACGGCAAACAACTGGACGGGGTCAGTTGATGGGTTTGTGTGACTCAGCGTTGCTGGTGCTTCAAGAGGTGCGGAGTTGGACAAGTGCCGTCGCTGCTTCCCTGTCGCGCGTCACCTGCTTTAACTCCGCGTATTTCCGCCATCTCCGTTTGAAGGATCAGGAGGAATCGTCAACAAGGGCTGAAATACGAGAGCATAAAAAGGCGCAGTGGAGACTGCAAATGTTTCTTAGATGGAGCTTGTCGCGCGACACGAAGGAAGGTGTAGGTGTGCTGTCGAGCAGCGTGCGAATGCAAAAACGCAGAGCGGAGGTAAGTGGAAGGAAAGAAAGCAAGCAACAACACCTACATGGCGTAAAGTCAAGACCCGGGAGCTATGGCCATCTGATAAGCGGCTGAGGCTGGTCAGAGCTTTGGGCGCTACATTCGGACCGAGCGTCACATCTGAGCACCATTTGAAGCGAGCACTTGTTGAAGAGATCGAACTCCATTAGAATGCATATCGTATCCAAGCAGCAAAGCCAGCAAGACGTGGTCCCGAAATACTTTTCCTCCTTTCTTCGCAACCTGTCAACGCCTGCGTCACGTCCTTCCTGTCTGGAAACATACGCCATTCATATAGCGAGTATCGTCTTTGTTTTTCATTCCTTCTCCTCGCTCTCGCTCTCTGGCTCCTCCTCCAGCGGATCGTCAAAGACTGCTGCATCGCTCGCATCCGTCAGTGGGTGCGACCCGCTCTTCTTCACGCCGACCCATGTGCTGTCCAGCTCGCCTCCCTCAACCGCCGGTCTGTGAGTGTTGCTGCTCTTGCGGTGCCTGCTCACAACACCTGGGAAGAGCCGCGGCTCGTGAGGGTCGAGGTGAGAAGCCGACGCCGACGTGACGCTCTGCTGCGGAGAGAGAGGCGGTCCGAGGAATGGCTGCGGCATCGGGACGACTGATGGAGTTGTTGCCACCATCGAAGAGGAGCGGTTGGTTTTGCGGGTGACATGGAGAGGGATCGACGCTTCGTTTTGGCCTACGAGGTCGCTGGAAGAGGCCGACATTTTGAGGTGAGCGTCTTTCACGCCTGTCAGATGGTCCTGCGGCGCCGATGTGGGGACTTGAGTAGGCGGCGCGTCAACCGTAGACTTGACGGTCTTCCTGGACGTGGGCGAACCCGGCTGCCGCGCCGCTCCATTGGCTGTCTGCTCAGGCGGTGTCTTCGCTGCTATGTTGTGGGCTGAGAGAGGCTCGGTAGTAGCCGTGCTGGTGTATCGCGAGATCCTATTCATCGGGTCAGCAGCTGTTCGCCAAATACTTGTCAACCCACTCACATGGCGAGCTCAGCTTGCAAGGTCTCGTGGCGGAACGCCTCTCTGATGTTAGGCACATTGACCTTGCTCATGTCGTTTCCTGCAACACCGGGCAGATGGTAGTTTGCGCCTAGCCATCTCTGCTTGACGGCGTGCTCGAAACCACTCTGCTCAACCGAATGCTTCGCCAGTTCGCACATGTCCACAGCACTGAGCTTGTAGATCTGTGCGGCGACAGAGTACTCTTCGATCAAGGGTTCCTTGGTGAAGGCGAATTGAAGGGGATCATCTGTGGACAGAGACACATTCAACCCACGCTTGAAGTAAGAGAGGAACGGATTCCGCTCGTACGCCAGGAAAAGCGCATTATTGCTCAGCGGAGACATTGCAATGCCAATCTGGTCCAGATAGAAGATGTATTGCAGAAGAGGAACCTTCCTCAGCATCAGGCCATGGCTGATGCTGTGGCAGCAAAGCACCGATGCAGCCAAGTGGTCAGTGTCGCCCGCCTCACCACAGTGCGGCCTGAGCAAGAATGTATTGAAGCCCCGCTGCTTGCGCCAGACGTTGAGCGAAGCAACGTTGGCAAAGAGGTAGTAGACCCAGTAACTGTATGGAGGGTTCTGCTTGGTGTCCCACAACTTTGGCTTGGGGAACTTCTTGTACAGCCGACGCTCAGGCTTGCTCTCATCATCAACACTGTCAAAGCCAATGACCCTCTGAAGGAAGACATGCAGCTTGGGGTGGCTGTTGGGGTCTTTGGTGACCTCGAACAGGGGTTGGAAAATGTTGCGAACAATCTGCTCGAAATTGTCCATTAAGTTGGAGCTTTTGTAGACATCGTAGAGGCGAGGGACCTGGATGAGCCATCGAACATTGGGAGAGAAGAGCTTGTTGTCGACGACCCATGCAGCAAGCTTGTCCCATTCCTCAATATCGCGGCCGTAGATGGAGATTCTCCACTCGACCATCTGATACTTACTGGACTCCAGATCTGACATGACCTCCTTTGTGATTTCCGCCAAATAGCGTCCATGGATGTAGTTGTCAGTCTTCAAGAAGATAGTCCTCAGCCTGGATTCCCCGATCGGGTTGTACTTTAAGTTGAACTTGTCGAACCGGTGGAAACTATCCGTGTGGGCCTGCAAAGGTTAGTCCAGAACAGACGGCACACTGGTTCATGTCGGACTTACGTGCATATCAAGCGTGTCGATACTGAGGTCATACGCAGTCAAGTTGATACTCTCGAAGACCTCTCTCAAGGTCAGGTGCTTGCCGTCCCTATACAGGACGACCTCGTCAGGAGACTTCTTCATCTTACTCTTAATGAATCGAAGCAAATGTTTCTGGTTCATGCAGGCAGAGTGATGCACGTGAGTGTCGACCTTACGGACGTTGTAGAAATCTCTGTGCGGCACCTTCTTGCTGTCCGCTATCTCCTGGTACTCGTTCAACAGGTAGTAGAGATTGAACTTTCCCTCGAGATATTGTAGACGTCTGAATGCAAAGCTCTTGATGGGCCCGTCGGTAGACACGCTGATAATCTCATCTAGATCCATGTAGAATTCCCTGATATCCGGGATGTTCACCATGGGCTTATTGAGCTCAGCCGAAGCCTCGGTTTCGTAGACTTGGAACACGCTGCTGTCATCGAGCTTGAAGTTCATCTCCGACGGACCCGGGAGAGGCAGCAGGTCATCAATGTCGAAGTCCTCGCCGATGTCGTGGCCTGGCTTCCTTGGCGGCTTCGGGAGCGGTCGCGGCTTGGCATCTGGGTCGAGCATTGTGCTGTTGCTCATGCTGTTAAGGCCATTGGTGGCAGTGCCCGCATAGCGATCATGGTCCCACGCGGGATCAGGCAACGGCGGGTAGATGTCCCAGCTCGGGTCATCCTTGGGATTGTCGAAGTCGCCCTGAAGGGAGAGGCGGATGTACTTGTGGCGGATGTCGAGAACCTTCTGGATTTGCGTGTAGATGTTCCGCAACTCCTCGGCCACGCTGGAGTCGTTTGCGGCGAAGCCGCCGGAGCCGTAGCCCACACCGACTCCGGCGCCGGCACCGTGTATGCCGTGCTGTTCCAGCAGCGGCTTGGGTTCGTGTGGGAGGCCGGGGTGGTGGCCGTGAGAACGAGCTGTGCGGTCGGCCTCGAGGAAGGGATCATCCGGTCTGGCTTGAGCGTAGTAGTTGGGGCCACCAAGGGCTCCGGCATAGGCAGGGAGCTTGTCCGGGGTCTCGACCTCGACGGGCAGAGTGGACCTGTAGCTAGTGTGTCCCTGGGCGTGGATGGTGCTACGGGGCGACCGCTGGTTTGCGGCGCGCGAGACCATGTCGTTGTCGTAAATGGCCCCGTCCTGGGACCAATTGCTGCCGCCGACCTGGGTCTCGAGCTGGTGGCGCTGGAAGAACTGCTTGGCCTCGGAGTGGCTCATCTGCTTCTCCGAGGCACGATCGTAGAAGGCCGTCCTGCGCTGTTTATCCCTGGGCAGCAGACCCGTTTGTGCGCCGTCGGATGCATTAGCAGCATTGCCGCCGGCATCCATGCTGGCGCCCGCATCCCCGCCAGCAGCACCCGTTATCTTTCCGTCTTGTGCCTCGTCGCTGCGGTTCTCGGGCTCGTCAGACGAGGCGAACTGCTCCTCGTCGGACGAAACATCGGCGGGTTGGAGGTTGGGCGAGTCGTCTGGCGACAGCGTGTGGGCAGCTGCGAGGGACACCATGGCGCGTTAGCTCGGCGGATTGAGGCATGATGGCGGGCAGCGGCATACCTTTCGACATTTTTCTTGTGCAGGTGGGAGGCGGCCGCCTCCGATAGAGTTATCGCGCTGATCGCCCCGAGCTTAGACCCTCGGCCGCGGCTTGGCGTGCCCGGCGTGACGTGTAGAGAGAGGGGGTCGCACAGCTGTGTGGAAACAACGGGCAGCAGCGGCTCAGTCTGCGTTATAAGCTCGTGGAGCTAGCTAGCTCATGGCGCGTGCGCCGCTTGCTTTTGCCAGTTCCTGGCAGCGGCTGAAAGTCTATAGTGATCAGGTGCCTGGACCGCAGCTCTACATATTGTGGGGATGGTGACAAAACGACCCACCGAATGCGTGGGGAGACGTCAGGAGAAGGGCTCCTGTTCTCTATGTACCCGATTACTCTACACGCCCACATCCTCGTCTTCGGTTTTCAGGAGGCCATGGTGGGAGCGGTTGATGTGGTCTGCCCATTCCTTGGCCTCTTCGAACCGGGCGCCGCAGTCGAAATGCGGGCACGAATAGCTGCCGTGCTGCTGCGAGTGCGTCCGTAGTTCGGCCTCGTTGCGGAATCGCTGTGTGCTTGTCAGCAGACTTAGCCTGGGACAAAGAGCGAGTGGCTTACCTCATGACAGCTGACGTACGGGCAGTGGAACGTTGGAACCTGCCATTCGCTGTCGTCTTGCAACGGCGGCTGTACTGCGTACTGTTGAATGGATGAGGTCGTTTGCTTCGTCTCCACCACGTGGCCCAGGATCATCCTCAGCCGCGCTACAGCCTTACTATCAAGGCGATCCATCCCTGTCTTGACTTCCTCGAGCTGGCTTCGAGCCGCCTTGACCACCGGCAGCATTTCTCCCCAGACTTCATCCGTGTAGCTGTTGAGCACATCGTCCCATTCAGCCAACCAGTGTTGCCGCTGCGCCTTGGTGAATGCCATGACGCCCTCCTCTCCAGACCCCAGCGTTCTGGACAGCTCTCTGATCTCTTCCTCCAGCTGCGGATTGGATGCGGACAACGAGGCGAATTCCGGGCGGAGGTTCAACGGGTTCTCCGGCGAGACTCGGTTGTGCTGTGGTGGCGCAGGAAGGGTCGACTTGATCTTGTCAACTATTTCCTTCTCCTCGGTGGAGAAGTCTTGGCTGAAAAGGTCATTGACCGTCTCTGGCGTGGGATCCGCCATCAGCGAGTCTGCCGCATCTTCGGCGGAGAAGGCGGGATCGGCAAGCAGTAACCGGACTTCAGCACCGTCGTCGTATTCAACATGTCCGTTAGAGGCGAACCCCAGCTCAAATTTTGCTTCTTGGGGGTGGTAGCCTTCCTTTTCATCGTTTTGAAAATCCCGGGCCCAATGTGCCGCACGTTTCTCCTCCTTACGGTCGACCCCGAGGAACTCGTCGAAAGTAAAGTCCGGGAAGTCAATGCCGGCCACGTCAAGTTCGAAATGAGACTCCTCCGAGCCGTGCTGGGTCGAACTGGACCGGAACCCCTCCTGAGACCTGAAGCTTTCACCGCTCCCATTGCTTGCACGTGATGACGACCCGTTCTGCCTGGACGGCAGCATTTGCGACCAGGTCGAAGGCCCTGCGGCTGCGGTGCTGCTCTGAAGCTTCCTGGAGAGTCCAGATCCTGAGGCGAAGGCTGACTGGGCTTCGTCGGCGCTTGCATTCCCGAGCATGTCTTTGGCGAGGCCTGAAGCCGAGGCAGCTATTCTGGACGACATGGATGGCTCTTTGCCGTTGCTGCGAGGAGGCACGGCGTCCTTGCGCTCCTCGGACTTCCGTTGGCCGTCCATATCGTACAAAGAGTCAGATTCCTGCAGAAGTTTCAACATGAGCCGGGAGGTCAAGATTCATGCGGGGAAAGACGGCGTTGGCTGGGACACGCCGGCGAAGAAGGCATTTGACTCAAGCGATAGAGCCGTCATGGGCATGATAATTCTTGTACGAATCCGGGAGGCATACTTTGACTATTGTGAGCACAGCACGCGTGTGCTCTCGAGGTTTTGAGCGTGGACAAACGGGGGCTGCCGGACTATTTTGCCGCTTGTGAGCCTTCGTCCCACTCCGCTGCAACCGAGCTTCGAAGTGTGATAAGATTAGATCCGTACGTGCGAGATATGGCGATTGCGAGGCTGTGGCTACTGGAGCGCAAAAGATTTGCAGAGAAGGATGCTCGCTGACGGCTTTTCTTTCAGGACGAAAGGAAGGCGTTTCAATCATGGCAGAACCGGGCGCACGCGCGCACTTGCCCGGCAGCCTGCGCCTCGGGATCCGAGGCCAATCTAGCCGCCTTCGGGATCCATCGGGCAGACCAGTCCCACTGTCGATTGACGCAAGCGGGACTGATGGTGACATGAGAAGTCAGCAACAAGGCTGGACGGTCCTGTCTCCAGTATTGGGCGGACTCGTCTCCGGCCACCGAACCATCGTCACTTCAGTTGGGATTTTGGATACATCATTATCGATCGTGTGTAATGTTTGCCCTTCTACTTCCGAGCGTCCTCTAGTACTGTACATACACACGCCTTGCAATCGCCATGCAGAGTCCGAGCCCACCATTCCTGAACGCGCAAATCCAGAAGATTCGTAATACAGAGAAGCCGCAATGAGAAACACCCCAATTTGAAGCCTCTCCAATTAGTTGTACTGCATGTAGGTAGCCGTCGAGTTGAACTTGAGGTTGCCCTTGATGACCTTGTCGACAGCGGCCAGGAAATCCTTCTCAGTGGCAACCTTTCTCCTGGCGCGAATGGCAAACATGCCAGCTTCCGTAGCAACGCTGCGCAACTCGGCACCGGTAGAGTTGGGGCACAGACGCGAGATGAGCTCCCATCTGATATCCCGTTCAACCGACATGCTCTTGGCGTGAATGCGGAGAATGTTGGCACGGCCCTCCATGTCCGGAAGCGAGAACTCAATCTTACGGTCGATACGGCCAGGACGCATGAGGGCAGGGTCGAGCGTCGACGGTCTGTTGGTAGCGAACATGACCTTGATGTTACCACGCGAATCGAAACCGTCCAGCTGGGTGATCAGCTCCAACATGGTACGCTGCACTTCATTGTCGCCACCCGCACCGTCATCGAAACGTGCTCCTCCGATGGCATCAACTTCGTCGAAGAAGATAATGCAAGCCTTCTTCGTCCGCGCCATCTCGAACAGCTCGCGCACCATACGAGCACCCTCACCAACGTACTTCTGCACTAACTCGGAACCAATGACACGGATGAAGGTGGCGTCTGTCCTATTGGCAACCGCACGAGCGCAGAGCGTCTTTCCGGTGCCAGGGGGGCCATAGAGCAGGGCACCCTTCGGCGGATCAATGCCAAGGTTGACGAAACGCTCAGGTGACAAGAGCGGCATCTCGACGACTTCGCGCAGCTTCTCAATCTGTTCCTTGCAGCCACCGACATCGCCGTACGTCACGTCGGGCTTGTCCTCGACAGTCATCATGGTGACAGAGGGGTCGATCTTGGGAGGCAGCGGGAGGAGGATCTGGTACTTGTTCCGGTCGACACTGCCAACAGGTGGGATTGTGTTAGGAGATCATTGCTATCCTGTGCAATAAGAACTGAACAGTATGGACTTACCCAACGCGCATGCCTTCCTCGATATCAGTAGGACTGACGCGCTCGCCCAAGTTGACGACAAACTTGGCAATCTGCTTGACGTTGATCACGTATTTGCTCTTCTCCGAATCCTTCTCGTCCTGAATGATCTTCGTACATCTTGCAACCTGCAGCGGCTGCTCCTCTTGCATACGTTGTCTGTCGGCGGCGATGTCCCAGAGGTGCGGCGGCGCGAGACCGGTGTCAGATTCCTGGTGACAATGTGAGATGATGGCATTGGCCAGCGTTGGCGGAGCAAGCTACCTTCACACCGATCTTCTCGTTCACACTCTGCTGTTTGTCCTTGATCTCCTTCTCGAGCTTCTTCAGCTCCGCAGCGTAAGGCGCAGCGCCATAGGTCTTGAGCACTTGGATGTCCCTGCATCGGAGTCAGCGCCTGTGCTGCGTTTCCGGAGCTGCTGGAGCTGGCGTACTCATCGGAGAGAGGCGTGATCTTCTTCTCTTCTATTTCATCGTCGGCGTAGTTCCTCTGGTACTTCTCCCAGTTCTGGCCGGTGGCACTGGGCATGCTGGAGGCAAGGCGACGTGTCGCACGTCGGAACGGGTATCGGCAAGGATCGGTCGGAGATGGAGCGGGTGCGGTGTCTGCGCTGACAGCGGAGCGGGCGTGGTGGCGGGTGAGGATGGAGCGCGGTGGATGGGTGAGGTGTTGAAGCAACTAGAGCTCGCGCCGCTGAGCGGAAGGTCCAAGGGCAGGTGCGTATGTAATGGCCGCCGGGGAGGGCGGCGGCTTGTTCCGGCGTGCCTGAGGCAGCTTTCCGCGAAATTCGACCGCCCGCATCGCGTCCCACCGGGCATTCTGCACCCCTCCGCGTTACTCCCTGCCCACACCTCCAACCACCCTCCCACCACGCGTCAAAATGGCCAGTGCTGCAGTTTCCAGCGGTGGCGGCGGAAATGCCGCCTTCAAGGTCAGCTAATTCAATCTCTAAGGAGCTGCAGATGGCAACTGACATGTTGCAGGACAAGGAGAAGCCCCAGGCGGTGCGCACGGCCAACATCGTCGCCGCAAGAGGTATGTACTTTGCAGCATAGACTCAGGCTATGTTTGCTAACCTCCAAAACAGCTGTTGCGGATGCTATCAGAACTGTAGGCCAAAAGGAGGACACCAGATGGACCTGGACAGTGGGCTAACGTTGCAATATTAGTCGCTGGGTCCGAGGGGTATGGATAAGATGGTAAGGTGTTCTCTTCTCAGATCGATCTACAGCTTCCTAATGCCTCTTCAGATCCAAACCGGCAAGGGCGAGACCCTCATTGTAAGCTCCGCGCCCCTTCAAGACGAACCTGAGATCCTGACTCGCCCCAGACGAACGATGGCAACACTATGCTCCGTGATATGAGTGTGCTCCACCCTGCGGCAAAGATGCTCGTCGACCTCGCAAATGCTCAGGATATTGAGGCTGGTGATGGCACGACGTCGGTGGTCGTGATTTGCGGCAGCTTGCTGGGAGCGGCGGAGCGGTTATTGTCCAAGGGTACATCGCCCCGGGCGGAAACATGATTTGGGCGTGTGCTAAGACGGAATTGCCGCAGGTATCCACCCTACCACGATTTCTGAGTCCTTCCAGCGTGCTGCGGCGGCAGCAGTCCAGGTTCTCCACGACATGTCCATTCCCCTCGCCCTCACCGACCGTGCAGCGCTCCTCAAGGCCGCATCCACCTCTCTGTCTTCGAAGATTGTTGCCCAGGAGCCCAAGCTCGCCCCGATGGCTGTGGACTCCGTTCTTAAGATCATCGACCCGAAGACGGCGGATAACGTTGATTTAAAGAACATCAGGATTCTGAAGAAGCCTGGCGGCACCGTGGACGAGAGCGAGATGGTCGACGGACTGGTGCTGCAACAGCAGGTTGTGAAGAGCGGCGGCGGCCCCGTGAGAATGGAGAAGGCCAGAATTGGTCTGATCCAGTTCCAGCTGAGCCCACCGAAGCCTGATGTAAGAACGGAGCTTGGGACAACGTGCAGGTGGCATGCTAATTGTTTGGCAGATGGAGAACCAGATTGTCGTCAACGACTACAGGCAGATGGATAAGATTCTCAAGGAAGAGAGGACATACCTCTTGAACATGGTGAAGAAGATTAAGAAGGCCAAGTGCAACGTTCTCTTCATCCAGAAGTCCATCCTCAGGGACGCGGTCAACGACCTCTCTTTGCACTTCCTCGCCAAACTCAACATTCTCTGCGTCAAGGATATTGAGCGCGACGAAATCGAGTTTATCACCAAGAGCACTGGCTGCAAGCCCATTGCGGACATCGAGTCTTTCACCGAGGATAAGCTCGGCTCGGCCGACCTGATCGAAGAGGTCCAGAGCTCTGGCGCGAGGATAGTCAAGGTCACCGGCGTTAAGTCGCAAGGCCAGACCGTCTCGCTGGTGTGCCGTGGCGCCAACTCGCTCATCCTCGATGAGGTTGAGCGCTCCATTCACGACGCCCAGTGCGTAATGCGCTGCCTTGTGAAGAAGAAGGCACTGCTGGCTGGCGGTGGCGCGCCTGAGATTGAGATCGCGCAGTCCCTCGCCACCCAGGCCCGCTCGCTCACCGGCACTGAGGCCATCTGCTGGAAGGCTTTCGCCGACGCCATGGAGATCATCCCCGTCACTCTCGCCGAGAACGCCGGTCTCAACTCCATCAAGGTCGTCACCGAGCTTCGGCACCGCCACGCCCTCGGCGAGCAGCAGGCCGGCATCTCCATCAAGAGTGGCGGTGTCAAGAACAACATCGCCGAAGAGAATGTTCTGCAGCCCCTGCTCGTCTCCACCTCTGCCATAGAACTGGCCGCCGAGACCGTCAAGCTGCTCCTTAGAATCGACGACATCGCCTTGAGCCGTTAAAACTGTGACGGGCACAATGGAAAGAAACGAAGGAGAGCGAATGAGCTGGTTTGACAGGAAAGAAAGGGGTGGGGCGCTTCTTTGCGAGGAATGTCCGGCGATTTTGGCATATGAAGGTGACGATAAAACCCGCTAGAGAACAACTGTATAATCAAAAACTCTGCCTTCTCTCCTATTCTTGGACGAGAAAAAATGAATGTGTATGTACGCTGATATAGTCTGCACGTGTTGCTTGTTGGTTGTGAGGTCTCCAAACTAGCTTTGCATGTAATAGTGGTGCCCTCATCGACATTATTATCCTGCAACATGGCCAGGTAGACGGCTGTTCATTCTTGCACTTTGCAAGCAACAAGTCGTTTGAGCACATCACACAGTAGCAACAACGGGTCCGAAGTGTGTACGTCAGTAGATAACGCCATTCAAAATTGTAACAATCGAAAAAATTTACATGACAGTACTTTGGATATGCTAACTCCATCAGCCCTTGTCTTTTGCTACCCACCCCATCAATCACATCCACTCACGCCCAAAGTTGAAGATCCCATCTTGTTCTCTAGTATGTTCTCTTGAACGGCGGGACGGGCTTGCACTCGTTCTCATCGAGCGTAGTGCCAGTAACCGAGCGGTAGCTGAGGTCGATCTTGCCGTGGGGCTGCTTCTGCCAAGTGAGAGTGTGCTTCATCCAGTTCTCGTCGTCACGGTCGGGGTAGTCCTCACGGGCGTGGGCACCACGCGACTCCTTGCGGTTGGCGGCAGCCTCGGCGGTCTGAACGGCGCAAGTGAGCAGGTTGCGGAGCTCGAGCGTTTCAACGAGATCCGAGTTCCAGATCATGCTGCGGTCCTTGGTGCCAACCTGGGAGAACGAAGCGTCGACCTCGTGGATCTTGCGGACACCCTCATCAAGCGACTCCTGGGTACGGAAGACAGAGACGTCCGTCTGCATGGTCTTCTGCATGGCAAGGCGGATGTCATGGGTGGACTTCGGGCCGTCAGCGGTGCGGACATGGTCGACGATAGAGATTGAGTCAGCACCAAGGTCCGCGGACATGGGCTCTGCCTTCTGGCCGGGAGTGAAGTTGTCCCGGATGGTGTGGGAAACAGCGCGACCGAAGACGATAAGATCCAGGAGGGAGTTGGCACCAAGACGGTTGGCACCATGGACAGAGACGCAGGCCGCCTCACCGCAAGCGAAAAGACCAGGGACGACCTTGTCATTACCCTGCTCATCAACGGTAAGGACCTCGCCAGTGTACTTGGTGGGAATGCCACCCATGTTGTAGTGAACGGTAGGCAGGACAGGGATGGGCTGCTTCGTAACATCGACACCAGCGAAAATAGAAGCAGTCTCAGAGATACCAGGGAGACGTTCGTGGAGAATCTCCGGAGGCAGGTGGCTGAGCTGGAGGTAGATGTGGTCCTTCTCAGGACCAACACCACGACCCTCACGGATCTCCATGGTCATCGAACGGGAAACAACGTCGCGGGAGGCCAAATCCTTGGCGGTAGGAGCATATCTCTCCATGAAACGCTCACCCTCCGAGTTCAGCAGGTAACCACCCTCACCTCTCGAGCCTTCAGTAATCAAGCAACCGGCGCCGTAGATACCTGTGGGATGGAACTGAACGAACTCCAGATCCTGGTTGGGAAGACCGGCACGCGCAACCATGGCCATACCGTCGCCAGTGCAGGTGTGGGCAGAGGTGCAAGAGAAGTAAGCACGGCCATAACCACCAGTGGCCAAGACGGTGTTCTGAGCGCGGAACCTGTGCAGCGTACCGTCCTCCTGGTTGTAGGCAATAACTCCCTTGCAAACGCCATCCTCCATAAGCAGGTCAATGGCAAAGAACTCGATGAAGTACTTGGTGTTGTGTCTCAGCGACTGGCCGTACAGAGTGTGAAGAAGAGCGTGGCCGGTTCTGTCAGCGGCGGCACAGCAGCGATATGCCTGACCACCCTTGCCGTACTTCTGGGACTGACCACCGAAAGCGCGCTGGTAGCTGTGGCAAAGTCAGCCAGTACCCTTCAACTCGAATGGATCCGAGCTTACATCTTGCCATCGTCAGTTCTAGAGAAGGGGCATCCGTAGTTCTCAAGCTCAATGACACTCTGAGGCGCCTCACGGGTCATGTAGTGGATGGCGTCCTGGTCGCCGAGCCAGTCCGAACCCTTGACTGTATCGTACATGTGCCATCTCCAGTCATCCTCGTGCATGTTTCCGAGCGCAGCATTGATACCGCCCTGCGCGGCAACGGTGTGGGAACGCGTGGGGAACAGCTTGGAGATACAAGCAGTGTTGAAGCCCGCCTCAGCTAGACCGAAGGCGGCGCGGAGACCCGAGCCACCGGCACCGACGACGAGAGCATCGTACTCGTGGTCGATCACAGGGTACTTGTTGCTAAGGAAAGGCGATGCCTCCTGGGCGCGGAGCGGCTCGTTCGTGAAGATCTTGGAGACGGGCCTGGTGGAGGAAAAGGCGCGCGTCTGCGGACGAAGGGCTCGGGAGAACTGCAGTGCTGCGCGTTAGCCACGGACGCCACGGAGCGCAAGGAAAACGTGGCACAGATCGACGCTTTTGCAATTGAGGCGGACTGTGGCACACAGCCTATGCACGTCCGCGCAGGAAGTGCGTGAGCCCGCGGGGCTGCGGCGGTGCGTTCGGAGCTCGGGCAGGCGATGATGGGGGTGAGCGGGGAAGAAGACGGCGTACCTGTGCCGAGGCGGCCAGCTGCCGCAACCTAAGGGCGGACATTTTGGGGATGGGGGTGAGTGGAGTGGTGATGGTGTTGCAAGAGCGTATGCGAGCGGTCTTGGTAGCGCTAGCCATTGCATCCGACTGTTCTCGCTTTCGTCAGGAAAAAAGGTAGGGCGCTCATTGGCTGTCGGCCAACCTCGGGATTGCTGCCAAAGCCCGCGATCCGCGTGCAGAATGGACCATCGTCCCGACAAATCTTCGCCGCCACGGTTCACAGTTCATGTGGCTCCAAGCTCGCCAGCATCTCAATGTCGAACCTGTGTCTTGGAGCTTGGCGAGCTCGTCCTCGCGCTGAGCTTCAATGGCAATCCCAGACATCGGCATGTGAATGCCGAATTGCCTGGCCGAGGGAAATCAGACGGGATGCTCGCGTGCCTTGGGTCCCGTCTGCCCCGCGAACTGATGTCCTGGCCTCCTCACATGGCTCACTACCAGCGTAGAGTGTCATGAGCAAAATCGCTACGTGGCAACCAAAGCTTAGCGCGATACTCGCCTTTGCAGGTGTTGTCCTGTTCCCATAGCCGCTCCTCCGGATGATGATCGGAGCTTGCCAGAATCCCCCCCGAATCATCTCCCGTGTCTGGCCATATCCGCGGGGGCGGGTATGCGTTTACCCCATTGTACTAAGCTGCGAAAGAGACTAGCCCTCTTCAAGATGCATATCCTTGAAAGCTTCGCCAGCCTGCAGCTTCGGGCGTGCTTCAGCTCATGCAATATCCCTTGCGTTCCGGAGGGGCAAGTCGTTGAAAATTTGTTTCACCACTGGCGAGGACACTTGCTACGAACGTCATTTGGCATTCCACTGTATCCATGACCTTCTCATTGAGTATCTTTTTGTTTAGTGTGCGTGCTCCTTTTAGCTACTTCACACTGAAAATGGGGCAACATGAAAACGCCATGTAAGCTACCACCAGCCCTTCATGAATTGAGATGCTAAACCAGACTAAAAAGAGGAAATAACCTAAGCAGAGGCCTGAAGGTCCTTCTTGAGCGTGCCGAGGTATTGCCTCTTCTCCGCGGGGGTCTGGTAAGCACCGTGACCGAACTTGGACGAGGTGTCGATCCACTTGAGGTCGACCTTCTCCAGAGCCCTGCGGCTGGTGTGGACGAACATGGACTTGCGCAGAGTCATGACCCTCTTCTTGACACCGGGGATAGAGCCCTTGAGGAGAACGAAGTCGTTCTTGACCTCACCGTAGCGGACAAAGCCACCGAGGCTGCGAAACTGTTAGATTTGCGGGGTTCAATAGCGAGAGTGTAAACTTACGGAGTGATGGTCTTCTTGGAGACGTCGAACTCAGTCGAGGCGTTACCAGCGTCGTCACCCTTGCCAATGCGGTAGATCTTGTGGTTGACCGAGGTACGGTGGTGGTAACCCATCTGACCGGCACGGGCAACGGTCCACTGGACGTGGGACGGGTGCCAGGCACCGATACAGGCGACCTTCCTCAGACCCTTGTGGGTCTTGCGAGGAAGCTTCTTGGTGCCCCACCTGGAAGTGACACCGTTGAAACCGTGACCCTTGGTGACGGCGATGACGTCAATCATCTCGTCCTGCTCGAAGATGGAGCTGACCTCGATGGGCTTCTCGAAGAGGCCGTGGGCGAAGTCGACCTTCTCGGCAATGCTGCCACCGTTGACCTGGACCTCCATGAGGTGGGCCTTCTTCTGCTTGAGAGGGGTCTTGGAGATCTGGGTGTGGGCCAGGACGCGGACGACGGTGCAGTACTTCTTGATGCGCTCGAGCTCGCGGGTGATGGACTTGCCGCTGTTCTCGGAGTACTGCTTGGCGTACTTGGTGAAGGCCTTCTTCTTGCTCTTGTACCAGTTCTTGTAGAACCTCCTCTTGATCTCATCCGACAGGTGCTCGGCCCAGACGGTGGTGAGAGAACGGAGACCACGGGGAGTCTCGATGTAGCCGACAACACCGATGGCGATCATCTGCAGTTCATGTTAGTGCAGATCGACTGGTTGGGAATTTGAATTGGACGCATACCGGAGGGGTCTCGACGACGGTGCAGGCCTCGACGATCTCCTTCTTGTGGAGCTTGGCACCAGGACGGTCAAGGTCACGGACGATGGTGGTCATACCGGCCTTGTAGCCCATAGTGGCGGTAAGGTGGACGGGCTTCTTGGGGTCATCCTTGGGGAAGCTGAAATAATTTGCATGTCAGTTATCGTGGTTGCGCGACTGCCATTCTGCGCCAAAAGGCCGCGAAAATCATGTCTGGGTCGAAGCGGCACGCAATTGAATCCGTGGTCGTCGTTGTGGTTTTCTTTGCTCGTTTTCTTTGCGTGCGGTCCCCATCGCCCTCCATCCTCCTCTTGTCGTGCCGGGTGTCGAAATCGCAGACAGTGCGCCTGGGAGTAAACGTACCTCTTGACCTTTCCCCTGTGACGGGCGGCCCTCTTGCGGGGCAGGAAGGCCAGCGAACCGTGGCGAGGAGCCTCGTACTTGCGGTGGGACATCTTTGCGACGGTGTCGAGGGGAGGGTTGTCGTCGTCCTGTGTCGTCTCGCTGAGCAGAAAGAGAAGCCTGTGGGCTTTTTCGAGCTGGTGGGAGTTAGGCGAACGGCCCGTGCGCGACCGCGCGCCGAGGTTGTCCCGCCCGTCCGCCACACGGATGGAACGAGACCTTAGCCAAGGCCTTCAGGGCCCCCGAAGCGCTGCCCGTGCAAGGCATCGGCCTGGCAGCCAGCATCATGTGCGGGGCTGGGCCTTCACAAATACATAGCCGTCATGCTTGAAATTGGGCTGGCCTCTGTTTTCGTGTCGGTTCACTTGGCACCATTGTAACACGGTGTAGAGGATGGAGCAAATCGCATGTCTTCGTTCATAAATTCATCGAACATCTGCAAGCACACCCTCTCCAACTACCCAGGAAGCGTGTCCTTGCTGTTCCAAAACCTCGTAGACTAGTCCCGTTGGATCCTCGCGGTGTATTCACGAGTGGCCCTAGGCTATGTCATGCATCTGAGCGGATCTCCGTCCCCGCCCTTTTCTCCACGCCATGTAAGGCTTCCTCCAGACGCTCATATTTGCACTGCGCAAGGAGCAGCACGAGCGAGCCAAAACGGAAATAGTGGACGCTGCAAGCGCGACAGGAGTGCCCGCAATTGGAACGGCATTCACTAGTTTGGGCATTCAGCATGCAGTCGGAGGTAAGACCCTTTGCAAGACACTGTCTGACCTGTCCATTGACTTCGCCGCGCGTGTGCCCATTTCCAAAGCCAAGTTGGCCCACCTGTTTGCTGCCAATGAGGCACTCTCATGTAGGTGGTGAAGCAGCTAGCTCCAACATGTGAGTTTGCGTGAAGCATGTATAGGCCTAGTCAAGCCTCTGGCTAAAACAAGCGGCAACTATTAATTGGCCGCCAGGGTAGCTCCACAAGGGAAGCTCTCCTGCATGACGTGACCCCAGAAACACCCTACAGCCCAGGCACCGTGGCTTATGTTCTGCAGCTCACAGGCGGGATCAGTCCATCGAAGTTGGTTGGTCTCAGGGCCCCGGCGGCAATCGTGGCTGTCTGCGATTGTGGGCGTTTCTTTCATAGCCCGGCTGGGCAACGCTGCTTTCATGCACGCAGCATCGGCGCCCGGCCCTTGCCTGGCTGCGGCAGCGGGAAGGCTTTCAGCGCGCCAGCCCGCAGCAGAGGGGGAGGGAGATGGAGGATTTAAGGTACCAGCGCTGGCGGGAGTCATGCGGGCGACACCTACGTCATGCGCCGTGCAGTGCTGCCGGCGCAACGCATGATCGGGCGGGCGACACAGCGGTCTGCATCGCCCTGTGCTGCTGTGCTGTCCGAATCATTCCTCAGTCGAATAAGCGGCGAGCGCTGTAAGGATTCATGCGCTGGCACAGCTGGCGCGTGTGTCAACGGGTTGCTTGGCGTATCGGACTTTCCCAGGCTCCGGGCGCTCGTCACCTCTGCCGCCCGCTGTTCCAATGTGCGAGAACAGAGCCCCCGCTAACAACCAAACAATCACCACCCACCCCGACTATCTCCCGTATGTAATTGCCCACCGCCCGCCGTCGCCGCCTGCTCACCCCGCCACAGCTGGAGACTCGCTTCCCCACCGGCCGTGCCTCCTCGCCGCCCGCCCACTCCCCATTCAACGGTGACGCGCCCAGTTCTAGCCGGTTTCGTCCAGCCGTGCTCCGCGGTGACATCGTCTCAACGCCTGCAACACCACCGCTGATACCCTGCGAAGACGCCGCTGATCACACCCGCCCGCTCGACCGGTCGTTGCGGATCCTCAACACGCCATCCTTTGCCCTGCTTTCGCTTTGCTCTAGCCTGAGGCCTTGTTGGTGCAGCTTTGGAAAAGATGGTAGAAGCAGAGGGCAACCCGACCACTTGGAAGTTCACCCAGTAAGCGCCACCCCAACCCAGCCCCATTGCCGCCCGCATACTCGCCTAGTCTTTGCCCAGCGCCTCGCGCTGTCGTCTCGAGCCGAGTGTGCGGCATGGCCCCTCCACGAAGCTCCTCAGCCTCATGCGATCCGCATGCCCGAAAACGGAGTTTCGAACGACGGCTAACTGCGACGCCTCCAGGTGCTTCGGTGACAAGGGAGATGTAGAGGATATCACGGAAGGTGTGTTCGGCTGTTCTGCGTCCAAGCGCCCCACCCCCGCGCCGCTCCATTGCGCGATAGACGCCACCCAGAACTCGAGCTAACCACCCGCTGTCTGCAGCCGACATCATATCTACCGTCGAATTCGATGAGACGGGTGATTATCTCGCAACCGGTGACAAGGGCGGCAGAGTCGTCCTCTTCGAGCGGAATAGGACAGTGCGTTGATAGCTTCCGTCCTGCGCACACCGCATCTGCTGACCGGCGTAGAAAAAAACCTGCGAGTACAAGTTCCACACCGAGTTCCAATCGCACGAGCCCGAATTCGACTACCTCAAGTCCTTAGAGATTGAAGAGAAGATCAACAAGATCAAGTGGTGCAAGCGCCAGAACCCCTCTCACTACCTGCTCTCGACCAACGATAAGACGATAAAGCTATGGAAGGTCTTCGAGAAGTCCCTTAAGGTGGTGGCGGAGAACAACCTCTCGCAAGAGTTGACCCCGGCAGGCGTTCCTAGCGCTGGTGGCCCAGTCCAGCGCCCTGCGTTCCGCTCTGCCGCCGATCTCAAGCTGCCGCGTCTGACGCTCCATGACACCGTCGTCGCTGCCGTACCTCGCAAGACCTATGCTAATGCTCACGCATACCACATCAACAGCATATCCGTTAACAGCGATGGTGAGACCTTCATCAGCAGTGATGACCTGCGTATCAACCTATGGAACCTCAACATCCAAGACCAGAGCTTCAACATTGTTGATATCAAACCGGCGAACATGGAAGAACTCACGGAGGTCATCACGGCTGCGGAGTTCCACCCGGAGTCATGTAACCTGTTCATGTACGCCAGCTCCAAGGGCACGATCAAGCTGGCCGACATGAGAGAGAGTGCGCTTTGCGACCAGCACTCAAAGCGTGAGTTTTGGCGAGGCTCCCTGAGTGCGCAATGGCTAACTTTTATCACAGAGTTCGAGCAGGAAGAAGACCCCCAATCGCGCTCATTCTTTTCCGAGATCATCTCCTCCATCTCCGACGTGCGGTTCTCGCGGGATGGCCGCTACATTCTCTCTCGTGACTACCTCACTGTGAAGATTTGGGACGTGAAGATGGAGAACAAACCGATCAAGACTATCCCTATCCATGAGCACCTCAGACCGAGGTTATGCGATACGTATGAGAATGACAGCATCTTCGACAAGTTCGAGGTTGTCTTCTCGGGCGATGCGAAGAACGTGATGACGGGCAGCTACAACAACAACTTCATGATCTACCCCTCTGACCCCGACAAGGAGACGGAGGTCGTTCTGCAGGCGGACAAGTCGGCGTTCAAGGCGAAGAAGGTGGGTATTCCAACGCCGATGGGCAGCAACGCGGCGACGAGCCCGACTGGATCGGGTAAGAAGGGCAACTCGAGGGCTGGAAGCCCGGCGGCTGGCGCCATCGGACCCGGCCAGAGGATGAGGAAGGAGACGGACGCGGACCAGATCGACTTCAACAAGAAGATTCTGCACATGAGCTGGCACCCGAACGAGGACAGCATTGCTATCGCGGCGACCAACAACGTAAGTCTGGCCCAACGGTAAAAACATGGCAGCAGGGACTAATGTGACTCGCAGCTTTTCGTCTTTTCGGCATTGTAAGAAGAGCAATGGGCTCATGGAGGGTCATCTGGGGGGCGTTCGCCCGAGCGCAATCTGCTCTTCCTCGCTAATCCAGCGCCTAATTTCGTCTCACTCAACGATGCAGCTAGATAGCATTCTCATGATGTCGATGGGCCAAGACTGTAGAGCCGAAATGGTGGGCGCATCGACACAGACGTCGGAAATGAAATGTAAAAGGATTATTCCGAGAAATGCACGTTCTCCGGTGGTTTTCTGCGCTTTGGAGAGTGACGTTGGCCGCCATGATAACCAGATGGTGCACAAATGACAGTCGCACGTGTGCCGCCCTTCCTGCGGAGCGGTTCCTGGCCACGCGATCGCCCAGCATTCAGCTGCGACGACGATCTTCAGCCCTACGGCCAGCCGAAAAGCCAAGCGGCGCAGGGGTGTGCGTGAGTCGTCGACAAGTCCATGACACGGTTGCCAGATCGACCTGCGACAAGCTTTCGCCGCAGCCAGAGCTTAGAGAAAGTCTTCGTCAGCGGACGATGATAGCCTAAGAGACCGGCAGTTTTCCCGAAGTACTCGCGTCGCGCACCTTCACTGTACCTAAGTTGACCGGTGTCCTCAACTCGGCTTGGTCCACATTTGCAGTCCCCTCGCAACGCTCATCTAGCCGGCGGTCCATCTACTGACGCAATACTTCACCGTGCGCCACACATCCGTACGCTGAACCCCAGTCCATCGCTCGAGAGAGCCGCCAGCCGGCCTATTGGACTAGCCTGCTCTTGAACAGCCGCATGAAGTTCTGACATTGCTCTCTGCAGGCTTATCTCCTGCCTTCTCCTCATTTGGCTGCAAAGATCTCCGTTCTAGATCACTACCGTCTTTTCTACGCCCACTATGATCCCTCTCGCGCCAGTGGGCATCACAGCCCTTATATTCGGCGGCTGTTGCTCTAACGTGAGGCCACAATCGCCCTTTTCCAGCACTATGGCTAACCTTTCGTTAGGTTTATGCGCTTGAGGCTATTGTCAAGTGAGTGTTTATGACCCCGTTTGGCCCGAGAAAGGCTCACACCAAGGAGACGAGAGCCAGACAGCGGTCTCCTCATCACGCTTGGCCAGTTCATTCTCGTATGCCTTGCAGCGTTTCCATCGCAGTTCGATCCCAGCCGGCCCTTCTTCCTGAAGAAAAGCCCTGTGCCATTCCGGAAATGGTTCATGAGCGCGTCTATGTTCTTTGCTGTTAATATGTTGAACAACTGGGCATTCGCCTTCCGCATCTCCGTCCCAGTGCACATTATCCTCCGCAGCTTCGGCAGCGTCACGACTATGGGTGCAGGATGGCTTCGTGGCAAGCGCTATTCTCCTCTACAGGTCTTCTCGGTGGCGATGCTCACTGTTGGCGTGATCATCTCAGCTTGGGCCGATGCCACCAGCAAGGTGCGAATGTGGAATCCCCGTTTTTTGAGGCATTCAGGCTGACGAAGTTTCCAAGGGGAAATCAATGAGCACGGCCGGAATCAACTTCACGGACGCATCTTTCGAGGCTGGTCTTGTCATTCTTCTCGTCGCTCAGTTGCTGTCGGCATACATGGGTGTCTACGTGCAGGAAATCTATGAGCAGCATGGGAAGCATTGGGATGAGAACCTTTTCTACTCCCACCTGATCAGCATCCCCATGTTCGTTCCACTTCAGAGCATCTTGATGTCGCAATACACACGCCTTGCCTCATCGCCTCCGCTCTACCTTCCGTCGTCGGTCTCGTCCTCGCTGCCGCTCCCAGCGCAGAAGATTCTGGCCACGGTTCCCGAATCAGTCTTCATGCTCCTGCTCAACTCGACGACGCAGCTTCTCTGCATTACCGGCGTCAACCTGCTCAGTGCCAAATCCTCGGCAGTCACGGTCACCATAGTGCTCAACATCCGCAAGCTGGTCAGTTTCCTGATCAGCATTTGGCTGTTTGGCAATAAGATGAGCAGCCAGATGATGTTCGGAGCTTTTGTTGTCTTCGGAGCGGGGGGGTTGTATGGCTGGGAGACTACTGTTGGTATCAAGAGGAGGAAGGAGGCTGAAAGGCTGAAAGAGCTGAAGGGCAAATGAAAGTCAACTACGCATCACAGACCAGAGGCCGCAAAAGAGGTAGACGTGATAGACAAAAGCCAGAGAACAACGTAGAATAGACAGTAGCGCTGCGGACTTTTGGTGCTTATCGGTAGAAATCCGAGGCTTTACAATGTTAAGTGGATCGAATTTAGATTTCAGTTATATGGCTCGACGTGACCGGGGTTTTGGCGATACTTGTTAACACATCTTCCGTACTACATGTCTGCTACCAGATGATATTCCGCCGGCCGTGGAGAGCGACCAGTGTGGCGTTCTCTCCCTCCCGTGCCATTGAGATGCAGGCACGGGATGGGGACATTCTCGGTCAAGAGTAGCACAACGTGTTCAAACAAAGCATTGAAACGGTGGCGGCTCGGCGCGGATCGGTATGCGGCGCAGATGAGAACTCGGGGTGTTTCACGCAGTTTGCAGTTACTGCAGACGACGGGTCACGCACCGCGGAGAGTGAAGGTGCTCTGTGGAATTACCAGCAGCAGAGCCAAGAGAACCTGCAACAAGCTTCTAGCGCGCTGGGAAAGGCCTGGGTTCACGGCGCACGGCAGTTAGCGTTTTTAGCAGGCGGGCGCGGAGGGCGGGCGCGGAGAGCGGGCGCATGGGCGGAATCAGGAGAGAGGGGGACACGACGCGTTCACGTACCCCCCTGCATCCGATCAGCCACACTACTGGCCATCTGAACACCTAGCTGGAAGACCCAGCTGTACCACCGGCATCCAAATTCTTTCGACACCACACTCCTTCGCCGCCCAGCTTAAGAATTGCCCTCGCCCTGTGCACTAGGTGAGCAGCTGTGCAGCCTCCCGCCATGCCGTCTGCGCAGTCCGCTAACGTTCGCTTCGCCCAGCTGTCCTCTGCGGCTCGCAGCCTGTGGCCCACCATGAGCTCGCAGCCACCCTCCACCCTGAAGCATCGCGGCCGCGACAAGAAGCGCCCGGCCACGCCGACCGCAGACAGCCCGGCCGAGAAGGTCAATGGCGCTTTCCAACGCGCACAATCAGAGGCCCACGCCAAGATCGGCGCCGAATGGGACTATAAGATCGCCTTTGCTGTGATTACGCTGCTGGGCTTCTGGACGCGCTTCTGGGGCATTACCCACCCGGACCAGGTCGTGTTCGACGAGGTCCACTTCGGCAAGGTGAGTCGCGATCCAGTTCTCGCGCCCCTCAATGCCCCGCTGCGAGCTCGTCTGACGGCCGTCTCCACAGTTTGCCTCGTACTACCTCCAGCGCACCTACTTCTTTGACGTCCACCCTCCCTTCGGAAAGCTGCTCTTCGCCTTCGCTGGCTGGCTTGTTGGATATGACGGCTCGTTCCTCTTCGAGAACATTGGCGACTCGTACATCACAAACAAGGTTCCCTATGTGGCCTACCGAGCTCTGCCCGCTACCCTGGGCGCGCTCACCGTTCCCACCGTCTTCATGATCATGTGGGAGTCTGGCTACAGTCTTCCGGCTTGCCTGACCGCGACCGCTCTTGTCCTCTTCGACAATGCCCACGTGGGCCAGACCAGGCTCATTCTGCTTGACGCTACCCTGATCTTTTTCATGGCTCTCAGCGTCCTCTGCTACATCAAATTCTACAAGATGCGTCACGCTGCTTTCTCTCGCAAGTGGTGGAAGTGGCTCCTTCTGACGGGCGTTTGCCTGAGCTGCGTCATCTCCACCAAATACGTCGGTCTTTTCACTTTCTTCTCCATCGGAGTTCCCGTTGCCTTCGACCTCTGGGACCTGCTGGACATCAACCGGAGGCAAGGCTCACTCTCTCTCCCCGACTTTGGCAAGCATTTCGCCGCTCGTCTGACAGCCCTCATCATCATTCCCTTCTTTTTGTACCTTTTCTGGTTCCAGGTCCACTTCTCCATCCTCACCCGCTCCGGGCCTGGCGACGACTTCATGAGCCCTGAGTTCCAGGAGACCCTCAGTGACAACATCATGACCATGCAGTCCGTCAGCATTGACTACTTCGACGCCATTACCATGCGCCACAAGGAGACCAAGGTCTATCTGCACAGTCACCCGGACCGCTACCCCCTCAGGTACGACGATGGCCGTATTTCCAGCCAGGGCCAGCAGGTTACCGGCTACCCCCACAACGACACCAACAACCACTGGCAGATTCTTCCTGCTGTCGCTCCCACTGACAAGCCGCGCCGTGTCAAGAACGGTGACCTGGTTAGGTTCCGCCACTTGGTGACCAATACCGTGCTCCTGACGCACGATGTTGCCTCACCTTACTATCCGACCAACCAGGAATTCACCACTGTCGACATGGAGACTGCCAACGGCGACCGCTTCAACGACACCATTTTCGAAATCAAGATTGAGAACGGCAAGGCCGGCCAGGACTTCAAGAGCATGGGTTCGCACTTCAAGCTCATCCACTGGCCGACCAAGGTTGCCATGTGGACCCATACCCAGCCTCTGCCGGATTGGGCCTACAAGCAGGCTGAGATCAACGGTAACAAGAACGTTCAGCAGTCCAGCAATGTCTGGTACGTGGATGAAATTCCCTCTCTTGCCGTCGACAGCCCGCGTCGCGTCCAGGAGCCACGAAAGGTAAAGCAACTGCCTTTCTTGAGGAAGTACTTCGAGTTGCAGCGGGCTATGTTCTTCCACAACAACGCCTTGACTAGCAGCCACCCATACTCTAGTTTCCCCATCTCTTGGCCTTTCTTGCTTCGCGGTGTCAGCTTCTGGACGGAGAACGATACAAGACAGCAGATCTATTTCCTTGGTAACCCACTTGGCTGGTGGCTGGCCAGCAGCTTGCTTGCGGTCTTCGCTGGTATTATTGGAGCTGATCAGCTGGCTCTCCGCAGAGGTGTTGATGCCCTTGATCAACGTATGTATTACGCCACTTAAGTTCCATCAACCTTCAACTAACTTTGAGCAGGCACTCGCTCGCGCCTCTACAACTCGACTGGTTTCTTCTTTCTGACGTGGGCCGCGCATTATGTGCCCTTCTTCATCATGGGCCGCCAGCTCTTCCTTCATCATTACCTTCCTGCACATCTCGCATCGGCGCTTGTCACAGGAGCTCTCGTCGAGTTCATCTTCAATATCGAGCCTCCCAGCGCTGAGGAGCTGGAGGCTAAGAAGAAGAAGGGCACTGCCCGTAGCTCCCGCCCTGTCCGTGAAAGGCTGGCAGGCCAGAGCCTTTTCGGCACCTGGGCAGCCACTGGCGTTATTGTGGCAATCGTTGTCTGGGGCTTCTACTTCTTTGCCCCGCTCACCTACGGCAAGCCTGGTCTCGACGTGCCTCAGGTCCTTGCCAGGAAATGGCTCAACTACGATCTGCACTTTGCCAAATAAAACGGTCGTTTCTGGGTTGGATGTGGAATTTCCGCGGGAGTTGCGCGTTGACGGTATCGATGGGGGGGTGGATCGGAAAAGGATGCATAATCAGGATTTGACGCGTGATCACAAAACGTTTCAACTTTGTGGCTTCTCATTGCCGGGCAGCTGTGGGCGTATTATGGAAGTTATATCCGTTTGTGTAAACTGTTATCAGAAGACCATCGACTTGGATGTGCGTGTGAAGGTTATGATGTCCTTTGTGGCCAAAGAAGTTACAGCCCACCTTCGATGTTGAAGCCGATCATCCGGAGTCGATATCTATGCCAGGATAATTATTTCAATTTCTCATGCTGCCCCGCAGTCGTAGTTGGTAGAGCCTCGCACCGGGCCTTGGCAGGCATGACGTGGGGCTGGAGCTTTGGCCAAGCGTCATCCAAGCTTCTTTCAACCGTCGCCCTGTCACCGCCGTTGCCCCGATTCGTTCTACGTCGTTGTCGTTCCCGTCGTCCCTTTTCCCGACCCTTCAGAGCTAGTGCTGCCTAATCAGAGTTGCCGCGGCTGCGCCCGGCACCACCTACACGCCATCTATGCCCGGTTACGACATCCGGTCGTACCTTTCAATGCAGAGTGCTTCCATCGATAAGCCGGCCGACACCTCCGCATCCGCCGCAGATTTCCCTTTGACGACGACAACGACGACGGCAGACCAACAGCAACAACACGCGACTACACCTCGTACGCCCCGCCACTCATCCGCCGCCATCCCTCCGAGAAGACACCTACCTTGGCTGCACGGGCCGCCGAGTGCAAAGAAGTCGCCACGAACGCCTCGCACCGTTCGCATCGCCGAGGGCGCTGATTCTACTACGCCCACCACCGCCAATAATAATACTACTACTTTTACCACTCCTGCAGCCAACACACCTCAGACTACTCAGCGCGGCACTACTATCGAGGACTTTACCACAATGTCCACGACCACAACGCCCTCTTTTTCCCGCACGACCTCGTCGCACTACACGCCGCGCAGCGGCCATGGTGGCAGCCGCGGCGGTGGTAGCGGCAGTGGTCGTCGCGGTGGTCGAGGTGCTGCACAGAACAGAACGCCACGCGGCTGTTTCGAGGACAACACGTGGTACTGTGACTGTGGATATAGTAAGAAACTGCCTGCGGCGAAGTTCAGGGTGAAGAAGGAAGGGCCGAACAAGGGGAGGTGGTTCTATACTTGCCAGAAGAAGCCGGGTGATGAGCAGCGCTGCGGATTCTTCATGTGGGAGGAAGATGCGAAGACGAGGGAAGATGGGGCGGTGTCGGCAGGGAGCGTTAGCGGTGCTGATGTTGGTAGAGGAAATGCGGCGAGTAGTGGAACGGCAGCGAAGAGGAAGTGGCAGGAGGAGGTTGACGGGGAAGCGGAAACGGAGGATGAGGATGAGTATGGATGGGACCAGGACACGAGTGTGGAAGCTGCGATTGGTAGAGTGTTGGATGCCGTGAGCACACCGTCAAGGAAGGTGCTGAAGATGAAGGAGGGTGCGACACCGAGGGGGGATAGCGCGATGGTGATGACACCGGTCTCGCAACGTGGAAATGGCGGTGGTGTTAGCGCTGCTGCTGCTACAAAAGCGACACCTACGCCAGCAATGTTTGGCACAGTGACACCATCTACGAGTGCTGGTGGTGGTGGTTCTGCTGCTGCTGAAGATGATGTTGGTGACGCACTCGTAGTGGAAGTCTTGCAGGTGCTGGACGAGAGGGATATCAACCTGGACGACGAAGCGAATGAAGCGTTGCAGGAAGTGCTCAAGTCTCACTCGCTACGCATGCAAAATTTGGCAAGGGGAAGGGATATTTCACGCCTGGCGGTGCGCGAGAGGAATGCGAAGCTTGCAGAGCTGCAGGCACGCGTGAAGACGCTCGAGGCGGAGCTTGAGACGCAGAGGGCCGTCATAGCGAACTTGAATTGGCAGAAAGAGACGGGTCAGTTTAATTGAAATGGACCCGAATTTGCTGGGTATTTCCGGATAATTTGTCGGAATCGCTACCGGCATTGGTCTATTTCCAATGCTTTGTCTACCACTTCCGCAACTGCACGCTTGGAGGACAGGATTTGAATAGCAGTCAACTCACGTCGCAATCGCCGAAGCATCTGAGTGTAATCGCCAAGATGCCAGCTTGCGCAGATGTTGAACATGGTCCAAACTTTCTTCCCTTTTTTCTCTTTCTCACATCAGCCCCTGATTTGGAGTTTCTTGTCAGGCAATGGCACGATCCCCGCTGGGTTTTTATGGTCTTGATGTATTTGAACCAGCCTTCACCGTTGCACGAACCACACCTCCCTCGACTTTTGAAACGCCGGCTTGTCTTTTATGCCTTTTGTTTGCTTTCACGAAAGGTATCGCGGTGGCACTCCGCTATCCTTGCTGCTGTCACGTTTTCTGACGACGTCAGTCATGTGCCGCGACAATCCAAGTTCTTCCTCATGGCTTTTGCACGAACTGGCCCGACGATCGAGCCGTATCACAGCACGAGGTTTCTGGGATGGAACACGTGCTGCAGCATGATTTTCTTAGCTTACGCTTTTCTTGTAGACCTATGCTCCTGGACGTGCTATAGTAGCTTGTCCGTGGGACCTTCGACTCACCGAGAAGCAAGCAGCATAGTTATTCGATTCCAAATGTTTGATTGCCGATTGTTCCCACACTACTCTTCGGATGCCACGCCCAAGAAGAGCAATCGAGAGCTGTCATGTGTGCATACCGACAGTAATGAGCATAGTAAGCATGCATGCATTGCAGATCATCCCTGTATCTGGAAAAATTTCCTCTCGTGCTTCGATTCTGCATTTAAAGGGCGTTGTGTCGCCGTAAGCACTGTCTATCGATTGGCTCAATGATGTATGGTTTTCTTGATGCTGTGCGAGGCGAAGTGATCCGCTCACAGGCGCTCAGACATGCAGTTGACTGATCGACGACGCAGATCCACCTCATATTACTGTGACGGCAATTCTAATTAGAGGGGCGATTGCAGCACTTGCATTGGACGAACATATGGATGTGGTAGAGCTTCAACTCCACGACTGATGATCTCGAACAGGGGAATGAGAAACGGGCCCCAGCATCATATAATCTCGTTTGTTTATTCCCACCAACTAAAAAGCAAAGGCGTCGGAGCTCGGCATACACGTTCGGGTTTGAGAACCAAGCATTGCTAAGCTTTCCGGAGGCGACAGACATGTGGAGAAGAAAGGGGCACGTTTGGCGCCGGCGAATGTGTTCGATGGCGTTTGGCTGGTTGTTTGGCTGAGCCGGCGTTTGGATGTGGGGAAGAGCCGCGTAATAAGACAAGCTTCCTCCCCTTCCCCGGTTGGATCGGCTGACGACGAAGCTCCTGTTTCATGCTAACGATGGCGTTTTATTTAGTGTTCCAAGAGCCGGGGCAGCTGCAGCAAAGCGTGCAGCGGTGAGGGGACTTGACATGTGCGATAAAATGTCATCAAAAAAAAAAAAAAAAGGCGCTTCGCAGTGTTGCAGGAGCGAGCGAGGCGTGGGCGCGGGCGTCACAGGGAGCGAGGCGGTGGACTCAGGATGCAAGGTGAGTAGAAGTGTGGTGCGCGGTTCGACGGCCACGAAGGGAAGGGGTTGGTGTCAGTTTAAGCAGGCGGCCGGGGAGCTGATTGGCTGTGGGTTAGCGACGGCCAACGTCGACGTCAACACCGGCGGCGGAAGCGAAAAAGCTTGGGTCCGGAAGCGAGGCGAATCGCGCCACGGGCTGCCTGCCGTCTCAGATCACAGCATCTGCGTGGCTCAGTCATCCTCCGGCACTCGGCGTGCGCCTTTTGTGCGGCCCGCTTGCCAAGCTGCGCAAAAATGGCGACGCATGAGCCGCCTAGCCGCATGGAATGCGCCAATCGCCGGCAGTGCGCTTTTTGTGCGGACGCCGCTAGCTGCCGGGCGTCGAAGAATGGCAGGCTCCACTGCACCTGAAGAACCGCGCCCCTTCCGGCTTAAAATCACCCCAGCGCTCCCGATCAACTGGCTGTCCGAGTTTCACAGACGCCGCCTGCTCCACTCGTGCGCGGTTTCACCTGCATTCCTCCAAGGCGCATACGCAGCCAGCCACGACCACCTCCTTCGTTGTTACCCCTACCACCAGCTTACAAAAAATGACCGCGCCCAGCTCTGGGCAGCGCCCGTGTCGTGTAAACACGACCATATTCATATCCAACCTGCACTGCCCCTCGTGCGTGACCAGCATCCAAGAGGCCCTGCAAGCTCTCGACCCCGCCCCGGATTCCATATCTCACAGCATCGTGTCGCACTCGGTCACCCTCTGTCACGACCCCAGCTTGGCAGTCGACCGCATCTCCAACGCTCTGGAACTCGCTGGCTTCGAGGTCCACAGCATCTTCCGAGACTCGCACCCTGTCCACCAGCCGGACCTTTCTCCCGACGAACTCGACGACAACGATGCCGAGTGGGAGAAGAGCCTAGAGCAAGCCGTCCGCCGCTGGAGCCAGTGGAGAAATAGCAGCAAGGTCCCCGACATGACGAAGCGCCAGAGACACATCCAACAGTGCGCGCAGTGCGCCGCTGAGTGCGATCCTTCCAAGAAACATGCCGCCGCTGGTTCGGACTACGAGCTTGATGCTCTGCACCTTGTCGACACCAAGAAAACCCTCGATGCCGAGAAGCTCAGCATCGTCTCTGGCCTCTCCGGGAGATTCAGTCTCGACTCCGTCGTTTCAACCACGCCTAAGTCCGCCCAAGTCTACCACGCCTCCATCGCCATCACCGGCATGACCTGCTCTGCCTGTGTCGGTTCCATTACTCGCGTGGTCGAGGAGCTCCCGTACGTTCGTTCTATTGCTGTGTCTCTGTTGACCCACAGCGCGTCGATTGAGCTTGACGGGAAAGACAACATTGACAGCGTCATTGGAGCCATCGAGGACGCTGGCTTCGATGCAAGCCTCGATTCCATCGAGGAAGCCGACAACCGGAGAAAGTCTGTCCGTCCACCGGAAGCCGACAAGTGGAGGGCAGTTTATTCCATTGGAGGCATGACATGCAGTGCCTGCACCAATGCCGTCACCGCCGGCGTCCAGCAGCTTCCCTGGGTCGAATCCATCAACGTAAACCTCCTGTCGCACAGCGCCACTGTCACCTTTAACGGAAAAGAAAACACGGAGGCAATCAGAGAAGCCATCGAGGACTGCGGTTTTGACGCAACGCTAGACAGTGTGACGAGGGTGGCGCAGGAGATCCAGCAGGACGCTCGTCGCACTGTCATGATTCGGATAGACGGCATGTTCTGTCACCATTGCCCATCGAACGTAATTGACATCTTGAGTCGGGAATACATGGGTGCGGTGCAGGTTGAGACCGTCCCCTCTCTCAAGGAGCCGATCCTACAGATCAGATACACTCCGAATGTCCCCCAGAACTTCACCATCAGGCATATCATCAAGACTATCTCGAATGTCAACCCCGCGCTGGAGCCTTCGATCTACCATCCCCCGACTCTTGAAGAACGAGCTCGCGATTTGCATGCCCGGGAAAGGAAGAGAATCCTTCTGCGTCTTGGTCTCTCTGTCGCTGTGGCCATCCCGACCTTCGTCATCGGCATCGTCTTCATGAGTCTTGTTTCGAGTCACAATTCAGCACGCATGTTCCTCATGGAACCTATGTGGTCGGGTGGAGTTAGTCGGACTCAATGGGCACTGTTCATCCTAGCCACCCCGGTTTATTTCCTCGCAGCCGACACGTTCCACAAACGAGCCTTCAAGGAGGTTCGCGCGCTATGGCGGCGTGGTAGCCGGACGCCAATCCTTCAGCGGTTTTACCGTTTCGGCAGCATGAACATGTTGATGTCTCTTGGCACCAGCATTGCATACTTCGCGTCCATTGCGGAACTTGGTCTAAGCGCCACTGGTACTGAGCACGTGGATGAAGAAAACTATTACTTCGACTCGGTGGTTTTTCTTACCATGTTCCTCCTTATTGGCAGATTCCTCGAAGCATATAGCAAGACCAAGACCGGCGATGCTGTGACTGCTCTTGGAAGTCTTCGCCCTACAGAGGCTATACTCGTCGACACTGTGCAGATGAAGGATCAGAAGGTGAGCGTCGATCTGCTCGAGGTCGGCGATGTAGTCCGGATCCAGCATGGTAGTACGCCACCCTTTGACGGCACTGTCATGGATGCATCTGCCAAGTTCGACGAGTCAAGTCTTACAGGAGAGTCACGGCTAGTCCCCAAGGAGATCGGCGACACTGTCTACGCCGGAACCGTGAACAAGGGCGGCCCGATCCAAATGAAGCTGACTTCCATTTCTGGCTCTTCGATGCTCGACCAAATTATCAAGGTCGTCCGCGAGGGTCAGACCCGCCGCGCACCCGTTGAACGTGTCGCGGACATGATCACTAGCCACTTTGTTCCTGTGGTCGTTGCCATTGCCATTACGACATGGGTTATCTGGCTTTCTCTTGGGCTTTCTGGGTCGCTTCCGGACGACTACCGCGGAAGCCACTCTGGCAGCTGGGAGCTTTGGTCTTTACGTTTTGCCATCGCTCTATTCGTCGTGGCTTGCCCGTGTGGGATCGGTCTTGCTTCTCCCACTGCACTTTTCGTCGGCGGTGGCCTCGCCGCTCGGCACGGAATTCTGGTGAAGGGCGGTGGCGAAGCCTTTCAAGAAGCGAGCTCTCTTGACTGCATCGTTTTCGACAAGACCGGTACTCTGACCCAGGGAGGCGAACCTGCGGTCACTGACGCTGAGATCCTGTCTCCTCTGGAGGAAGATGAAGTTTGCGGCCTAGCCAAGCGTCTCGAAGAGAGCAGTAGCCATCCCATCGCCACCGCCATTTCAACCTTCTGCGCCTCCCACAAGATGCGCGACTACCAGGTTGTCGACATCCAAGAGCTCCCCGGGAAGGGCCTCAAGGGCACATTCAAAACCGTTGGCCCCGAACCCCGGACAATTGAAGTCATCATCGGCAACGAATCCCTCTTCGTCGACCATAATGTCATCATCCCAAGCGCCACCCATGGCGTACTTGACGGCTGGAAGCGCCAGGGCAAATCAATCGCCCTCATGGCCACCTCTGTCGACGGCGGAGCCTGGACTCTTACGGCCGACTTCGCGATCGCTGATGCTCTCCGTCCAGAAGCTCGTCACACGGTTGCAGCACTGCAGGCGCGCGGCATCGACGTGTGGATGCTGTCAGGCGATAACCCAACAACGGCGGTGGCGGTGGGCGCGCAGGTGGGCATCCCGAGCTCGAATGTGATCGCGGGCGTGCTGCCAGACCAGAAGGCAGAGAAAATTCAGTATTTGCAGAAGACGCTGAGTAGCCGTCACAAGAACAAGAAGAAGGGGGGAAAGAAGGCCAATGGGAGAGCAACCGTCGCCATGGTCGGTGATGGCATCAACGACTCCCCAGCCCTGACCATGGCTGACGTCGGCATCGCGATCGGCTCTGGCTCTGACGTGGCCATCTCATCCGCCGATTTCATCCTAGTAACCAGCTCGCTCGAGGCTGTGTTGACGCTGGTGGAGCTGTCACAGAAGGTTTTCAGGAGAGTGTGGTTCAATTTTCTTTGGGCAGGCGTGTACAATATCTGCGCCATGCCTATCGCTGCGGGCGTGCTGTATCCTGTCAGGACTGCCAGCGGCAGCCATGTCAGATTGGATCCGGTGTGGGCAAGTTTGGCGATGGCATTGAGTAGTGTGAGTGTGGTGTGCAGCAGTCTCTTGCTGCGGAGTAAGGTGCCCGGGGTGGGATTCAGGCCGAAAAGATGGGAGAAAGAGTGATGATCGAAGCGGGTGTGTTGGTGGTAGTACATTGTCGATCAGTGGGAAATAAGGGGGTTGCGGTTTTTCATCTTTAGCGCTCTTCCGGTTGCTTTTAATAGGCAGTGATTGATACCCCTGGATGATATTGTCTTTTATTCTCTCTCATTCTCTGACTTGGTTCCCCAAAATCCTAATTCGAGGCCCTATTCTTTTGGTGGTGACGGTCGTTCAACATCTGGCTCAAAGAAGTGAGGATGCTACTGTGAGAGATCTGCAGGGAAGAGTTGCCTGTAAGCCGAAGAAGAGAAAATGAACGGGGCTACTGTTCCTACTACAGTCGCAGGGTGATAGTAATTCTGGACTAGAGGTCGAACGTCAATCTTTTGAGGCATATAGGTTACAAGTAGGTCATGATTCAATATCTCGGCGGAGGATCGCCGATAGACTTTCACTATGTAGCAACCGGGAGTTTGCCAACTATTATGTATGTACGGCCGCAGACCGGTATTTGATTCTTGTCTTCTCTATTTGCAGCAACGGTGGATTTCCTCAAAAAAGAACTTCAAGTCATCTGGGTTGACGAAAGGAGTGATTCCTGGATGGTGGATTAGTTGAATTCGTTCGCCTTGAACAGATTGTAGGATTCGTACCGTGGCCCAGATTAGCGATCCAGCCTTGCTTACCGCCACCGAAGCCCCGCACCATTTCCTCGACGGTAGCAGTAATGGCTTGTCTGCTGCCATAGAGCACACCGGGATCGGCGTTGCCCTGCACGACCTTGCCGTTTGCGTTGGCAATCTTGTACGTCTCAGCGGGGTCATGCAGCCAGTCAAGGCCAATGACGTTGTAGTTGGTGTGGCAGAGGTCCTCCAATGCGTACCAAGCACCCTTGGCAAAGACTGTCATGGGCACGGGCTCATGGCCCAGCTCCTTCAGGCGGTTGGGCAGATTGTCGGCAATGTGCTTCAAGTACGGCAAGGAAAAGACTTTGAAGGTGGCAGGAGAAAGTTCGCCGGCCCACGAGTCGAAGACCTGGATCATCTGGGCGCCTGCTAGAACCTGCTCGGCGAGGTAATCAACGCACAGCTCCGCAATCTTCTGCAGCAGAGCTCTGCTCGCGTCGGGGTACTTGTAGATCCATGTCTTGACCTCCTTGAACATCTTGCTGCCGCCGCCCTCGACCATGTAGCTGAGCAGGGTCCACGGAGCGCCGCAAAAGCCGAGCAGCGGCACGCGGCCGGCGAGTTTCTTGCGCGTCAGGGTGATGGCGTCGTAGACGTACTGCAGCTCCTTCTTGACGTCGACGTGGCGGGCCATGATGTCCTTGTATTGCTGGTCGTCGGGCGAGCGGAGAGGGTCGGGGAAGTGCGGGCCCTTCTTGTCGACCATGACGACGTCCATGCCCATGGCCTGCGGAATGACCAGGATGTCGGAGAAGATGATGGCGGCATCAATCAGGCCGGCGAAGCGCTCAATGGGCTGGAGGGTCAGCGTCGACGCAATCTCGGGCGACCGGCAGCACTCAAAGAAGTCGCGCTTGCCCTTGGCTTCGTGGTACTCGGGGAGGTAGCGGCCGGCTGTTCCGTCAGCGGCCGTGGAGCTGAGGGGTGAATCGGAAGCTTACCCTGGCGCATCACCCACATGGGGGCGCGCTCGACCTTTTCGCCTGCACGCGGGATCTTAGCATGTCAATTGGCGAGGCGGGCGGTCGTAGCTCACCCCTGGCGGTGCGCAGGATCAGGTCATTCTGCAAAGGAGCGAAGTGCGTCATGATGGGCGAGCAGCGGGCTGGAGGTGCTGGTGGCTGCGGTGGTGGGGTTGATGCGACTTTTTGAGCGGGTGATCGACACCGTCCGTCGCGCCAACGGCCGGCCGCCGCTGCCTTCCAGGGCCCCAGGCACCACCACTGCTGTAGATCTTCTCGTCCACTCGTTTGAACCATGGGCCTGCGTCTCAATGGCTCGCTGCCTCGTCGTCTGGCTTCCTGGACATGCGCCGCTGCCGTTTCGCGCCCACGCACGGTGCGAACGCGCCCCGTCGCGTCGACCTTCGGTGCTGCTCTGCCCTTGACTGTGTCCAGCGTCTTTGCCCGCGGCAAGAAGACGACAACATTGGACGCCAAGGATCTGCCGCAGGGCCTCATCGGTGGCGCGCCGCTCGAGGATCCAGACGAAGATGCAGGCCCTGCATATCCAACCGTCTTGCAGCAAGTCCGGAACAACATGCGCAAGTTCGACCACTGTGTTCTGCTGACCCGCATCGGCAACTTCTACGAGGTCTGCTTCCAGCTGCTGCCCAAGCCGGGAAAATGCTGACTGGAGGCTCAGCTGTACTTCGAGCATGCTGAAGAATATGGGCCCCTCTTGAATCTCAAGGTCTCGCAACGAAAGAGCAGACCAGGACTTGGTCCTGTTGCTATGGTTGGTCTGTGCCAGGCCGCCAAGTGACCGCTGTTTGACATTTGCATCGCAGGCCGGATTCCCCTACTTCCAGCTCGACCGGTTTCTGAAGATCCTGGTCCAGGACCTCAACAAGTATGTGGCCATCAGCGAGGAAATCCGAAATGATGCCTCTGCCAAGGTCAAGTCGGGCGGCCTGCTGTTTGACCGCAAGGTCTCTCGCATCATCACCCCCGGAACTCTGATAGACGAAAAATTCATCGATCCTTGGGAGAACAACTACTGCCTGAGCGTGCACGTCGAGCCCGAGGCCTCCGACGTTGGCCTTGCCTGGCTCGACATCTCAAGCGGCGAATTCTTCACGCAGAGCACAACAGTCGCCGGCCTTTCTTCAGCCCTGGCCCTCATCGGACCTCGCGAGGTTGTCGTCGACAGCGCACCGCATACGACGCTCGTCGGCATCTTGGAGCAAGACCGCCACGTCATCACCTTCCATCAACGCGAGCCAGGCAGCAAAGTCCCGGATGATTATGCTCGCCTGGTCGAGGAGGCTGTGCCTGGGTGTAACACCTCAGCCTTCCCGGCCCTCGAGTTGGCCGCTGCAGCGTCTCTCCTCGACTATGTACGCACTCAACTCCAGGGTTCGAGTGTTGCCTTGCAGCCGCCAGTACGCCGCGAGGCAGATGAGTTCATGGCCATCGACAAGAACACGCTGAGGGCACTAGAGCTGCGCGCCACCTTGAGAGAGGGAAAGCTCGAGGGCAGCCTACTGCACTCGGTCCGGAAGACTGTCACGAAAAGTGGCACAAGGTTGCTGACGCAGAGACTCAGTAAGGACCCCAACGCCGTCCGTTTGCTCACAGACTGATGGCCCGAAAGCATCTCCTTCCATGTCGCTTGACATCATAAACGAACGACTGGACCTCGTCACGGCGCTGATCGAAAATCTGGCATTGCGTGAAAACCTGGTTGCGCTTCTGCGTCGGTCTTTCGACACGTGGCGCCTGGTCCAGAAGTTTTCGATAGGTCGAGGCGATGCAGATGATCTTCTGGAGCTGTCGAAGACAATTCAAATTACCAAGGACGTTGCACAACTTCTCCAAAATGAGACACCCGGTGGAGGGTCTTTCGACGGACTGGTCCGCCGGCTCTCATTGGACGGCCCCGGCCGTCTCGCCAAACGTATTCTGGATGCCATCGACGAGGAGGGTCTCTCGGAGCAGCACCGCATGGAAGATGACGAGGCGGCAGCAATGGCCGGCCTCGCCGTCGAGGTGCTCGCGCTGGAGGGCGAAGAAGTCAAGTCGGGGAGCATTGCGAAGCGGGCAAAGGCTAAACAAAGCAGCAAGCCCGGCCCAAGCAAGGCCGTTGATACGGGTATGCCTGACGTTTGGATCATGCGCCGAAGGTAAGGGATGATCCCAAGAGCCTCGTGGTGCGTCATGCGTCGGCTGACAGTCCCAGTGCGAGTACAACATTGACGAGACTGCATGAAGAAGTGGAAAAACTAGCTCGAGAGAAGGATGGTCTTAGCGTCCGCCTGCGAGAGGCAACAGGTGGGCGAACCTGCTTTTTCCGCTGTTGGCCTACGGGCGCTAACCCATGGCCGCAGGAGCTCCGGGGCTGACCTTGCGGTGGACGCCCGGGCTGGGACACATTGTTCACATCAAGGGCAAGACCGGGAGCATGGCCAATCTGGAGTCGGCACGGAGTGTCAGCTCGAGCAGATCTACCCGTTCGTACCACGTCCCCGAGTGGACTCACCTTGGAAACCATATGGACGACGCGAGGCTGCGCATACGCTCAGAAGAGCAGCGCGTGTTTGGCCAGCTTAGGGCGGAGGTTGTCCGGAACCTGGTCAATCTGCGGCGCAACGCGGCAGTTCTCGACGAGCTGGACGTGGCGTGCTCCTTCGCTACGCTGGCCGAGGAAAGAGGGCTGATTCGCCCCAAGCTGAACCACGGGTACGTTTACCCTGGCAATCTCGATCGACTCGGGAGTGCTGACGGTGATAGGACGGCCCATAAGATCGTCGGCGGCAGGCATCCGGTCGTTGAATCCGGCCTGCTGGAGCAGGGCAGAAACTTCACCTCTAACAACTGCAACGTTGGCGACGACGAGCGGATCCTGCTCATCACTGGGCAAGTTTCTCCCCACACCACCTCGTATATGCTTTTTCCTCTAACGTTCGGGCAGGCCCAATATGGCGGGCAAAAGCACATTTCTGAGACAGAACGCATTGATTTCCATTCTAGCTCAGACAGGGTCCTTTGTGCCTGCAGTATACGCGGAGATCGGCCTTGTCGACAAGGTCTTCAGCAGAGTGAGTCCCGGCACGGCGGGCCCATTACGACGGCTAACATATCTTGCAGGTCGGATCTGCAGATAATCTTTACCAAGATCAGTCAACCTTCATGGTGGAGATGCTCGAGACTGCCGAGATCCTAAAGCAGGCGACCCCCCGGTCATTCGTATGCACGACTTCTCTGCTGCTGCCGAGTGCTCGCTGACATGGCAAAGGTCATCATGGACGAGGTTGGACGAGGCACAACGCCCGAGGATGGCATCGCGGTCGGCTATGCATGCTTGCACCACCTCTACCACGTAAATCGTTGCAGAGCGCTTTTCGCGACGCACTTTCACACGCTCGCCGACATGACTGCCGGATTCGAGAAACTGGGCTGTTATTGCACCGATGTCGAGGAAGGGGCGGACGGCACTTTCGCGTACGTGCACCGGCTTCGAAAGGGGATCAACCGGAGATCCCATGCGCTCAAGGTGGCGCGGGTTGCTGGTAAGTTGCAAGCGCGGGGGCTGCGCGGGGAGGGTTTCAGTGCAGCTGTGCCGCTAATGACTGCCTTGTAGGACTGCCGGACGAGGCCATCAAGGAGGCCGAGCGGGTACTGGAAGAGTTGAACATGTCGCCCTCCAGGTCGCACAACGAGTTGTAGCTCGCGCAGGGTCCACAGTAGCTGTATGTACACTGGTAGCTCCGGGACCGTGGCAGAGAGGCGTGCCACAGGGCGGCTCAGGGCCACCGACTGGGTGCCTACCGGGCACTCAGCTGCTGTGCAATGGTTACTTACGTGACTCAATAAAGAGCCGGTGACGGACAGCTGATCGGCGGGGGTGCTGAAGTATAGTGAGTGCGTAAACTCCACCTGCAGCGTCTTTAAATATTGTCCGCCCTGGACCTCACAACGCCCTAGGGACCTCCAACTCCTCTACCATACACACAACTCTTCGCTGGCCAAGGTAGCCGAGCTCCTGCTGGCCTAAATAGACGCCGCTGAACCACTCCCCTGCAACTTCACCAAGCTGTCCGCTACCGACCCCGGTCTGCCCCGACAAAACGAACCATCCCGGCTCCCGCCACCCGCAAAAGAACCCTTTCGCATATTACCCTTCCTACTACCGATCATGGCGAGCACAAAACTCAATAACATTCGCTTTCCTGCGGGAGACGACGACCACCGCGCTGCTCGGCTGCGGTGTGCAATGGCCTGTCAGGCATACAACATGATGCCGGAGAACGCGACCGTGGAGCAACGGTCAAAGCTATGGAGGAAGTAAGTGAATCCTTGCATGGTGTTATAAAAATAAAAAAAGGCTTACACACGGCATCAGCATTGTGACCACTGGCTCCATCACTCCGCCCTGTGAGGATGAGCTCGAAAACATCGCGACCGGCCGAAACAGCAACAACCCATTCTCCAAAGGTGCTCCGTACGTAAAGCCGCCGATTCACATCGACTACGGTACCAGGCTCCAGATCGGGGCGTCGACCTTCATCAACCGCAACTTCACTGTCAGCGACACGCCGATCCTCCCCGTCACTATTGGCGAACGTTGCCTGATCGGGCCCAATACGTCGATCTATGCCGTTGGCCATCCCCTCGACTACCGCGAGCGCGCCGGACCGCTGGGAGCGCCGAGCATTGCCAGCTCGGTAATTATCGAGGATGACTGCTGGATTGGCGGCAGTGTCATCATCATGTGAGTACCACGTCCATGACTTCTCTGTACTGCCGTGATTAAGCTGACGTGTTTGTCTTGTAGGCCCGGTGTGTGCATTGGGAGAGGCTGTGTGATCGGCGCGGGCAGCGTAGTGACGAAGGTAAGCAAGTAACCAGCATGCAGCGGGCTGCAAGCACACAGCCCGTCAGGATGATCCCTAAATTAAGAAAAACCATGGGCCACCAATCCCAGAGCCGCAGTCAGCCTCTGCCCTGTTGCCTGATCACCACGCTGCGCTTTTAGCACACCACCAACCCTCCAGCCTGGTCACGGAATTCCGATCCGCGCGCCCCGTCCGCTAACATCTCACAGGATGTACCGCCCGAGCATCTCGCGTACGGCAATCCTGCGCGCGTCATTCGCAAGCTTACCGACGGCCCCGCCGAATCAGAGCACGCCCCGGCCAAGCAGATCTCATCCGCCCATCTATCTCCCGATTCCGATGCAGCAGCAACCGCCAAGAGCGATCCGACAATGACAACATCCCTGGCCGCGCCCCCATGCTCCCATTGCTCCTGCTCCCCACGTCTGCCCCGGGCCTTGTCTTCGCACGCCGAACCGTTGTTGCTGACAGTGCAGGCGATGCTCCTATTCGCCGTCATTCTTCTGCTGTTGCGCACCTACACGTAACTGTGCGCACGCCTCTTTCTCCCACCCTTCTTTTCCCCTGCGCTACCAGCTCCGGTGGTGTGGTTACAAGGCGCGCGCACACACGGTGCCGCCGCAGCTAACAGCGGTAGGCAGCCGCCACCGCTGGCTGGCTGGCTGCTGCGGGTGCTCCATGCTGCTGCGTAACCATCGAAGACAGGTCACCTCGCGGCTGAGGTATCACAATCCGACACGGGCACGCATATGGCCCAGGCATGCTTGCAGATACCCAGGCGCGTACCTTTGTTTCTTTTTTTCCCTTACACCGGAGTGAGATGGCTTCTGGAACTTCTGGCGTTTTGTCCTGTGGCATCTCCTCTCTGTTGCAAGATTCCCATAGCTTTGCATTTGGAAGGGCTTGGATAATGCCTTCTCCCTGCCCTTGCCTCGTCTCCTTGATGTTTTGCAGCATGTCAAAAAAAGCGACAACCGCGGCGTTCAGATTTGGCTGTGAAGATTTTTTTCCCCTTAGGCGCCGGAGCAATTAATTTCCCTTGATAACCTGATTGGTTTTGCTGCATTGTTTGATTGTCTTCCCCTCTTGGATATGGCCACGAATCATTGCTCCACTTGGACCAATCCTGTCTAGATGGAAAGTCGACTTTTCTGCTTCCTTTCTCTCTCCAACCGGGTACATGCGTGCATTCTACATGCGCTTGCGTCGCATGACGGGGACCGGTCAGAGCAGCTCAAGAGGCAAGGAAATATATGGATACGACACCCGCGTTAGCATCAACAGCGCCGCCAACAAGACTGGGCCCGCCAGCGGACAGCGGCGGCGAATCCGCAAGTCTGGGCCAGTAACGGAAGGGCTCGCCGCCGAGACGCGGTTACCAAGTATGCGTACACAGGGATCAGGCCGGTATGGATACTTTTCAGCAGTCGTCCAAAGCAAACCCTGGCAAGGCAACGGACCGCCCTGCATAAGCGGAACGGGTAGTTTGTGCTTCCGCGCCTGCGCCTCGGGGCCGGAACAGCACATCATCGGCGCGATCATCCGCATGAGAAGGGGTAAGGCGTGAGAGACGGAAGATCGGGTTTGGTAATGCGCATGCTCGGTATTGGCCGCCTTCCCCTGTTCCTCTATTCGACCGGACTACTCTCCGTCTTCGTTGGAGCATGAGCCTCTTTGAACTCGATGCTAAGCTTACGGGATGTGTGAATCACGCTCCGCTACCGCCTAGGGCTTTTGCACGTCCGACACTATACGCTACGTCTTGTATGCTGTATCTTTGTACCCTATCTTCCCACAAATTACCCGCAGTCATTGGTCCGCAACCGCATGCACATGTGTGTGTGCATGTCGTGCTAGGCCAGGTCGTCGCTGTCTTCACGGGATATCATTTCCCGTTTGTCATGACGTCCTTTCCATGATTGCGTCGCCGCTCCATCGTACGATAGTCTCGCTTCCGTGGCAAATGTCCAAAAGGAACGTCTTTTTTCTAAAATCCTTGTCTTAAGGTTGAGGCAATACCTTCACATTCGCTTTCCCCAGCAATTGATGGCGTCAGAAGAAAACAACGCTTCCCAGCGCAACGGTCAACACACTTCTCGCACTGGCTTCCCTCCTTCCCGTTTCTTTTTTTCTTCGCTATGCAATCTGCTTGCTCGCAAACGCCACACTCGATAACAGCAGCCTTTTTCAGATATATCGGCATGTCGCACGAGCCTCCTCTTTCCAGAAAATTCCCCCATTCTGGCCCCCACCATTCAGCGATGAGAAAAAGCAAATATAGCTACCCGTGAGCAAGGAAACGAGGTTTCAAATTGCTCGCGTGAACCTCGTAGATCTCGATCTCACTTCCCGCTTGCGTACTGCCCGGCCTTTTTTTTTTTTTTTGGTCCCAAACTCTGGGGCGTTGGATTACCCGGCTGATAGGCTGGGCTGTCCTTCTTTCCTTTCTCTTCACTGCCATGTCCCTGTCGCTTGCTTGCCCCATGCTCCTATCGAGGAACTGCTGGGGCTTTTCTATAGCCACTTCTAAACGGCCCTGCATTTTCATGCGTCAGCGCGCATCTATCTTGCTTAGAAAAGTTGGTGGGTCCTGGAGCCGGTTTCTCAGCCAGCCCTGTTCCCATCCCCCTCCTGCTCTTTCCTTTCTCATCGTCCATGCAAACCCACCACGCCGTTTCACCTTGCAGTTGCCGTCCCTTCCGATGCGCTAATCGACCCAAAGGTATGGGTACTATCGTCGGGATTCCCCTTTCTGTACGACACTGCAGAGATGGGCGGCTCAAGGCTTCGCGACTAGTCCGGGGAACTTACCTTAGAACATATGGAGTACATGTTTGTACGAGACGGGATCGATATCCACCTGAGTCGGGAGAAAGCAGTGGCTTGCCTGTCGAGGACTTGGGAAACAAGGCAAAACAAGGCAGCCACGAATGCTGCCCATCCATGTCTCCCATTCCTCTTTCACTGCGTTGCTTCTGATGGATCTGTACCTTGCTCAGCTCACGATCGGGATCCGGCTGACTACCGCCACCGTCCTTCTTCAAGAAGGAGATCTGTCACACCTGATGCACAGCGGAGCGACAGCGCGGCATTTTCTTTTCAGCCGCCCCCCGGCTCTTAATATTCCTCCTTGCACTTCCCTCTACCCTGCCCTCTTTTTTGCGCCTCACCACGCGTCGCATTCCAGTGGGCACCGGAGTTGCCTTCCTTGTTCTTTTCCATTCTCAACCTTCAGCTCTCTCTATCTCTCTCGCTCTCGCATCTCATCACAACCTTCCTCTCCTTTTTCCATTTCTGGCTGCTTGCGTTACTCTATCAACAATCGCCGTCGGCACTTGCCCGTAGTTGAAGCAAACTGCGACGGCTTTCCGAGCGTGACGTACCCCACCAAGAAACGGAGAGAAAAGGAGAGAAGGAAAAGGTGAGGATTGGCGGTCCAGGGGGCCCTGTGATGGCTTGCCGCCCCGGTCCCTGTTCCCAAGACACCCACCGCCCCCATCCTCTGGCGGGGAAGAAGGAGCTGTGGCGTAATATTTGGCGGGAGCCGTATGCTAACGGCCCGCGCCCTTGTGGCTTGGCGGAAGGTGGGCACACGGATTTCAAGACAATAAAAAAAGGGAGCCATGGAGATGAAGGGGACGGGACGCTGCTGGCTGAAAGCACAAAAGAAAAGAAGAGGGGAGGAAAGGGTAGTATAATATCTCGCTGTTTGTCATGTTTTCGATAAATCGAAAGCCGAACCGGGCAAATGGCAGGGGTGCAGAAGGAAGTGGAGTATGGACGGATCATTCAGCTCCAGATCAACTCATCTCAGCTCAGCTGAACTCGACGCCAGCTTCCACCTAACCTTGGTGCTTATGCGTAAGCATCCTTTGTCGCCAGAGGATGGGCAATGGCTGTCGGCCACACGCGAACTGTGTAGGTGGAACGGTTATCTTACACTATCTATGTTCTGAATGGCATCCAACCTCTCCTTGTCCATTAAGATTGTTGAATACACCTTCTTCATGCTTCCTGTCTTGCGCAAACTTGTGTCACATCCCCCTCATATCTCTCTTGGCTTTGGATGCGGCACGTCGAACACAATTTCATTGGTCATGTATGATAATTTCATTTAACTGACAGTCAATTGGACAACATAAATTGATGCCGGTTCGCAATCCAAGAAAAACTTCCAATGGGAGCTTGCACAGAACTTGGGCAAAGGCATGTATTCGGGAGTGGAGAGCAAGCTATATACGTAAGGTTCTTTCAACCAACTCGATCAAAGCACCGAACCAACTTTCTGCGCCGTACACAAAAAAAAACATAATTTTTGGACTCCTTGTATCATACAGTACCCGTCATCATCTCGCCGCATGGCTGTCAAGAGCGGGCTTCGGGGCCTTGACTAGGCAGCGTATGTAGCAAAGAAATCTTTTCCTGCCGCAACCGGATCATGATCATGACGGTCCGCAACCATATGCTTCAACTACAACCCCCTTTTCCTCCCACATGTTTGAATTAAAACATAGTTCCGCCTGGGTGGCTTTCCCAGAAATCACGGCTGACACGCACTCTTATAACACGGAAGAGGAGGTGGAGACTGATGGTGTACCGACTGAAGCTCCACTTGCTCACTGACTTGGGGTCGAGCGGGAGTAGTCAATACGCAGGCGCCTACCGTAGATCTCCTTGTGCTTGAGAACCTCCATGGCCTTGGTCGCGCTGGTCTCGTCAAGGAAGTCGGCGTGGGCGAAGCCGCGGGGCTGGCCGGTGCGGCGGTCAATGGCGACACGCACATCGAGGACGTTGCGGATGTCGCGGAACAGGTCGTTGAGGTCGCGGTCGCTCATCTCAAACGACATGTTTCCAATGAAGAGCGTCTTGCTGGGCGGGTTCGGCCCTAGGTCGGCGCGTTTACGCTGGCGGTCCTCCGGTCCACGCCTCTTGTGGTGCTGGACCGTCAGCCGCCGGCCATCGAGAACGCGCTGGTTCATCTGCACCAGAGCATCGGTGGCGCTGTCGGTGGAGTCAAACTCGACGTAGCCGAACCTGCACGACAAGCGTTAGCGACTAAGTCCTCTACAAAGTTGGCCAAGGGAAAATACCCTCTACTAAGACCAGCGGGATCCCGGACGATCATCGTCTTGACAATGTTGCCGAAACGCGAGAATTCCTGTCTCAGGTGGTCCTCGGTCGTCTGGTAAAACAGGTTGCCGACGTAGAGCGTCTTCTGATTCTCATCCACCTGCGTGTATGGCCTGCGGTTGACCTGTCGCTCCGGCTGGGGTGCGGAGCCAAACGCCGCAGTCTCAGTCTGGGCGCTTTCAGCAGAGGTCTCGGCGTCGACGGCGGTGGCCTGCTCGGAGGTCACCGTTTCATCAGTGGTGTTTTCCTGGCTGGGGCGAACAGAGCTGGCATCCTCGCTGTTGAAGCGGCGCTGGCTCACGGCCAGCCATTGCTGCTGCTGCGGACGGAAAGCGGAGGCGGATGTGAGGCTGGTGAAGGTGCGCGGCCTGGCGGTAATGGCGATGGAAGCGCTGGAGGACGAGGCAGCGCGAAGCGCTGCGCGGCGGAGAAGATACCTGCGAGCGAAAAAATGTGGTCAACATCAATCCACCTCGTAGCACTGAAGTAGAAAAACTCACATGGCTAAGGAATTGGTGAGGAGGGTGTAGATGCAAAGATGGGAGGCAAATAGTGCCGTCGCCAAAGGTTCGATCAAGTCGGCAGTTTCTGGAACTTTTTGGCGCTAGCCTGCATGGGCCAAGTGCATTCACCAGCCACACCTCAACGCCTTTCGCGGATTGTTCGCCGTAAAGTAAACAGTCTCGTGACCGCAAAGGAATAACCGCCGGCCGGAGCTTTAACCCGTCTTCCACTGTGAAGATCTGTGCGGTTCACGCAGCCAATTGCGCTTTTGGTGACACAGGAACGTGCCTATGGCAGAAGCCAATCGTTAACAACCGGTTTCTCAATGCGCATATCGGTTTCTGGGAGCCAAATATAAAGCAGCATATCTTAGTCTGTATGTCTAATCTGCTCCCGGAGTCTATTGACAAAGCCACCGGCGTCATTATAGCGGAATGCATCACGCCGTGTAAACCCACCCATCAGTTTCCAACCATGCACTATGCAAAAGCCCTCCCCTTCTATCCATGAGTCATGGGCGAAGGTTTGCATGAGTATCTTTTTTAATAAACCAAAAACCGGATCATCGCAGAGGTGGTATCTGCCGCTCTATCGCCAAGAGGAGCTCTAAAGGTAATGCGGAAAGGAAAACCCCCGCTCGTGCCTCGGGGAGATGAGTCGTTGCGACTCTCTGTACAGGATGGATATAACATTGAAATTAGAGAGTAGGGTTCGAGCGGTACTCGGGAACGACGCCGTTGGCCTGAGACTTCTTCGTCTCAGACTCCGCCTCGAGAGGATTCTCGGGCTCGTCTTCGTGTTCCACGATGAACTTCTCCGCCTCAAGCGCGGCAATGCAGCCGGCGCCAGCGCTGGTGATGGCCTGCCTGTAGCGCTTGTCCTGGACGTCACCAGCGGCGAAGACACCGGGGACGTTGGTGAGGCCACGACCGGGCTCGGTGATCAGGTAGCCGTCCTCGTCCATGTCCAGCTGGCCCTTGAACAAGGCAGTAGCAGGATCGTGGCCGACGGCGTAGAAAAGACCGTTGGCATCCAGAGTCTCCGTCTCGTTGGTCTTGTTGTTCTTGACAACAAGGTGCGTCATGAGGCCACCGGCCTTCTCGTCACCCTTGATTTCGACACCTTGAGTGTTGTACTTGATCTCGACCTTGGGGTTGGTCTCGAGTCTCTTCGCGTTGGACTTGGACGCACGCAGCACATCGCGGCGGACGAGAACATAGACCTTCGAGGCCTTCTTCGTCAGGTAGATGGCCTCCTCAACGGCCGAGTCACCACCGCCGATGACGACGAGGGGCTTGTTGCGGAAGATCGGGGCGGAGCCGTCGCAGACGGCGCATGCGCTGACGCCGTTGCCCCAGTACTTTTCCTCGCCAGGCAGATTCAGTCTCCGCGCCTTGGCACCGGTAGCGACAATAATGGTATCGGCAGTGTGCGTCTCCTCCTCGAGGGTATCATCGTCGCCCATGGGGTGCAGCCAGTACTTGAAAGGACGCTGGCTCAGATCGACCTTGCCGACAGTCTGCGAAACGATCTCGGTGCCGCAGGCTTCGGATTGAGCGCGCATTTGGTCCTGTGTGAGAGGGCGCCAAATCAGGACTTGTTTTTTTGCAAGAGGGGCAGGACAGGTGGGCTTACCATCAGAGTAGAGCCCTGAATGTGCTTGAAGCCGGGGTAGTTCTCCACCTCGTCGGTGGTGGTCAATTGGCCACCAGCCGCGATGCCGAGCGCAAGGAAACCCTCATAGAGAACGGCTGCGTGGCTGTTAGCCGATATCTTCATGGCCGGCGGAGCGACTTACGCTTCAGGTCAGCGCGAGCGGCATAGATGGCTGCGGTGTGGCCGGCAGGGCCAGAACTGCAAAAAGACAGCAGTCAGTATCCTCTCTCGAGAGCCAAGCGGCCCGAATACCGGCGCCTCGCATGCAGGAGGGAAATATTCGTACCCGATGACTGGGGACGGACAGTTAGCTCTCGCCCGGGTGCATGCTTGGGGGTACAGGGACACGTACTGACGACCTTGGAGTGCATGGTTTTCGCGCCTTTGACTGCGTTGGAGATGGAAGAAGCGGCTGGAAGTCCAGAGGCGGCCGTTTGTCTCTGCTGCAAGGACGCGGCTGCGGCGAGCGGAACAGAAAGAGAGGCGCGAAGCGGAGAGACGGTCGCTCTGCGAAAGGCTGCGGCGAACAGTTTGGCGGTTGCGAGAAGAGAGGCTATGGGGTGACGGGAGTCTGGGTCCACCGAGGTGCGTAGAAATTCCCAAGGTCGGCGGCGAGCCGGCCAAATGACGGAATGCGGGCGGTGGGGCGGGGCGGAGGATGGGTGAAGCGAAGCACAGCGAAGTCGGTCGACGGGCGTGAGTTGCAGCAGGGCGAAGCCAAGTGTATTTATCGTCAACGGCAGTGGAGTCGAAGGCTCTGATGATTTCTAAGTCGTGGTACTCGAAGCTTCATGGCGCAATCGGCCGGCAAAGGGCCCTTGGGGGCTGACTCGCCGTGCGAAAGCCGGCGCCGGTGCCTCTCCAAAACTCGACTGCTTACTAGATGCCCCCGATCCAGAACTCAACGTCACTGCCCGTGCCCCTGTTCAGTCTTAGATAACCCGTTCCAGCCTCCCTTATCACGATAATCACTCGTCACCACCCCCTCCACGCTTGCGCAGATTCGCGATCCCGTACAACAACTCGCCCAGACCGGCACTGTTGCTTGTCTCCGCTGTGTCCAGCTGATTCGCCCGCCCCAGCTGTTCGTTCCCCGACATCGCAGCCGCGCTGTCCGCCCACAGCAGCCGCGCCGCCTCCTCTGCTTCCTGCGACTTGTTAGCTGCATCCTCACTCCCGGCTGTGCGAACTGTGGCCTTACCTGCTCAGAGCGCTTGTTGGTCGTTGACCCTGGCACGTGAATGTTGTCTACGGAAATGATCAACCCGTCCGAACCCGCCGCCACGTCCAAGACATTGCCAGAGATGGCCGTGGCCGTCGCCTGAACCTTCTCGGCGCCTTGCAGCGCTTCCACGTTGATGGAAATCAGCGCCGGCACGCCCTCCAGTGCCACCAAGATTGCCCTCTGTTCCGATTAGCAACCATACGTGAATTGCAAGGACGCCGTCCTACCTTCTCCCTCGCCGCCTGCGGGACTCCCCAGAGGCCGGACACTGCAATATTGAGCTCACGCCTTTTCTCGCCGGCGAATTCCCCTGCGTCGGGAACAGACGATAAGATGTCTCGGAGTGAGATCTTTCTTAGCAATTTGCCTTTCAGCCAGTCCCAGACGAACAAATGATCATCGCCGCCACCAGACACAAGAACTTGTGGCGTTGCTAAACACATCTTGCTAATGAACTCTTTGTGGCCAAGGCAGAAGCCTTCGATGATGTGGCTCTGGGGTTGGCCTCGAGAAATTCGAATGTGTTCATCGCGGTCCGCGGTCAAGATGTAGCTGCGAGGCCCCGACACGGAGGTCTTCGGTTCGGCCTCCAAGTCCTCGGCATCCAGAGTGACGAACAGCAGATCTGTCAGCATCGACACATGGCCAAGAAGTAGCTCGTGTTTGAATCGCAGGGGCTCCTTCGATTTTGCCTGAGTGTCCTGCTGCTTCAGCTGTGCTTCCAGAGCCTTCCGGTTTCTAGCTGTGTGCACAGTCAAATTAGTGGCCGACGGAACAAAGGCCTTCGGTGTCTGCTCCGCTTTGGCGACGAAAGCTTGCTCGTCCTCTGCAGTGTGGTGGAGCGGTAGGGCGTAGACGTCTCCGAACTTATCCGCGCAGAGGATCGTCTGGCCATCCTGATTTATGACAACCGCGCATGGCCGCTTTGGCATGGACCTGCAAACTGACTTCAATAAAGGGAATACGAACCGGGTGAAGTGACGTTCTACCTTTCACTCAGCTGCTTCAATGCCCCGCTTGGATCCAATGAAAAGACGCGCACACACTTGTCCTCGCCAGTTACGGCGACAATGTGCTGGCCATCTCTAGAAGCCACAAGCTTGATAATCCTGGGGCGCTGAGCCGAGTCATCTAAGACCTTTCTTTTCTTTTCAGGCGGCCCTTCTGCTGTCTCCGGCTGGCTGCTGTCCGGCTGGCGCAAAATTAGCCGATGCTTATGGATAAAGATGGTAGCTGCAGGCTTTTAACATGCAAAGTCGGCTCGAAAGATGCTTGGAAGCACACTTACGGGAGCATTACTGGGCGCCGCAGCAGACCATATGCTTCGGATTTCGCCGGCAGTGAGGTCGATGCTCAGCAGATTATGTGCACTCGCGGCTAGCAGCAGCCTGACCTCCTGCGAGCCCACGCGCTCGAGAGCGACAAGGCATTGGTAAGGGTGCTTCATAGTGGCAGCGAGATCGAGTTTTGGGTGGTGAGTCTGGTCTTGGCGCTGCCAAAAAATGGGCGATCGGCGCTAGCGCGCAAGCGAGGCCACACGCGGGCACGACATCATTTCAACTTTCTTGCGCCGGTGCTGCGACTTCAACAACAACGTTCCGACGAACGCCGCCCACCCACCGATCAGACGCTTTTGACTTCGCCTGAAATATCCTATACCTCACCGAAGCTATGGGGGGCAAGTCTCAGAACAAGGCCGCTTACTTCGATAAGCTCAAGGCCCTTCTCGAGGAGTACAAGTCCATCTTCATTGTCGGCGTCGACAAGTGCGTCTCCCGCCTCCGCCCTGGTCTTCTGCATCTAATGCGCCTCCAGTGTCTCCTCCCAGCAGATGCACGAGATCCGTGCTGCTCTCCGCGGCGTTGCCGTCGTCCTGATGGGCAAGAACACCATGGTCCGCCGTGCTCTGAGGGGCTTCATCGCCGAGAACCCCGAGTACGAGCGTCTCCTGCCCCACGTCAAGGGCAACGTTGGTTTCGTACGTGGTTCAATTGCTGTGGATACCGGGCGATTGCAGCAATGGCTGACAGACGATAGATCTTCACCAACGGTGACCTGAAGTCGATCCGTGACCAGATTCTCAGCAACCGTGTCGCTGCTCCTGCCCGTGCTGGTGCCGTCGCCCCGGCTGACGTCTTCGTCCCGGCCGGTAACACTGGTATGGAACCCGGCAAGACCTCTTTCTTCCAGGCCCTCGGTGTTCCTACCAAGATTGCCCGTGGTACCATTGAAATTACTGCGGACCTGAAGCTCGTTGAGGCTGGTAACAAGGTCGGTCCTTCCGAGGCCACCCTCCTGAACATGCTCAACATCTCCCCCTTCACCTACGGTATGGTTGTCTCCCAGATCTACGACAACGGCCAGACCTTCGACGCCTCTGTCCTTGACATCGAGGAGTCGCAGCTCCTCGCCACCTTCTCCTCGGCCATCACCACCATTGCCTCGATCTCTCTGGCCCTCAACTACCCCACCCTTCCTTCGGTCATGCACTCTGTTGTCAACGCCTACAAGAAGGTCCTGGCTGTTGCCATTGAGACCGACTACTCCTGGGAGGCCATCGAGGAGCTCAAGGACCGCATTGCCAACCCCGACAAGTACGCTTCGGCCGCTCCTGCCGCCGCCGCTGCTGGTGGCGCCGCCGCTCCTGCCGCCGCTGCCGAGGAGAAGAAGGAGGAGCCCGAGGAGTCCGAGGACGAGGACATGGGCTTCGGTCTGTTCGACTAAGTTATTCAAACGCAACGAACAAACGCTTCAGCACAAAATGTCGGATGTTGCGAAGAATGCTCGCCTCAGTGAGGTGATCGTTCAAATAGCAAACTAAAATGGAGACATTGGACAATGAAACACTTCAGGCGACGTGATGCTGAAAATGCTCATTAGCCTTTTGTGTTTTGGAGTACAAGGTAAGCACGATTCTCTTTTCAAACCGCCTGCTTGGATGATTATAAATTTTTAACCCTGATCACCATGACGATCAAAAACGCAACAACCAAACACTCTAATTTTTTAATGACACCATCACTCAATTTTGTTATCATGTCGCATCTTTCTTAGAACTTCAGCTGACAGAAAGATCCGCAGATCCGATACACATTCCTTGTGCCCAAGTGATCCCCCAGAATTTTGATTTTGCTCAAGGGTCTAGAATTGCAGTACAACATCCCGTGAACATCCCGTTTTGACTTGAAGCCACGCAAGCCCAAGCCCACCCACCAATTCTGCCAAGTCAGATTTATCAAATTCATAAATTTTCTGACCACAAATGAAGAAGACAATGCTCAAGTCCCTTGATTTTCCTCTGTGTGACTTGATATATTTGATAAGTGATTGCCATTCAATCACGAGGCTGCGACGACTTCCTGCACTCTATCTAGATCTATTCTCACCCAGTACACCTGCCAATCCTGATCAATGCCACCCAAACTCTTGCAAACGCCATTGCTCTCGATATTTTCCAACGCCACATCCGCATGCGCCAACCCATTTAAATCTTCACCGAACGCAGCCCACCCCTCTCGGAAGATCTTCCGGCCCATCGCCTTTGCCAATCCCTTGCCTCTGTATTCCGGCTCAACATGTAACGAAGACAAACTCCCGTCGACGGCCAAAAACGCCCACGCCACTGGCCTTTTGTACCCCTCCGTGGTAGCAAAAACCGCCACGGAAGGCAACGTCCTCAACGTGCGATTTGTCCTCGGAATCGCCGACCTGCTCCTCACGATGGCCAAATCCTCCTCCCTCAATTGACCCCAGCTCAGCCCTTGCCACCCGCCCTCCCCCATAACCTTCTCATCCTCATGCAAACTTTCTCGCGGTTGAAAAACGTATTTCCTATATGCGAACCCGCTGCCCACACCATCCCGGTCCAGCATGCCCAATCCCCGCGCCCACGCGACGCCTGCCGCGTGCATCGTACCCACCTTGAGCATCGAGGGCGTGTGCAGATTCTCGAGGTACTTGGCGGCGGAGGCGCTGGTGTGCGTGTGGTACTTTGCAGCCGTCTCGTCCGCATCGTTCGCGGTGACGGCGGCCCAGATGTCGGCTTCCTCAGCAGGGGTGAGAGGCGGGTAAGGGACCGCAGACGGCGTGCTGACGTTGGTGTTATCGGCGATGTGTGAGAGGACGGAGAAGAGGTGGCGGGCGCAGGTGCAGGTGGAGATGTTGTTGGTGTGGGATGGATGGTCCCAGGAGACGTAGACCCAGCTTTCGGTTTCCGGGCGCCGGGAACGGTCGATGTAGATTGCTGCGAAGCATTGCTCCTGTTTTCCTTGCTCTTCCTGTTTCTGACCTCCGGTGGTGGGAATGGTGGTAGAGGAAGGAGAAGAATCATGCGCGGGGACAGTGGCAAGGATGCGAGTGTGTTGGCTACGATGGCCGAATTGAACGCGCCGGTAGAGCGGCAGCGCGTACGGTAGGCTGTGATGCAGGTACGGAAGCAATGTGGTCTCTGGGCTCTCGGTATGGTCGTGGACCCAAAAGAGAGAGTTACCCAGGCTGGCGCTGTTTGCTTCAGCGATTGGACCAACCATGATTTTTCCTTGCTCTTGCTTTGATGTGGAGCTCGTGGCTCTGCTATTATTCTTTCTGGATAGACGTGATCTCAACGACGTGGTGACGATGAGTCAAATCGACAGTAAAAAGGAGGACGAGGAAAACTAGCGTTAGAGATTTTACACGTAATTCTACTTGTCATGTGCGCCACCGGCTTACTGCAGGCATGTCGTTCGACAGACGCGGAAACGGACCGGAGGCGTGCGATACCAACGGCAACCACCTTCCTCTTTGAGAGGCGCTCGGCGTGGAAGATGTTCTAAAATGTCGATTTTCGGTGGTGGAGGGAGGGCGATGAGTGACTCAATCCTGCGGATCGCATTCGCAGAAGTGGGGTTGTGACCCAGAAAAGCATCGTTAACAAACGCTGTCAACTTTAAGACAAAGTTGTCAGAGGCATTTCAAGCAAGTCACTCCAGAAACGTCGCTGTAAACAGAAGCAGTGCACATGAACGCCGATATGCTTGTCATTTGAACTACCGCAGAACGCCACGAAAAGCCGGGTGGAAGCGAGGTGCCACTACCCAAAGCCTCTCGAAAATGAAAACCCCGGAAAAACCCCCCATCCTGTCTACCTGGTTGAGTCTGCCAAGAGAATAAAACAGAAAGAAGACACGCGAAAGAATGCAGAAAAGGACATGGGTCGCTCGATCTACTACAACAACAACCACAACACCAGGCAGACTCCGTTTCCCTAAGGGGAGAAGAAATAAGGAAAAGCCATCATGAATTAAGGAAATGCAGAATGCTCCCTGGAGACATCAGTCCAGACGGCATGCGGTTGAACGTGCCAGGCTCGAGAATGCCTCGATAGAGCCCCGCACTTCCCAACTAATCAGCTTTTTGCGCCCCGACCGTCCACATGCTTTCTTTGAAACCCTTCCTCATCACCATATGCAACTGATATCATTGTGGTTCGTTGATCATTCGTAGCCTTATAAACCCGGATTTTTCGTCTTCGAATCGTGTCGTCGATTACTGAGATGCGCACTGGACGCGCTCGGCGCCGGGGTGCATGTCGTCGTCATCATCCTCCATCGAGGCACCGCCGCGCGCCCTGGCGTGTTCTCTAGTCGGGTCGATGTTCTCGAGCGGGAAGTCCTCAACCATCGCGTCGGCCGGAGGCTGGGCCGTCTCAATCTTGCGAGGGCCCAAGATGCGCTCAAGTGCAGCCTTGTCTTCCTCGGAGAGCACGCCTTCCTCCGGGCCAATCTTCTCCGGGAACTTGACATCAAACTGGATGTAGAGGTTGCCGAAGTCGTGATGTCTGTATGAGGGCATGCCCTGACCGCGGATAACCTTGACGGCACCTGTTGCATTGTCAGAAATGTCGTGCGGGTGGTGCTAGGGGTTGCGGGGGCGTCTTACCAGGTGCGATTACCTCGCCAGGTGTAATCTCGACGGACAGCCACCTTTCGTCGAGATGCTCGATGTGAAGCACGCCGCCGGCAAGCGCGGTGACGAGGTCGATCTCGGCTTGGTAGAAGAGGTCGTCCTCCTTCCTCTGGAAGCGGGGGTGGGGCTTCTGCTCAATCTCGAAGACAACATCGCCAGGCTCGCAGTCGGGAAGCTGGTCACCCTCACCACGGAATTCGATCCTGGTGCCGCTCTTGACACCCCTGTCGACGTGGACGTGGAGGACCTTACGCTCGATGACGGTCTTCTTCCCGTTACACTGCTTGCAGCGGTCCTTGTCGCGGATGATCTCTCCTTCTCCCTGGCAGTCAGGGCAGACGGTCTGGAAGCGCTGGATCATGGGACCCATCTGGCGCATCATCATCTTCATACCACGGCCATCGCAGCCCGTGCACTTCTTGACAGCACCTTCCTTGCCTCCACGGCCATCGCACTTGGGGCAGATGACGGACTTCTGCAGCGCGAGCTTCGAAACCTTGCCGCGGTAGATGTCCTCGAGCGAGACCTTGTGGACGTGAGAGATGGTGCGAGCCTTCTTGGGGCCAGACTCTCTCATGCCGCCACCGAACATGCCGCCAAAGCCGCCGCCGCCACCGAAGAACTGTGCGAAGAGGTCTTCCGCGGCCATGCCGCCGCCAGCACCGCCGCCATTCTCCAAGCCCTCCTCACCAAACTGGTCGTAGAGTTGACGCTTCTGCGAGTCTGAGAGAACTTCGTATGCGTGCGACAGCTCTTTGAACTTCTCGGCGGCGTCGGGGTTGTGTGCGTTCTTATCTGGTACGGGGTCAGAAAGCCGAGGTCGCGAGCGGAGAGAATGGTGGGCGCGAAAACCTACCAGGGTGATACTTCAGGGCGCCCTTCTTGTAGGCAGACTTGAGCTGTGCCTCGGTGGCATCTGGCGACACCCCAAGGATGTCGTAGAACTTCGTTTCTCTCACCATGGTGGCTGTGGAAGCGGAGGTTGTCGAATCGCGTGGGTTGAGGGAATCAGCCGGGTCGGTCGTGCAAGATTGACAAAAGGTGTCTGTTCGCGGGGATCGTCAACAGGATGCGCGCAAAACTCTGTCGGCGGGCTGGTGAGCTCTTCGTCCTTTATAGGCAGCAGTGCGTGGAGGTGAGGCTGGTGTCGGGAAGTGGACGCGGTCCAGAGTGGCACGGCGCGCAAGATTTAAGTCCGTACCACGGAAGCCGCAGGCGCAAGGCTGGGGGGCGTGGGTAAGCAGGCGGTGGAGGAGCAGCACGAACGTACCTCAGCGATAGCAGCGCGTAGCAGGTATTGGAGCGGGCTCCGGGCGTGAGAGCGAAAAGCAGGAATAGCGAGCAGAGGGACGGAGACGCAGTCGCGGCGACTTCTAAAATTCACGGGCAAGGGTCGTTGGGTACGCGGGCGAAGCCTAGATAATTCCACGCCTTCCACCTAGTTCGCTGGAGTTCCATCGAACGCTGCCCGCATACGGCAGGCGGTCAGCATCCTGCCGAGCCGCATCTGCCCAGATCCGCCCAACCGCCCTCGCAAATAATGCAGGGCACGCAAGCAGCGCCAGACGGCAAGCCTCAGCCTGGCACCTGGGTCGTCCGCCCCGCCTGTGCACATTCTTCAGCCCTGCCGCCACCGCTGCTGCTGCAAAACCCCGGCCCAAACTTCCACCGGGTCGAACGCCGTCGCGCTGCGCGGCCGAAGGCCCGACGTTATCACGATTGGCCGCTGTCATATGTACTATGTAACGCGTCTGTGGACACACCTACAAATTTCATTCGCTGCCGCTGCCTTTTCGCCTGCCGTCTTTTTTCAGCCTCGTCGTCCATCTCGCATCCGCGACATTTCCCATCTTCGCCTAGCTTGCTCTCACCTGCGTCATGTCTGACAGTGATCCCGGCTTTGTCGCCGCCCTTGAAGAGGCCAAGAAGGGCTATGAAGAAGGCGGCATTCCAAGTATGAGCCTCGCTCGGCTGGCTGCTACTTTACATTATTAATTGGTGCTTAGTCGGCGCTTGCATCGTGTCCAAGGACGGCAAGATCCTGGGCCGCGGCCACAACATGAGGATTCAAAAGGGCAGCGCCACGCTTCACGTAAGTCATGGGGTGGCGGGAGCAGACCTGTCCATGATCTGGAGGAGTAACAAGGATGCAGGGTGAGATCTCGGCGCTCGAGAATGCAGGCAGACTTCCAGCCTCAGCCTACGAGGGTTCGACCATGTACACAACTCTTTCGCCTTGCGACATGTGCACTGGTGCCTGCATCCTGTACAAAGTGAAGCGCGTTGTTTTGGGCGAAAACAACACCTTTCTCGGTGGTGAAGACTACCTCAGGTCCAAGGGTATTGAGGTCATCAACGTCAAGAGTGCCGAGTGCGAGGCTTTGATGAAGAAGTTCATCGCCGAGAGACCGGGTGATTGGTAAGAGCCTGTTGCAATGTGATTTGAGCATTTTTCAGACATTTTACTGATGTAAAACTCAACAGGAACGAAGATATTGGGGAACAGTAAGAGTTTGGATCAAGCCAAGCCACATGAGCAATTGACATTGCAGTGGTGCGGACAAGAACCAATCGCAACGGCCTAAAATTACACTTCCATAGCGGGTTGGGCCCTCCGTGTCTCGCTAAGAACGCATTCTTCTTACGTAGACAGTTGAAGCAAACCACCGAACGTAGGTGTGAGGTTTAGGACTGCACAAATCCGTCCAGATAAGAATCAACTACCCACATAAGTGAGATGCAATATTCCTGGTGGGCTGGTTGGGAACGACGCTATAGAATCGAGCAGCGAGATGGATGATGACTGCCATGACGTCGTGGGTGAGTGGTAGTGCCCTGAGCGAAGTATGCGACTGAAGCAACTGTACAGAAGCGACGTAACAGGCCACAGTTACTAGCTTCCTCAGTATGCGTATGTGTGCCGGGCGAGTGGATATGCTTCTGATCTTCGAGGTTCTCGATTGAGTCGATGACAGCTGCAAATGCGCCACAAGTCAATCTCACCCGTCATCATTCATTTTCATTCATCCCTCGAGAAGGCGAAGCGCACTTTCAAATGCTTGAACGACTTTTGTGTCTACTTGATCGTCAGCATCGTCTCAGAGGCGTGTTAGGGACACTCACAGTGCTCCCTTTTCTTCTCCAATTCGTTTTCCGAGTTCTGGACGTGAGCCATGCGCGTCCGCAGTCTACGTCGTGTTAGCACGTCAAGGTATCTCCGAAACTATGCGACAAGACACTGACCGGATGAAGCCCCGGTCGGTTTCGTGACGTGGAGTAGTACCAATCCAGAGCTCAAAGAACTTGAGAAGTCAGCCATGGGCGGTGTCATCGGGAAGAAGGCCAAATTACTGTCATAAGCCGCTGAAAATCATCGTACAGCTGCTGATCTTCTTTGTTCCTCTGACCTATTGCTTCGTGGTACCTCTTCTCCAGCTCTTCCCAGTCGAATTCTTCTAGAGGCTGCTCTGGATCCAGCTCATCGTCATCAATTTGGACTCGTGTTTCGCGCTGTCCTTCCGCGCGAGTGCCATTCTTGCGTGAAGGGGTTGATGTCACTTTGGTAGAGTCTTCTTCCGTGTCATCAGAACTTGAGTGAGTTGAAGAGATTTCCACGGGCGAGGCGCGTCGAGCACCCTGTTGTCCTGCCACCATTTCCGAATGAGAGCGTTTCCGCGTCGGACTTGGCTCGCTCTGCGTCGCGCTGCCAGGCTGGTTCTCTGGCAGTGGCGATGATGGTGGGGCACTCATAGCTGGACGGTTACCGCTGTATGGGGGAGGAAGTGGCAGGCACACTCGTGACCGCGGTTTGCGGCGCTGGTCACAGAGCGTGAGCACAAGGTGTGGCTGGTGAGTTGTGGACGGAACGTGCGCGAGGCGCATCCGTGTGCGGGCATTTTCGCGCCAAGGCGGCGGCTGCAGGGGTCTGCCCGATGGCTGCGTCACAAGCCACCACAGTGAAGCCCGCCTTCTACATACTTCTACCTGCGGCCACTCATACTGACCGCACCTGTCTCGCACTTCCAGAGTGCACGCACGCTTTCCCGGCCAGCCAGCGCAGCGAACGCCAGCGCGGACAGCAACAAACCGTCTATGGACAAGTAGCCGCCTGGTCGCCTTCATCCAGCAGAGCTCACAATGTACCACGGTCCACGCCCTCCAACTTTCGTAATTACTGAGACGTGCTCGGTGCCTTGAATATTGCCTGCCCAACCTTCACTCCTCACCAACCGAAATACTCTCGCCTCAACAATATGGACTGCGACATCTGCGGCAACGAGCTGACCGCGAGGGCCCGCGTCCACTGCCCGACATGCGCCCGTGCCGCGCTCTACCCGTACCGGATCGAACAAGCGGCGACGCTCTTAGAGAGGGAGAAATTTGCCCAGCATGTGGAAGCTGTAGTCAACGGCACCGAGGACCGGGCCGGACAGGCCGTGTCGCTCGGTGAGACTTTGGTTGATACTCACGAAAGCTCCAAGAGAATGGCTGTCGAGCGGGACCATGCCGCGAAGGAGGAGCACCGAGAGCGCATGCGTCTCATTACAGAGCAGACCGACCTCCTCAAGCGCCAGATTGAAGAAACGCGGCGTGAAATCGCCGCCCGCAAGGCTGCTATCGCCCAACGTCATTCAGATCTCGAGTCAGCCTCCTATAACGTTGACAAGCGTCGCGCCAAGGACCTGGGCGTGGTCAAAGAGGTCATCGGAACGGTCAAGCATGCCGACGATATAGGACAGCGTGAGGACATCCGTAGCAAGGTGTGGCACTGCAAACATGCCGCCGACGTGGCTGGTCTGAAGCAGCGGAGACGCCGTTCCAAAGACGGCCAGACGAAGCTTGAATACTACATTGGGGGTGTGCGGATATATGATCTGCGCGACCTGAACTGTACGTGCCCGTTATACCCCAGACCAAGAGCAAAGTTAACACCGATAAAGCTGCTTCCCCAGCTCAGGTCACCACGTCCCTGACGCTCCTGGCTGGCCTCGTTGTTCGCGTCGCCAACTACCTTGCTGTCCGACTTCCGGCTGAAATTACTCTGCCGCACAAGGATTACCCTCTCCCGACGATCTTCTCCCCTTCGTCCTCGTACACGCATAAGGACGTGCCGTTTCCGGGGACTACCCCGATCTCCTCTTTAAGCAATAGTCCCACAGCGTCTCGTACTCTCGAGAACCAGAAGCCTCGTCCGCGCCCGAGACCTCTCTACATTGACCGCAAATTACCCACGCTAGCAAACGATGATCCGACGACATACGCCCTGTTCGTCGAGGGCGTTACGTTCCTATCTTGGGACATTGCGTGGCTCTGCCGGTCGCAGGGCCAAGTCAACGCGTTCAGCGAGTGGGAGGAAATTTGCCCGATGGGGAAGAACATGTACAAGCTCCTAGTCGACGACGCTCAGGCCACGCTGAGTGCACTAGAGCAGGAGGCCGCGCGCAAAGCCGAAGCCAAGAGTGGCGCCTCGGCTCGCTCGTCGAGCGTGCCGGACGTGGTCATGGGCTATTTTTCGCACGGCATGTCGAAGGGGTTCCTCGGCAGTGCGGAGGGCACGAGCTACATGAAGGGGTGGAGGTTCCAGACGGCCATGAAGGTCGTCGACCGGGTGAAGAGTTACCTGCAGGCGGAAATGCAGGGGGCCGAATGGGAGGTGCTTGACGAGAAAGAGTGGGAGATGGACGAGGAGGGTGCTCAGGGAGTGGGTGAGATGGACAGCGGTACGAAGCTCGTGGCGATGGGCACCGACGAAGGGCAGAGCAAGACGCGGGGATGGACCAAGCTGAAGAGCAGGAGCGACGAAGCCAAGTAGGATAAGGCGGATCACGATCAGCAATCAGCCATGGCAATCGTGCGGAGTCTGACCATGATCTCTTCAAGGCGGCCAACGGTCGAAACACTGGGCTAGGCAGGATGATAAGGGCGATAAGTGGTAGCAGCGGAGGAGTGCAATGTAAAGGCTTGATGGCAAAGCAGGCGTGGCTGCATGAAGTGCCTGGTGGCTTGATTATTGACTGCTGCGCCCGGCCTGGCAATGCAGCCCCTCGATGCTCGGCACAAGCCCGTATTGCTAGCGACGGACAAAGCGCGCATTTCACGAACACGACACGGCAGCGGTGGACGGGACTCGGGCTGCGGTGATATTCTGGAAGACGGTTGCCGGGCTTCTGGCGCGGTGTGGCCGAGGGGTCGCAGCACGGAGCCGCCGGCGGTGACGTTGTTCGGGCGGAACCCTGCGTCAAAACACCCTGAGCATGCCGCCGTCAGCCCTATCGAGACAAGGCGCCGACATGGTCACCCGCCGCAACGAACAAGCATCGCAAATCCGGACGCGCGCGTGCAGCGGCCGCACGAGGGAGACACGAGAAGCACTCCTCATCTCTGGCCCCCCAGCAGCGTCCCCCCAATGCGCTGGCGAAGCGGCGTCGATCGTCATAGGGCCAGTCCGCACGGGGACTGGTCGCGGCGCCGGTGTGGAGCAGGGACAAGTGGAACAATACTGGAGCGCTTGGCCCATGGTTTTGCTTGGCAACCAAGGATACGACCACCTCATTTCGCGGTGCTGATCGGAAGCGCGAGCAGTGCAATGCCGCGCGCGCGCAGGCGGCCGGCCGGGTGAGGGCGGAGCGCCAGGAGCGACAAAGTCGCGGCCGCTAGCTCCCCCGCGCAAACAGCCGTCAAGACAAGACTTGGGCGGCGCCGCTGGCTGGGGGAGCCCTGCGGTGGGCGCCGGTTGCCCGCACTGGGGCCTGCTTAGCGGCGGCCAGTGCGCCAGGGGAGATTGCAGCCTTCGGCACCACCATGGCTGAAAATAGCCAGGCTCCGGATCCCCAGAACGCACCACGCCCGCTTGGGCGGGCCATGGCCTCTCAATTGCCTCATGCAGTCGGCTGCGCCATCGTGCGATCGCCCAGGCACAATCTCAACGCCGCCCCTGGCTGCCGGCTGCGTCCATCAAAAGGCGGGCTGCCCACCGTCCATCCCAGCCCTCACCACGGCATCTCGCTCTCACGACAGTGCAAGGCATTTGCCCCAGTCGCTCTTTTCCTCTGCTCGTTACTTCCGCTTCACTCTTTCAGCGGTCCGCTCCCTCTAATCTTTAATCTTTCTTGTTGCATACACTAGTAGCCAACATGAAGTCTGCTCTTCTCGCCGTGGCTGCCACGGCCCTGCTCGGCAACGCTGCTGCCAATGGTGTCCACGACCGCCACCAGGCCTTCCACAACCGCCGCAACGCCCTCGAGCTCCGCAACGATGATGGCGAGATCTGCGGCTGCACCACCTACGTGACCACCATCACCGGCCCGGCCACCAGTGAGTCCAACTCGGCCAACACTTGACTGCCCTTCTGACATATCACTCCAGTCCAGCCCACTCCCGAGACCTCCATCCCCGTGGCTTCTCCCTCGAGCCCGGCTGGTGTTCCCTCGGCCCCTGCTGGCTCTCCTTCGAGCCCGGCTGGCACCCCCTCGGCTCCCGCTGGCTCCCCCTCCAGCTCCCACGTCGATGGTGTTCCCGGCAGCACTCCCGCCGCCAGCCCCAGCAAGCCTGCTACGCCTGAGGTTCCGGCTCCCACGCCTGTCGTGACCACGTACGCCACCCCTGGCACGTACACCATCCCGGCTACCACCATCACCGTCCACGACACCACCACTGTCTGCGGTGCTACCACCACCAGCCTGACCCCTGGTGTCAACACCTACGGTGGTGTGATCACTTCGGTCGTCACCGCGACCACCATCACCTGCCCGTACGCCACCGTCGAGACGGCCGAGTCCACGACCACCAGCGTCATCAGGACCACCACCTACACTTGCCCGGCCGGCGGCGAGTACACCATCGTTCCTCCCTACACCACCAGCGTTCCCGAGGGCACCGTGACTCACTTCCCCACCCCCGCCACCTACACGCCTGGCACCTACACGGCTCCTGAGCAGACCGTCACCATCACCAAGACCAACGATGTCTACGTCTGCCCCGCTGCCACTCCTCTCGGCGGTGCTCCCAGCGGCAGCTCCCCTGCCACTGCTACCCCCACCAGCGTCGTTGATGGCGTTGTTGGCAACCCCTCCAGCACCCCGGCCCCGGCCTCCAGCACTCCCGCTGGCGCTGTTGGCACCCCTTCGGCTTCCACCCCGGCTGCTTCCTCCACCCCGGCCTCTTCCACCCCGGTCAAGGGCGCTGGCGGCTTCACTCACAACGGCAACCAGTGGGCCATGACCTACACCCCCTACAGCTCCGACGGCAGCTGCCGCGACGCGTCCGGCGTGCTTTCGGACCTGAAGGACATCAAGAGCAAGGGTTTCACCACCATCCGTCTCTACGCCACCGACTGCGACGGCCTCAAGACCGTTGGTGATGCTTGCGAGGAGGTTGGTCTGCGCATGATCATTGGTATCTTCGTCAAGGAGACTGGCCTCAGCGGCTCCGACGTCTCTGAGCAGGTCACCGACATCATCGAGTGGGGTACTTCCGGCAAGTGGAGCCTTGTTGACCTCGTTGTCGTTGGTAACGAGGCTGTCTTCAACGGCTACTGCACTGCCTCCGAGCTCGCCAGCTTCATCAGCAGCTTCAAGTCCAAGATCACCAGCGCCGGCCTGTCCCTCACCAAGATCACCACCACTGAGACCCTCAACATCCTCCAGGGCTCTGACTTCTCTGCTCTGTGCGATGTCATTGATGTCATTGGTGTCAACGTCCAGCCCTACTTCAACTCCGAGTGCACTGCCGACAAGGCCGGTGACTTCGTCGTCTCCCAGATGGAGCTCGCCAAGAAGGCTTGCCCCAACATTCCTGACGTCCTGAACCTCGAGTCCGGCTGGCCCCACCAGGGTAGCGCCAACGGTGCCGCTTCCGCCTCCGGCGACGAGCAGGCCACCGCCATCAAGTCCATCATCGAGAAGGCCGGTACCAACTCCGTCATCTTCTCGTACGGTGACGACGGCTGGAAGAGCGCCGGCCAGTTCGGCGTCGAGCAGTACTTCGGCTGCGCCAGCCAGTTCGAGCTCATTTCCGGCACCCTCACGATCGGCGGTCTGTCCCTGTCCGTCGACATCGGCTCGGACGGCATTGACGTCGACCTTGACCTCAACCTCTAAACGGGTTGTTGATCTTTGTCTAGTCTGAAGGAAATCTCCTTGTTGTCTTATAGTTCTCTTGATATCAAATTCTCCTTTATCATGATGGAGCGTCTTCGTGTGCCTTACTAGTGTTGTGTAACAAGGGGAGGATTGGAGAAAGAGCTGTTTTGAAATAGTAGTGTTGATTGTTGAAATATAGGTGGTTGTTAATCATCTTATCGTCGTGCTGCGCTGAGTGAAAAGAATATGTTCGTTTACCCTTCTAGTGTATAATATTTATTGCATTGCACACTGCCTTAGAGGAAGAATGAAACGAAAAGGATCGCCTTTTACTCGTCCCTATATTGCTCTGCCGTGCATGGCTTGCATGACGCCCAGAGGAGGGAATCCCGCATGCACATCCCTTCGCGTGCGTGTATGTTTCATCCTCATCTGCTTGCAAACACTTCCCCAATTTCTTCTCCACTCTTCCCCTCCGCATGAAAAACGGAAGCGAGAAAGCATAAACGCACCGACGCTATCAGAAACCACGACCTCGCTTCCTTCGCCCCCAAGTTCCTCGGCGATTCGTGGGCATACACGAGAGCCAAGGTAAGCGGACGAGCTCTCATCTCGCTTCCCCTTTACAAAGTTTAGGTCGCCTTGGCTTGGGCATCTAGAACATGAGGGACTGGTGGAGCCAGTGCTTTTGATTCAAGACTACCGATGCAGCAAGACTTTGTTTCTTCTCGTTCTTTTTCTTCTTTCGCCCTAATGACCCCGTCCTTTAGCAATCCTGGTAGAGGGAGAGGGGGTTAGCGCTGAGATGAAGGATGAATGCTCTAAGTTCCTCAGTATGACCCTTCACTTGAGCCATGAGAATCGTTGCAAAGAGGAGGAGGAGGAGGGGTAGAAATGTGATTTCTATGTGGATCACGATCCTCTGAGGGGTTGTGCTGAAATATATCACTGATTCGTCCACTACCACTTTTCTTAGTTTTAGTTTATGCTCACAGAATAAATAAGAGAAAACACCTAGAAGATCAGCAACATTCAGATAAGAAAAAAAAAGAGAATCGGTCTAAATGAACAGTTGTGACGCTACACTGCGCCCAGTGCTGACTGATAAATCATATTCCGCCAAAATCTCAATACATGCCTGAACCCAAATCCAATGCGTCACTCTTTTTCATGGTTCTCGAGCTGTACCTGCTGCAGCGGTCTTAGATCATGTCGAACTTAGGGGCCGATGTTTTACCCTTCCCCCCATGGCAGGAGATCAACATGTCATGGAGACGATGCAAGGTCAGGGCTCGAAGCGCTCTTTACCGCCTGAGGTAAACATGGGGTATTTTGACAGTGATTGACGAATTAAGCGAATGAGTCTGGGGTAAGTGTTGAATATGAAGTCCCGAGCGGTAGAACGTGTTTAAACATGTTCTACACTTATTCTATTCGTAAATACTTGAATGTTTTAATATTATACGGTCTCTCTTGCTATAGTAGTGTTCTTTTTCTTTTACGAATCATCAAACCACCACTATCAAGCAACTACATTCAATCCGCTTGAAACTCAAATATATAAATTTACCCCCCAACCCTCACCACCACGTACGACCATAGGTCGCAGAATGCAGGGCTTCCCGTCCGCTCAGCCGTACTTAAGCTGCGAACCGGCCGATTAGTACTCAAGTGGGTGACCATTGGGGAATCCCGGCTGTTGTACGTTTTTTTTTTTAATTTTAAATTGGTCCGATCTTAGTGGCTCCATAATCTGTGCTAAAAATTGGGCGGCCCCACTACCCACCCATCGTCTCTTCTATAGCAGGTGACAAAGGAATACAAAGACGTATCTGTGCACATTTTAAACTTGTATTTACGCCCAAGTTATTCGTCTAAACTGTCTATGGAAGAAAGTGTAGTGTCCTCTGTGAAGCGTAATTAAAGGAGGCCTTTATCTTCACCGTGAAAGGAATCTATCGGTCCTTGTATCCATATCAGCTCCTCGCTGAGAACATAATTCGACTTAGTCGTTATATTGTATTTCAGCGCTGTCTTTTTTGACCTGTCCCTGACTCGCTTTCTCAGCTATTCATCTACCTAACATTGAAAACATCGGTCGTCTCTTGACCGTGGGAGACCTGAATGGTCTGTGTATTGTCAAGACAGTATCACGCCCACACATGCACATTCGCATAGCTCTCCAGCAGAAAGAAGAAAAAAGCATTGAATAGAATGATATCCTACAAATAAGATGATACAATCCAAACTGTGTGGCCTTCTGTTGCGTTGTGCTTTATTCTTTTGCCCGGCAATTTACCCAAGACACACACGACCCAAGCAGGCAGGCCCAACAAACACGCTCTCCCTCTTTCCTTCAGGCACATGGTGTCTCGCAACACCCGTGTGCTCACTAATCGCCGTAATGTCCTCCACGCGCATGGTATCCTCCTTTAGCTCCTCTGAATGCAGTATCACCCACCCACTAAGCCAACCCATCTATACCAACAATTGTGAAACTTCCATCCTAAAAGAACAGGAAGAAGGAAGAAAAGAAAGGGACCGTGGGTCGACTTTGTCAGTTTGTCGAGAAGGGAAACCCAATTTGTGATTCGATCCGCAATGGTGGCCAAGGAAAATAAGAAGATCCAAGTGGAGAAAAAGGTGGCCGTTGCTTGAAGACGAAGAGCTTGGCGTCTCTACCGCGTATTCGTCCTGAGCTCGTGAAGTTCGTGAATATTAAATTAAGAACCGTTACCATAATTCAACCAGCGGAGAAACCCTTCATTGGAAACCTAGAAGTCCCAGAAGGACTTCCCCGAAGTCTTGTTAGGGTCCCTCTTAGAGGTGATCCTCCTGCCTGTGATGGTGGTCGTCTCGGCTTCCGGCTCGGCGTCATCATCATCTCCGAAGAGCCAGTCGCGTCTGCTGCCCTTCTTGCCACCCATACCATCACCGCCGATGTTGATGCCACGCTCCTTGGCGGGCGACGGCTCGGCAAGTTCCCAGTTAGAGTCTAGGCCCTTCAGAACCTTCTTCTTCGTCTCAGGCAGCGCGCCGCCGTTTGTGTTTTCGTCGCCTGCCTTGGTATCATGGGACGGCTTGGGGCTGTCATCAGTGATATCGAAAGAACTGCCGAACACCTTGGAGCGCTTCTCGTTGTTGACGTGCTTGCTAACGTCGTTGAGTGGGCCATTCTTGCCGGGCTCTTCGTCCTCGTCGAAGATAGGATCCTTGTAGAGAACTGAACCCTTGCTGTGCTTGGTGCCTTTGCCGCCAACGTTCTTGGTCCTCTGTGCTGCAGGAGTAGCTTCGTCATCAAATTCGAAGTGGGTCTTCGCATCCTTGCGCGGTTGGTGAACGACAGGACGCTTGACCGGAGATTCTTCGGCGTCCTATAAATTCATGCACATATTAGCTCTTGCTCAGAATCCGGGGGGGCTTCGCTAGCCCGGGGCAAAAGCACGTACCTCGTCGTCGCTCCAACTGAATGATTTGGTGTGCTGCGGTAGGATCTTGGTGCGCGTAACCTCAGGAGTAGCGAAGTCCTCGAATCCCCACTGCGACGTGTGCTTCTTGGACCTAGAGGTCGGTCTTTGCTCGATCTGGGGGGCATCCTCGCCCGTGCCAAACTCAAAGTGCTCATACTTCTTGGAATTAGTCTTGATGCTATGCTGAGCCGGGCCCTTCTCCGCCTCTTCCTCTTTGTCGAAGACCCTGATTGGGTGATAATGCTTGGAAGCGCCCGCCTTAGCAGGAGACGCGCTGCGCTCAGGCGCCTGGTGCTCGGGGGAGATAATCTCATGCAGGCCGCGCGACAGAGGCTTGGCCGCCCTCACGCGCTCTACCTTGGGCCCATCAGGCGTCTGCGGCTCGTCTTCCTCTTCGCGGGGCGCGAATAGAGACAAGCTCGCGTGAGGGTCGGTGGTAGCACTGGTGTTGCTTCTGCTGGTCTGGGGCCTGCTCCCCTCCTCACTGGTGCCTGCGGAAGTGTTGCGGCGGGAGGAAGCGGCGGAAGCAGCGGGAGCGCCGGCGGCGCAAGCGTTGATCAGGCGGATCTGGTCCTTGGCATCGCGGATGGGCCAGTTGCGCGCGCGGGAGCCAATGACCTCGACCTGGCGGAGCAGCGAGGCCTGGTCCCAGTGCATGCGGATGGAGGCAATCTTCTGCTGGTCGTCGAATTGGACAATATGGATCTAGGCGCAGAGAGCCGTCAGCCATGGCGGACAGACCATCAGCACATGTTGCGCCTTACCGTAGGAAACGTAACGGTGCGGTCCGAGAGAAAGTTGTCATCCAGGCCCGGCAGATAGGCGCCACCGCCGTTGACGAACTCCAGGGTAGTCTCGACATCGACGCAGAGGCTATTGCCGCTCTCAATGGTGCTGAGGACCTTCTCGCCTTTCTTCTTCAAGAGCTTGCCTTGAGCGGACAGGTGTTTGAGGATGGCAGTGGGCTCGGCGACAGAGGTAGTCGTGGGAACGTAGTTGATGGAGGCGCCCGGAGCCAGCTGCGAGCTTGCGGGGGCGCTCAAAAAGGACTGGTATGCGGCGCTGAGAGCCATGGTGCAGCGCGGGGGAATGTGACGGACCGAGTGCAGGGCGATTCCGGGGACGGCGATCGATGCGTGCTGCGGATCGGTGCAGAGGCGAAGTGGGGACGCAATTGGCGGATGGAGGGAGCGTGGTGGGCCAAAAAAAATACACAGAGGGAAGGCGAGACTGGAAGGCGCTCTGGCTGGCAGGCCGCGGCAAGATATTGGGCTGAATGCCTGAGTCAGCGCGCGCCGGCAGGGGCGCCGCAGGACGCGCGCTGAAACACAAGACAGCCCTGCAATTGCTTGCCAGTGGCCTTCTGCTCTGTTGTGGCCTGCTGTTTTGAGCCCGTTGGTCCGCTCCAGCCTAGCGCGTCGCCAGGTGTGTGCCAGGTGCGGCCCTGTGCAAGGGGTCCTGCAGCGTCTTCTTCCTGCTCCGCACGCTACCTACTGTACCACGTCCACATTGTTCTCTTCCGCCCTCTTCCAGCGCAGGTCTAGATGCCTGCTGACGCGCCCGCGCCGCAGATACGCGTCGGAGGTGCGCCCAGTTCGCGCCCAGCACGGATCGTCTTGGAGGACGTGGTGTGGACATCAAACACACCATTTTCCGCATTGGGCACCATCGGCGAGCGACCGGCGCAGTCATTTACATCCTCACGGCAGTCTTCGGCTTCATCTGAAGGAACGACGGCTCTACAATTCGCGCATAATTAAGGAGAGTAGGTATAACAAACGAGCTAAGCGGAAACAAGGTGACGCCGGTAAACACCAACTGCAAAGGAATGACTGGAAAGCAATGAAAAGTCCCCTCCCCATCGTCGCGCGTCGTAGCCCTGTTTGAAGAATGCGTGCTTCCAAAGGGCAGAGCAGCAGGAATGCCTCCATTTTCCCAACCGAACCCTCTATTAATATCCCGTTACACCTGCTGCTCTCCCTCTGCATCGAAGCACGTTTCCCAGCAAAGCACCTCCGCCGGAAAGTCTCTCTCGACGCTCGGCCGCTCGCGGACAAACCACGCCAGCCCAGAACCCGCCGCTCCAAACACGGCAAGACTGGTCCAAAGCGCATAGTTTGTCGTTGCCACGCTGAAGTCGGTGCTGAGGTAGAAGCTTGCGCCGCTGACCGCGACCGCGAGCGCCTTGAACAGAGAGGCAGCCTGCATGAGACCGATGACTGTTCCGGCCGAGAAGGCATCGGGCGCGACGTTGAGCATGAGCAGGATCACCAAAACCTGCGCGCCCCCGGCAAGAAGATGCTTGATCATAATGGCTGCACTAGAAATGATTGCTGTGACCGGGGTCGAGCACATGGTGAGGAAAGCCAGCAGAGGAGTGATGATGTAAAGGGCCGGGAAAAAGAGGGCGCAGGAGCGGAAGGGTCGCAGAAGACCAAATTTTTCAATGATCTTGGGCATGGCACGGAGGATGATGGCCCCTGCGATGGCGCGCACTGCCAGCAGAATCAAGCCAAGCCAGTCGCAAGGGATGCCCATGCCTCCATGCCTGGAGCTACTGTGGCCCAGATGGGGGAGGACGACGTCGAAAGAAGATGCATGGAGTGAGAGCAAGCAGAAGGAGCACATGAGGACAATAAGGGACGGTGCCTGGAGAAATTGGCCGATGGAGATCGGCTCGGGACGCGTGAAGTCGACAATGTGGATCGAAGGAACGTCGTCTGAAAGAGCTTGGCCTAGGAAAGCAGCCTTTTCGCAGTCCATGTCGGACTCGTCAGCAGAGTTGGAGGTCTGAGGAAGCGTCTAAAAAAGGTTAGCGACCGTATCAGATTGAGGGCGGGTGAGGGTCATGACGTATCCCATAGGGCTTGCACACCCACCTACGGCGACCACATGGTCGATGCCAAGCTACTGCAATGGGAATGGTTCCTCGTGGGTATACAGAGGAGCCGTACAAGCGCTTTCGCGTGTACGGCTCCTTGGTTCTCCCAGCTGAGGATGCAATAGGGTTGGCACCAACCAAATTTGAGGGTGTCGACGTAGGTGAATGCCGCAAGTCCGCACGGGAAATCAACCCTCCCTCTGCTTAGCAAGGCCCATCGGAGTACAAACCTCGTTCAGAACAAAGGTGGCAGCAATGGCAATGACAAGAACCAAGCTGCCACACGCAATTTGGCTGCTAAGGATCGGGAATTTCTCCCAGATAGCGCCATGGGCGTTAATACTTCCGGCAACCATGCCCTGGATCAATGGGCCGACGGATCCGCACACGCCAACAATCGGCAGCCTGGATACATTCTTCGTCCTCTCCTCTGGGCTCCGACTAACGTCACCGAGCATCGTAAGCGTACTGACGACGATTGCGGAGCTGACGAGACCAGCAATAAAACGGAGAATGGTGCACGCGATCAGGTCAGTAGCGAAGCCCATGGACAGGCAGCACACCGACATGCCGTACAGGCCTGCCAACGCAACGGTCCTTCGTCCCACGCGATCGGCAAGGTATCCCCAAAGGATGCCGGCGGAGGCGCCGAAGGCGTAGGCGCAGTCGAGGATGCTGCGGAGGTAGGAGCCGGAGAGCGTGCTGCAATACTGTTCGTTACTGGAGACGAGCATCTTGAGTTGGGGCTGCAGGCTGGACGCCATGATGCTACACATATCCAGTCAGCAGCCGTCCTAGGCGTGATCGCGACAGAGTCCTTACGCTTCAGCGAGGAAGACGACGTAGATCCAGGTCAGTTGGGTACGGTTGCTGCCGGCGGGTTCCGTGGTTTCCGAATCGAACTCATCCTCCTCGGCCAGAAACTCCTGCTCCTCGGTACCGGCGACCTTCTCATACCTGGCCAAGTCCTTGACGGGAATCAAGGAGCGGGTGCGACGGTGGAAACCGAACATGGTGATTAGTTATGTACTGCGGCGCGAAGCCGGCGAAAGGCGTATTGTAAAGCTGAGAGAGCGTCTTGGGATCGCGGCCAGCGCGGGGTTGAAAGTGGAAAGGCTAGAGACTGTGGAAGGTCGGATAGACCAAGTGTGGTGTTGATGGTTGTTAGAATGAGCGGCGGGCAGGCGCTGCAGACATAGCTGTAGTCGCGATGCTAGGCGTGTGAGTTGTTCTTGGAGAGAGGATCGCGCGAGAGGGGCGGGTCTGTGATGGAGCAGCGGCAGGGAGAGCAGCGTGCCCGGCTACCGGTGTGGTCCCTGCGGTGGCACATTCGGCATCGCGTGCCTCGAAATACGCCAGGGGTCTTCTGTTTGACCATCCGTACGCGAGCAGCCCTCCGAATTGAAGCACGCATTGCTCCGGCCCACAGCAAGAAAAGCTTTTCGTGTGGCCGCGGGCGCTTCGTGCGAATCGTGTGATGCTGCAGGCCCGCTTATCGCCGCTGCACAAGACGCTCTCGTGCATGCGGCGGCGCTAGTGCCTGGTGATGATGATACGCGCTTCCACTGCCGGACCCGGAGCCTGCCGTCCGTGATTGGCCGCGCTTACGCGCCAGCCTACCGCGATAGCCTGCGTCAAAAAGCCACGGGCGCGTCGTTCCCAATCGGCCATTTCCAGGGCCTCAACTGCCCGACGTCAGCGCCTTGGGAATCCCACGTTGCGACGATCGCCTCTTGACAGCCCCCACACACCAGCTGATCGGATTCGGTAGGGCTAGCAAGTAATGAGAAGCTTGGCCGCTCCTACAGTGTATCGGTATTGGGAAAGAAATCTACATCGCCCATCACGCGCTCATCGGCCAATGCATCGAAGTCGCCGCCCGTCGGTCCCTTAGTAAAACACCCATCGCTGAACGAACGGAAGAATCAAAAGCTCCGCCAACCGAATCAAACTAAAACAACAAGCGCCTCCAATGCAAGATGGGAATAATCCGGAGATATGACTCTGTCCATGCGGTAGAAACTCAAGCCACCTGCTGCAGAAAACGCCCGCTAAAAGTACAACAAATCTACAAAGCCAGAGATCGTACAGTCGTCAAACGAACGTTAGAGTGAAGCGTAATCGTGGAAGAATAGGCCGCAGTCTACTGCTTGCCCTTTTTGACTTTCTGGAGGAACTTCCTCACCAGGTTGCCCTGTCTGTTGTTCATCTGGACGGCAAAGGGTCCATGCATGCCCGTAGTATCGTCGCTCTCCGGCGGGAGCTCTTGGAGCGCCAAAGGATCCGCCTCCCTGGACGCTTGGTGCTGCTGCCAACCGTACAGCATCCCTTCGTCGGCACGCAGATCCGGCCGCGTGAGCGTCATGCGGAGGGTCATTTCTCGGTTGCTCGGGAATGGCTGTGGATACACGTCCGGGGACCTCTTGGCCCTGGTTTGGAGGGTTGGCAAGCCATTCGAATCCAGTGACGAGTAGTTGGATTTGGGGATCTGCGCCACCGTGCGGAAGCTCTCATCGGGATCAGCGGGCGTGACCGGAGTGTCGAGATCCGCCAGACTGCTCTCCCTGTCCGACTCGTCGCCGATGTCGCTGTAGTCCAAAAACGAAACAGAGTCATCCCGGAGGAATGTGTGAAGGTCACGGCTGGCTTGGCGCTCGAAGAGGATGCTGCGCGACGACGGCTCGGGCGAGCCCTCGGGAGAGCCCTCGGGACTGGACTGCTGCTTGTCCGACGGGAATCCGTACTCCACCACCTCATCGAACTTGTGGGGCGAGGCGAGATAGAGACGGAGCTTCATGCGGGCTTCTGGATCCTGGTAGTACTTGGTCTCCGACTCGACTTCCCCACCGTAACGGAATGCCACGTCGTTAGTGACGGCTCTTGGCCGCTGGTTGGTCTGCGGGGTAGGACCAAACAGAGGAGAAGGGAGAGGGGGGGCAGAAGACGTGGACAGCCTTCCAATGGTATTAGAGATGGACATGGTCCTGCGGAAAGAGGCTCGCCTGTGGCCGGTATTAGGGCGGGACTGTGTCTGGTGGTACGGCATGTCTTCCGGCGGTTCCTGGATTTCCTGCGAAGAGGCGTAGGCGTCGATTACGGAGTCTCCCTGGAACGACCTGGATCTCCTCTTTTCAATGGGAAGCGGGGTGGCCTCGTGATCCTTGGGAAGGTCTGATGCGCTGTCTGAGTCCAGCAGGAAGGTCTCGCAACGTCCGGCCAGCAGAATTGCCTCCTCGCGGCTCAAACAGGACTTGATGATCTTATCCGGAAGGGAAAGAAACCATTGGGCCTCGGCTTCGGTGATGTCGTTGGCAGTTTGCGCTTTCCTCAGCCGGCGGCGGCCGCGGCTTTCCGACCTGGACTGGCTGGCGCTACGGCGGGATGAACGGGCGGTCTGAGGACGCCGGGGCATGGAGTTGACGTCCGGAACAGGGTGCGCGGCGTGCTCCATTCTTAAACGCTCCAGAGACGAGAAATATTTGCGCCTAGAAGTGGCAGTGTCAGCAACGCGACGGGATGCGGAAGGCGCAATCAGGCACGTGGCGCGGATGCGGCAAGCAACAACGACGACACCCTCAAGCCATGGCAAGCACGAGCGCATACGAAAGTTTGACCGCCTTTTCAACGACAAAGCGCGCTGAGACAGCGTTCCAGGAGGACTGACCGGACGGCATCAGGCATGGCCTCGTACTCTGCGGCGGAGAGCAGCGGCGCAGGCATCCTGGAGGGAGGGAATGGCTTGGAGGAAGAACCCTCGGTGGTGACGGGCCGTGAACGGCTGCGAGAGGAACGGGAGCGGGCGTGCTGGGGGAGCGGGCAGACTGGTGCGCGGGGGAGAGCGTCTGCAGGGCTTATATTCCTGCTTCGTCCAGGCCTTGGGGGCGGAGGGGCCATGATTGGAGCTGACATCGATGCAGATTGTTGGACCGCAGCGGCGGGAGCCATAGTAGCTTCGCGCCTTGCAGGTGGATGGCGTTGTGCCTCGCATTCGCAGCAGCTAGTCGCAGCGCCGCGCCGTAATAATAGACGCCCTGATGCTCCCGAATGGCAGGGATGTCGACGGTATGGCCCTGGGCCCACCGCACGCGCCTTAGTGCGCGTGTCACAGCGCCAAGCACGGTCGTCCAAGCTGCTCGTTGGCTGCGCACAGATCCCGGCCGGGCTGGGCGGCGCGCCCCTGTGAGCTGTCCGGCCTGCGCTGTGTGGGTGTGGGCTGCGGGCACCCGCCCGTCGTCGAGCCGCCCGTTGCTCGTCAGACCGGCGCGGGAGCGACCAAGTGAGCTCGCCTCCGCCGCGTGTTCGCAGCTCTGACGACTCGCACAGCAAGGGCGCGCGGCCCCCGCCCAGGCGGTGACAAGGGGGCCCGCCCGCGGCATGGAGATGAGAATGAGCAGCCCGGGCATCGCTGGGGGACGCGTGACGCTCCTTGCTGGCAGCCGCGATGTGCGTCCTGGGGCCAGAAAGGCCGTCGACGATATTGAGCAGCCGGACGAGACCTCGCCCTCACCTCCGCTGCGCTGCGCTGCGCTGCGCTGCGCTGCGCTGTGCTGCACGCTGCCGTGCCAGAGGCCTCGACCTCCTCCGTTGACTGCCGGCCAGGATCCCTCTGCCTCCCTGCATGCCTGCAGAAGGCCTCATGAAACGGACGTGCTGATCCTGCCGCGAACTGGGTCGCTCACCCGGCCACTAACGCGCTGGCCTGCTGGTCAGACGGTGACCGGGATGCGGAGCAAGCTCCTCATGCTCAGTGGATGGCATCTGCCGCCGAGCGCAGCGTCACAAACATCCCGATCGCCGACGTCAACGAGGCGTCGCAAATAAGGGCCTTCCCGCCGCGCTACTCCAGTGCAGTCGGAAAAGCGGTCAGGTACCAACATCCAAAGGTACGGCGAAGGCAGGTCCCGGCACCGGCAGGCTGGAGGCCGGCCTGCGCGCCACCCGTCGCGATCGGCAGGCAGTCAACCGCGCAAGCAGCCTGCCTACACAACTCCTCAGCATGGTGAGACGCCCGCAGAATGCATTGCCGCGTCCGCCCCACCTGCAACACCAACATGCGGGCGTCGCCGGCCGCTGCAGCGCGGCTCGTCGACGACGTGCTCTCGCTCAGCTCCAGCCACACCGCCGGCCGTGGGCAGCAATGCAAACACTCAGCCTTGCGAAAAGCAACGAGGCTTTGTAAGATCGGCATCCTCGGAGCTCCACCATTTCCTTCTTCCGGCAGAGCGGCCCCAAATGTGGCCGGCAAACGGAGGCCCGTGTTGCGGCCGCCTCAATGCATCCATGCCCCATGCTCTCCCAAACTTTCCGACCGCCTTGGCTCAATAACCTTTTCTGAACCTTGCGACCTGAGCAAACCAAACGCCAGCCGCCGCTCCCTTCCCAGACGAGCTTGCTCGCACGGCCTGGCCGGTCTGTGAAACAGTGGCTCGCGAGCCTGCGCTGCCGCCCAGCGAACGAGGCTTGATTTTCGATGAGATTGTGCATTCCAGAAGGTCGGAAGGAATTCTTCCTTTTGACTTTGCCTCATCCATTCAGCCACAGCTCCTGAGCACCCAATCAGTCGACCCAGCCGTCGCATGCAATTGCCAATTATAGGCTCTGCATTTATAGGTCCCGCTACGGTAGAACACCAGCTCGGCATTGATACATTCGCAGCCGAGGCATTGTACTCCAACACGGCCCCGGCCGATGTGGTTATATGTGCAAGGCTGACTTGCAATGATTGCGTCGGATCAATGGCCGGGGCTCCATCGCGCAAGGCACCGCCTGCTTGTCAGGGCGGAACTGACTCACGTCATGCCTCACTTCAAGTATCTACAACTTCTACATCTGTACGGCAACGACATATCGTGTCTCGATACATGGCCTACGACGGAGAAGATAATCATCGTTCATTTTCTGAGACAGGGATAGTGGTCAACTGATACATTGTCCGTCTGCTCGACCCGCCATCATGGTATCATGGCAGCTCCAACTGCTGGACCAATAGGCCAGCTCAGGCACACACACACTTTCTCACTCTCTCTAATCACACCGTCACTCGCAAGCCAACATCTGGGATTAGCTGCATGCATATGCACACCAGTGACCACACCAGTATGTGCACATAGACATCCCTCATCACTTGACAACCTGCTTTGCTTAAAAAAAAAAAAACAGCTCGCGTCATTTATTGCCCTTCCCTTCCGTCCCTTCATCAACCAACAAAGGAGATAGCTACCGAACAAACTGCGAAGGACGAGTCCGCGGGGAATTGCAAGGAAAAGGGATCAAGTAGCTTCTCCGTGGTTGTCGCAGGATGAGTACACCATTTAGTGGAAGCAAAAAGGGTTTCCGTTTTGTCTTTCTCCATCACCAACCAACCGCAGAAAGCTGTCGGTCACACAAGAGGCAGCGCGACACTGCACATGCACAACGTAATGTCTTCGATTGATCGTGGGACACTGCGGCGGGGCGGGGACGGCGGCGCCGGTGTTAGTGGTACGCGCGCCCCCCCTCCTTACAATTTTCCACGTGTCTGGGAAATTGTACATGTTTTGGACAGCAAGGTAGGCTGGTGGAACGGCAACAAAAGGGTTGATTCTGGAGAAAGACATATTCCCCAGGACGATCACCCGACGCACGTAGCATGCGAATTCTGTTGGTTTTCTCTTTGGACTCTTGTGGAGACAGGTGAGTGACTAATCTTAGCAATCTCTCAAGCACCCTCCACGTGCCCTCCAATTTCTTTCTGGAAGGAAGGAACAGGCCCGATTGTGTCCTAATTACTTGGGCTTGTTGGTCCGTCGGGTTTCCACGTGATGCAAGTAGCTCCGGTCAAGGGAACTGCCGAAAGTAGAGAAGAATGAAACGAGCTGCTCTACAGCCACCGTGGGGGTTTGTAGGAGTCAGGTTTGTAGGATTAGACCGAGTGCGAAAAATAGAAGGGGAGCATGAGTAGTGTAGAAAGATCGGTGAAGTAGTAGCGCCGTCTAGAAGATTGCTTCACTAGGATCGTTGCGCCACAGTTATCATAGGAAGCATTCCTGCGCCGCACACCGGTGAAGGCTTTCTCCGAGCAATGAGCCGCGAGCAACGTCAGCCATTGAATTCGGATCGACGCTCGTAACATGACACTGCCCGTCGGGTGCTGATCGGATTGTGACATCACATCTCAGACAAGCCAATGCATGCGTTGCGACTTTCCGAACGCATGATCCGTTCAACGAGAGGGGAAGAAGAAGCAGAAAGCTCGCCTGTTTGGCAGAATCCAGACTTCTCCTGAAATATCCTCAATTCGTTCCAACCGGGTGTATCAGCCACCCGGGCTGCTACGCAATCCATTCGCATCCCGAATCCCGAATCCCGACTCCCTCGGTTCCAAAAAAAAAAAAAAAACGCCGGCTACCCGTCTCGTTTGATATTGCTTTAGCAACTAGGACCCATCGCGGTTGTTTCACGACTTTGGAACAACACCACTTTTGTGCGCAAACAACTACGGTGAAGGACTGCATCAGTCGTCCGCCTCGCGTCATTTCCCCCGTTGATCTTTCTTAATTACGTCTTCAGAACTCGAACTCCTGCCTGAACCTCTCGATGTCCATGCCTGGGCCAACCATGTCGCCCAGGTCCCGCCTGTTCATCTGGCTGAACACCCGCCGGAGCGTGTCGTACAAGTTGGTACTCTGGTTTTGGCTGATCATCCGGTCGAGCTCCGCCTCGTCCACGTTGTCGCCCACCACTTGGCGCGCCTTCTCGCGGCCCTCCTGCTCAACCACCTTGTGCATCGCGAGCGCGCCTAGCAAGTGCTGTGCCGCCTCGTCGTAGCAGCCGATGTTGATGCAGCTGACGCCGAGGTTGTAGCGTGCGCGCACGAAGTTCGGCCGCAGCGCCAGCGCGCGCTCGTACGCATCGATGGCTTCCTCGCTGCGCCCTGAGTTTGCCAGCGTTGCGCCCAGCCGGTTCCACAGCAGGTGTACCTGGTCCTGCTGGTTGCTGGTGCCGGTTTCCGTGCTGGCTAGCGCGGCGCCGAAGCAGTCGACGGCCTTGTCGTACTCCTCGGCGCCGTAGAAAAGCACACCCAGCCCGACCTGGACGTCTGGGTCCATCTGCTCCCCAGACGGCGAGAGTTGCGCGGCCTTGATGAACAAGTCTGTCACTTTCTCGTGCAGGAGATGCCGGTCTGTGAATCCTACATCAGCGGCAGTGGAGACGTCTTCAGGCTTGATGAGCTGCGGGTATTTTGTGGCAAGCCATCTTTCCAATGTCCTGTAAGCGGTACTGTCGTAACCCTCATTCGTATAAGAGACGGCGAGACCCATGAGAGCCTCGAGATTGTTAGGATCGAGCTTCATGGCTTGCTCTAGGGCTCGGATCGCTGGAGACTCCTTCTCGTTCTGTGCCTGGGCTGCGCCTAGTTTCGTCCACGCCTCGACATGTTGAGGATCCTTCTGCACTGCTGCCTCGAAAGCAAGCGCTGCCAAGGACAAATTTCCGCCATTCTGCAGGATAGCGAGACCTTCTGCAAATGGATCGGTAACATCCTTGAAAGGGTTCGTTTGCTCGAACATGTAATCGCCCATGTTCGGATCGCGCAGAGAGGAATGCGTATTTAGGCCATCGAAGCCCTCCCACTGTTCCAGATCGCCCATGTGCAGATTCTTGGTGAATTCGTCTTCCACGAGAGCCCTGGCATTTGCGGTCTCAGCTTGAATGCCCCGCCAAATGCTTTCAAAATCGCCAAACTCGTTAGTCTCGGAGAGGACTGACCTGTCTATGTCATTCAACTCTGCCTCCATTGCCGCGTTTGCTTCCTTGTCCAGAGCGTCCATGTCCTGCTGGTTTGTCGACTCGAGTTGTGCAAACTGGGCTTCCCAGTCCTTGTCATCAAGTTCGACCATCCGCTCCTTGCCCTTGGACTCTTGCGGAGCCTGCTGAAATTGTTGGCTGTGCATCATGGGGGACCCCATCATTCCCATGCCCATGCCCATTCCCATGCCCATACCCATGCCGTACATGGGGCGCTGGTATCCCATCATTCCAGCGGGTCCGCTCGTGACCGGGCTTGCCGTCCTACCAGGTGCGCTTGTCCCCTCGAACCTGGCAAACTCGGCGGCGCTGAATCCTGGGCGTGCGCTCTGGAAGGCAGGACCGACCGGGCTTGCTTCTCTACCGGCATCGAATTCAGCGGCCCAAGCGGGCGAGGCATTGTGTTGGGCGCGCGAAGCTTGCTCCAGCTCTCGCCGCATCTGCTCCATGGCGAAGGGCGACGCCGGACCGGCAGGTTGGGGGAGGTGGGATTGCTCGCGCATGAACTCGTCCATCATCTGCGTCAACGACCGTCAGCACTTCCGCTTCGCCGCGGAGAGCGTGCACGTACATGCTCTTGGCCGCCCGGCATAGCTTGACTTCGCATGCCCTCCTGCATGCCCGGCCCCCGGCCGACCAGGCGATCTCGTTGTAGCGACTTGTCATCTTGTACGTGTTTCGTGAACTGGCTGAGCGGGTTGCCGGCGGTTGAACACTCGGCGCCTCCGAGAAATGACATGGCGGGCGCGCGGGTCTGTGGCGCAAAAGGAGCTCGAGATCGAAGAGAGGGCGCAGAGGGGCAGCGGTGTTCAAGACGGGCGAGAGATTGGTGTATAAGCACGCGAAAGGTTGGATGTGGGGTTGAGGCTATCGGGCAACAGATGGTAATCAAGATGCCGCGGCTACGGTCGGCCGGTCGCCGCCGCCGCCGCCTCCGCCTGCCATGGAATGCGGAGACCACATCCCGGCGCCTTGCACGTGTCAGAGCCTCAGGCACGCAACTCCACGGTAGGTACAATAAGGCAGGCGAGGCCACGCGAGACGGAGCCCGTTGTCCCCTCAGATCTCCCGCGACACGTCAGGGCCTGCGGGTCTTCGCAGCAGCTCTTCCTTCACCGTATGTCATGATCGCCGGAGCAAAGCATCAGTGCTGACTCAAATACGATTTTCTTGACTCGAAGCCCACCGACTGTCAATCTACCTGACTCTCTTGCTCAGCCGTACAACAACTCATACTTCCACTGAGACTCTGGCACATCCTTGTACTTCACGCTGGTCGGGTGCTTGTGTCGCGCAGGCAGAACTCTGCGGATGTACAAGTCGCCGACATTGAAAGGCTCGTATTGCGGTTCTTCCCCAGCTGCGACAAAGCCGTCCAGCACGTGGATGTTGGCATCGGGGTCTGGCGTAAGGAAGAATGGCAGCGAGTAGCGTCTCTCCCCCGTCTGGTTGCGGACTCGGTGAACCGTTGCCACGAATCTGCCGTTGGTCTGCCGCTCCAGATATTGGCCGACGTTGCAAACGAACGAATTTGGCTTTGGGGGCGCTTGTACCCATTGGCCGTCTTTGTTCAGGATCTCAAGAGCCGGAACCGAGTCCTGCAGGACCATGGTGAGCCCTGAGCAAACGTGGTGTTAGTTCTGCCCCGTTACACAACAGTCGGGATACTCGAGACCATCGGAACCATGGAATGGCCAGAGCACACTACACCCTGAATGGAAGAACTTACAGGAGAAATCTGTATGGGCTCCGAGGCCGATGGTTCCGCTCTCTTCCAGTGGCATTGGAGGGTAGTGCAAGGCTCGCATTCCGGTAATCGGAAACTTGAACATGTCATCAAGCGCCGTTTCTCCCAGGCCGAACGCAAGTGCGAAGATGCGGACCAACTTCATTGCTAGCGGGAAAACATGGCTGTAGTAGTTGTACAGCCCTTCCCTTAGGAATGGAGCGTCCTTTGGCCAGATGTTCTGAGGCTTCTTGATGTACGACGGAGGGTCAGCGCCCACTCTTCCCCTATAATCCTGCTCCGGCTCAATCACGCAGTCCCCCATGGTAAAAGCCTCTTTAGAGTCTGAAGACTTCACGTTAGCACTGGTCTCTGTATCGAGGTGTCGCCCAGCCCTACCTCCTTTCGTCCTTGGATCGTTCCGAGTTTCCAAAGGCGGCTCATAGCCTCTGATGGCCGGGTTCTTTTGCACGTGCGCATCCATTTTCGTCTCATGGTCAAGTGCAAAGAACTTGCTCATTGTTTCGAACGTCTGGTCCAGCACTTCTTTGGGGATGCCATGGTTGGTCAGGTAGAAGAAGCCGGACACGCTGCAAGCATCATAAATTTTTCTCGCGATCTCCTTCCTCTCGTCTAGCAAAGGGCTGTCGATGTTCGAGATGTCTATCTCCGGAATTGTAGTGAACTCTCCCTTGGCCGCTTTGCTGACTTTGCGATAGGTCGCCTGGGACCCCGAGTGGAAGTACACATACTGCGAGGGTTAGCATCGTGTACACTAGCCAAACTTTCCCCTCCACATGATCTGTAAACATTACCTCTCCATCGTCTGCAGGCTCAGCATGAGTCGTTGTCACAGTAGCCATGCTTCGTGGCAATTTTCTTTTGTCTCTTGAAGTGATTGCAGAGGCTGCTCGGTATCGCGCCACGCAAAGACGCTCCTCTTAGTCTCTTGTAGGTAGTCGGGATCCGGTACTTTTTGACCGAACTCCTATCGGGCAAGCCAAAGAGACCGAACAGTTCTTATCGCATGTGTGGCTGCTTCCCCGCAAATGGATAGCAACTGACTTGCACGTGACATACGCCCACTCTTGGCGAAGTGAGGTGACCAAGCGGATTTATCAGAACATCAATGGAACCAATATTGGCCTCCAGCCTCACTTGAGCTGCTTTTGCACCATACATCCTGCCCTGTCGCGATATTCGAGATGGAAGTGACAATGGAGACGGACAGAGCCATATCGCCCCTTGGTATGTTTTCTGCCATAGCAAAGGCAACGAAACCTTGTGCTTTTCATTAAATCACTTCTTCACCTCTTTGTGTGTGAGGCAAGGATAAAGTGAAGGTCTGCGTGGAGTAGGAGCGTTTAGTCAGACGCGGATGGGCTCTTCAAGTCCAGAACTAAGAATGGGTACACACGACAAGGCCATGGCAGAATTCCTGGACCAAGCAAAGTCAAAGTGGGATGCAATGCAAACTCTATTGGGATCTCTCTTTTAATATCTCAAAGCTGTCTGTGATTCTCCTGTCAGGGAAGGTGAGGAAAGAAGAGAAACTAAGTGAAGGATCAAACGGTCGATTGCCGGAGACGAACTGATGCGTAGAGTAAGAATCTCAAGCACAGAGAGTGAACTGGAAGACTCCAGTTGAGCCAGTGCGGCACTCGATCGGGTGTGAGCAGCCGGGCTTGGTGTTCATCGGTGGACATGTGTCGTTAACCGGGAGGTCCATGGCCCTGGGATCGTTGGCTGAGAGAGCATGGCCGGGCTGCCACTCATACGAGCATGGGTTCATACTTGGAGTGCAGAGGAGTGCAGAGCTGGCACCGTCGGTGACTGAATGGCAAGCAGACGGGTTAAGTAGACGGCCGTTGACGAGAACTTCGGCAAGGCGGACGACGTTGGTGAACGGGTTTCCATCGACGACGGAGAGGTCGGCAGACAGCCACTGGATGCTAGGGTCCTGATACCAGTAAGGCGTGTATTCCAACTGGTACACGTGGCCGCTCGTGAAGCCCGGGTCCTGTTCCTTCTGCAGCTTGATGGTGATGCCGTGGGCGTGGTCTGGAGCATCCGGAGCACCCTCGCCGTTGCCAAATGTAGGTGAGAATGCAGCGTCGTAGATACCGCCCTTGGCGGACACCTTGACCATCTGAGAGTCGAGAACACCGTTGCCACCTGCGTCCTTCTGGCGAGTTGTCTTAGCCCATATGTCGAAGTCGCACTTGTTGACGACGCGGCCAGACCATTCGGCGCACACAAGGCCCGTCAGAGCGACCAGAAGGAAGAAGTCTGTGCACCCGACAGATCAGTAGTATCTGTGGACCATAATGTGGGTAAGTATCTGAGGAACAGTACAAGTGACGTTGAGCTTCATGATGAAGGTAGGAACCAAGGCAGAAGAGTCTGACGGACGAAGTCTTGAGCGGGAGGAGTGGTAGAAGAGGTAGTGGAAGAGTCAGAGCGGCAGAGTGCATGGAATATCTAAGGGTTTATATAGGCACACTGGCATCGTCGGAGGGGGTCGGCCCGGTTGTTGGGACAACAGTTGGGTAGGGTGGAAGCTGACCAGCAGATTCAGAGGAAAATTTACATAGGTAAGGTGCATAGACCCTAGATATCGACACCTTGATGTCTTATGCGGAGCCTCGCTGCCTAAGCGTGTGTCCGCATCGTTCACTACTTGGGCTTCATCCTCTTGACCGTGACAACACTCCGCCTGAAGAATTCTCTCGATAACACTCACTCGCCATGCGGAAGACCACCTCTACAGTTCAGTCATTTATGGGTTGTGGAGGGACTAACTGTCTCTAGAGAGAGTCGATGACATTGAATGGTTACGCGCTCATACATGCAGCAAACAAGAACGAGACCTTAGAGGCACTCACGATCAAAATCACTTCTCTCTATCCCAGCGAACTACTGACTTTAGTGGTAGGCACATGATCGGCGTGTTTTATTCCAGCAGCGCCTTCCTCATCTTTCTGAATTGGCTGGCGTAGCACTTGTAACTACCCACCGCCTCATCTGATCTACACTGATAGTTGTGATCCCGAATATCTCGGACTTTATGGCCGGCTTCTGACGAGACCAAAAGTTCATCCAACTGATTTGTAGAGAAACAATGGCGCAGATTGGCGCTATTAGAGGATGTTAGTAGAGTAGCATCCGGACGAAGAGCCCGGTGCTCTCTTGCTGTAGAAGATTAATGGTAGGATTTCGTACTACAAGGGGTGATTGCAGTCGAAGGTTAGCGTAGATTCGGTTCTCGGGCGCCTGCTGAAGGTCGTGTTGGCAGTTGAAGCAATTGTCCGGACATGACTGTAGATTCCACGTCTAGACGATAACTTATAAGGCGAGTGTCGTTTCTCGCAAAAATTGCGAGAGATGATTTCTCCTGGGGGGGGCCACAACTACCCCCTGTTCCAGGGCCGTGCTATCTTGGTGCTAGTCTCCGCCACTGATGCATACCTGTAGATGGTTGGTATGGCTGCAGGGGGGCGGTCTTGCGAGAGTGGACTATATCGGCGTCTCAGGCACCATGAGCTCCCAACCCAATGATCAGCAAGCTGCGGTGACACTTAGCATGACGTGTCCGCGCGGAGGTCCCAGATTAGGGGTGGAGGCGGATCATCTCGTGGCGGTGCTGCACTCCCGATTTCTGCCCTGTCGCATGTGGTTTCGGTCGGACAGGAGTCCAGAGTCAGAATACAGTCAGCGAAGCATTGAAGGTATACCGATGCTGGTTCTGGCGGGGGCTAAGGGCGCTCTCCAATGGCCTCGTCTGGCCGGGTGGGCAAGCCAGAGGGCGCAAGGAGAGGGCTGGGAAGGCTGGTACGACGTCCGGAGCAAGATCCAGGAGCCGCGAGGATAGCAGTGGAAAATCCCGTCATCGAGCTGAAGGGTGAGGCGCAGCCGTGGGTAAGACGGCCACATACGGGCTGTCGCACAGGCATGAGCAGGCGCGAGCACGAGCAGCGACGAAGGCAGCGATTGAAGGCGGGCTCCAAACAGGGTTGCGTGCAGGAGCTGGCGCGATGGTGAAGCAATGCGGGGAGCAAGGAAGGCTGTGTGTGAGTGGAGCGGCTGCCGGATGACGAAGGTCGGGCATCGCGGGAACAGGCAGCGATTGGGCAGGCCAGGCCAGCGTGCAACATCATCCTCAGCGCCATCGCCAACCCATCAAGTCCAACGAATGCCCGCGAGAAGCTGCTGAGCCTGCTGCTCGACGGCCTGTCGCAAGCCTGCCCAGCCGCACTCCCCGACCGCGCCGCCCAAGCCCAGCGCCGCCGGCCACCGCGCGGCCGCCGCCCGAAGCCCGCACATCCCGCGGCCTCCCTACGCCTGCATTCCGCACCACCGCGAGCACTCGACCCTCCCTGAGCACCGCCAATCCGCTCCCGACGCCTCCGGCTGCGCCGCCTCCGCTCTTCCGCCATGGCCTTTCTCGGAGTCTACCGCGCCATCTACGATTATGCGCCGCAGGGCGAGGGCGAGCTGGAACTCAAGGATGGCGACCTGCTGTTCGTCCTGGAGAAGGACTCTGACGATGACTGGTGGAAGGCCAAGAAGAAGGCCGCCACCGACGACGAGGAGGAGCCCGAGGGCTTGATACCGAACAACTACGTCGAAGAGGTGAGTGCACCAGCGCGCCGAGGGGCTCGCGCGAATTGGCGACCTCACCACGCGCTGCCAGCCATTGTCAAGCCGGCCGTCGGCTGATGTCCAGGAAACTACAGGCCCAGCCCCTCGCAAAAGCAAAAGCTCTCTACGACTACACCCGCCAGACTGACGAGGAGCTGTCCTTCACCGAAGAGGCCGTCCTCGACGTCTACGACACCTCGGATCCCGACTGGACCTTGGTTGGCCTGAAGGGCGAGTTTGGCTTTGCCCCCGCAAATTACATTGATATTACAGAGACTCTCGAGGCCGAGGAGCAGGCCCCGCCGCCGCCTGCGCGCCCTCGCCTCCCCGACCCAGAGCCGGAAGAGGAAGAGCCGGCCGCGCCGACTCCTCCATCTCCCGCCGCTGCCACCGAGAGCCCCGCGGCTGCTCTCGCCGGTCTCATCCAACAGAAGACCGGCCAAGCGCAGGCCGCAGCCCCTCAGCGCACGGTTGTCTCCCCTCCCCCGGCCATTAGCCTGCCGCCGCGCCAGCCCCAGTACACCCCCGAGGAGTCCGAGGAGGAGCCTCCTGCTCCCAGATTACCCCAGAGACCCATCTCCCAGGTCTCCTCGCAGCCGTCGCCCATCCCTACCCCAACCTTCCCTAACCGCGAGTCGTCGAGCCGCTCCCCGCCCGGCGGTGTCATGCCTTCGCCGCCCTACAATCGAGCATCCCACCCCCGCGTTGAATGGGACGACGATGTCATCAAGAAGGATGTCAAGGTGCCGCAAGGCTATCACTTGTACAATATCCACGAAATGGTTTCGCATATGGGCAAGAGCAAGAAGATGCCAATGACACTGGGCATTAACATCCCTAAGGGCTTGATTATGATAGCTCCGGAAAAATCAAGGGATGGTCCTCAACGCGAGTGGACTGCTGATAAGATGCAGCATTATTCAATCGAGGGAAAGCACGTTTTCATGGACCTTGTCAGGCCAAGCAAGAGTGTAGACTTCCATGCCGGCGCGAAGGATACCGCCCAGGAGATTGTCGCCATGCTGGGAGAACTGGCTGGCGCGGCCAGGGGCGAGGGTCTACGCGAAGTCCTTGCTGCAGCCTCTGGCGGCACCGGCCAAAAGAAGGGCAAGATTCTTTACGAGTTCATGGCTCAGGGGGATGACGAAGTCACGGTTGCCGAGGGCGACGACGTTATCGTTCTTGACGATGCTAAGAGCGACGAGTGGTGGATGGTACGACGACTGAAAAACGGCAGGGAGGGTGTTGTACCCGCAAGTTACGTCGAGATCACCGGCTACATCGCATCGAAGGAAGACCCCGGGGTCCTTCAGGCCAGGTCGACCGTGGAGCAGAACCGGCTGGACGAGGAGCGCATGGCGAAGGAGGCGATGATGAAGAAAAAGAGAGAAAGCGAGATGCGGGCGGCAGAGGTAGGCCCTGGCTTGTCCTTGCCACAGCGTTCTAGCAGTTTGTTGCGTGGAGATAATGACGTTAAACGCTCGACACAGAGAAGCAAGCGCGATAGCTCGGCGTCCAGATCTTCAACCGCAAAACCGAGTGAGTATACCCCTAGTCACCAGCGGTCTCTTTCACAGGCCAGATACCAACGTTATAAACGTGCAGAGCCCGACCCCGGGAAGACTCGCACCTGGACCGACCGCACTGGGTCGTTCAAGGTCGAAGCCGAGTTCATTGGCTTGAAAGATGGCAAGATCCATCTCCACAAGCTCAATGGAGTTAAGATTGCGGTACCTGTCCCCAAGATGTCCGTCGAAGATCTAGAGTACGTTGAGAGGGCTACCGGCGTGTCCTTGGACGAAGACAAACCGCTCTCGGATATCAAGCGGAGAAACACGACAAAGGAGGGCCGCGAGAACCGGTCCTCCTCAGCCCCACGGGCGGGAATCACGATCGGTCTGCCGGAACCGACTTACGATTGGTTCCAGTTCTTCCTCGACTGTGGTGTTAACCCGCAGATTTGCGAGCGGTATGCACAGTCATTCGCGAAGGATCAGATGGGCGAGGAGAACCTGCCAGATATCTCGGAGAAGCTTCTCAGGACTCTTGGTCTGAAGGAGGGCGATATTCTGCGTGTGATGAAGTTCTTGGACAACAAATACGGCCGTACAGGTGAGAATCAGAAACGGGGCGACGATGCCGGAGACGACGAGGGTGCCAACGGGGGTCTTTTTGCAGGTCCAGGCGGAGCGCTCAAGAACAACACGCGGAAGGGCCGTCCGGCGCCAGCCGTGCAGACGAACGACGTCATCGACCCCGAGGCGCTCAAGGCGAAGACGGCGGACGATGTGAAGAAGGATGCGACAGGGGCTTCGTCTGGCGCCGGGGAGAAAACACCGGGTGGTTTCGACGACAACGCATGGGAGGTCAAGCCGTCGAAGCAGCCTGAGCAGCCAGCGACAAGCGAACCCGCTACCACCGCCGCGACCCCTGCGACAACCGCCCCCGCCCCTGCTCCTCCAACAGGTGCCATGGCCGAACTTTCGATCCTCACGCCTCCGCTAGAACCCACGCCTGCCCCGCCGCCAGCGACAACTGCTCCTGCTGCAGCCCCGGCCGCCGCGCCCGCTCAGGTTCCGCAGCCCACTGGTCCTCAAGGTGCCACTCCTGGTCTGTTCGAGCAGGTTGCAAACCTTCCTCAGGCACCTCCCAGGGCACGGCCGCAGGCACCGCAGCAAACAGGTGCGAACCCGCTCATTGCCCCTCCGCCGCAGCGTTCGTCGTCAGCGCCTCAAAACTACAACCAGTTTGGCCCTCCCCAGCCCATTCAGCCGCAAATGACTGGCATGCCTGCACCGCCGGGTCAGAGTCTACAAGAACTTCAAAACCAGCAGCGTATGCAGCAGTTCCAGCAGCAGCAGATGGCCATGCAGCACCAGCCCAACGGTTTCATGCAGCCTCAGCAGACTGGGTTCCCCGGCCAGTTCGGCCACCAGGGTCCTCTGATGCCGCAGCAGACAGGCTTCATGCAGCCCCAGCCTACAGGCTTCCAGGGCCAGTTCGGCCAGGGCCCTCAGATGGGCAACCAGTTCGGCTCGCCCTTCGCGGATCCCACCCCTCGTCCGAACTCTTTCGCACCCGGCATGCCGATGCAGCCTCAGCCCACCGGTTTCGGCCACCCCGGCGGCTTCCAGCCGCAACCCCTTCAACCGCAGGCCACCGGCGTCAATGCCTTCCTCCCAGCCGCTCTCACGCCCCAGCGTACTGGTGCCACTGGCACCTGGAACAACAATTCCAACTTCCAGGCCCCGCCCGTGCCACCGATCCCCCAGCAGCAGACTGCTGCACCTCTTGTCCCTCAGAAGACCGGCCCGCCACCGCCGGTCAGGTTCGGTGTCAGTCCTTCGGCGAAGAAATTGGCGGCTCAGCCTACCGGCAGAAGGGCGAACTTGAGTCAAGCTAGTAAGTTTGCCCCCTTGCTTTTGCTTTCATCTGATGCTAAATACTTGTTCGTAGCTCCCGACAATCCGTTCGGCTTCTAAGTATCTTACGACTATGGCTTGTTGACGTGGTCACAAGGGTGTCACAATACCGGTTGCGCGTGGTTGTGAAAAGTGTCAAGGTGAGTCTCTATGGTTAGTTGGGTAGAGCAAGCCTTGTTGGCGCGTGGAGAAGAGGGGGAGAACCTTTCAGTACTGATGCGGTTCTTGTGCTGGCTGGTGTTGTACATAAAGTAGCTTATTTTTCACTGTCTCATTCTTTTTTCCTTCGTTTCACACACTGTTGGTTATTCTCTCTCTCTCCTGGAAGACGGGGAAGGCAAGAAGGGCATGGGGAAGACAGGGGAAGGGGATCTATATGGAAACTCGGCGCTAATGTATAGCCTTGTGCGTTCGTTGTCATTTATTCTTTCGCTGTGACTTGCTTTAAAGCCCGTGGCCTTCGGTTGTTGATTATGTGTTGCTGTGTGCTTTATTTGTAGGCGATGGGAGGTTGTGTGTTTGCGTAGTCCTTGCGTAAGTCTTTCCCTTGGCTTTCGTCCATGGTTGGATTTCGTGATTGGCGCTGAACGAGAGCTGGATGAATGAGATAACGGCCGTAAGCGTAGCATGTGATGTTAAGTCTTCCCTTTTTTTAATCTGTATTTACTTGTGTATTAGCTTTGAGAATAGCTAGGAACTGGTAAATAGTATTCTTCAGGTATAATTGGCAACCTCCCGACGTCCGTTCGCTCGTGCTGTACTTCACGCGCACGAGCAACATCTGCTTCCTTTGGCCGACGTTATAATCTGAAATCAAGGGTGTTGCAATAACCCTGATGCCAGTTTTTAGTGTGTCGAATAAATCTTAAATGAAACCATGTGTAATTGGATATTTAACTATCTACGAGAATAAATTGCAATGGGTATCATGATCCCCTATACAAACGGCTGCGGTTCAACTTTTCAGATACAGCCCGTCATTACATCATACTCTTTCCGATTTCACTCTGCCAATCCTTTGCCCTCTCAAATCCGTTGGTGTGCGTGCTGTAGTCCATCATAGCCTGGTAAACCTCTTCCTGGCTGTTGACGACAAAGGGGCCGTACTGCACGACCTTTTGGTCCAGAGGCAGGCCGGCAACGAGGATGAAACGAGCCTCCTCGGGGGCGTCGGCGGCGACGGACACGACGATGCCGTCGCCCTGCTGCTCGAAGACGACGTTGTGGTACTGGCCGACGGGCGCCGACTCCTTCTCGATGATGTCGTCGGACAGTTGCTCAGCAGAGTCGACGGCGCCGTTCAGGAAGCGGGCGGTGCCGGACAAGGTGTAGGCGAAAGCGTTGAAGCCCTGGGGAAGGGCCTGGATGAGGCGGCCGCCGGGCTTGATGGTCACATCGAGAAGCCAGACGGGCGTGTAGGCGAGCTCCTTGACGCTGTCGACGCCGTGGCTCTGGCCGGAGATGACCTTGACGTGGACCTTGGCGTCATCGACGTCGACGGTAGGGATCTCGGCGGCGCGCAAGTCGCGGTAGCGTGGCTCGCAGGCCTTGAGCTTGGCGGGCAGGTCGACCCACAGCTGCAGGCCGACGTTGGGCGAGCCGTCTGGGTTCGCGACGGGCATCTCGGCGTGCATGATACCGCGGCCGGCCGTCATGAACTGCAGGTCGCCGCTATGGATGGTTCCCCGGTTTCCTGCGAAGTCTTCGTGGTCGACGCCGCCTTGCAGCAGGTAGGTAATGGTCTCCTGGCCTCTGTGGGGGTGGTCAGGAAAACCAGCGCCAGGGGCGATGCTAAAGTGGTCAAGCATCAGGAAGGGCGAGAAGTTGCGGAGCTTGGGCGTGCCGATGCTGCGGCGTACGCGGGCGCCGGCGCCTTCGGCTTGCTCGCGAGCGAGAAAGAAGTTGGCAATCTTGCGCGGCTGCATGTTGGTTTGGTTTTTGGTGAGGGCCGGGTCAGAGGGCGGCACGACGGGCAGGCCTGGAAAGGCAGTCGAGGTGGACATGTTGCTTGTTGTGCGCTGCTTAGCCAGGAGCTTGATGCGCTGGAAAAAGGCGTTCGTCGTGGACTTAATGGTGGCGGTGGCCGTCAGCTGGGCGTTGGATTCGAGCTGGTGATAATAGAGGGCGATTGCTGCGAGGCAGACGATGATGCTTGAGAGTACGAAGCGCATAGATGCAGGAGATGCGGGGGGGATTTATAGAGAGTGCTAGGGCGGGTGGAGAAGACAGTAGAAGGGTCGCCGGCTTCTAAGCAATAGCGCCGGGGTATTTGTGAGGAACGCCATGGCCTCTGCGTAATGCTTTGTGATTGATTAGCAGACCTGTGGCGGGAGAGCGTCGAGGAGCGGCCTTGGCACCGCTGGGGGCGCTGACAAAATCATTGGAAATCAACTGCTCCACCAATCAGCATCTGCCGGAAACAAAGCGCCACATCGGATCGGATTAAGCACCCGACTACACTCCAAAGCTTGCTGGATGAAAACACTTCTCTCGGTGCATCTGCAAACGCGACAAGGGAGAAAGAAGCGAGCGAATACAAGGCTAAAAATGGAACATCCGGCAGTGGAAGTCCCAGATCTCATTTGATTCGACAACAGCCATATTTCCCAGTATCCCATGTCGAGCTTCTCCTCCATCCCAGCATTTTCAACGTTGATGTTCATGCCAGTCAGCCCCTCTTTTGCGCCAAACCAGACCCCTTTCCCGCATGTCAGTACTCTTACAGATAGCTCTGCATGTCTTGAGGCGATTCCAGTAAAATCCATGCCGAACCATGCGACTCAGGAACGAAGCATGGGTTGGGACCAATGCTCTTGCCGCATTTCCATTTCAAATAGTGAGACGACAGATCAAATGCCCTTCCAGAAATTCTCCCGGCGCTGCGTGTATCTGTCTAGCGCCATCCCGCTCAACGACCAACGCAGGTCTCGACCGTCCCAAAAAGCGAGCTCGACACGCCTCACTGTCTGCTTACTGCCCTTCAGCAGGCTTGGTTCGGTCCGCATCGCGTAGTTCCTAAACTTTTGCTTGGCCTCGGAACTATGTGACACGCTGCTTCCGCTTCTGTATTCGAACTCTTGGAGAAGGAAGTCGATGAAGGCATTCGTTCGTGCATCTATGGTCATGCTTGCCGCACTGTTGCATCTGATCCTGGCCATGAATTCTGCGCTGCTGTCTTCAGTGCTGGGAGGAGGATGCACCGCTCGTTCTTCGTTAGATGTCTCGGGCTGCGTAGCTTTGTGTGATTTCCGCATGCTGTACTCCGAGTCCAGGCTTACTCCATCCTCATCGGCGATTCGTGTGCTCGCCTGATACACATCATAAGTCGTCTGCGGCTCCAGCCCCCGTTGGCTGTACTTACTAGAAGGCGCGTAAGCGTCGAATTCATCTTCTTGAGCTCCTCTTCCGTCCGTTTTTTCAGCATGCCGAATTCGCGTTTTCTCTCGTCGTTTTCCTCTCTGAGCGTCTCGTTCGCTTTCCGAAGTCTGCTGATCTCCTCTGCGCTAGCTCGACTGGCCTTCTCAAGGGCTGTTTTGTTGGCCTTGCTCTCTCTTTCGAGTTCTTTTAGCTCCACCTTCCTCGCTTCTTTCTCCCTTCTAAGCTCTTCGATCTTCATGGTACTCTCCTCATTCTTTTTCGTCAGCTCCTCCAGCGCAACGCTGTCCGATTCTCGCTCCAAATTCATAACCTCGTTTTCTCTCTCGAGGCGGCGCACGTGCTCCTTCATCTCGTTCAACTCTTGCGTTCTTTTTCTTTCCGTCGCTGCCATTGCCGTCTCTAGCCCTTTGAGGGCATCGTACATTTCGAGCACGACGTCGTTGTCGGCGCAGACGGCGCGTTCAAACCATGTCGCGCTCACCGAGGGCGATTGCTGCTGTCGCGGTGGGGTTTGCGTCGGGTGGTACTGTCTGCTGGATGGCAACGACGGCTCGCTGCTGTACTCCATTTCAAGCGACGGGAAGAAGAGATTTGAAGCCTCGTCTGTCGATAAGGCTGCTGGTTGACGTGCCACAATTGGGAGCGACTTTTCGAGTAAGGTTGGAGTGGAGGTTATTGGTCGGTCTCTGCGCGTGGCAGGTGCGGGTGGTGTTTTTGCGGGAAACAGCGACTTCCGCCGCGGGAACACGCATGATGCAACCGTTTGCTTGAGCAACAATCAGCTGTCCTACTTTCGCTGGCTCTGACATGCTTGCCCACCAGCAGCCATTGCTTTGAAACAGGGCCACGGCTCTGATTCAAGTCGTAGCCCAAACCACCCAGCAGCTAGCACCTACTGGCATTACTCCGCGATAAATGGGATAGGCAATCTGCTGCGTAACAGGTTCACCGGTATTCCATTTATGAATTTTGTCTGCAGATACTATATCTTTTTGTTTTCCTTTAGCTACTGTTCAGCTATATATGCCTTCGTTTAAGTCCATTCACAAAAGCTGTTCCGCTTCTTCACCGTTGCCATCTGTCCATGAAAGCCACTCCACTCCTTCCCTGTCATATGTGCAAACTGCTCCGCTTCTTCGCCGTTGTTAAAGACTATTTGCTTCACTTGGTTTTTTTTTTCTCTCCTCCAATATTTCCATCTTATCCGACTCTTTAGCCTTACGCTTCGCAACCATCTTGGTTGCGTTGACCGAATCGTCATTGCCAGGGGAACTCTCAAGGGTCGCGATGATGGCGTCAATCTCTTCATATTCAAGCTTGTGGGGATCAGCAAGATGCTTCTTGAGTTGAAATGCCTTTTTCCAGCTCACGGTACTGCTACATTTTGCGTTGATTGGACAGACTTGACGAATCCATTTGGGTTTCTTGGGACGAAAAAACCGTGGTAATGGCAGTGATGGTAGTCAAAAAGCGGTTCGGGTGTAAACAAACGCATCCTCTGCTTCTGCGGCTACCTTGGAGTGGCAGCTGCGGACATCTGTATGCGGTGGCTCTGATCCTGTGCTTCAAGTTAGCGCCTAGCTATGTGCTCTCTAACCAAGATATGTTTCAACTCTCCATAGAGATTTAGCACGAAAATCCCCGATGCATCACCACACGAAGCATGGCTTCACTGCCATTACGGTGTTTGTTATTCAACTCTATTGGTTGGCATCTTGGCCTGATTCCTTATTCTATCCGTCTCTGTGAGAAATCTTATCTTTACGCGTTCCTGATCATGTCTTTAGTAGCCCATCCTACAACTCCTTTACGCTCTCGCCTTTCGCAAATTCTCCCTTCGCCCACCCTTCGACCTCGCCTTCACCAACCGCGACCCAGGCGCTCAACGGATCCGCCCAGATCTCCCACCTCTCAAACCTGCCCTCCTCGTCCCAGCCGCCCAGCACATACACAAACTGTTCGTCCCACTTCCTCCCGGTCTTCACGCTTTCGAACGTGCCCTTACCCACCACCGTCACCGTTCCCTTCAGCCCATGGTTCGGGTTCTCGCTGTTCCCGCTTCCATGCCAAAGCAGGCCACCGGCAACCTTCTTCACCGGCTCCCACAGATGGTGGTGCTTCTCGGTGGCATGGCCAGTCGCGCACAGCACCCTCCCGCCGGCCACGGCGTCGGCCTCCAGGTCCACCACGAACCCTTCGACGCCAGGAAAGCTGTGTTCATCCAGGTGCATCTTCAGCGTCTGCCCGAGCGTCTCGAAGTACTTCTCGCAGCCCTCGACGCCGACAAACGGCTTGCCGAGGAAAGGAAGACGCGTGGACGCGGCCCAGTGGGGACCGTGCTCCAAGATGGTGGGTTTGGCGCCGTGCGAGGCAGAAGGGTCGACGAAGAATTGGGAGAGCAGCTCGCGCGGTGCTGGCGGCGCGTGTAGGGCTTTGCAGAAGGCGTGGGCGCGGTCGCGGAGAAGATTGTTGCGGTCGGCGTTCGTTGATGGCATGGTTGCTTTTCTTTTCTTTCTGCCGGGTCTTTGCGGACGATTGGAGATGGCTCAGAACAGTAGGAATTGTAGGAATTCGGAGAATGAGTGTTGTGCGCCAGTCCGGGGTAGAATCGCACTTTTTGTTATCTTCTGTTTCTCTTCTGAGAAAGGAAGGATGGCGTGAGTATCTTCGCTGTCGATCGCCGACGTCAATCGTGTCTCGGAAAGTGTGCGGGATTCGTGCGGGCTTTTTTCTGCCTTGGATGTTGGCTAGCCTTCCTTCTTGACTCGTTTGCTTCGGCTAATTAATCCCCAGGGCGGCGGGAAGGAGAGAGATGGATTGTGTGAGTGAGTGTGTATGAAGACGACCGCGCTAACCCAAAGGTGAAAGGCCAATGGGCAGGTTTGTATGTTGGAGGGCGCAAGTGTCACTCGCAGCGATAAGCTCCCCCGTCCGCCTATATAGTGAACCGGGCAATCGCGTCAAAGGAGCGACCGGTCGGACTCCCGAGGGAAACGGCATTGACACATCGACACCCCTATGACGTCAACTGACATGATGCCCCGAGCTGGCCGGAAAACTGACTAATGCACAGATACACAAGCGACACGAGGTGCGGAAGTGGGGGAATCTGCATGCATGCATGCGGTGTCGCTTTGGCGGTGAGAGACCCCTTTCCCCTCTCCTTAGATCAATTGGAGATGAGATTTGGTTACATAAAGAAGACGACGCTCAAGTGCATTACGGATGGAAATAACAAGAGGAAAATCGCACGCTTCAAAGAATAGCTTGTCCATGTTTCAAATGCCGACCCCAACACCAGGCTGCGTAACCGATCCCATGTATATCGGAGCCCAAATCAACAGTCTGACGGTTCCCTCCTATGCACACTAGTACCTCCGCCACGGCAAGTCGTATTCCGCGGCCGCCTTTACCAGCCTCGCCAGGCTCTTCTCCATAGCCTTCCTGCCCTCCAGCGTCTGCCACACCTGATGCGGCGCCTTGTTGACGACCGTCCAATCGACAAGGTTGTCGGTCAGATGCGTCAAATCCCTCTGCTTCCGCTCCCACTCGCTGTTCTTCCTCGTCTCAATGCCTGAGCTGACAACTACCACGGGTGTGTTGCGCTCCTGAATCGCACGGCTGCTGACGAGCTCATTCTTGGTGAGCGAGTCCGCTACAAGATTCTCCTGCAGCTGCGCCTTGATGAATTTCCCCCCTTGGTATGCATTTCTTCCGTATACGCGGTCTTCTCGAGTTCTCCCGTTGAAGATAGCACCGCCGAGGCGTTCGATGCCGAGCGGCGAGATGACGCCCCAGCCCCAGAGCAAGAAGCCACGGCCAGGTGAGGACAGCCTGTGTAGCAGGTCCTCGTGCATGGGGTCGATCATCATGATGCCGACGACGTCCCGTAGATGCCGCGACGAGAAGATGCGGCTGGTGATGCTGCCGATACCGGCGGAAACGAGGATCCATGGGCCTTCCTCCCCTGCGCGAGCGAGAGCCTCCGAGAGCGCATCGGCAGACATGCCGGCCGAATGCGGAGATGGTGCGTTGTCTGACCAACCATAGCCAGGCCTGTCCCAGTAGCAGTAGCGGCTGATGGTCTTGTTCTGCACAGCGTTGTAGACCCAATGTTCGAAGTCATACTCGGACGGCTGCTCTCCAGCCTCGAGGATGACGGTAGGTTCCTTCCTTCCCTCGGCGTACGTGACGTTGCCAACGCAGGCGAGGTGGACCGCGTACTTGTCGCCGTCGACTAGATATTTCTCACCGTCCATTGACAGTGTTGCATCGCGGGAACGGATGGCTAGAGTCCCCGTCATCAGAATGGTGATGGCCACGAAGATGACCAAAATGGTGGTCGATAGAAATACGGCGATCCACTCCCTCAGCGTCCTCCGCGTCTCAGGGCGGCCAGTCAAGCGCTCCTCCTCTTCGGCCTTGCCCCAGGCCACAATGCGGTCCGCAATCACACACCATGCGGCAATGACGACTGCCCACACAACCGAGGCAATGCCGACCCAGCCTTCTTCAAGCCGTATCTGAGGAACGGCTAGTATTATTATCATGTCAATGACGAGTATGCCCGCAACCAGACCGGCGCATACGCGCATGGCACGCGAGGGTGCGGAGAAGAAGAGGAGGGCCACAAGGAGGTTTCCGGCAGTTAGGGTGGTGAAGGAGAAGTCGAAGAATCCAGAGCCGCGCGAATGCATGCCGGGCGGCGAGACGAAGATGGAGACCAGCAGCAGCACCCACCACAGGAAGGTGATTATGAAGAATAGGACAGTGAAGTAGCGCGTGAGTCGCACACTCCAAAGATTGTAGGGCGAGACCTGGGCCAATTCAGCAGGAGCTCTACAGCACTGTTAGATGCGATACGTACGGCAGGGTCATCGGGATCCAGGTAGCCGTCGGAATTCGGCGGAGGAGGGTGGTGGTGGTGCAAGAGTCTTGTGCGCTCGTCAGGCTCGCGCTCCTCGTAGGACCTTCTACGAGGACCGTCGTCGCTCCGGCGCGGGGCTCCAGAATCGGAGCCGTTCGCGTCGTCGTCCTTGTTAGAGCCCCAAAGAGAAACCATTCTCGCGACGGGGGTCGGGCGAGGGCTGGAAGTGTCGATGGTCGCCTTCGAATGTTCGTCGAGGATACAGCGACTTCGAGGCAGGGAGAGGAGGTTGGGTGGTTACGGTCTGGACGGGATGGCGATATGATTGAATGGAGGATCGGAGCAAGGAAGGGCTGGACCGGGCACGACGTCATTTTGGCGTGCTAGACGTGCAGCTCTACACTCGATGCGGCTGTCCACATTTTCGTTTGGCTGCACGTCACCCTGTCAACTGGCCCGCAATGCTTGCTAGCTAGCGGATGGTTTGCGCTTGTTGCCGCTGGCGCCGCTTCCCATTCGTGGTGGCAGCTTCAGCGACATGGTTGCGCGTCCGATGCAGCTCTCAGCGGCCGATCGCATATGGGCTCGTGAGCTCTGACCCATGCGTCGATCTGCGTGCATCAAATCACCCGCCAAGCGCCTCACCAATAAAAAACCCCGCCACCTATCGTCCTCCAGATTTCCAGGCTTTGAAGATTAAGCGAAATCGAGACTGCATCCCACACCCTTCTGCTGCCGTCGGCCATATTGCTTGGCGCCATAACACTGCGAGATCACGGGAGTGTGAATGGACTTGTTGTCGCCTTCAATTCGCTGCGTATTAACCCAACCATACATGTCGCCTAGGCCCGGAATCATCGAAAAAAACACCGGGTTTGAGATAGGATACTGTGGACAAGGGTAAAAAAAATATATTAAGGGCTCTGAATATCTGACTACCCGCCCTATTGGTCTGTCGCTAGAGATGAAACTGAAGCCTGTAAATGAAATATACTTTTCCAAACAAACAATAACAGAAGACCACCAAGAAAAGTGTAATCGCCAAATCTATGACCAATAAGGGGCCCTGAAGTAAGGAGTTTGTTTGCAAAACTGGCAGAGGGTCAGACGAGAGCGACCTGATGGGTGCGCTTATCCATCTGGTGGGGGTGTCGAATATGGTACAATGGGTATCTTTCCCGGAGCAACGGCAAAATGAACGGAGGGCTTGATAGGGGACTTGAACCTAGTCCCGGAAATTCGTGTCAAACTTCAGTCCCAAGAGCTGTTAAGACAGAATAAGGAAATGTAGTGGCCGACGGCAATTATTTTAGTGACGATGGTCGTTGTCATCGCCGTGGTTGTGAGGAGAGGCGTCCCGCGTGCCCTCTGTGGACTTGGGAGGGCAACACTGGGTGCTGTCACCGCACGCATCCCCACACGCGAGCAAGCACGTCTCGGGCTCGCTTCGGAGACTTCCAGTCTTGCTCAACTTCTTGTTAAGCGAGCTGTTCCTGAAGCCTGGGTCGCCATCGCAAGAGCTGTTGTCGCTACGGTCTGAGGCGTTGTGGTTGTGTCCTTCATTGAGGCAGAATTCAGGCTGAATTGTAGAGGAGTGGATGCCGTACGCATGGAGGCATTTGCGAATTGCACGCGCAAGCTCCATGTAGCGCGCAGACCCCTTACCCTGGAAATCATAATCAACCTGCACATGCAGAGAGGCAACCAGCTTGGTGTCACTGAGCTGCCACACATGGAGATGGTGGCAGCTGATGATACCAGGGAGGTCGAGAATGTCGCTCTCGATGTCTTCGACATTGATGCTGGTCGGTGCAGCCTGGAGCAAGATACGAGAAGCAGCCTTGCAGAGCGGAATGGCCGAGCAGAGGATGATCACAGTGATGATCAAAGAAATGAGAGGATCGGAGTAGAAACGCCACGAGAAGTCCGTAAGCCAGATGATGAGAGCGGAAGCGATCACACCAATGTTTCCGAGAGCATCACCCATCACATGGAGGAATACTCCGCGCATGTTGAGATCTCCGTGAGAGTGACCATGGCCATGGCCACCGCTCTGGCCGGTTTCCTTGGGCTGGTTGTGTTTGTGGCCTCCGTGCAAGTCTTGCGAGTGACCGTGCGAGTGGCTAGGCTTGCGCCTAGCCGAGCTCTTGCCGTTACTCTTTTGCAAGAGTGGGGAGTTTTCGGTGGGCGCGGCGTCCTCCGCAGCGCCATTCTCATTCCCATCACTATCCGAGGACTCCTCGGAATCCACAGCATCCAGGCGCGCGGCATTGATAATCTCATTCCTGAAAGAAGCTGGGTGAACAGGCAGGTCGCCAAATCCACCATAACCACCCCTCGACCTCGACCGGCTGTGACGGCGAACCTGGCGGCTCATGCTGGATGAAGGCCGAGCAGTGGCCTCGCTCGAATTGTCTCCAAAATCGCCCGAAGTCTTGGACGCCGGCTTCATTCCTTGGCTGGACGGCCAGTTTCCGATCCTGCTCTCAGGCAAAACGTCTGCAACATTGCCTCGCTCGTCTGCAATAGCACCGATGGTATGATCGGCATGGCTGTGTCCCTCCTCGGCTGCACCAAGCTCGTCGTGGCCGTGGGAATGGTCGTGTCCGCCGTGGCTGTGGCCGTGATCGTGGAAAAGGAATAGGCCGAGGATGTTGGAAGCCAGACCAAAGCATCCGACAATTAGAACAAGTTTGGGGTTTCCGACTTCCTGCGGCTCGACAAAACGCTGGATGGCCTCGAGGAAAATGGACAAACACAGGGCGACGAGGAAAACGCCGTTGATCAGCGCACCCAGGGTCTCGGCTCGTTGGAACTGCGGCGCGGTTAGCGCGTGTTCTAATTTCCCTTGTTCGCACGGAACTTACGCCGTAGGTAAACAGTCGCGAGTGGTTCGTTGCATTGGCGGCTCGCACAGCCCAGAGACCGACGCAAAGGGAAAGGACGTCATTGAGCTGGATTGACGTCAGTAGAGGCAGGCATGTCTGAGCTCGGGGTGACAAACCATGTGGAAGGAGTCGGCCACCAGCGCCAGCGAGTGGACGGCATAGCCTACGACGGGTTAATAAGACGTAGTCGGGGCGACAGCGCACTACATACCGACGACCAGCTCGAGTAAGAAGAAAGCGCTATCAATCGCCAGCAGAATGAGGATACGGGTAGTTTTGGAGAGACCCATGCCGAATGACGACACGCGTCGGTGGCGTGTTGCGGACGGGAAGTCGGCGGCAAGAGTCTGCAGCGGCGGGCTGCGCAGTGGTGTCGATGCGTGCGACTGCGGGCGCGGAGGTTGCGGAAGGAAGATGGTTGGAATGAGAGGAGTGGAGGGCCGTCAGACTTTGGGCGGGCATTGTATTAATGGCTATCGATACCGTAGGCGAAACTGACCATTGCGCTGGGGCCACTGCGGCGCGCTGGGGCGCCCGCAAAGCGCGGATTCCACTTTTGCACGTGCTAGATGGGAACGCAGGCAAGAGCAGCACCACACAGCAGCGCCAATAACGCACCCTGCGCTTCAGCTCACACTGACGCGTCTCAGCCAAAGCCAATTTTAGGCATCGATCCGATCTGTTCAGCACACGGCACCGCAAGGACCAAGGGGTAAGGGAGGGAACTCCGAACTCCGGTACACTCGAAAGCCTGACCGCGAAACGCCACTTCACAGCACCGCGCGTTGAATTTGCCTGGCTAGGGCGAAATTGGTGTAGCAGTAGCATCTTTCTGCTACGTGGTTTCTTCCGATCAACATTCAAGTTGCCGAAGCGTAGTCGGATCTGCGAGCGAGATCGGGTCCGGAAACGGGAGGAAATGCATTCCAGAACGGGCATCGAGTCAGAAGTGACACGTCAATGTACCTACAGAAATAATTTGTTCTGATGCGACCCAGGACGTCTCACAAGGTTGGTGATCTTGTAGCTGCAGGTAGCCGCAATAAACGAACTCCGCAACTGCAACATCTACGGAGTTCCGAACAGGTGCCGACGAGCGTGTATAAGCTGCTGACAGCCGCGGAATTTTCTGGATAACCCCACTGAAGGCGAATCTAGAAAGCCCCCAAGACTCGGGCCACGGAATCTCGTAATGCTTAGCAAGACCATGCACTGTCTAGCACAGCTTTCAGCTTCAAACACTGATGACGGCATGCAATTTCGCAGGGTCTTACAAGGAAACATTGCGATCGAGTAACGTGGACACAACTTGATGGCAACCAGCGCAACTAGAAGTAGCAGTTGATGGACCCAAGTTCGGCGATTGTGCGCCTGCCTAAGACGGCAAGAGAATGTGATGCCCCGGCCCCGCGCTTCTTCTTAGCCCCCGCTCCGCCTTCAGCCCTGCCAAACGTCATTCGACCTCAACACCACCGCCTCGCTGCGCATCCTCCGCACCACTCAACCGCGACCGCACGCCGCAACGCGCCGACCATGCGACCATGTCTTTCACTGTCCCTGACAGAGTCCTTTGGCTCGGCATAGGTGCAGGCATCTACGCCCTCGTCCGCGCCGTCAGCTACGGCCTGCACGACGTCTACAACCTGACCGAAGTTGCGCCCGCGCCTGACTCGCCGCGCGCTGTCGCACAAGGCACCGAAGATGGTACGTCCCCCAGTCCTCTGCATCTGCATCACCGTTGCGCTAACTCTGCAAGACATTCCGCTGCCGAGCCTGCAGGTCCTCGCGACCCAGCATCCCAACCTCGAGATCCGCAAGGCTGCAACCTCGATCGTGACGACGCGCGTTCTCAACGATCCTTCCACCATCCGCCGCATCCTCGCTGACTACAAGAAGCCTGACGGGGCGCCCGACCAGCGCGCTGCCCGCAACGCAATCCAGCTGATCCGCTCCACTAACGGCGTCGACCTTGAGGATTGGGACGAGGAGCACAATGAAGATGACGCTGCCGCTGCGTTCGAAGTGGGCTTCGATGCCACTGGGCGCGGCGGTGGTCGCTCGCGCTCGACTGCCGACATGCGGCGCGAAATGGCAAACCGCTACTGGGCCGTGGAGCACGTTGAAGGCGACGATTGGGACGATGCGTCTGACGACAATAGTCATGCCGCAGACGTGACGTCTGATGACGGGAATGACGACCAGGATTTGACGATTACCGGGCATGTCGTCACCGAGAATAATGACTCTGAAGCACAACCTTCAAGACGTGGCGGCGAATTCGACGCCTTTGTCGAGGCTGACGTATCCGCACTATTTGAAGACCTCGGTCGTCCGGACTCATCTCCCGATGGCGTTGAAGCTGCCTATGGAACCACGGCTGCTGCCCCCAACAGCGTCCTCCATGAGGACGGCGACACCGCACCTATCTGGGACCGTCACCGTCTTTCGGAGAGTCGACGTGCTCATGGACTCAGGGAACGGCGTCGTGGTGACACCAGCCACGTGGTAGAGGACGTGCCGAGACCTCACGGCAGGAGACACCTCCGAACTCGGAGCAGTAGAGAGAATGAGGAAGAAGTGGCTCGGCGGCGCGTCAGACGCGAAGCTGTTGTCGTTAATGACGGAGACAGGCCGATCAGCCAGGATGACATTATTCAAAGACCGCTGCAGCGGCGGTCTTACTAGCATTTCAAGCGAAAGCAGTGGTTTATAGCATGGCTATGCATTGGGTAGGCGTTCTCTTGGGGTTGGGTGGCTGGGACAGCCAACCATGACATTAGCGAGTATGACTGAGATAACATCACTATGAGTGGGGGAGAACTTTATCAATTTACCGGTCCCTAGGGGATTACTCGATTGGGAGCTCCTTACACGCTATAAAATGCACTGTACCAAATACGAAACCTTGCACACTCCAGATGCCGGCGCGGAAATGCATCGAAGCAGTCGAAGAAGCCCATTTGTTAGTGAGATGAATTCCAGTCGAGAGACAACCTGGACCTTCTTCCCCGAGAAGAACGAAATCTCTGCAAGTCCTCCAGCAGTCTGAGAGCGCTTTGTCTGTGCACGAACGAACAAGTTCTGCCAAACCGTATCGCCCTGCCCAAATCGGCGCCTTTTTCAAGAAGAATCCGCGCAGTCTCCTCGTGCCCACAGTAGGCTGCTCTAAATAATGGCGTTGGATTCCCAGGCCCAGCGACGTCGATTTTTGCACCACTGTCGACAAGCAGCCGGGCTATCTCCGCATGCCCTCTGTGGGCGGCTTTTGAAAGAGCAGTGTTGCCAGATTGGTTTTGCACCTCAAGCGACACTCCACGATTTATGAGAGCCCTGACTACGTCTGTGTTGTTCTCATAGGCCGCCAACATGAGTGGATTGGTATCCTGGGCGTTTTTCGTCTCTGCCTCACAGCCCCTCTCGATAAGCAACTTGGCGGCTTCGGTTCTCTCATGTTCTATTGCAAACATCAAAGCCGATTGTCGATTGGAATCTCTCAAGTTGATATTGGCTCCCGCATCCAGAAGAGTCTGCACAGCCGTGATCCTTCCCTGCTCGGAAGCGATCATGAGCAGTGTCTTCCCAGAAATTGTATGGTTGATGCCGTTTCTCCGGGTCTTGAGTATCTCAACAACCTCAGAGTAGCCCTTGCTTGCGGCACTGAGGAGTGCCGTGTCTCCCGTTGGATCCGTAGCTTCGACTGAAGCGCCTCTTTCCACCAGTAACGCGACCATGCCCTTGTGTCCGTTGCGAGCAGCACCATGGAGCAGCGTGCATCCCTGTGAGTCGCGAGTGTCTACTTGTGCCCCAAGGTCCAGTAGCAAGCGAGCCGTGCTTATTCTTTCTTTGGAGACGACCATTTGAAGCGGTCTATTGCCTTTATCATCCACAGATAGTTCTAGGTCTGCCCCCTTTTCGACGAGAAACCGAACAAAGTCTGCAGGGCCATCCGTGCATGCCCGTCCAAGTGGTGTAACACCGGCTCCATCTTTTATGTTGAGAGATCCAGGATCTCGATTGACGAGCAGACGCGTGATGGAGTGGTAGTCTTGCCTCGTCTTCATTGCCCTTTGCAAAGGCGTGTATCCAAAAGAATCCGTAGCCCTGCTTGGTATCTGCGGCTGCGCAAGGAGAATCTTCACTATCTCCTCGGAGCTGAATTCGGCAGCGTAATGCAATGGCGTTTGTTTTGTCGTGTTTTCGGCACGATGCAAATCTGTTTGAGTTTTCTTGAGAAGAAGCCGGACAATCGATTCGCACCCGGCCCTCACAGCAAAATGAAGCGGGCTCCGTCCACTCTTGTCGTAATGATTCTTGGAGCCCGAGCAGTCCAAGATCGCTTCTAATGCTTCCAGATTTTCCCAGTGGGCGGCCCAACAAGCCATGGTCTTGCCGTAATTGTCAAACTTGCGCGGATCTGCGCCGGCAGAAATCAACGGTGCAATCATTTGCCCACTATTGATTTGAACCGCACGCTCGAATGGAGAGAATCCTTCGCCATCATAGATGTTTGGATCTACACCTTCCTGGCATAATAAAGCCACAATCTTTTCTTCTCCCAAGATAACCGCCTCATGGAGGGGAGTCACGCCACTGCTGTCTTTGGCATTGACGTCTATTGCTTGCGTCAGAAGATATTGCAGAGCTTCGCAATTACGTTGCCGGATTGCTGCATGTAGCGTGCTGCGCCCAGTACTGCTGTCCCTATGGGTCAGATCCACTCCGCGATTCACCATCATCTCCAGGGCCTCGAGGTTCCGCCCAGATGCATAGTAGAGTGAGCTGCGGGGCCATGCTCCACCAGGTTTATATGGATCTACTCCAAAGTCTAGGAGTAGCTCTACTGACCGGTTCCGTTCCTTGAAGATTGCGTAAGCAAGCTCTCCTGTCATGTCCGGAATCAGGCTATTGCTTCGACAGTGGGACAGGAAGATTTCGACCATTTCGACGTAGTCCAGCTCCACGGCAATACCGAGCGCTGTCATTTTGAATCCATTAAAGATGCAACTTTTGAAGCTCAAATTATCTGTAATTTTGAGCAGGTGCTGAAAGATGTCGAGATTCCTTTTGCACACAGCCTCGCATAGGGCCTCTCCATTTTCGCGCGATTCGCCCACACGCACGTCTTTGCTTGCAAGGTACCTAATGGTATGTTCCCGATGGCACTCTCTGCACGCGAATTGGGCTCCTTGATCAATAATTCCACCGGCCAGCATTGAAGCAATTGGGCGCTTGTTTTTGTCTGCCTCCATCATGAGGACAATCATGTCGAGGATGCTCTTGTGCGTGGGTTTCAGGGCCTTTTCCTCGAGTAAACCAACCCAGGACTCCACGGCAGACCTGTTATCTGCATACCAATCCGAAGTGGTTCCGTGCTCGCGTAGGTACTGGAGTACGTCATCAACCGGTCGATTGTAGAGCGCAGAGAACAACTCTAGGAAAACGCAACCAAGACTGAAGATGTCAGAAGCCCTATTACGAGGCTGTTGGAAAAGGTCAGTGCGGAATGTTAAGAGTACAGATCGATTGTCTTACATCTTCGTCTAGGACTTCTGGAGGCGCGTATCGTTTCGTATACGCATACGCTACTTTGCCATCTGTAACACTTTCGTCTGAGTCTTTCCATTTTTGCGAAGATCCAAAGTCCGAGAGAAAAATTTCGTTTCGGTGGACAAGAACATTGCGTAATTTTATGTCCTTGTGTCTTACGTTCTCTTTGTGTAGATACGCCACCGCTGAGGCGAGACAACCAAAAAATCTCTCAATCAGACGATCGCCGAGATGCCTTGGAATCCAGGATGAGAGGTCTTCTTCTGCAATCGGAAGCATTGTCAACGCCATCCACTTGGGATCCATGTAGCTTCCAACATAGCGTACAAGATGATGATGCCGGAGATTTTCGAGCACTTCGAGCTCTTTCTTGAAAAGATCGATCTTGTCTTCCGAGTCTCTGTGTTGAAAAGTCTTCCTGGCGTAGCACTTGCCGCTGTACCTGCCTTTGACACTATCTACCACGCCGAAGGAGCCCTGGCCAAGCTGTTTGATTGAGATCAAGGGGCAGTGTTCGACATCCGCAAACATTACGTGCCGCCTTACTCTCGGCCCTTGTTTTTGCATTTCTTCTGTTATCACCAGGGTCTGGAGCTCAAGAAAGCGCTTGCAGGCTCCCTCTTCATTTCTGAACCCATCGGGTAGGGTCCAGTCGGTGTATGGCAAGTGGTCATCGGACAAGCCGCGAAAAGCGTTGTGAAATCGTATCAAATGGCTCAAGTACAGCAAAGCATATGTGCGCGGTCGTTTGCCTCCATCTTCATCTCCATGTTGCTTTAGGAGTCTTTTGATTTCTGATACGGTTTCGTCCTGTAGAGGTACAGATGTTGCGGGGTTACCAGCACAGTCGATTGGCTTAAGGAGTTTGGAAATGGAATTCTGAAGCTCTGAGCTAGCCATCTTTGCCGCTGAGTATCTTGGTTGATGAGCTGGAGTTGACCGAGGGACTGAGGGTTGAAATCAAGGCAACCACTGTTGGTCGTGCAAGGCTGAGCGGGCTCTGGGTGTCAGGGCTTCGGGATAGTCACCGATCTAGTGGCGGAAGCCTAATATCATTTGACATGCTCTGGGGGGGTCGGAGTGGGCTTGAGAAACCAGTTGAAGAGGCCTGGACGTACGCCGCCCGTATGGAGGTTGAGTGGAGTGTATGTCAGAGAAACGAGTGAGCAGGGTGTAACAGGCTGCTAGGCTACGTTGGCTTGATTCCCCACCATGATTGGTGGCGGCACTCGCTTGCGAACGTCCTGCAGGAGTGGAGTCAGCTCATTTAGTAACCCAGCCAGCCCACTTTTGTCCCCGACGTTCAGCGCAGAGTTGGTTTCCTTTTTTATTTTATTGAACAGCACCACTCTGCCTTGCCGACTTACCCTTGTTTTACTTTTTCTGGAACGCAATATAATAAGCTGGAGCTATATGGAAGGCCATTTCGGGGGCCAGACAAGAGAGTCGGCTATCACGTATACTATAAGTGCTCGATGGATTCTTGTCACAATATTCTACCCAATCTTAGATGTTCTTTGCTAATTCTTAACTGCAAAGGGTTTTGCAGTTTTATTTCTTTTGGGAAATTCGATCTGCGCAAACTTAAGGAAAACTACAAAAATTGTTGCCATCCGCTACCCCATTCAACCACCCTCCTCTCCCTTTCTTTCATCGTGCGCTTCCTTCCCTTTCCTGCGCCCGCTCTCACCAATCCACCTTGCTTCCTCAAATGAAATCACCCTACAAATATCCCAGGCCCGCCCCACTAATAAACTCCAGATCGCTTCTAAGCACCCATTCTTCGACGCCTACTTTTGCCGCACCCTCGGCCTGGCGCTGGCTCCCCAGCTCCATCCAACGCGCCAAGAGCCCGCCATCGACGACGCCACGGCTGCCGAACCCCTCGCTCTCGACGGCGCGGTATGCGCGGGGATTGAGGCCGCACCAGTGCTCAAGCGAGCCGAGCAGGAACGTCTGCAGCGCGCCGAGGCGGCGGTACTGTTGCTCGGACACGGGCGTGAGGAGAGCTACGCTGCCGGAAAGGGTGGTGAGGAGGATGTGTTGTTGTGGGGGCTTTGCAGTGGTTGTTGGATCAAGGTCCATGGCGTCCGGGTTGTTTTCAGGATTGTAGTCGAGGTCGTCTGGATCGTCAGGGTTGGAGGTACCCGTGGTGGGGAGCAGGGACGAGGGAAGCAGTGTCATGGTGGTGGTGAAGTGGCCGGTGTGGAAGGTCGACTTGTGCAGCAACCGCTGGCCCGACAGCGACTTGGGGTGCTCCGGGTCGTACTGTAGCACGTGCAGGTTGCAGTCCGCATCCGCGACCATCAGGCAGAGCTGCTTGTCGTGTGGCAGGAATTCGGCGGCCATGACCTCCATATGTGCTTTGCTCTTTCCGAAGAGTATCATCTTGTATGGGTCCTCCTGAAGCCATCGTCAGCATCGTGTGTATTTCGAGACAATGAGCCCTGTTGGAATACTTACCGTGTACCCGACGAACCAGGCTCCCTTAGCGGCGTCGCCCATCAGCAGCATCCCCGATCCTTTGAGCTCTCTTGCGACGGTTACGTAACATTGCATGTCCATGAAGGCGACTGGCAGCAGCGTCCCGTCCTCTTTCAGGCCTCTCACCATGCACTTCTGACCTTGCGCCATGAGCAAGAAGCCCTGACTGCCGACGTCCGTGATGGCGGTGACTGAGCCCCTCACCTCTTCCTTGGCGATCAGCTTCAGCTTGCGGTTGGTCTCCGGGTGGCCGGGCTCGGGGACGACGTTGATGACTTCGAACACGTATATGCAGCCACGTGATGGCAAATCTTCACCGCGAATAAAGCCCGTACCTACGGCTACCAGCTGCTTTCGCTCATGCGTGTTCTCTGAGACCTCGAGATTAAGTACTTTGATCGTGAGGACCACCTCGAATGCTTCGAGCTCGTGCCTATGTTGAGATGAGCTTCAGAAATTCCGAGCAGGAGGGGTCGGTGTCCTTACGTATCGATTACATTCATGGTCTGCGCATCAAGAACCTTGATCATGCCGTGTTCGACCATTGGTTTAAATGTGATGTCTGCATAAGACATGTTAGAAACAGCTTAGAGCGACAGAGGAAAAAACTCACTCTCTTCGAGCCACTCATGGTGATGCTCATCTTCAGGCAGTGTGAAAGGTTCTTTCTCGCCCACACCAAGAACGAGGACATCCTTAGGTGGATGGTAGCACATAGCTTGAATATCCTGTCCCATGGGTATCTTCTTCACCGCCCAACCAACATCACCGTAACGGAATCCACGCGGAAGTTGACACACGCGTAGGTTTCCCTGCGGAATAAGGTAGGTTAGCAATTGTTGGACACTCGGATAATGCTCGAAGCACTTACGTCAGTGTCAATGAAGGCAAACCCACGATCGCACTCGGCCGTGTGGAAGCTGCTCAGATTTTTGACCGATTTGGTCCTCATCTTGAGTACTCGTGGGAGGCTTGAAGATTCCTTCAAGATGAAACTCGGTGACGTCCCTGCCATGAAGGCGGCGCTGTACCCCCCGACATTAACAAGTGGAGTTAGAATACTCTCCCTGCCATCCGCAACCTCTTCAGACTCCAGCGCAGGGTCTTCACTGAATTCTGGGAGTCGCGGCTGGGGTACCTTGAGCCACCTCAGGTTTTCGATGAAGGGCTGCACCGTCTCATGGATGGGGAAATGGTACGGTTGGTAGATCACTAGGTCATTGGACGAAGTGCGTACCTGGTAAAATTAGCAGTGTTTAGGTAGAACAAGAAGGCGCATGCTTACGATAAGGTGTGGGCTTTTCGACGTTGAGTCACCAAGATCTGTTACAAGGATTTCACTTAATGCTGCTTTTGCAGATGACCGACGAGGCGTGAAGTCTGCCGTCAACATGGGTGGAAGGAAGCCAAGGCTTGCGGCAATGTAGGCCGGCTTCGATAGATCCGGCAACGCGTACACCTATTCAGCAAATCAGCTCTGAACTCGGACGCCAGTGAGGAAACTAGTCTTACGTGCAGGCCACCTTCGGCACTGAGAAGATAGGCCAAGGCTTTGTCTCCCGTGGTTGGCGATTGGTGGATGCAACCCGAAAGCCATTTGGTGGACAACAGGGCATCACCCCGGTCGATCTCCTCCATCTCGCCATTTGCATCCGCTTGCAAGATGATGACGCTGGAATCATCGCGCAGAACAAGGATGTAAGGGTCTGCAAAGCTGGCACTGACGATTCTGAGCTCCGAGCCGTTCTCATCTTCCATGGGAAGGATTTGGTCAAGGCCAAGTTCTACACACAGGGAAAGTTAGTCATGCTCTGGTAAATTGCACTTTATGGCAAACATTGCTTTGTGCACAAGTTCGAGGGCAGTGAGAAGGGTGAGGTGGAAACATTGTATTGATCTAAGCACATGGTTTGTGGAAGCTTTTGCAGTCCGATCTGTCCTCTCGAGCTTCCACACAAATGCTCTGGCCACAGTTCGAGCTGCAAGTAAAATGCTGCTTTGACCGGCAGAGACACCGCAGCTTTGCCGTCGTGCAGAACCGCCGTAGGCCAACGTAGCTTTAAGCTTCATTTTGGTCGTAATGCCGCCCGAATGGGCATTGAGATCTAGCCTTCTAGCAGCAACGGAAAATGAATATGAAAATTTGCACTTACCGGAATCATAGCTGCGGATCTCCGCTTTCAACACCTGAACTATCCTTGTTCCGCCAGCAATGGTGCCTACATTGATGGTGGCTGCATCTTCACGCTCAAAGTCGCCTTTGCTGGTTTCTTCGAAGCCAGTGGCTGTAATGTTGAAGACAGCAGACTCTTCGCCACCCTCACTGTTTGACCTCAAGACGATCAAAAATTGATCATAGTCCACATCCGCTGCAAGTTTTGCTTCGGCATCTTGCGGGCCGGCAGCCACCATTCCTTTGGGTGCCGGCTTCTTGGCGTGGACCGACCAGACGGCTCGGGCAGTGGAGAATTCTCCTTTGCGCATGATGACAGGATCAAGTTCCCGTCTCATGACGGCGAGAGCTCCAGCCTTGCCACGTCCCGTTGATGCGACCAGGTCCAGTTGGTCTATCGTCTTCTCCACAACGCCCATGGCAGTGTCTGTTACCTTGTGGCTTGCCAAAGCCATATCCTTGATTGGTGCTAAACTTAGTAAGCTGTCGTGGATCCTAAAAGTGTAATTGCCGGGATCACTGGAGTCTGTCGACGCTGCAGAAGCCTTTGCGGTCGAAGGACCATCCCCATAGAGATCGTCGTCATCCTCCAAATCCTCTTCATCGAATGACAACTCCGCATCATCAGCGAGCATCTCAGCGTGAGTTCGTTTTTTGGAGAGTTGTGTCGCCTTCTTGGTCCAACCGAGAACGACGGAGTCTCCGTCTTCGCTGCCAATAAACATCCTGTTGCGGCCTAAACTCGTCGTGCAAGAAGCTGCTGTCACCACGACAGAGCCTCCCTTATCTTCCGATACTCTCCGGATGGATATTCCAGAGACCGACCTTCCGTCGAGCTTGAAATCGATGATCGCCAAGCTACCGTCTCGAAGAATGACGAGTAAGTCACCAGTCTCAGAAGACAGAAGCTCTACGCTGGCGCCTTCAAGCCTCATACCCAGGTCTGATTGGTCGGCCATGGGAAAAGAGGAACATTGCTTGGCAAAATCATTTACAGCGACCGCGTTCGTCTTCCCGGCTTGGTCGACATGAATGAACTGGTTTGCACCAAGGAGGAGCGCGCCGCCAACAGGTAGAGGCAGCGGCATCACCTTGGAAGTATCATACGGAAGGCCAGTGACTGAGAGCAGGGCGGTGGATGCCTTCTCTTCCAGATCCAGCGTGAAGACGGTGTAAGTTAAGACATCGCGGCGCTCGTAGAGCAGCGAAGCAGCGGCTGCTTTGTTTGCTGAGATGATACCAAATGTAGGCTCTCGGTACTCGTGGAGAAAGTCAAGGTGAACAGGGTGCGTCAGGGTAGGGTCGATCTGCGGCAACGATAGGGCGAAGGAAGACTTGTATGGGGTCTGAGGCACATCACCATTTGTCGCCTTTTCTTTAGCAGCAGGGGGCTCATCTAAATCCGGGTCGTAGTCATCCCCCTCGACCAGGTCATCGCCAAGCTGGCGGAAAGGCAGAATGGCCAGGTGGCGTGCGCCAAACTTTAGAGCGGCGCACCTGCTGCTCGGATCGGCAACCAAAAAGTTGTGATACTGTCCCAGGTCGGCGTCCCATGGGGCACCTTGCAGCTCTTCGCCCTCGTAAAAGTGAATGGAGATGGTCGACAAAGCATGGTTCACCGGATCCCACTCGACCAAGCTCATCTTGGCGTCTCGAAAAGCAATGAGAAGAGCATCGCCGCCAGACTTGGTGTCGAGGGCCTTGATGCGGGCAAGCGAGAGGACAGTTCCCTGCAGCGGATACTCGGCGACGAGCACAAGCTTGGATGTGTGTTCGGTTCGCTGGACGAATAGATCGGCGGGCTCGGAGGGGTCATCGGCGGCGACAGCGGTAGCGGGGCCATCTTTGGCAGCTTGGCTGACCTCGGTGACGATGGACTTCAGCTCGAAGACTTGAAGCAGCGACGTCTTCGCAACGACGAGGTTGTGGGCTTTGGGGCCGAGGAATGCCAGGCTGACGGCATTGGAGACGGCGGTGGGCGGGGTGAGCTCAGTGTAGACCTGCATAGTGGCGGCGGAGGGAGCGCAGGACAGGCGCGAGCATGGTGCGCCGGGCAATGGACGCGGTTTGTTGGTGGTGGTGGTGGTTGCGAGGCGGAATGCCGACGCGCCAAGCACTCGCTGCAGGGAGCAACGCGATCGCCATGGCGCACGTCCCCACGTCATCGTGAGGCAGCTCCCGTCGCCAGGCAAGCTTCCATCGCCCCCGCCGCCCGGATTCCACAACCCAACGTGCGGGCTACTTCTCGACTTGACTTGACTTGACTCTCCAGAACCTCCAACTCCACAGCGTCGCCCGCAGACGCAATCTCACCACCATGGCGCTCATCCAGACAAGCTTGATCTGGGTCGCCTATGCCGTCGCTATTGTCATTCTGCTGGCCATCGCCGCCATCTTCGTCTACATCTACCAGACCCCTCGCGAACGCGCCGCCTCCGTGACCGCAGTATGCATCTTCACCGTGAGCGCTCTCTGGGCTACTATTCTGCTCATGCCCGTCGACATTGCCCTCACCTCGTCCACCAACGCCGCCAAGGAAGGCCGCCGCAAGGACTGGGCCACGCCCGACAAGGTGGACGACATTGTTTACACTCTGAAGATTGTTTACTATACCCTATACTCGCTGGATGCTGTGCTATGTCTTCTGCTCGTTCCCTTCACCTACTTCTTCTACGAAGAGTACGATGAGGGTGCCGAAGAGGATGGCACGCAGACCGTGGGGTCTCGCCTCTGGGGTGCCCTCAAGTACACCATTGCTTTCATCGTCTTGGTCGTGATTTTGTTCCTCGTCGGCTTTTTCGTGCCGGTCGCGAGGAGTACCAAACACCAACACCTAGACTTGGACTATTTCAAGAAGCTCTTAGCTGAGAATCGTAAGTCGTTCTCACTGGCCATTTCGATGCTGGAAAGCTAACGACGCCCTACTAGATGGCGAGCGCGCTCTCACATTCGCTTTGGGCCTTTTGATCACCATTGGTACGATTATATACATTCTCTACACAGCGGCTGGCCTCGCGCTTCTTCCCGCAGCCATGATCAAGTCTGCTCCATCCATTTCGGCCCCGACGCTAGCCCAAGACACCGCTGCACAACTCGAATCAAACCGCGAGGAACAGAGACAACTTGAGCGGCGCAACGAGGGTCGCGCCGATGGCCTGGATGCTCGTGAACGCCGCCGGCTTGAAGCTCTTGTGCGCGACGAGCGCACCCTTGTCAGGCGGGAGCGTCTTGCTGCCGAAGCCAGCGGCGAGGAGCGAGGCTGGCTGATGAGGGCCTGGATCAAGATCGAGGCCATCTTCAGGCCCATCAAACTCCTCGGCGGAATCATACTGATGATCTTTGCGCTCCTGATCTTCGTCTCCATGCTCATCACCGGCATCGACAAGGCAAAGAACTCTATTTGCAAGGCCGGATGTGGTTATGTGCTCGGTCACATCAACATTTTCCAGCCTATCAACTGGATTTTCGTCCAATCCTCCAAGGTGTTCCCCATTGACTACATCATCTTCCTCTTGCTGGTACTCTTTTTGTTTTCTGCATCCGTCGTCGGCATTGCCACTGTGGGCATTCGCTTCCTTTGGATCACCATCTTCCAGATCAGGAAGGGTCACACAAGCCCTCAGGCCCTTCTCCTGGCAACAGTCCTTCTGACTTTGATGGTCCTGGCCATCAACTATTCTGTTGCCATGATGATTGCGCCGCAGTACGCCACTTTTGGACCCCAGACCTACTGTGACCGTCCCGCCCACCACCCAGGAGAGCAGCCAGATTGCTCGCAACACAAGAGTGCCATCAAACCATGCACTGAACTTGCAGAGAACCCTGTCGCAAAAGATGTTTGCACTCCTAGTGTCGTCACCACGTTCATCAATCGCGTGACGGTGAACTTCCTATTCTTCGGTGTGGTGGACTTTTGGGCCCAGTTCGCTTTCCTTTGTGAGTATTCCTTGGAAATCTTGGAGCCCCATCTTTCTGGGATTCCTGAGCTAACAAAAACCAGTGGTATATCTGATTGTCTTCATCACTATGTTGTTCCGCACTCCAAGGCTCGACGTGGCCCAGCTGGATGCAGATCTCGAGGAAGAAGAGGAGGAAGGATTGCTTTCCAGCACGGGTCGTCGCTTCAACGCCACATGGCAAGACATCACCAGCCGTTCAAAGGCCAGAGCTGCTGCATATGGAACAACCGACAACGGTACTAACCACGGCAGCCGATCTGAGGGAAGAGACACTAACTGGTGATCTCCTCCCAAGCTGTAGTCTCATGAGTCTGGGCGGCAAGAATCCTGCATATGATGTAATGTCCATTTGTTTTTGTTTTTCTGTTTTTCTTTCCGTTTACCTGTGCGTATGATATCCCAAGGTGGTATATAGTCCTTTTTGAGGAATGAATCTAGCCGTGTTTGTAGAATTTTTTATTTGGTATTCTCGTCCGGGCGATAGCTTCAACTGCCCATGACGTGAGCGAAAAACAAATCAACGCTAGCCTTCGGATGCAATGTCTTTCGATACGGATGGGAATTGTCGCCGGAGAGTAGCTCGAAATTTCCTTATGGCGGACGACTGTCGATTTATGTCAGGGATTTCCTAACGCTTGCTCCAACCAGCCCCATGAATCGAGCAATGCATTGCATGACTAATAATAGCAGTTCATTTCAAAGAGAAGTAGAGTATTGTAGTCGGAGTTCATAAGTCATTGTGAGAGTCTTTGCAATCTGGATTGTGACGAGACAGACCTCAGGTGCAATGTAGCATTAGTGGACTATGTGTTTTGTCTGAACCCGAATCTTTCTATCCGGTGCTGTAGTACCAGTCCAGGAGGACCGGTGTGCTCCGTCCCGAGATGTGAATTTCGCTCAACAGAAATTCACCCCTTCCAATCTGCGGAATTTTTCAAGGAGGCGACCAGCCGTAGAGATTGCCCACATTCTAATCCTCCTTGCTTCTCTCGCGGCGGTTGTTATCCTAATCTTCCTGGCTGCCAGAGAACCGCTTCCACATCAATATTCCAAGCCCTATAGCGAGATAGCTAGAAATGATCCAGCCAACCACAATCGCAACGCCGTATCCGCCCATCATAGCACTTGTGAGAATAGCGAAAGTACTACCGGCAGCGACGGAGCCGATGGATGCTTGGATAGTCGCAGCGATGGAGCCTGTTGTGCGGGTCAGTCGCTCTCACTTGACCGCGGGCATAGCGAAATTGGATGGTGTTGTGTTTCTCTTCCTCACTTACCAGCGGCGACACCAGCAGCGGTGAAACCAAGACAATGCAAGAAGACCGGAGGCAAGACAATCGCTAGGATGACTCCGACGACGATGGCAGCTGTCTTGTATGGGTGCGCTTTGACCCACTCGATGGCATGCCGGACTTTAATGCGCAGCGCGCAGCGAAGGTCGAGGAAGGTCTTCTTGATAATGCGAAATGCCTTAGCGCAGAAACCCTTGAAGTTGTTTTTGACCTTGGCTGCAGTGTTTTCAAGCTGGGTCTTCACTTTTTTGGCCGTGTTCGTGATGGTCTCCATTGCGGTGTTGACAGCTTTGGCAATACTTTTCGTCGCCTTGCCAGCGGCGGCCGAGAGCGAGGTAAAAAAGCCCATTGTCGTGGCTGGCTTGCGGCCGGTGGGAGGGTGGAAGGGTGGAGAGGACTAGCGAAGGAGCGGGTGCTGGAATTAAGTGAGCGTCGGGGCGGAAAGTGCAGAAGGTCTACGCTTTTAAGAGACTCCGGGCTGTCGAGTGTGGAACGTTGCAGCAGCTCAGAAAAAGGTTCTGGTGAAAGTTCTTCTGGATGGTTCCTTTGCACATGTGAGGTTGGCTGTAAGGTTCCCAGCTAAAGATATTTCACTCTACCTACGTAGGCGACGGACATCTAGAAAAATTAACATATGTGAGTAGTTGAAGCTATTGTCCGGACGTGTATGTAGAATTTCTAATTCGACATTCTCGTCCAGACGATAGCTTCAACTACCCATGACATGAGCCAAAAAAATAAATAAATCCATCGGCTGCGAGAGGGGACTGTAGTTGCGTTGACTACAGCAATGTAAAACGAACCGATCTTTAACCAGTGGTGCAGAAGAGCGTCACTACTTCATCTGAGCCATCCGGTCGTCTAGATGCTTTTGTAAAATCACAAAAGAGTTTCACGTTCTCACTTCAGATGTAGCTCACCTTCGGAATAATCGCCTTCGCAGAAAAGTCCTTTGTTGGGCGAGGTAGATACGTGGATGACGGCTGGTTCAACCGCGAAACTCCAACCTGAAAGGCAAGTACATGCAAACGAGTAGGAAACTCGAATTGAACGAAACTGCACTGTATACTACATCAAACATAACAAGCCTCTCGGGGTATCTCAATCTTACAGCGGACGGACAAGTCAACACGAGAGTGCTCCATATAAAGAGTCCAGAAAATATTCAACACATCATCCTACGCTTCAAAAGTTCACCGCGCACCGAGTGCTTCGAGAGCGATCCTCAACTCTTTAACTGCCGTAGGGACATCCTCAAAGTTCAAGGCCGAAATTGCCCACTTTGCATGCTTCTGAGCATTCATAACTGAGTCGTCATCCGTCCTATAGTTCTCCGCTCCTCGGGCAGTGGGCGGGGGTAGGTTGGTCTGCGCAAACGGTACGACGGCCTGCGGCGGAACAGCGGGCACGGAGGGTATGGAATTGGCCGGTGCAACGACAGGTGCGGAAGCTGTGGGTGCCGAAGGGGGCGGCTGATAGAAGTCGTTCGGATTATACTGGCCATTATCAGGTGCGGGAGGAGCGGAAGGCGCATCATCCATTGGCTGCTCAGGCGCTGTAGGCAGGCTAGGGGCAGGGCCTTCAGATGTGAAGGTCGGTACCGCCGGGAAATAGCCGCCGCCAATGGAGTTCTTGCGGTCCTCTGTAGACTCGAGCGGGGAGACGTCGCCGTGGGTGGGGTCGCCAAAGGGCGGTGCGGAGGGAGCGCCAGCCGGCGAGATGGGAAGGGATGTCTTGGATTCTTGTGAGGGTGAGGGCGCAAAGGAAGGAGGTGCCGTCTCAACCGTAGGTTGCAGGGAGAGAGTGCCATTTATACGCTGAACTTCTGGATCGTTGGGATCGAGGGCCGGGGCCGACTCTTCGCTGGTGGGCTCGGCCTCTTGCACGGGATTGGACAGGTTGGGGTCCTCGCCAGCTTTCAGGGCTTTGGCAATGCGCAGAGCATGGTATTTGGCGTATTTCGACTTGGCGGCGAGCTCAGGATCCAATGTGCCCCAGACGCCCATGAGATCGAGGAAGGTGGCAGCGGCGCGGAAGGTGTCTGCTGTCTGGCTGAGGGCACGTCAGCCAGCAATGGAGAGGCAGCGGGGATGTATGCGTACGCTGAAGCCTTGTTTGCACGCACTGCATTGTCGGCGCGCTGAAAGGTTTCAAGGGCAAATTGCTCGACATAGACCTTGGCAGCAACGTCGTCGAGGATGGCGTCATTGTCGGCGTGCTGGGCTTTGGTTTGCTCCAGCTTGTCCATCAGCGTGGTGGTGTATTGCATGCATTCTTCGTCGGCGGTGTGCAGGCCCTTGGCAATGATTTGGTTCACGATGAAGTATTCGCCTGCGGGCTGGGTCAGCTTGGTGGGGTGCAGCAGGCAGGCGGGGAGCTTACACCAGTAGGAGATGACGGGCTTGAACTTCTCGAGCTGGACGGCGCGCTGGGCGAAGCGGGTGATGTCGGCGGCCTTCAGGCCCTGGGGCACTTTGGACGTCATGGCGGGGGTTGTGCGTGGGCAAGGTGGGGAGTGGGATGGGATGCGGTTGTGGTGGGCGCGGCTGACCGCCTGGAGCTCTGGCCACGCGGGAGATGCGCCTTCGAGAACCCCCGCGAATCGATTAGCGTCATTGAGGCCAGCTTGCATATTTCGAGCTATATTATTGCTTTCGCGCTCCCGCCTCTTCGCCGCACCTCTCAGATTCGCTCGCACTCGATTCTTGCTCCCCGTCTGCAGCTTGCCATGGTGTCCCACAAGGCATTGGCCGCTGCCGCGGTCGCCGCCTTCTTCTCCTCGCCCGCCCTCGCCGCCATGTACCCCAAGAACTCGCCAGTCTTGCAGGTCGAGGCCAAGGATTACAATAGCCTCATTGCGAAGTCCAACTATACTTCTGTAAGTCCACACGACGCTTGCACGGCCAACCACGCTGACAGCGCGCCAGATTGTCGAGTAAGCTCCCGGTAGTCGCGACACCACTTGGTCCTAGCTCCTAACCCTACCAACTAGATTCTACGCGCCCTGGTGTGGCCACTGCCAGAACTTGAAGCCCGCCTACGAGAAGGCCGCCAAGAACCTTGCCGGTCTCGCCAAGGTCGCCGCCGTCAACTGCGATGACGATCTCAACAAGCGACTCTGCGCCGAGATGGGCGTCGAGGGCTTCCCCACGCTCAAGATTGTGCGCCCGGGGAAGAAGCCGGGCAAGCCCACAGTGGAGGACTACAGAGGCGCGAGGAGCGCCAAAGCCATCGTCGACGCTGTCGTCGAGAAGATTCCCAACCACGTCAAGCGCGTGACCGACAGCGACTTCGACGACTTCTTGAACGAGGGCAATGGTAGCCCGAAGGCTATTCTGTTTACCGAGAAGGGTACTACGAGCGCGCTTCTGCGGGCTTTGGCCATTGATTTCCTGGGAAGCATTCAGGTCGCCCAGGTCCGCAACAAGGAGAAGAAGGCCGTCGAGTCTCTCGGTATCGACAAGTTCCCCAGCCTGGTTCTGCTCCCCGGCGGCGACAAGGAAGCCATTGTCTACTCGGGTGAGATGAAAAAGGAGCCAATGGTCGAATTCCTTTCTCAGGCCGCTTCGCCGAACCCTGACCCCGCACCAGCGAAGCCTAAGACCGACAAGAAAGGTAAGAAGGAGGCTAAAAAGGATACCAAGAAAGAGGCAGAGACGAGTGAGGAGGCCGTTACTCCTGATCAGGATAAGCCCGTTGATGTCACCGACTCTGGGCCGCGCCTCCTCATGCTTGACACCGAAGAGCTTCTTCAGAAGGAGTGTCTGTCCACAAAGTCTCACAACTGTATTCTGGCTCTCCTTCCTTCGAGGACCGACGCTAAGGAGCCGCTCCCTGAGCAGGCGCAGGATGCGCTTGCCTCCCTGACTGACGTTATCAAGAAGCACACCAAGGGCGGTCACCGCCTGTTCCCTGTATACACTGCTCCTCTTGACAACGAGGGTGCCGCCAAGCTCCGGAAAGAGCTTAACTTGAACACAGACGGCTTCGAGCTGATCGTTACGAACTCCAAGAAATCTTGGTGGAAGCACTACTCGGGCAGCGACTACTCTCTAAAGAGTGTTGAGGACTGGATTGACGCCATCAAGATGGGCGAGGGTAAGAAGGAAAAGCTGCCGCAGAGCCTCATCGTTGAGTCCAAGGAGGAAGTCAAGGTCGACACCGACCAGCAACCTGTTAAGATTGAGGTTGAGGAGATAGTCGAGGAGAAGGCCGTTCCGGAGCACGGAGAGCTATGAGTTTAAAGAATAAGCAATTCGTATCTTGGGTTCTTTCAATCCTTAGGGCAATGTTTCACGCCGCATATTCTCTTTTCATCATGGGTATTACATCACATCCGCAAATGGGGGTATCCGCTCTACACACCCAACTAACGCACTGACACACTACCTCTGGATTTGGATGCATAACAATACCTAGCATTGCAGTTTGTCTTCTCCCCCAAATCAAAATCCAGCTCTATCTTGGAAAAATTGACATATGTAGGTGGGTGAGGCTATCGTCCGGACGTGTATGTAGAATTTTTAATTCGACATTCTCGTCCGGACGATGGCTTCAGCTACCCATGACATGAGCAAAAAAAAAAAAATCCACGCTAAGCCATCGGCGGCGAGAGGGAACTGTACATTTTCCTACAGACATAAATTACATCGACATCCCGACATGATCTTCCATCGGCCCTGCTTCCTCACACCCGTAATCCTCTCCACCTTTCAAACACACACATCCACCCTGCCTACACTCGGATCGTGATCACTCACCATCCCCTCTTCATCTGCCCACGTATTCACATGAATATGCTCATACTCCAGCCCCTTCCCGACCAACGCCTCACTCACGAATACATGGTCCAGCTGCTGACAGTTCATGTCATACAAATACGTATACCGCTCCACCTCTTCCACGCCGGCCGCGACGTCCGCATCGCTCAAGCCGCTCGCCGCCATAAACTTCTGGACCGGGTCCACGAATGCAAACTCGTTGAAATCGCCGGCCACCACGACATGGGCGTCAGGGTCGACGTCGAGCACGCTCGCGACGAAGGCGGCCGTGGCGTCGGCCTGGGCGGCGCGCACGTCGACGCCGCCGTTGGCGGGCGGTCTGGCGTCGCCCTCGAGGCTGCTCGAGCCGCCCTTGCTGGCCCAGTGCACATTGACGGTCCACAGGCGGCCGGCGCCGTCGCCGCCGAGCGTCTGCCACAGGGCGGCCAGCGGCTTGCGGCTGTTGCTCCACGCTGCGGTGTTGGCCGGGTCGACTCGGCCCGGGTTGAAGGACAGCTCGGTGGCCGACAGCACCTCGGTGGCCTGCGTCGCGTTGCCCGGGTTGGGGTTGAGCAGCGCCAGCTTGGCCGGGTCGTAGAGGTAGGCGACGCGGATGTTGCCGCCGGGCTGGCCGCCGTCGGCGCCGTCGACGGGGTCGATGGCGACGAAGGCGTACGAGTCCGGGCCGCCGGCGGCGGCGATGGCGGCGGCGAGCGCGGAGAGGGTGCCGTTGGAGCTGACGGTGCCGTCGTCGGTGGCGCCTGTGTCGTCCTGGACTTCTTGGATAAAGAGCAGGTCCGGCGAGTTCAGGTAGGACACAATGTGCTCGGCGACGGCGGCGAGGTGCGACGAGCTGGGCGAGAGGTTCTCGACGTTGTACGAGCCGAACGTCAGGCCAGAGCAGTCGCCGCTGGAGGTTAGGGCGGTTGCCGGCGGGAGAGCAGGCTCGGGGGAACTGAGAACGGCGAGCGCAGTGGTGGGCAGGATATAGTAGAACCCAAAGGCATACGTAACGACTCCGGTGATGTCTTCAAGGGTGTCTCCCAGCTTGATGGTGGCCGGGTTGGTTGTTCCGTCCAGGGGGTCACCAATCATGATGGCCTCGGGATTGGCATCTGGAGCAAGTTAGCTACTTCTTGTTCTGTTTTCCTATTGGGGAGTAAGCTACCAGCGTCGGTCATGGTCAACCCGCCCCTCCCATTCAACCCTGTTACCGTCCAATTTCCCCTCACCCACACTTCGTCATAGGAGTTTGGCTTCGCCAAGGCCACTGGCGCTTCAATCGCCACCAGCTCACCGCATAGGCTCTCCCAAAAATCCATTCCGTACACGTCCGGCTGCAGCGTGGGGTTGGCCACGGATATCTGGCTCTCATTGTTCGGCACCGCGAACACATCGCCATTATCCAAACCCGAGAACTGCTCCGTCGGCGGCGTCAAACCACCGCTGCCGATGACCAGGGGCTCGACGGCATTGCCTGAGGAGACAATGACAACATTCTTGGGCGAGGACAACTCGGTGAGATAGAGGTACGCCGACGAGGAGCGGTACTCTGCGACGGTGGCATCCAGCGTGATCTCGTCGCCGACGGTGAGGTTGGCGCCGACGGCGCTGGAGAAGACGTAGATGGAGTCGGAGCCGACGCTCGCCGAGGCAATCGCCGAGCGGATCCAGATGCCCGAGGGTCCTTTGGCGGTGACGATGCCCGTCACGTTGGTCACGGATTGGCCTTTGAAGGGCGAGATGAAGGCTTCGCCATTGATCTGACTGATTGTGACGGCAGACGCTGCGCGCAGGAACAGCAGCGTCGCCGCGGCCCAGGAAATGGCGGGAGAAGTCCACATGTTGGAGTATGGCTGGTGCTGCCTTCTCCCGCCGATGCGCCGTAGGTTATATACATGCTTGCCCAAGCACTCGCCAAGCTGGCAGTTACGTGAAGCAGAAGGTGTGTGCCATTTCGAGCTTCTCAGCCGCCGTGGAGCGGAGATGAGGCGGCTTGGCAGCGTCTTCGCGTATCTCGCTCGTTGTTTCTGTCGGCTGTCTCATTGGTCGCGATAACGCTTGGCTTGTCAGGCACCGCATGAACCGACGTCTTCTTCTGCAGCCGGCCGGCTCCGATGTGTAATTCTTTATAGACATCCTGTGGCTGTCGTTCGTTATCATTTTGGCGTAGGACTACGCATCGCTTATTGTACATTCATAGGCGAAGCAGGCAGCCGTTGCTGGACAATTGAGTCGACAAGGGGAAAAGGCACAATCTGGGACGTTCAAAAGCAGTTCAAAACGACTGTTAGTTGTAGTAGAGAGGGAAGGGGACCAAGTTTGACGTTGAATTTAGGGAGGCGCGAATATCGAAGAAGGCAAGATCATCGCGCGATTCAGTGCAGTGACACTGGTGCAGGCCCAGGAACGGCATGATCCGCAGCACGAACATTGAACGCCTTGCGTTAGCTTGAAAATAAGACAAAGGTAAACCTCTCGCTTATGGTCGCTATTCGGTCTATTCCGCATTTGCATGGAGAATGTCTAAAGAAACCGAGCTTATCTCCGGGTATCTTTGGAGTGCCGTTCGAGACGTGCATAAAGAGAACCCCGCCATTACCATCCAAATTTTCCCAATCGATCAGACTAATCCAGCGTTTTTCTCTCGGCTGGTGGTAGAGCACGCTAACCACTAGTCTGTGCTCTATTTTCCAGAGAAATCGACGTTGACGAAGCACCACTTGATGTCTTCGTTTTGGTCCTCAGTGGCTTTACCATTCAAATTAGCTTCCTTTGTTTTCCGAACACAGTGAATGGACAAGGCAGGCTTACCGTCAGCTGGAAACTTGACAACAGAATCCATCTTTTCGCCTTGGAGCACCTCTTCCCTGATTTCCTTCCATTCCTTTCCCTTTCGAAAGGCAGCATCCGCAACCTCTAGGCCCTTCTTCACCACGCCGACATCAAACAAGCCTTGTTTGTCCGTGAATTCGCCCAGAAGTCCAATCTTGCCACTGAATTTGTACGCTGCCAGCAACCTCGCCAGCCTAGCAGCACAGGCCCTCATCTCGTTGCGTAGATTGAGTCTCTCTTCCTCGAACATGGCCGCAAAGTTCGGGTCACCGAAGGCATCGGGATTGAGTAGGAGTTCGAAGTCGGTGTCGAAGCTGTAAGTGAGGATGCGAAGCTGGAGGTTGCCAAGCCGGCCGACAGCGTCACGACCAAGGCTCTCGAGGAATTTGAACAGTGGGTCCTTGGTTCCAGCAGAATTACCGGCACACTTGATAGCAGTGTGGAAGGTACTGTTCCTGAGGTATACTTCTTCGAGCTCGGGGCTGATCTCGGGGTCGTAGGCAGCAGAGAAAGGGTGGAGGCCGCGGACTTCCTTGAATTTGCGCCAGACACGGTCAAGGCCCAAACCCCAGAAGTCATCACTCACAAAGTGAAGCTCACTTTGATCTAGGTTGATGGGGCGAGTGCCGACTGGGTCGGTGATGTGGTTGGCAGTGAGTTGGTTGATGTGGTACTCGTAGATATGGTCACGAAGCTCGCGAGGCAGCCCGAGGAAGTAGTTGTCGTGCTCATCGAAAGACCCCTTCATATTGACTCCATCAGTGTAGACTTGAGCTTCTTCGCGTTGTGGGTAAGGGGACTGTGTACCTTGGCAGGCTTATGGCGCGGACACAGAATCGTGCTGAACATCTGGACCACCCGACCGGCCGCACGAGCGACCATTGCCTTGATTCCAATCATGATGTGGGGTGGAAGTCTGCTGTCAATTGAGATGTAGCCGAAGCAATATAGAGAGGGGACTAGATGGGTACCACCCTAGGGAGCAAGCCGCGGGCCTCACGCAGTCGGTGTTGTGAGGTGCTGAGGTCGTCGGTCGGCGCGGTTTGAAGTCGCGTTGGTGTGGCAGCTTCGACGTGTTTGGAAGGCGCACTGACCACTGGTGCAAGCCTTTGCGACTGGTCAAAAAGCATGTATCTGTTTTTCGCTCATACAACACATGGGTCCTTGAAGCCATCGTCCGGACGTATATGTAGAATTTTTAATTCGGCATTCTCGTCCAGACGATGGCTTCAAGGACCCATGTGCTGTTTTATTTTTTTTTTCTCAAAAAAATAGTCACCCTAGATTCGACGATCCTGCTTAGCCGTCTGCCCCTCTGTGTTTGATCTCTATTATCACTCAGCTGCAACAAAGTAGTACCATCACGCCAAGTCATAGACAACCCATTACGTTTGTGCACGACTTTCTCATGCACGCAGTCTGATATTTCAAGAGGGCTGAGCACAGAAGACGCAAGTAGGCTGGCAAAAGCGTAGGGCGTGCAGCTGCACCCCGGAGAGCCTTGCCGACAGTTCGATATGAGGACAGGCTGCAGAGCTTACTGCTGATGTGTCACGTATATGGATGCGTTGAGCTGACTGCCAATCTCAACGGTCCACAAATATCAGCTGGACGGCAAAAATCGCGCGCGTAAAGTCAATTGCTCCTTGCATACTGCAGTCGGCAGCTGAACAGAGCTCGAGGTCCGAGGCGACGCTAAGGTTCAAGACGTCCCGAAGGCTTGCAGAAGCTTTCGGACGGGGCAGTCGTCGACCATGCGAGGATTAGGTTTCGGCTCCGGGATTCTCATGCTGCATTCAGCCACGGCTGATTACCAATTGTCCGTCGCTTAGAGCGGATAAGGAGAGAAAAATGGCTCACGCAGAGGTGGTGGTACAAGGGAACAGGTGTTATACAGTGGATCCCGCAGCCGGAGGCGGTGGGTGCAAGCATGCTCGAGGCGGGGTAGACGCGTAGGGCGCGGGGGATGCTACTGATCCCTTTTCCCCAAGATCGAGTAATTATTACCCTTTCGAAACCAGCGCCTCGCGCGGGATGGAGGCTGTGCGGTCCATGATGGGCGCGCCAAGCTCAGCACCATGCTTGAAGCAAGGATGGCAATTTGTCCACCAAAGGATGCAGATCCAGCCGCAGCAATGAAGAATGATTAGCTCTGGGGTGCCTCTGCCGGGATGCGGAGACGGCTCCAGTCCGGCTGTGGGGTAGCCGGCCATCTGCTTCCAGCCATGGTTCGAGACCCGGACCATGCGGTATCTACCTATGTCGGCCAGCCGTCGCAGTCGCCCGAGACGCGCATGGGGTTGACGAGACCAGGGTGGCTCGTCGAGAGATGCGACGCGCGAGAGTAGCGAGGTCGGCACGGCGGACGCTGTGGCACGTCGGCTGTTCGTGCAGGCTGCCGAGGAGTTCCGCTGGTCGTGGTCGTGTGGTCGACGGACGGCGGTGTTGTGGGGATCGCCACGCGTGGGGGTCGTCGGTTGAGGCTGCGAGGAACAAGCTCCTCCATCGCCATTCCGCCGCCTTCTGCACGCGGCCCGTATCACCCGCCAGGTCCCATGACGCGCGCCCGGCGCAAGGAGTGGTGCCCGCCGTGGCAGCCGGTGTTGCGGTGACAGGTCGATGATATCAGACGAGCAGGTGAAGCGCGACCCCCACGCTAGCGAGCTGCGAACACCCTAGGAGCCACAGCCGCTCTTTCAAGCCAATCCACGCCCACGCACCGCCTGCTGATCGCCACCACAACCCAACTGCCTGCCGTGTCAACACCACCGCTTGTCCTCCCGATTGGCCTGGTGCCTGACCCCGTCGTCGTGAAGCCCGCAACCCCCACGCGCCCTCTGTGGCTGATGATCCCGGTTCGGCTATTTAACAGTCCGTTCTCTGCTGCCATGGCTCCCACAGGCAGTGACTATATCAATTGCCCCGGGCTCGGCCATCATTTCGACACTACGAACAATGTCTCCCCACTCGAACGGTAGCTACACCATGACTTCCGGTGCCGTCCAGGAATCCGCCATGACGAACAACACCGGCCGCCGCCCCCTGCTCCCCGGTGTCTACGTCCCTACCCCGGCCTTTTTCGACCCTGTGAGCGAGGATATCGACGTGGAGACCACTGCCTCGCATGCTGTGCGCCTAGCACAGGCCGGTGTTGCCGGCATCACCACTCAAGGCTCCAATGGCGAAGCCGTGCACCTCTCGCACAAAGAGCGCAACCTCATCACCTCGACCACCCGCCAGGCTCTCGACGCCGCTGGCTTCACCAACCTGCCCGTCATGGTCGGCTGTGGCGCCCAGTCCACGCGCGAGGCCATCGAGCTCTGCCAGGAGGCCCACGCCGCTGGCGGCGACTACGCCCTCATCCTTCCACCGGCCTACTACCAAGGCCTCTTCAACGCCGACTCGGTCAGCAGCTTCTTCCGCGACGTGGCCGCCGCATCTCCCATCCCCATCCTCATCTACAACTATCCGGGCGCCGTCGCCGGCCTCGACCTCAACTCCGACACCATCACCGCCCTCGCCGCCGCCCACCCCAACATCGTCGGCTGCAAGCTGACCTGCGGCAACACGGGCAAGCTGGCCCGCGTCGCCGCTGCCACGCAAGCCGCCACCCCTTCCAACCCGGGTTCGGGTTTCCTGTGCACCGGCGGCTCTGCCGACTTCACCCTGCAGACCATGATCGCCGGTGGTTCCGGCATCATCGCCGGCCTCGCCAACATCGCGCCCAAGGCCTGCGTGCGCCTCATCCAGCTGTACGAGGCGGGCGACCTCAAGGCTGCCCGCGAGCTGCAGGCCGTCGTGGCACGCGGCGACTGGGCTGCCATCAGGGGTGGTGTCGTCGGCACCAAGAGCGCCCTTATGTCGTTCTTCGGCTATGGCGGCTATGCACGCAAGCCGCTGCCGAGGCCCGGCAAGGAGGAGAACTTGAAGTGGAGGCAAGGCTTTGAAGAGTTGGTCACCGTGGAGAAGGCGCTATGAGGCGCGCCTGTCACTGCTCGTTTGCTTTGAGGCTGGTCCTATTTGAATGCATCACGGTGATGTTATTAATGATCTACTCTAATGTTCCTTTTCTTTCTGGGAAATGTGCACGAGTGGTGGGTTGGAGAAAAGCGCCGTTCACTCTGGCTTTGAGCGTGATGCGCTCTAGCGCTCGTTGCTTTATTTGTGTTAGCATCAAATGGCGCCCGGCTATGGTTTCGTAGCACCTCTTTCCCTCGTTTATGCGAGGGGAAAATAGTATGTTTGCGTAGCTTCGAATCATCACATCCTTGTCGCTCGCCTCAGCCCCTTCAGTGAAGTGTCTACCCCTGTTTATCTCTGCCGCTTAACGTATTCCGTTGTTTCGGAGATGCATGCGGGGAGCCTGGCAGAGCACCGAGGGTGGGGGGTAGATCTTTTGTCTGCCTGGAAAAAAAAGAGGGGGGTTTGTTCCGGTGTGGCGAGTTAGGCATACTGAAAGGGTGGGGGAATGTGATGTGTTTCATATCTTCTGGAAGCCGGGGAAATAAGAGTTGAGGCTATGAAGGCTAAGGAAGGTATTAGCGTATGCTTGTTAGAAGAGGCTTAGCACTCTCCCACAGCAACCACAGGTGGCAGTTGGCCACTGATAAGAAGGGCTTTGGTTTGCGACAACCCCTGCATATAAGAAATGGCTGTGAAATTATCCGTACCGTTACCCGCCAAGGCCTTCCAGAATCATTTGCCGCACACAAGGGTTTGCGGAATAAACACATTTACAGAAATAGTATCACAGCCGAAGGCTAGCGTTTTTTTTTTTTTTTTTTGGGCGCTTATGCCATGGGAAATTGAAGTTGCCGTCCAGAGGTGAATGTAGAACTGTTTAACTCAGCTACCCATATGAGTTATTTTTTTTGTTAAAAAAAGACGCTAATTCATGGTTAGTACGCTATGTCCTGAGCCTCTCTTCTTCTTCACGCTATTCTTCGGGTACTGTACAGTCCCCTCTCGCAGCCGATGGCTAGTGTGGATTTGTTTTTTGCTCATGTCATGGCTAGCTGAAGCTATCGTCCGGACGTGTATGTAGAATTTTTAATTCGACATTCTCGTCCAGACGATAGCTTCAACTACCCACATATTAATTCATTAAATTTCTAGCCATTTTAAAATCCACAATGATATATTTCGTTGAATATATTTCTTAAACATGTACAAAAAGACAAATCAAGATCTCATGAAACATATGGGGAACTGTATACGTAAGAAATGGTTAGAAGAAATAGGAAAACTTCCGAAGCAGCTCTCAATGTTTCTCATTACTAGAAATGTGAAAGCCAGCTAGGCCCGTCGACAATACCGTTACAGGGCTCTCTCCCGTGTAGTGCTTTGGCACATCATTTGTGTGGTTGTCGTCTCTCAGGGCATAGGAATAATTAGGTTTCTCTTGGGCGAAAAAGCCTTCGAGCAACGAGTTTCTCTTGTGAGCCTGGTTTGGCGTATCTAATGCCTGAGTCAATTCTAAGTCTCTACAAGAGATCTTCTTTGTTTGGGTCACTTTACCTACCACGATGACCTTCTGGCGAGCTTGTGGGGGTTGGCAATACGGATGCTGCACCTGAAGGAACGGACCCCGACATCGAGGGCGTGGACGATGTCGACGTGCTTGGAGACTCTGACTCGTAAGTCGGCAGTGGCGTAGAAGCTCGCGCTGGAGCACTCTGTGTCTGAGCCGTGTGTTTTGTCCTGGCTGTAGGCTTTCGGGGTGCTGTACTACGATGAACAGCTACATGACGCAAACCAATTTAAGAAGCGTCAGAAGACTTTAACGCAAAAGATTCTATATGGAAGAAGAAGGATGTAGACTGTATTGACGCTGAACTACCTACCTTGCGGAGGCGCTTGCCGAGCATGCCTACCCACTATCTTTTCTCCCTCTTTCAAACTCCTCATCCGCTCCTGAAGCATAGAACGCTCATTCTTGGTCTCGTTAGACTCGGATGCCAAATTAGCTAGAGCCTCGTCATCCATTTCCGAAACAATGGCCGGTGAGAAGATGTCGGAAAGGGAGGAGATAAGGCAGAATTCTACACCGAGGGTAGCGGCATTGTCGATGAAGGTATGGAGAGCAACCTTCATTCTGTCAGTTAGATGCACACAAGCCAGGAGTGTCTAAGCGTTTGTCCATACCTTGTAAAAGGCCTCCATGCAGTACAGCAGCACCTCGGAAGCGGACTCACCCTGCTCATCATCCCACCCTGGGTTATTTATGGCCTCGAGAATCTCCTGCAGCGACGTTTGAAATGTTGAGGTCCCTGGGCCGTACCGGAGCTTGAGACGCAGCGCGGTATCATCATGTTTCTGCTTGTTCTTGAGCCGTGGCATAGACTCGCTAAACAAAGGATTATATGTGATCAGATGTCCCGACTTGTAAGGTTTGAGCAGCTCATCGATTTTGGCGAATAGCTCCTTCCTCTTCTTGTCCATGATGGGTTGGATGTGCTCTTCAAGAAGCGCATAGTAGGTGTGCCCATCGGCCAGTGACGCTAGTAGCGTCTCTAAGAAACCGAGAGCGGCATTCCAAATTATATCGGCATGTTCCTTTACAATGCCTTCCCAAGGCGCTGCCTGCTCCCGGAAAATGTCGCCGACGAGGAGCGGGTTGTACATTCCAGGGAGCTCGCGTCCACGCCGAGTGCGCACCTTTTCTTTGATCTCTTCAACGTACTCGGCCCGGGGCGTGATCCTAGGTGCGGGAGCGGAGCTCTCAAGAGCAGACAGCTCGGATGAGCTCAATGAAGCTCGTTTGACGTCTGGTTCCGATCCCTTGCTGTCGACTATGGTATTGCTGTGTCCATACTTCTGCATGACATAGGCAAATTCCTCGTTCGCGTTCTGGATCACAGCTCGCAGACGTCGTCCGTGTGCTTCCTCCTCAGTGGGCTTTGTGAAAAACTCATGCTGGTAGGATCCTCGGACTGCCTCCAGAGTCAGCCTCTCGAACGTCTTGCTGATGTCGACCAGGTAAGCTCTTTGGTCTCTGGGCGTCTCGCGCGGCTCGCCCATGCGCGCGAGCCCGCTTTCACACTCCTGAATGCCCTTTTTGATCTCGGCCAGGAGGATGGGCAACTCGGTCCGGATTTGGCGAAGCAAGATGGACCCCAACCGCGTCCTCAGCGCATCGACGCCAACGTGAGCTTTGAGCACGCTGCCCCAAATCCCCTGGGCGAAGAAGTCCTTCTCAGCCCTATCACGCTCCTCGGACGAGCAGTCCCGCATCGCATGGTCCCTGTTCTTGACCACATGCCAGCCGAGGCGCAGTTCATGCTCCACGTTCTTGGCCAACCTCACGACGGCCGCCTCGTCTTCGCCGCCCACGACAACGCGGTCGGGCTTGGTGATGATGCCCAGCGTGCGGCGGCCCTCCGGGTCGGCCTCGCGCGCCAGCCGCAGCACCGCCTGGTTGGCGTGGTCGTAGTTGGCGGCGACGACGGCGAGGATGACGGAACGTGGGTTCTGCGCGTACGCCTGCGTCAGCCGCCGCACAGTCCGCACGTCCGCCGCCGTCTGGCCCCGCGCCTCCGACTGGATCAGCCCCGGCAGGTCGACGATGGTGAGCGGCGGCCAGTTTGGGCCCGAGATGTCGAGATGCAGGACGTCGTCATTGATTGACTTGCTGCCCGTCGTGGTTGTGTCGTCTGAGAAAATGTTTGGTGGAACACTGCCATTCATGCACTTCTTCGCGTCTTCGATTAGGGTGGGGAAGTCGGAGGGGTTGGTGAAGGTTGCACTAAAGCGCTTGAGACGCTCCTTGTCGGCCTCGCTACGGGAAGGCCCGGGAATGATGCTAATTTTGATCTCGCGGCGTAGCGAGCGGCGCAGGGCAACTTCAGTGGCGAATGTGGTACATATACCATCTTTCGTGGGAAAAGGTAGATGCGTGATGGCTTCGAGGAGGGAGCTTTTGCCCGAGGATTGGTCGCCGCAAACGATCAGTTGCGGGAGGTCGATGTGTTTGCTGATTCCATGGCCGCGAAGCTCGTCAATGACGTCGAGGAGGCCGGCCTGGTCGTCATTTTGGAGCTGGCCGAGTGCCGTGTCCTCGAGCGAGACAGTCTTCATCTCCACGTCTGGCTCTTCCAGGTTGACTTCTTTGAGATAAGCAGCGAGAGTCTCTGGTGAATGAGGAGACTCTTCGAAGGTCCCTGGGATAGACGTGCCAAACGAAAACATAAGAGGGCTATGGTTTAAATGTGAAGTGAAACGGGTCTGGTTCTGCCAGCGTTCAGTTGAAAGAACATCTGCTTTATAATAACCTTGAGGGCTTACAGTAAGTCTTCCGCGCCTGGTGAGCAAGGCTGGATGCAGCTTGGGAGGAGCGGCACAAACGATCTATTCTTAGTCTTCCCACCTCCTTATCCGAGTGGACAAGACATAGCCACTGACTTCTTGGTATCCATTCACAGCACGCCAAACGCAGGCAGCAAGGCACATTCGACACTGCGCCGGGGTATTCGCTACACGTAGCACTTGCCGATATGCAGCATATCCACCGGATCATCATCGGCTTAGGATTCATTGTCTGAACACTTCGACAGGGCGATAGCGGCATCGGCAAGGCCGACTGTCCAGTCACGCGGCTGGGAAGAGAAGTCAAACGTTCCGTTCTGCAGGGGCTGCAATGGTGGTGCCGCAAAAGAGCCGGATTGGCTTCCTGAATACCGGGGGCAGTGCGGCAAAACACAATTGCCTCGTCCTGATGTGCTGAATGGGGAAATAGAAACGATTGTACGTGAATAAACTTTCGGTACCGGACTTCAATATCCAGGAAGGTTGGGTTGCAGATGCGAGCATCCCGCCTCCCGGGCACCGGACACTATACATTCTCCTCCCGCGACTGATGGCTAGCGCGGAAAGCAGCAGGACCTTAGAGCAGGGGGTAACTATGCACCAATGAACTTTCTTTCCAAGGAACAACGTATTTGGGCCATCGTCCGGACCTAGATGTACAAATGTTACTTCCACATATCCATCCGGATGAGAGCTCCAACTACCCATGACACGAGCGAAAAACAAGTCCGTTAGCTGCAATGCCGATCTGTAGTCTGCACGCACATCTTTGTGATATTACCTTGTCCTGGCGCAACTCATTCCCAAAAGCATTTAGTTGCAGAATGTGCTGTGCCGCACTCAAGGCAGCGGGCGCTTAACAGCAGGCAAACATGAGCATGTCGGTAGATCAAACACGCGCCGCCGGGTAGGTACAGGGGGGTATCGCAGCCGAAGGCTAGCGTGAAGAATAGTAAGTCCCTAGCCGTAACTATGCCCCAGCTCTTTCTCAGAAAAAATGACATATGTGGGTAGTTGAAGCTATCGTCCAGACGTGTTTGTGGAATTTTTAATATGACATTCTCGTCCGGACGATAGCTTCAACTACCCATGACATGAGCAGAAACAAATTCACGCTAGCGTTCGGCTGCGATACCCCTTTGTACTTGAAGGTAGCCGGGTTTTCGGCTCCCAGCCCCCAAGCTGTGCCGCATCGACGAATTGAAGGAAAGCAGTGACGGCGCTTAGCGGCGGAGTGGAGCTGAATGAGATTGAGACGCCGTTCCAGCCACGATTGGGCAGCGGTACAAGCCCCTGAATGGAGCGTTCGGCCGCAGTAGGAAAAAGCTGGTGGTGTTGAAGTGTAGACGCGTCGGAGGTCCGGGGAAGACGTGCGCTCCGTGCGGGATGACGTTCCGCCAAGCTGGAAGCGAAGTCGGGGCGCAGTTTCCCTCGACCCCTCCACATGACATCCGCAACCATGAGCGAACCGCAGGATGATTTCTGGCTATTTGGCTATGGGTAGGCGCTCTGTCTGCAACCCTGCTTTCAACCCGTCCGTCTGATTCATGTCCACCCTGTAGAAGCCTGATATGGAAGCCTCCACCACATTTTGGTATAGCCACCGCATGAGAGCCCTCCTCCCCGCCACGAATGCTGAGCCTCTCGTGTGCTGCAGACCAACGCCTTCCTGGCTATATTGAAGGCTACGTTCGGCGGTTCTGGCAGGTACGTGTGGCAGTGTAAACGGACTCCATGGCATCGAAAACGCCGCAGTCCAGAAGACTATGGCCAAGAGCAGGGAGATAACGGTCGCATTGTAGGCCAGGTACGCGCCCAAACCCCCCTAGTCATTCATCCACCATGTGCCGCGCCAGAGATGCAGCTGACCACCGCGGTTCAGCCAAGACCACCGCGGCACGCCCGAAGCGCCAGGCAGGGTCGCGACTCTGATTGACCGCGCCCATTGGGAGACGTTGACCGACCATGTACGTTCCGTCCCGCGCCCAGCAGGCAACAACCTCATGTCAACGTGATCGCCTCTCCAGCACGACGCCCCCGCCGAAAAGGTCTGGGGCGCAGCATACCACATCCCGGCTTCGCACGCCGCCGAGGTCCGCGACTATCTCGATATCCGCGAGATCAATGGGTACAGCATCCAATACACGCCGTTTCACCCTGCTGCCGGGTCCACGGGCTCCGCACCCATCCACTGCCTCGTCTACATCGGACTCCCGGAGAATCCGCAGTTCGTGGGGCCGCAGGACCCGCAGAAGCTGGCCGAGCACATCGTGCAGAGCAAAGGCCCCAGCGGCGAGAACAAGGAGTACTTGTATATGCTTGAGCACGCGCTGCTCGAGCTGAGCGCCGAGAGCGGCGACGAGCATATTACAGACTTGGCGGCGAGGTGCAGGCAAGTCGAGGCGAGACAGGGGGCAGCGAAGGGAGCTGACGGTGCCGTGCCCGTCGGGCACCCACTGCATAGGATTGGAAGTACGGAAGAGCAGGAAGAGGTAGAGAAATAGATCAGAAGACTAAACCGTCATATGTGGGTAGTTGAAGCTATCATCCGGAAGTGTATGTAGAATTTTTAATTCGACATTCTCGTCCGGACGATAGCTTCAGCTACCCATGGGATTGAACCGCTGCCTTTTTCCTCTTTTGCAATGGGCGGATCCAAAACAAACAGTTATCAGCATCGCACTTGAATAGAAACCGGATATCAGAGCGTCCGATTAAACATTTATCTCCTCAAAAACAACCCAAGATGCCCTTTTGGCTAGTCTGGATAATCCTGATTCCTCTGTGGTTCTGCTTTCTTAGTGATTCAACTCGCTCGACACCTGGTACCGTATGTGATCGGCTTTTTAGACGCAAGCTTCACTTCATACGTAATAGTGACAGCTCAACATGGCTGTGCTTGCATCGCTCCCATAGCCCGTTGCGGATTCGGTACATCGGGACTACTTTGTCTAGTTCGGCCATTTTCCGTCGTGCACCCTATTTTCCAAGCATGGATGTTGCTATATTCAGACTTGCTCCACCTCGTGCGAAATCAATTAGTAGCGTGGATTTTCAGCACAGAGAAGCCGAGAATCGTTCAAAGAAATTCCATACCGTCTGGTAAGTCGCGCTACAAACAAATGTACAAAGTTAGGTTGCCCCCTCTAGCCCCCTAATATGCTCCCATCTACCCCCTTATTTTACCTGTCGACCTCACCGAACACAAGATCCATCGTACCAATGATAGCCACAGCATCGGCCAGCAAGTGACCTCTCGAAATCTGGTCGAAAGCACCCAAGTGAGCGAAACCAGGCGCCCGAATCTTACACCTGTACGGTCTCTCGCTGCCGTCACTGACGAGGAAAACGCCCATCTCGCCCTTGGGTGCCTCAATAGCGCTGTAGGTCTCGCCCGGCGGAACCGAGTAACCCTTGCTGTAGAGCAGGAAGTGGTGGATGAGGGCCTCCATATTCTCCTTCATGGCGGCGCGCGGCGGGGGAGCGATCTTGTAGTCCTCGACCTTGATGGGGCCGGCGGGCATGTCATTCAGACACTGGTGGATGATGCGCAGAGACTGTCTGAACTCCTCCATACGGCAGAGATAACGGTCATAGCAATCACCATTGACGCCGACAGGAACTTCGAAGTCGACCTTGTCGTACGCGTCGTACGGTTGCGACTTGCGGATATCCCACGGCACACCGGAACCGCGGAGCATGACACCAGTGAAACTGTAGTTGAGTGCGTCGGCAGCGGAAACAACACCAACGCCCTTGGTTCTGCCGATCCAGATACGGTTGTCCGTCAGGAGCTCCTCAGTTTCGTCGATACGGTCACCGAACTGAGTAGCCCATTGGTAAATATCGTCCAGAAGGCCAATGGGAAGATCCTGAGAAACACCACCAGGGCGAACGTAGGCAGCGTGGAGACGGGCACCCGAGACGCGCTCGTAGAACTCCTGCAAAGCATTAAAACTACCACCAATTATTGATTCGCAAGTGCCGCTCTTACCATCAGCTTCTCACGCTCCTCGAAACCCCACAGGAAAGGCGTCAAAGCACCAACATCCATGGCGTGGGACAAGACGGACATGAGGTGGTTGAGGATACGAGTGATCTCACCAAACAAGGTGCGAATGTACTTGGCGCGCTCGGGGATCTCGATGTTCAGCAGCTTCTCGACGGCCAGCGAGTAGCACTGCTCGTTGGTCATCATGGAGACATAGTCGAGACGGTCGAAGTAGGGCAGAGCCTGCAGGTATGTCCGGTATTCGATGAGCTTCTCAGTGCCACGGTGCAGCAGGCCGACGTGGGGGTCGGAGCGGATGATCTCCTCGCCATTGAGCTCCAAGATCAGACGCAACACGCCGTGGGCAGCGGGGTGCTGGGGTCCAAAGTTGACGGTGTAGTGGCGGATCTTGCGGCCCTTCGCATCCGCCTCCTCGGTGTGGAGCGTCGTCTCGTTGACGGGAGTCGCGTAGTCGGCCTCCGTCTCGATGAGCTGGGTGCCGCTGGGGACGGGCTCGGCGTAGTGGCGCGGGAGCGAAGTCGAGATGCTACGGGCGAGGTTGTTGTAGCGCGGGAGGGCGTTGCGCGTGGCCGGGGCGCGGGAGGCAACGGCGAGCCTCCGCGCGGTGTTGCCGGCGATTCTGGCAAGGGAGACGGGCATTGTCGCTGGTAGGAACAACGCCGGGCCCTGTGCAGGTCGATTGTCCGGGGCGGCGAGTGGTAGAGTGGAGAGGCGATGAGCGGGAGCTGGCTATCCGAATGATGAGGTCGACGATTCAAATCCACAACGATTGGCTAGCCGGCCGCGCTGCCCTGTGCGAAACCATGGCCAACCAAGGCCCCACGAAATTCGAACAACACGGCCTAGTAAGAACATGCACCCCAATATAATGCATCAAAAGCTGAGATTCCGGGCTGCCATCGCTCTCGGTAGACGTCTATCTGCAGATTAGGATACTCCCAAATCATCAAATCCAGAATTGGGTGCAGCCGTCCGGCCGTGCTCCGGCCAGGGTTTCGCACGCCTCCCGAGCATGCTGCAGAGACTGAGAGCCGAGTTGCAGGGCGGTCGCAGGCGGCAGTTCCTGCGGCCGCGGTTTCCCCGAGAGAAGTTCAGAGCAATCGCAACTTTTTTCGATGCGCCTACAGCAATAGACTGCACCAAGACACGCCCGGACGCCATGGTTCAGAAGCATCAGCCGACACAGCAAGAGCTGGAGCGCCGCCGGGTATGTTCATCTCAGCCATTCCTGCCCACGCTTTTCTAATTCGCCGCAGATCGTCGGCGTGCACGCTGAGCATGTCTCCAACATCTCTTCCACCGACTTTCCCGGTCACTTCCCTGGCGAGGATCACAAATGGAGCCTGGAGAAGTTCAGAAAGGTATGCGCCGCTGCAACGGCATGCGCGCTGCAGCATACTAACAAACCCCCAGAACTTCCGCGTCGAATTCCACCAGAACGACCAGTTCGAGTCCCAGTTCTCTCTCGTTGGCGTTGACGCCGCCATCGCCAACGCTTTCCGCCGTATCCTGATCGCTGAGCTCCCCACGCTCGCCATTGAGGATGTCTACATCATCAAGAACACCTCCATTATCCAGGACGAGGTGCTAGCCCATCGTCTGGGCCTGATCCCGCTGAAAGGAAACCCAGAGGCTATTAGGAACATGACCTGGTACAAGAAGCCTGAGAGCGGCGAGCCGGAAGAAACATCACACACCGATTACAACACCGTGGTCTTGGAGCTGAACGTGCAGTGTGAATGGGCGCCGGATGCGCGAGAGCTGGCCAAGAAGGGAGAGACGGACCCGAAGAAGCTCTTCATCAACTCCAATGGTACGACATCCGATAGTCCATGGCTCGCCACATGAATACTGACCCGACCCATAGTCTATGCCTCTGAAATCAAATTCATCCCCACTGGCCGCCAGACGGAGCTCTTCGCCGGCGACGGTGCCATCCAGCCTGTCAATCCAGACATCTTGATCGCGAAGCTGCGGCCGGGCCAGAGCATCAACCTCTCGATGCACTGCATCAAGAGTATCGGCTCCGACCACGCCAAGTTCTCACCCGTCGCGACTGCCACCTACCGCCTGCTGCCGCACATTGAGATCACGCAGCCCATTATCGGCGCCGACGCGCGCAAATTCGCGCGCTGCTTCCCCGCCGGCGTCATCGCCGAGGTGCCCATAACACACGAAGAGGCGGCGCAGCCCGGCTCGCCGTACGCCGGTCACGAGGGCGAGAAAAAGGCCGTCGTGGCGAACCCGTTCAACGACACCGTCACCCGTGAGGTCCTGCGCCACGACGAGTTCAAGGACAAGGTTAAGCTTGGCCGTGTGCGCGATCACTTTATCTTTAACGTCGAGAGCACCGGCCAGTTCGACAGCGACGACCTGTTCATTCAGAGCGTCAAGGCGCTCAAGGTCAAGTGCCAGGTCATGAAGAGGAACATGGCCAACCTCATGAGGTAATCTCGTGGTATACCCCTCCTTAAAATGGATTTTGCATAGCCAAGGCGTTCCGGTTGGGATTGGAGTGGTAGGAGCGGATGCTGCTCGATTTTATTTCACGGCGATGGGTCACAAAACAGGTGGTTTTGGGGTTTGGCCTCTTCCTCGATCAAAAGTTATATATGTGATTGGTAGTTGAGGTTGGGGGCATGGTGCAGGCATGGAAATACTTCCATAGCCCTCGTTCCAGTCTACCTGTTTTCAAGAAGATAGTAGAGAATCAAATTCTACACAGGATGCAAATAATCGTCTCAAAGGGGCCAAAATCTCTGGAGGGTTGTGTATTGTGAATGTCGTGCAATCGCTGAAGGGTATCCGTCTTGGCAAGCTCTACAAACATTATGGGGGGTAGAGGAAAGAAAACAAAATGCCTGCCAACTCCAACGCTCCTCGTCTCGTACATAGAATTCTGTTATGCTTCGTTCGCCAATCCTTCTTGGTTCTGTCTCATTCTCGGCCGTAGTCGCGTGCTCTTCGCTCGTAATATTCACACTCAAAGTCCAAAAAAGAAAGGAGAAAAGAAGGAAAAGAACAAATGAAAAAAAGGCGCGCAAAGGCGAAGAAGGTCTCTCTCACTTCTTCCATCAGTGGTGGAAAGGACCACTCCTACGCCTCGCACTCCTGCAAGGCCAGCCTGGCCAGCTCGCGGCAGCCGCTGGGATCGAACCGCTCCCGCGCCCACATCCTCTTCCTGCCCTCGCGGATGCGGTCAGCCTTCTCATCGTGCGTCATACCGCGTCCATTGGTGGTAGCGGCAGCACCGTCCGCCGCGGGCTCGGACGGCTGTGCGGACATCATGACGGAGCTGCGCCGCTTGTTCTCCTCGGCCGCGCCGCCCGAGTTCGTGGCGGTGGCTTCGGACCACGCAGAGGACGTCGTCGCCGTGGACGAGGACGACACGGAGCGGCTGGAGGCAGGGCTGCTGCCATTGGAGCTCAGGGCGCTGCCTTTGAGCGATTGGATGGAGAGCAGGTGCGAGACGAGCTGGGCGCGGAAGGAGGAGAGGTCGCCGTTGAAGTGCTGGATGCGGGTGTTGAGCGGAAGCGGCAGCAGGCTGCTGCTGGAGAGGTCGCGCGGGAAGAGCAGGCGCGGGCAGGGGTGGGTGCGCTCAATGGGTGCGCGGGTGACACGTGCGGGCGTGGGAGTGGTCGGGTCGTCATAATCGTCTTGGTGCTGCGAGGGCGTGGCCCATTGGATGGGCGTGCCTTCGACAAGGTCCACGAAGCCGTGCGTCTGCGGAGGGGGCGTCTGCGGGGGCGGCGGGAATTGATAGTTGGCATCGAGGCCGTTGTCGTGGTTGTTGCTGTTGCGGCTGGGCGTCTGCGCTGGCGAGTCCGTATGGGTGCTGCTTTGGGAGAGCAGAGAGTCGCTGGACCTGGCCTTGCGGAGTTGGAGCGGCGAAGGCCGCTTGACGCTCGGCGGCTCGACGGAGAGGTAGTTATTCTCCGGCTTGTGGTCATGCTGGTCGTCCACGAAGGGGTCAGAGCCCAGATCCGCGGCCCAGGAGACGTCGGTCACGAGTGAATCCGTCCGGGAGTGCTTGGAGCTGTTGAAGGAATGACGCCTCGAAGCCAGGGAAGAAAGGTCGAATGCGTCAAAGGTCGAGGTGAGATCCCACATGCTGGGTATGGGCGGCCTGCCCGCTGGCTGATCATCCTGGGCTGGCAGGCTGAGGGACAGCTTCGGCGGCGACTGCGGACGATTCTCGTCTTGCTGAAGCGGAAGAGGCTCTGGCAACGTCGCAAGCGCCTTGTTGTAAAAGTCCTCGGACTGCTGCAGAGAAGGAATGCGCGCCACTGAATGGTTATGCATGGATCGCGCGAGCGTGTCATACGACAACGCGGCGTAGAAGTAAAGGAAAGTGCGGACCAGAGGGTGATGCTACAAAGATTGCTGTTAGCGGCATTCCAGAGGATGCGCCAGATAAAACGTACGTCCTGGCAGTGCTTTTCCAAAAGTTCAAGGCATTTGGAGGCGCATTGCCTGTAGCGCCGGTCGAAGTAGAGGTGCTTCACCTCATTCAACAGTTTGCGAACATCTTCCTTGGGCTCATCCGCCGGCGGCACGTGCATCGCGAACTTGGGCACTGTGGCCAGGCCGTTGTAGCGGGTGCCAATGTCTCGTGTTGGGATCATGCTTGCTCCTCAGCGAACGTACAAGAGTCGGGGATTGCAATCAAATCCGAGGCTAGGGGAGATAGTGAGGCGGCCATCCGGTGTTGACAAGGACCCAGACGCGGTCGGCGAGAAGTCGGGGGGTTGCTGCGCGCGGCGAGTGCCGGGACAAAGAGCGTAAACAAGAGCGGTGACCAGCCTCAAAAAATGTGGATACGGCGCAAAAAAGTTACCCCGGACGCGGATCCTTGACCGGTGGGTAGAAGCCTCTTGTCGAGGAAGCGAGGCTTCTGTTTCTTTTTGAATCTCTGGAGCTCCATGTCCAGGTGATCGCAGAGACGTCAACCCGGAAGCATCGGTGGTTACACAGTTTCCATATCCGGTAACTGCCCACACGCAGGGCGCCCCTTGACGGTCCCGCAAAATCAAATAACCGAGTTTCTACAGAGGGATGTTGCAGCCGAAGGCTACCGTGAATTTAGTTTTTCGCTCATGCCATGGGTACTTGAAGCTATCGTCCGGACGCAAATGTTGAATTAAAAATTATACACTCACGTCCGGACGACAGCTTCAACTGCCCACATATGTTGTTTTTTCTTTAGTACTTACTATTCTTCACGCTAGCATTCGGCTGCGATACCCCCCCTGTGCTATGTATGTGGCTTGCATGTATTCGCGTTTCAGATCATGTCGTTCCGGAACTCAATCTACAACGCTACAGTCACCTCATGCCATATAAGCCTAACTGCGTAGCAACATGGGTTTGATAACTTAAGTATAAGGCTGAAGACTGTGGTGAAGCTAGACCGGAACATTCAAGTTCTTTATACCGCGATGCTTTCGTGGACAACCTTTTCCCCCTCATTTTATTCCTTGCACCTGTTGTGTATAATCTTAGTACGTAAATTGTGTCCTTGGTAAAGCCCGCTCTAGAGCCGTCTAACCTTTGGCTGTATCCTTTTCTTAACTATACTTATTTACCTTTTAAACACTGATGTCGGCTAGTCATTCTAAGTCTAAAGTGAGAAGTCTACCAGGAATAAAAATAAAATAAGGCCAAACACCTTAAGCAATGCTAATTATAGTGCTGGAATAATCCTGCTATGTATGATGTACTGGTGCGCTTACCTTTCGTTGAATTTCTACACGCGCCCATTGTCCTTCCAGTTACTACCGTATTGCTTCCTCACCGATTTCCCTCGCTATTTCCCCCCATATTTGCTTCTCTAACGGTTTTACTGTGGTATATATCAAAGGGCACGAGCAGTAATCCGCTTGATCCGTCCAAGATTTGGTATATATAATGCAAATCACATGAGATATTGTCTGTTGTACGCCCACATCTTGAGCAGCACGAACTACCCTCATAAATAGAGAACTGTATCTCTCGTGGAAAAGATTTCCCAGGACCAGTTTCTCTGCCCCACGTGGTGAGCGTAACGTTATATTTGTTACTTTTTCGTTGAACGTAGTGTTATACTTGATACTTTTAGTTGGGTGCTAGTAATGTTAGCTATTCAGATATATCCGTTTCAATATTAATAGTCGGATTGACCACTCGCACTAAATGAGTGCTTGTTCGTCTTACTAGCATTTTCTCACAAGGAATACGCTCAATGATTGGGATATCAGGCAACGCTTGTATTCTACATACACGCAATCGGGCGATTTGACTTAAATTCCGGCATCGACGGAACGGGATTTTTAAATAGATGCTGTCAAATCGATCTCTCTTACTCCTCGGAGGCGGCGGCACCAGTGATAATCTCGACAAGTTCGCCAGTAATGACGGCCTGGCGGGTACGGTTGAAGAGAATCTGGAACTTGTTGATCATGTCGCCGGCGTTCTTGGAGGCGTTCTGTGTGCACAGTCAGTACGTGGATATATCTTGATATGAGCAGGGTTACTCACGTCCATGGCGTTGCGACGAGCGGACTGCTCGCAGGCGTGACCCTCGGCAAGAGCCTAAAATCCGTTAGAAACAGTCAATCATGAACGACTCGGGCAGATGTCATACCCAGTAGAGAGAGTTGGCCAGGGCGTATTCACGGAGGTTGGGGAGGGTCTCGTCCTCGATCTCGAAGGCAGCAAGGTTCTCTGAGAAGCATTAGCACATTCCCTTGGAGAAACCGGACCGAAAACTGACCGGACTGGGTGATGGCCTCCTCCGAGAAAGCGTCAATGGTGACGGGCTCGTAGGCCTGGGCGTTGATGAACTTGTTGTAGGCGATCTTGACAGAACCGTAGTCGCCAGAGAGACGAGAGATCTGGTCCGCAATGGCCGAAGCGTCCGCGAAGGTGGGAATGTCCTTGCCGACACCGGCGAAGCTAAGCTGGATGTTCTTGGCGTTGCCTCTGCTCAGCTGCGACTTGCACTTCTCACCGAGAACGACGAGCTCGGTGTCGGGCTTCTCCAGGAGGATCCTGCGCGTGAACCTAGACAGACCAGAGTGGATACCACCGCAGAGACCCTTGTCGGAGCTGCACACAATGACAAGGTCCTTCTTGCCCTCGCCCTCGACCGGCTTGGTCTCGGCCTGCTCGAACACGTTGTTGGAAGCCTGGCCGTAGGCACGCGACGTCTCCATGGCACGCTGGGCGCGGGTGAGCTTGGTCGAGGCGACGATTTTCATGGTCTTGGTGATCTTCTCGATGTTGCGAATCGACTTGAGGCGGTCCTCGATCTCACGCAGAGTGGCGTAGTTGGCGCTGGCGGCGACATTGACGGTCGCGGGCCTGGCAATTGCACGCGCAGAGTCAGTATCTGATGCCAATTGCATCGAATCGAGGATTGAGCGCAGGGCGGGCGCGGGCGCGGGCGATCGGAAGGCCTACCGGGCGACGGCCGCTTGGCCAGCTCGCAGAGCCGGGCGGGCAGCTCTCGAGAGCATCATTGAGGCTGAGAGAGAGCGGAGGGGAGAGTGATGAAGCGGTCGATGCGAACCGACGTGGGCGTGGTGCTCCGGATGGTCGGCGGAGAAACTGTACAGGATGTTGCACTTCAACCTCACGGCGAGAGCGAGCCACTAGCGCCGAAGTCACGTGCGCCTGAGGCCCAGAATCGAAGCGTTCCTCTTAAGCTAAGCCGACCCTTTGTGAACCCACGACTCCCTCGCTCTCCAGTGTGCAGTCTTGCCCGCTGCGGTCCGCCATCATCGCCTGCTTCCAATTCCCCGTTTCCGCGCGCGTTGGCCTCCGCTGGCTCTCGCCCACCACCCTCCCCCAACCGACATCACTAGGTTCGCGCATCTTCGCCAGACTCGGTGCCACCCAGCGGGCCGTCGCAGCTGAGCGCAGACTCGGATTCCCTTTCGCACGTTCGCCCGCCACCCGTCGCCCGCCTCGCATCATGTCCTCCTCCGACAGCGACACGCCCCTCGTCAAGGGCAAGACCAACGGCTGTATGTCACGTCCCGTATCCACTCGCTCGGCTGAAATGCGCCGGTGGTCTTTCAGTTTGCTCCCCTCATGCGCCACCTGCTTTCCACGCTTCCCCTCACACTTGCTTGCCTGCCTACCTCACCTGCCTTCGTCCACCTCGTTCCTGCATCTTGCTGACAGTCGTAATCCTCTCAGCCGCCTCTGCCGACACCATACCCAAGAGCGTAGACAACGCCATGGACAAAGAAGTGCCCTCATCAAACGGCCAGAACGGTCAACTCGAGGTTGACATTTCGATACGCAATGGCCCTGTCAGGGAAATGGATATTGACGAGCCTGGCACGAATGGTCTCGCCAACGGGAAGCGCAAGCAGCGCGCAAGCATCAACGGAAAAAGCTACAAGGAGGCCACGAGCTCGGACGAGGACGATAAGCCACTGGTGCGTCACTCTTCATGCTATCTACGTGCTTCACTTGCGCTGACGCCTTTCACAGAGTAAGCGGCGTAAGACCTCGTCACCCAAGGCGACTTCTGCTTCGGATTCCGAGTTGAGCGATATTCCCTTGGCGAAGAAGTCGATTAGGCAGCAACTACCCCCAAAGATCAAGCCGGCGGATGTCGGCGAGTCTTCCGATTCTGATGTCCCTCTCGGGAGAAAGCTTGCAAATGAAAAGAAGCACATCGAGCAGGCCGCCGAGAAGGAAGCCAAGGCCATCCGCGCAGCGGAAAAGAAGGCTCCCGCCAAGAGGAAACCTCAGAAGGTGGAAAGTGAGAGTGATGACGATATCCCTCTGTCGAAAAAGAAGAAGCCGGTTGCCAGAAAGGCCAACGGGGTCAAGAAGGAGGAGTCTGACGACGACGTACCTCTCAGCAAGAAAGCCGCTCCTGCCAAGAGAGCCAAGGCGAAGGTGGAAGAGCCCAAGAAAGTCACCAAGGGCAAGGCAGCTGCAAAGAAGGAGACGGAAGACGATGAAGAGGCTGAGGCTGAGGAAGAAGAGTACAAATGGTGGGAGGATCCGACCAAGGGCGACAACTCCATCAAGTGGACGACGCTGGAGCACAATGGTGTCGTCTTCCCTCCCGAATACGAGCCCCTCCCGGAGAACGTCAAGCTCAAGTACGATGGAATCCCTGTCAAACTACACAAGGACGCCGAGGAAGTCGCCACCTTCTTTGGATCGATGCTGAACTCGACGCACAACGTCGAGAACCCCACGTTCCAGAAGAACTTTTTCCACGACTTCAAAGAGGTATTAGACAAAACCGGCCATGCAAAGGGTCCGGACGGCAAAAAGATCAAGATCGACAAGTTTGAAAAGTGCGATTTCAAGGACATTTACGAGTACTACGCAGCACAACGCGAGGCCAAGAAAGCGCTTCCCGCAGCGGAGAAGAAGGCTTTGAAGGCAGCCAAGGACGAGGCTGAAGCGCCTTATATGTTTTGCCAATGGGATGGACGCAAGCAAAAGGTTGGCAACTTTCGTGTCGAACCACCCGGCTTATTCCGTGGCCGTGGCGAGCACCCGAAGACGGGCAAGGTCAAGAAGAGGGTCATGCCAGAACAGATCACGATCAACATCGGCAAGGAAGCCCAGGTTCCTGCGCCGCCGCCTGGTCACAAATGGAAGGAAGTCAAGCATGACCAAACGGGTACCTGGCTCGCCATGTGGCAAGAGAACATCAACGGCGCCTACAAGTACGTCATGCTCGCGGCGAACTCGGATATCAAGGGTCAGAGCGACTTCAAGAAGTTCGAAAAGGCGCGAGAGCTCAAGAAGCACATTGATCGCATCCGGAAGGACTACACCCGCGACCTCAAGTCCGAAGTCATGGCCGATCGCCAGCGGGCCACGGCTGTTTATCTCATCGACAAATTCGCCCTTCGTGCCGGCAATGAGAAGGGAGAGGATGAGGCAGATACTGTTGGCTGCTGCTCGCTGAAGTACGAGAACATCACGTTGAAGCCGCCGAATACGGTAGTCTTCGATTTCCTCGGAAAGGACAGTATTCGCTTCTACGACGAGGTCGAGGTTGAGCCGCAGGTGTTCAAGAACTTGAAGATTTTCAAGAAGGCACCCAAGAAGGATGGCGACGAAGTCTTCGACAGACTGACAACCTCGGGTCTTAACAAATATCTCAGCAGTTACATGCAGGGTTTGACGGCGAAGGTGTTCCGTACCTACAACGCCTCGTACACCATGGCAAGGCTGCTCAGAGAGATGAAGTCGACCGGAAGCATCGCCGAGAAGGTCAAGGACTACAACGAAGCCAACCGGAAGGTTGCCATCCTTTGCAACCACAAGAGAACTGTTGCTGCCACGCATGGTGCTCAGATTGAGAAGATGCAGGAGAAGATCAACGGTCTTCGCTATCAGCAGTGGCGCGTCAAGCAAATGATGATTGACCTCGACCCTAAGATCAAAAAGAAGAAGGGAGCAGAGTACTTTGAGCTTCCCGAGGATCTCACTCAAGAGTGGGTCGAGCAGCATCAGCAGGGGCTTGTCGAGGAGCAGCGCGACAAGATCAAGAAGAAGTTCGAGAAGGAAAACGAGAAGCGAGTGGCTGAGGGCGAAAAGGAGATGAAGGCCAAGGAGCTTCAGGAGCGTCTTGAGGTTGCTGACGATCTGGAGAAGAAGTTCAAGAAGGAAAACAAGACGAAGAAGATTGAGGCCGAGGGCAAGGGGGTTACGGTGGAGAAGCTGGAGAACAAGGTCGAGCAGCTGCAGCAGCGCATCGAGACGGCGAAGGTGCAGATGGAGGACAAGGATAACAACAAGGAAGTTGCGCTGGGCACGTCCAAGATTGTAAGTGTCGCTCGGATGGGGACGGAAGACGGGAGTGCTAACGCGTGGAGCAGAACTACATCGACCCGCGCCTCACGGTGGTGTTCTCGAAGAAGTTCAACGTGCCGATCGAGCGGTTCTTCTCCAAGACGCTGCGTGAGAAATTCGACTGGGCGATCAAGTCGGCCGGCGAGGACTGGGAGTTCTGAGTGTTGCACAGCAGCACGCCGAGTATTGCTACCCACTGCATTCCTTTTTGCTTTGTGGGCGTCTGGCGCAGTTAGAAGGGCTGATAATATTTCTCGAGATTTCTTGAAAAAGGCAAGTGGTGTTTTGGTTTTTTTCGACTGGCGCGCGTGCGGCAGCGTGGACCCTCGCTGCAGGGGCGCGGCTTGGCCCTTGTGCGGCATCATGGGAAGCGAAGGCAGGCGGGGTAGACCTGCATTGGGCAGGTGCAATAAAAGGATGGATTTTCATCTGCATAGCGGTCGGCAAGCTACAGCCGTCGGGGCGTTTGGCAGGGAGCGGTTCATGAGGGCTCTCAGAGTGGTTTTTGCGAGGGTTTGGGCGCGGCAGCAGCAGTGGCAGCTCTCCACACTGGGGACCTGGCGGCAGCTCATGCAGGTGCGGGACGATCTCTGTGTGTGCCACTGACGGGTCACTGCAGGCTGGCTGTGCCTCATCTGGCATGACATATAGAGGCTAGGAACAAAAGTTTCAATGGACGTGCATGTATCGCCGATGGCCGTTCAATATCCATCTGATGGGGAGATGGCGCGCCGCCACCGATGACGGCCGTCGACGGCAGCGGGAAAACCCATAAAGCCGCGCATCGCAGGCGTGCAGATCGATGCGGCTTTTTGGAATCACAGGGTCGCCCGCGACGCCCAGGAGGCGCAGGGCGCGAGTCGAGGCCGGCACCCACAACACCACCGCCGGGCATGGGGGCGTGCGATGGCGCAATGCTGGATTGCGTGCAGCTATGTCATGGTGCGAGGCCGGCCGTCGTCGTCGACGGCGAGGCGGCGGCCGGGGAGCGGGTGTACCTGGCGGGCAGCGGCTCAGCTGACCCTGTGGTGTCGGCGCGTGCAGCGGCAGCGCTTGCGGCCTGCTGGGTCGAGGGCTTGAGCGTGCAGAGTGTGCCTGAGCGGCGGCGGCCCCGCTGCGACGGCGAGGGCAGCACACGCCGGGTCGCACAGAGGGCGCGCAGTCGCAAAAATGAAGCTTAACGGGGCTGCATGATCGGAGCTGCATCATCGCCATTTGGCGCGGCCGCTGGGAAATTTGCTGATCTGCTGCCCGCGAGCAGAGCGCGGCCGGTCATTAAAGCAAACCTGCCCCCCGGGCTAGCAGACGACAGCAGGCCAGCCAGTGCCCGAACAATCGCATCCCTCCCCCTCGCCCAAGCCCGCACCGCTCCCGCGCTCTCCTCGACACCGCCCTCCCAGACCACGCCAATTGCACCGCACGCCCACCGCCCACTCCCGCCAGCCCACCTCGACTTGACTCCCAGCCCACGCTCCCGCACCGCTCCTGCCTCACCCTCGACCGGCCACGACTCTCCCGACCATCACCATGGCCGACCCCGCCGACAAGCCCTCGGTGCTGATAATCGGCGGTCTGGGTGCGTACCACTGCTCCTGCTGCCGGCCAAGGCTAACTTTTGCAGGCTACACCGGCCGCTTCCTGGCTAAGCACATCCACGACGCCCAGCTCGCCTCGGAGGTGCGCATCGTCGACAAGCACCTGCCCGAGCTGGCATGGCTGGCCCCCGAGTTCGCCGACGCCTGTTCGCGCGACAAGTTCATGCAGGCCGACGCCTCGCGCGAACGTGAGTAGCCGCGCGCCCACCTCCCTCCTGCTCCGCTAAGCTCTGCAGAATCCCTCGGCCGCATCTTCGACCGCCCGGACGGCAAGCAGTGGGACTACGTCTTCAACTGCGGCGGTGAAACACGCTATTCGCAGGAGGATGAGGTTTACAAGATGCGCTCCTACGCCCTTTCCATGGCCGTCGGCGGAGAGGCCGCCCGCCGCAAGGTCAAGGCCTTCGTCGAGCTCAGCACCGGCATGGTCTACAAGCCCGAGGCGACGCCGCGCAAGGAGACGGACAAGCTGAAGCCGTGGCTGAAGATGGCCAAGTGGAAGCTGCAGGCCGAGGAGGACCTGGCCAAGATCGAGGGCCTGAACCTGATCGTCATGCGTCTGCCGCACGTCTACGGGCCCTACACCAGCAAGTTCCTGGCAACCGCTCTCTGCATGGCTCGCGTCTACCAGTCGCTCGGCAAGGAGATGAAGTGGCTGTGGAAGGACGAGCTGCGTTCCAACACGGTCCACGTCGAGGACGTCGCCAGGGCATTGTGGACCGCCGCCGATTGGTACTCCAAGAAGGAGGAGCCCAAGCCCAAGCCGGCCGTATTCAACGTCGTTGACCACACCAACACTTGTAAGTGCAACCCCCGACCTCCCAAGATGATGCTTCATTGGCCAGCGACGTTGGGCCGTGGCCCCACCGATCACGCTCGCACGCCGGGTGCACGTTCCTGGCAATCCGGCCATCTGAATGTCGTGCCACAGGGCCCGATCAAACCGCGTTCGGCGTTGCTAATAGGAGTGTGTGCACAGCTCAAGGAACCCTGGCAAACTTAATACACGAGACGTTCAACATCCCGACGGGCTTTCACGGCACGCTGATTTCCGCATTTGCTCGGCTGAACTTGGAGCACGTCGTCGACGACGTCAACGACGAGACACTGGATCCCTGGGCGGAGCTGCAGGAGAAGGCTGGCATTTCAAAGGCCAACCCGAACCCGTTGAGCCCCTTTATGGAGAAGGAAATCCTGAAGGATACCGACCTCAGCATGGACGGCAGTCTCTTTGAGCAAGAGACTGGGTTTGAGTAAGTTTCCTGCAGAGATTGCATCAAAGGCGCGACGAAGCTGATGGGCGGCGACAGATACAAGCACCCGATCCTCACGAAGGAGAAGCTTGAGGATGTCGTAGAAAGTTACAAGCGAATGGGCTGGTGGCCATAACAGCCCCGCCCAACGGCAACCGAAATCTTTTCCTGCTGACTTGACATTTGCTCGACGCTCATGCAGTGGACGGCTGACCCAATTACGAATGCAACACATTGACCCGACGTCCTTCGAACCCCAAAAAAACCTCTCCAACAATTACTCATCCGACCTCTGCTCTTGGACCAGCTCATACAGCCAACGTCAAACCCTCATTTACCAAGATACCCCTTGCGCGAGCTCCAGACATCTACATTACAACATTCAAACCCGAACGACGAGACGGCCTTTTATTACCACTTTGCATCTCTCCTGAAATGTCCCAAATCCGGATTCCGAACCCACGCAGAGGGCTTCCATTTGTCCAGTCATAGCAACAGCAGCAGCTCGTGCTCGTCGAGGACGAAGCGCGGTGCCTCTCCCATGATCCGGTCAGCGGCGCCTCGGACATGGTTTTGAGGCATGTCTGCGGGGCGTCAGGGTGCACCTTGACCAAGATGATGCAGACGTTTTTGTCTGCAAGCCAAGTCGGCGAGATGGAATGGAAAGGAACGGCACGTCTTGGTCAGCTTGAGCGGCGGGCTTCTTTCCATTCCCGTGTTTTGATCTTATTTTGGACGTGTTGCTTATCGTCGGAAGTACCCAGCTATCAGATGAAAGCGCCCGGGATGCTTGGTCGGCGAGAGCGTCATGAGGGGGTGGCATTCTCTGGTTTGTGCATAATATCGGAGCGTTTGTACTTGCAGTGTGCGTGCGTGCGTGCGTGTGTGTGCGTGTGATATTTCCAGTGTGCGTGAGCTACCTACGTGTTTTTGTTCTACGAGAGTTGACATAGATGTTTATCGTACGACACGATGCCTTTTCGCATGTTGCACGGCTAGCGCGGCGCACGTTCGGCCGAAGGTCCGTTGGTTGGTCGATTATCTGTTGTTTTCCGGGGCGGCTGGCGCGCGGTGCGGCGGGTTCTTCGTCGCGACTGCTGGCAGTCGCAGCAAGGGGCATGTGCACTAGCCGGGCGAAGGGCATGGCCACGGCGGCGGGGCGACGTCATAAGGGGTGCGGAGGGGAGATACAACACAGCAGTCCCCCTTTCTCTCACATCTCAACGGTCAGGCCAACACCGAGGTCCGGCTTCGCTGATAAGTGTTGCGGCTGTGGCTGGCGCGCCGTCGTAAGGGGAAAGGGGAATGCAGCGGAGGCGGGTGGTCCAAGATCAACTCTTTCAATCTCGGCGCACCGGCGCCATCTCCGTCGGGAATAAGTAGATAGCCGTTTTGGCGACGACCAGGGAGACGGACCGAGGCGGGATGTGCGTTTGGGTGTGATGAAGTGGGTGAGAGAAAGCGAGATTGGGCCTCTCGGTCGAGTCAGCCACGTCTCGGCGCGAGCGAGCGCTTCGGGGGATTACTGACGACAGCCCTCGTATCTTTGGCTTTCTGCATGCTGCCTCACAGCGCGGGACGGGGCAGCCCGACGGCCGTACCGTACAACCATCTTCACTCAATCCAGCGCAACCCCCAGCTCGGCTGCTGCCGCTCCTCCCCCATGCTCTCCGCCTAGCCGCTTCTGAGATCGCCGCGCCATCGCCGATTGCTTTGTGCCTTCATCCCGTCCCATCCAGACCGCTAGCCAAGCCGATTGGCTCTTCCGCCGCCCTACCTTTTTGTTCCTTTCTGCTGCTAGCCTAGTCCCTCCTGTCCCTGACGATCTCTCGCTTTCTCTCTCTTCGCTTCTCTCTTATCTGTTCAATTTTTTGCGTAACCGCTGGGCCTGTATTTTCCAATAGTGCCAAAGTATCCTGTGGCCGTGCGGGTCGACGTCGTCCACGACCTGTTACCACCTGCTCGGATCTGATCCCTCGACCCTGGCTCTTCTTTTTCGACCTTTTCTTTTTTTGTTTACTTTTGAGCGGCACGCGCCGCGCCGCGTCGCGCCGCACCGCCCCGGGGCTCGTTTCGCTCGTCCCGAGCCCGGGGCAGCGCCCGCGCCCGCCGTCGTTGCTCGAGAGGTCACCACTTGCGAATGATGGGGTTCGGCTGGAGGGGAAGGGGAAAGCGCATGGTATGAGGCAAGCCTGAGGATGGACTGTGTCCTTCGCTTGTTCTCTACCGTGCTCTTGGTGGTGACGAAGGTGCATTCTTGGCTTTTGCCGACCACCGCCATGTTTGCTGATCGGAGATTGGACCCATGGGAGATGGTTATTGTAGAGAGATTGCGGTCTGAGGTCGCTCCTGGAATCCAGTCTCATCTTTACTTCAGAGCTTTCCAGTTGCACCATGCAGAAAAGTCCTTCTTGCGAGATTCACACCAACTCCTGAAGCCTATACAGCTCGTCGTCTCGGGTACATGTCCAATAATTCCTTCCCATCCTTTTCTTCCTTTTATGGCCTGATGTTGCTCTGAGCGGGCCGCACGAGCGTTCCTGTTGCTCACTCAGCCATGCTTTGATACGATAATTGTGCGTGTTTCTGTCACCGTATACACTCCTGCACTGTCTTCTCATCCACATTCTTCATCCCCGCTTTACCGCCTCGCTGGCTGTCTGCGGGGTCGGATCTCCATGCTACTGCTCCCGCCGTGGGGAAGATGAACGCCAGCAGACACGTGTGGAAGCTGCAGGGGTGAGTGCATTCTGCATGCATGCGCATGCAGCGGCACCTTTTCCCCCACCAAGCGTACTTGCATATCGTCCCTCGCCTGGACCTGCATATAGGAAAGCAGTGTAGATGAAGAGTCAAATGATGCACAACCCTCGCGAGTTGCATTTCTTTAATTCCCTTGATATTGCCATCATTCTTCCTTCGCTCGCCGCCTTCCTGCCCTTATTGCCGCATTTTAATGAGCGGTCTGCGCCCCACCTACCCACTCACACCGGTCGGCCTTTTCTGTCCATCATGGTTGATGCGCGGAAGGGTCTGGAACGTTGCGGTGGTGCCGATTGCGCGAGTGGTCGGATCTGGATTTTCATGTGTGTGGCACAGCAGTAGCGATATCTATGCCACTTTACCCTTTTCGCCATGCCGGATGCTCCCGGTTCATGTGGGCAATATCGATCCTTCACTTCACAAGTCTAGTTATTCTACATGGCTATAGCACGAAGAATCATTCAACTTTCCAATCTATGCCTCCTTAGCTTGCATGTCTTTGTGGTCCACGCTCCAACAGTTCCGGCGTTCTTCATGTTCAGCCGCTCAACTATCATCTCAGCTGTGCTAGTAGCAGTTTCATCCAGGGCTAGCTTCGACTATGTCACCGCCCCCTCTGCATGGACTCGACGGGATGGCGGGGGATTGCCTTCCGCCCTCCGTCGGCTTCCTCCCCACGTCGATCAGTCCCATTATGACCGTAATCACTCACTTATCAGCGATCCCCGGTTATTCCCGCTCCCGCAAGGGGAGAGGAGCATCAGAAACACGCCATTTTCTCTTCGACAGGCCCCCCGCCACCCCATCCCTTGTTGTCGATCACATTCGAGGCGCTGGGTGGGGGTCGAAATATATGAGAAAATGGGGCAAGAGAGAAAAAGATGCGCCGAGACTGTGCAAATCACCTGTGTCGGCTTAATAGCTCAGCCATATAGCTTCTATTTTCCTCCCATTCCACTCTCCTTTCTATCTCCGTTCTTTCCGATGACTGTTTTATGCCGGACTTACTAATTAGCTATATGCTCTGTGCTCCACGTCGGCTAGATTTGCGGAGAAGGCGGATCTGCGTATTAATGCTTCTCGTAGGGAATGACCCACCTATATAGCAAGATAATTATAGCGTAGCCATAGGGCCACGGGTCTTTTTTCCCGACGAGGCACCAACTAAGTGAGAAGTAGTGGGTGCAGTGGCTGTAGTGTAGCAACTTCTTTCTGTATATCAAACGCACTGGCACATTCCGGTGAAGTGAGATGTAATGTTAACAAAGGAAGAGTCAAGCCGACACGGGTGATTGTTGGCAATCTTAGAACTTTCATGCTGACGGGGACGTTGAGCGGAGTATCGTGATTTGTCAACCTGATTTTATTTTTGGTGGCTGGCGTTGTGGAAAATCCCAGCGCCAATCGGCTCGCCCTGTATAGCAGTGACGTCCTTTGCGGACCCCCCTTGACCGCGAGTACGCGTACCGCCAAGCGCGATGAGCTGCCAAAATGACGATCCCTACTATATGTCCAATACGCCACTTAGGCCTGGACGGAGTCCCGTCTTTCGATACACGGGGCCAAGTGAACCCATCGGATTGCAGCCTCAGGATAAATCCGGGCCCCGATGCCTGTCTCGATCAGCCTGTCCGCTGCGGCGATCTGATGCCCCTACCTCGTGAAAACCAAAGCATGCCAATCATGGCTCCCCTGCCTAGGAAAGACATGGGCTGTGCGGAAGCCATCGCCTCCCATTGAGCACATTGGGCAAGCCGTCGAGCCGAGATCGGGCGAGCTCTGCATGAATACGGCTCCGTGCCGAATGGGCGGGACAGGCGGAAGGATTGCCCGGTCTGCCGACTGTGTTCGAAGTTGCTCCCTGGAGGAAGGCGGCATGACGGTTGAGACGTGCGAAGCAATCATCTGCATTGGATTCCGCTAATATGAACGAGGGTGTATGTATCTAGAGAGTGTTCCAATAAGGTTTTGTGGGCCGCTCGTGAAAGGAGATTGCCGTTGGTGTTATGCAACTGATTGACCGGTCGTCTTCGGAGAATTATCACATTTCGGAGTGCTGGGAGATGGGTCTCCGGGATACAAGCCATTTGTGCCGCATGAGAGTAGATCATGTGGTCGTGATGACGATCTTACCTACAACCTCTTCACGTTTTCCTTTGCCGGCCATTTAGTAGCCATGTGTATTTGCTTCACTGTACCGTCACGTTTGAGCATTCCTTAGTGATGATTGCGGCAACTGCGCAGAGTCGGTGTGCGCTGAATTGTTTGAGGCAGGAAGCCTTGGTCACCTGTTTCTGCCTTCCCTTTCACATTATGGGGGACGATAGCTACACATCGACGTCAAGTCAAGCACGTGAGGAATCAATGGAGACACCCAGTCATCGCGTCTTAACTTATCTACAAGGCAGCATATGTCACTTGTCTATAATATTGCGCTCACAGCAAGATAACTTTCGGTGGATCGTTCTCACTGAGTAGCTCTAATTGTAAGATTAAGACTAGTCCTAAGCCGTGCTCAATTTATTCCTTATGTCTTAGGTGAAGCTATTTATCTAGTTGCTCTATATAGCTCCTCCGCCCCTGTGCTCCCTCCTCACCTCCCAGCCCACTGCTCCTAGCAATTATCGGAACTTATCTATTGGCTAGGAATTCCCAGACATTCTCAATTAGGAATACACTAAACCCAGTAAGGGCGGCCTGGGAGGTGAGGAGGGAGCATCGGGGCGGAGGAGATGATCGTATTACATTCAGTCGCGGGAGATTCGAAGCTTTCTGTAATTGGCTAAGAATGTATATATGATCCTCCATAAGCAGTAGAAGTAGGCACGATATATTTTAGAAAGGTCATTTTCTAAAAGCAACTTATTTTTTTTTTAAAAAAATAACCAAACATAACGAGATAGAATTAAATATAACCTCTAACGCGCGTAATTTCAGATCTTTGTATTTACGATCTTTTTTCTCGTAATACATGTCTAAAAGTTTACATAGCAATACAAGGTTGAATTTCGTTTTTGTTGAAGTTTGGTGGGACTTAGTGTAGGAGCTGTAGCTAGTCTGACCGGGCGGTCCAGCCTTGGTTGGATTTTTCACAAGACAGGCGGCTTTTGGCAAGTGTTCCATTCTAGGACTAAGATGCATTTGTTTCCACTACGCGCAAACGCAGTCTGCTAATTTCTGTAGAGGGGTATTGTAGCTTAAGGCCGGCGCGAAGATAGAGAAGAACACACGGCAAGTATGTCTCATAAATTCTCTTTACAAGAAATACTATACCTATCTGGGTAGTTGAAGCTCTCGTCCGGGTGTGAATGTAGCATTGTTCATTCTCCCTTTACATCCGGATGATAGCTTCAACTACCTGTGATATGAACAAAAAACAAAACCGTCGCTAGCCTTCGGCTGCAACACCCTCATAGCAAGAAAATCTGGGAAGGTCCTTTTCATTGATCATGTGGCGTCTATCTAAAATCTCGCGCTCACAGAAAGCCTCTTTGGTCAATATCGTCATTAGCATCAATGATTTTAAAGAATGACTTGGAGGCAAATCGGTGTTAAGAGCTAATTCACATGAAACTTAATAGCAGCGTATACGAGAGCAATGGGTTATCAGATATTTCCAATGCCGATTGTACAGGAAGATGTCTGTCTCGAAGGTATCAGTGTTTCTTTGTCCTCCAGTGGAGCTGGTTGAGTTCCGAAACAAATCAATCGACGAGAGAAGACCAGCCAATGATGAGACGACCAGCCAGAAACGTCATGCGCCGGCCCGTTGGAGTGGGAAATAAACGGGATCCGGCCGGATGAGGGAAGGAGCTTGGCTGCTTAGCTTGGCGCAAACGCTACCGTCCTAGCATATCTCAACACCTATCCCAGCCACCGGCGAGGCCAAGTGGTGTGATAGGAAAGAATTGTTTTCGGGTTGCACTGGAAGCGTGTGCCCTTGGTTGCGACGATGCCGCGGCATTTTGTTCATTGTTTTGATCATCGGGCGTTTGGTTTCAGCAATCAGACGCCATTGTTGGATCTTGGCCATTTGCAATCAAGTTTTCTTGCTACGAACTGCGAAGCTGAAGAGCAGCAAACCGCCACGGCCTGTTCAATGCGTTGTCAGCTGTTGAGGCTTTCTGGAGAAACACAAGCACGCGCGGCATCCCTTCTTTTGTCACTTTCCTCAGCTGAGGCGTTGCATTCCGCCCTGCCTCCAAAGAAAGAAACCTGTTAAGGGATTCGATAGCGGGGGCGCAAGCGCGGGAATGGAAAAAGAACAGGGAAGAAACCGGGTTTGGGAGGCTGGATTGCCAAGGTTGACGGGATTTCGGAAGCCACCTAGTTAATTGACGTGCAGCTGGGCGCAGGTGGGGAGTCGGTGTACAGTAGTCGGACTGCCCACCCGGCTGACACGTCGTTTCACTTTTTCCCCAGATGGGGGATCGAAGGAGGCGGTGCTTGCGTATGCCAAGTGGGGAACATGATGCCAGGATGTGCGGGCGAGGGAATCTGACCTCATCCCTGCACCGTGGACCCGCTTCTTCCGTCGTCGGGATGCCTACGGGTTGTCAATTTTCGGATTTTCCAATGGTCCACTAGTAGTAACGTGCCATGTGTGAAGAAACAATGTCAGGATTTAAAATTCAGGGTCCGCAGATCATTGGATGCACCCAAAACATTTTTCCAATTTGCCATTTTTTTGTTGGCGCGCCAGTGACGTTGGCTCTTGAGCTTCCTCTCTCTTGAACGCTCCCACTACTACTATACTCGTGAGAGCGACTCAAAAGCATAGCGAACTTTAGAAAACTAACTTTAGTGTACATTCCTTTCTCTTCATCTGTTTACTCACCCTTGAACGCCTCGCTTGGATGATGACTCGTCATAAACCGATGCCGTCATGAATCGAGTGAAGGAAGCAAATGCATGGAAACTCAACCGTAAAATACTGTCTCCCAAAACGAAGTGCGGTCTCAACCCACGCCGAGTTTCTCGTCCCGGCTTCATTCAATCAGCGCGTTGCACTTCAGACAGCGGATTTCTTCCTTGAGCTCCTCTCCTTCGTGCCCCTCTCCTGTGCCCTTGAGGAGGACGTAGCTTTTTCCGTCCAAGTCGGTCTTCACCTCGGCCATAAAGGCCGGCTCCACCAGCTCAGTCTTCGCTTGTGCATCCACCTTGGGATGTGTAGAGCCATCCCCATTTTCGGCAGCTTGCGTAAAGTGTGCCGATTGCTGGTAGGTTGGGAGCAGGTTTGGTTCCGGAAGACCTTTCTTCGCGTGAGCTTGCTTGACGGCTTCGATTTCGAGGCATTCGGAGTGGAGCCAGAGCCCGCACGTGTCGCAATGAACGAGCAGGGAGTCCGGGTTGAATGGCGCCTCATCAATGCAGTGCTTGCGGAGAGACTGCGACAGCCCGCATTAGCCTTTGTTAGTTGGGTAGTGTGGGTGGCCACTTACGGAGAGCACACCGGTGCCCGTGCCGTTTGCCCAGTCAAACGTCTGACGCCAGAATAGTTGATCTGCATCGGGCACATCATCGCCGTCCTCCTCGGTCCAATGCTTCAGGTCGGCCTTGCCATTGACCGTCAAGGCATCGATGATCTGCATCCTGTTGCTGGCTATCACTTCGTTCTCGCCATGGTAAGGCCGACGGCCGCCAGGAAGGTCCTCGGGCCTGTACATCCAAAAGACGCGCAGGAAGACATGCTGCTCCGACGCGGCGCGCACCTCCAGCACCTTGGCGACCCAGCTTTCCAGCGGGCCATCGGGGGCCTCGTACTCGTCAGGCTTCACGTAGACAATCTCGCCGGTGCGAAACGTCTCGGTGGCAACTTTGCCATGTCAGCGTTGTCCGTCGGCAGGCGCACGCGTGTGCTCACTTGTAAATTTGCGGTACCTCTTTGTGCCGTTCCACCACTTTGCCGGCTCGACCGTGTACAGGGTCCTGAGGGACTTGTCGAAGGCGTTCTCCTCCAGCTCGGGCTTGCGGGCGAAGCTGCGCTTGCGTTTCTTGGCGGGCCTCGCGGTGTCCTTGGGGAAGGGATGGTGTTTGACGGTGAAGTTGAAGTTGAACTTGGACCAATCGAGGGCGGGCGGGTCCTTCTTGTCCTTGGCGGCGCCAATGGGCGAGGGGCGGTCGTTGGCGTCGCGGCGCGAGCTGGTGGAGGAGACGGCGCGCGAGGAGCGCGACCTGGCGATTGGGTCGGCCATGGCGCTGGCGGGGTTGGCGGAGCTGCGACGATGCGTGCGGGAGGGTGCTGGAACGCTGCGTGAGAGATGCGGCGGGCCGGAGGCTGGTTGGTGCGTGCTTGAGCGGCGAGGCACGCGCGACGCGACGGGCGCAGCAGCGCAGGCGCGGAGAAATGAGGGCGGCGCGTGGGGCGCACGCGGCTGCACGGGTGCGCTGCGCTGAGGCGATGTCGAGCTGGTGAGAGCTGCATGAGGGCCTGGGCGGCCCCAGCCACTTCGGCGGCCCTGAGCAGCGACCCCGGCTGAAGGCGATCACTGGTGCTGGATTGGGTTAAGAGCTGAGGCCTCACACGCACCGCATGCTCGCGGAGACGTAATCCTCCACCACGGCCGGATGCGTCAGCGCGCGGCTCGTATTCTCTTAAATCGCAGACAGCCGCATTGTCGCTCTGGGGCCGTGATTGTTCGCTTCCGTCTGATCCGCCGGCGCAGTACAATACCAGTCGACCGCCGTTGCGCGCGCCGCCCTGAAACACGGCCAGCAGTCCACCGATCGGCTGCGGCACGTCACTCGCAGGCGTCATACAATCAGCTGCTGACCCTGAGCGCAGCCCGCGCGCTCCCGAGCGCCTTTTTTTGACATTAGCCCGCCCAACCCAAGCTCCGGCTGTCCTTGCCTCGAACCGCCCCTTCTCCTTCATACATACTACATACTGCGGCCATTCCGCCGCTCCACCCGCCTGTCGCTCGCTACGTCGCCAGCTCTGCGTGCTCCGACGCGCGCGCTGCTCCAGCCGCCGCAACTTTCACGCATTCTGCCGTCGATCCCACCTGCCCGGCTCGCCTGCCGCTGCGAACATGCCTCGCCCGCGGGGTGCGTCAACCCTAATTCCTGAGGCCACGCCGCCGCTGACTCCCTTGCAGTTCTCTCGTTCATGTCCCAATGGGGCGGCTCCCCCCGCGGGAGCACGCCTACCCGCGACCCTCCTTCCTCGCCCAAGACGCAGATGCACTCGTCCTCGCCCTCCAGCCACAACCTCGACAACTTCGTCAAGTCGTCTCCCACACAGCAACAGCGCAATCGCTCCGACTCGCGCCCTTCGTCGCGCCCCATCTCCATGGTCCAGACCTACCAGCCTCCGCTGATGGAGGTCGCCCAAGACACGTTGCCCGAGCTGCAGCCCATCTTCACCTTCTTGAACTCTCATTCGAACAAGCTTTACCAGGAAGGCTACTTCCTGAAGCTCCACGACCTTGACGCTCGTACGTCCGTCCCACACCAATTTTGACCTGAGCTGACACGCTTGCAGGCGGCCGCCCCAGCCCCGACCGCAATTGGACGGAAGTCTTTGCCCAGCTCGTGGGAACCGTACTTTCGGTCTGGGACGCACAGCGACTGGACGAAGCCGGCGAGGATGGCGAGGTTGTGCCGACCTTTATCAACCTGGCCGACGCCTCAATCAAGATGGTATGCCGCCCCGCTGTCGCGCAGCAGTGGGTCGACTAACGCATGCAGATCGAATCGCTACCTATGAACGGCCCGGGTACCCACACCCTCACCAACGTCTTGAGCGTCTCGACCGCGGCAAATAACCGCTACCTCTTCCACTTCAACTCCGTGAACTCTCTTACGCAGTGGACGGCTGGTATCCGTCTCTCCATGTTCGAGCACTCAAGTTTGCAGGAAGCATATACCGGATCGCTTATCGCCGGCAAGGGCCGGTTCCTGAACAACATCCGCCAGATCATGGAGAAGACCAAGTTCAAGTATGAAGACTGGGCACGCGTGCGATTCGGCGCGGGCACCCCGTGGAGACGCTGTTGGTGCGTCATCACTCCGCCGGACGAGAAGGAGGTCAACAAGATCCAGAAGGCCCTGAAAAAACAAACCATCTACGACCGCTCGCAACCGGTGCTGAAAGGTGACGTCAAATTCTACGAGACGAGGAAAGTCAACAAGAAGACGCGGCCAATCGCTACTATCACGGATGCATACTCAGCCTACGCTATTTATCCACAGTCGAAGCCCCTCATTGATCAGTCGACGTTGGTCAAGGTCGAGGGTCGCATCACTATCCACTCCCGGCCTGAGTCCACCACCGAGGGGTTCGTTTTCGTCATGCCCGAGGCGCACCCCGCAGTCTCAGGCTTCGAGATCATGCTCCGTTTCCTTTTCCCTGTGTTCGATACTTTTGGAATCTACGGCAGACCGACACGTCTGGTGGCTGATCCTCTGGATTCCCGCTCCCTAATGTTTGCTATGCCTAAGGACCGAAGATATGGATACTTGGATATCTTGGATGTGGCTAGCCTCATCCATGCAGATGGCAGCCAGAACTGGTCCGAACGACAGTGGAGGAAGCAACTGAAGGACTTGACTTCCAAGCGGATGACGTCCATCCCCCCCGATCGCCAGCGCAGCCGGCGGAACACCACAAGCCGGACCAGCTTGCCTCCTTCTCGCACGACATCTATTAGATTCAACGATGGCAGCTCTACTCACTCTCAACCTGGCACTCGCAACGTATCGCCTGCAAGGGGTGGGGAAATGGGCTTCCAGCCGCCCCGCCGGGCCGAGACTGCCTCTCCAGGCAGTCAAATGATGCGCCACCAGCGCTCAGTCTCCGAAAGGGTCGGAAATTCGAGGCTGATGCATAGCCGCAATGCCTCGGAGGATCTCTATGATAATGCGCCCCCACCGCCACCCCACCGCGTGGCACTTAATGGTCTGAACCGCGATAGTCCGGCAAGCGACGTTTCCTCGACGCACTCATCCGGCCATGATCAATTTGCGTCAGAGGGCGAATCACCCCACGATCTCCCCGAGATCGGCGCTACCTCTGCTGCTAAGCCTCCCCCTACCCCTGTCCACTCGCCTCCTGATTTCTCTCACGGGCCCAACCAAAAGCCGAGAACCCTACCCTACGAGGCCGAAGAGATGCGCCGAGCCCAATCTGGAATCGATGAGGCTACGCTTCAGGAGATGGCTGAGGCCAGCAACAGGCCCATTCCAGGTCATCTTGCTGCTGCTGGAGCTGCGGCCGCGTGGAAGTCAAACCGCAATAGCTGGGCATCTCAAGGCCGTTTGAGTGACGAGAGAGAGCGCAACCAACATCAATATTCTGATGTTAGAAGGCAGTCGATCGAAGAGAACCGTCAGTACTGGAATGACCAACAGAACAATCGTTTGCCTACGATTCCTGCGTCTCCATACATCCCGCAAGGCGAACCTCAGTCTGCGACAAGCGCTACTTTCTCTCCCACCGGTCCTCCGGTCCCCGAGCACAGAGAGATGCCTCAGGGCTACTTCGCCCACCAGGACGTAATGGCTACTGCTGGCCAATACGAGCACGGTTCACAAGGATCACAGTCACCCGGTGGTCTTTCTGCTAGACATAGCATTCAGCGGAAGCCAGTTCCAGGTCGGTTAAGCACTCCCCTTTCGGCGGACAACCCCGCCATTCCTAAGTCTCCTTCAAATTCGAGTCTTGACAGTTTTCGAAATGATATGATTAATCCTGACATGATTCTCAATCAGCTGGCCGCTCAGGATGAAGCTGAGCGCACGCAGACAATGTCCAGCAGCGTCTATGATGACGAGTCTACTGGGACGCCCGACTACGCCAGCATCAAGAGTGCGAGCACGAAACAGTCAAGACAGTCAGTTGAGAGACCTCGAGCCGGGCGGCTCAAGACTGTTGGTGACATCGCCCCTCCGCCGCCAGAGCACGAAGAGGTCGTTGTCGGCGATGCTCACTACAAAGAGGACGCAAAGCCGATTGAAAAGATGGATCTTCCTACGATTGACTTTGGTCCGACGTACGATTTGACCAAGACGGACCCAACCTCCATGCGCCCAGGGACCAGCGGCACGATCACCCAGGAGACCCACCAGAGATCAAAGTCCAAAGATCGTTTGTCGGCTTCTGATCTTTCGAACCCGCGCACTCCCCGGCCTGGGAGCGCAGGTGACATGCTGCAGGAGGGCTACTTTGGAAGAAATAGCCCAAACACTCCAGGACATCACCGCGCGAACTCAAAGTCGCCGCAGTCAAACCAGGACGGCGAAGAAGGCCGCCGGAGCGCTCTCTGGCAGCCATCTTCGGGCCGTCGCAGTGCAAGCCCGGGTTATCGCCTCAGCCTGACGCCTGAAGAATGGGTTCACCAGCGTGCGACGAGCGTGTCGCCAGTGTTTTCTCACGAACGCAACAAATCCACTCCCAATCTTCTTGGGCACGATAGCAAGACTCCGTCGATGAGCCGGAATCCGTCCGGAGAATGGTCCCAGCTACTTCCCCATTACCAAAGGACACCGCCGAAGGAGCGCGAAGGCAACCGCGATTCGCCGCGCCCCCATTCGCGGAACGCGTCCACGATGCTTAACGAGCGTGATCAGCCCTCTCGTTATCACTCGCGTGCGGCGTCAGCAGCTATGCTGGATGCTATACACCCGCCTGCCCGTCCTAGTTCCCGCGGCGCCTCCGCGATGTTGAATGCACAGCCTGCTGGCCTTATCAATACCGCCGAGTCTGCGCAGCTCTCGGCTCGGGAGCAGGAGCATGTGGCTCGCCTCACTGGCACGCCACTCATCAACATGGCGAAGTCCAAAACCCAAACTGAGTCCGACAAGCAGTCTGGCCTCGTTGGCGCTATCGCGGCCCGACAGAAGGAGAAAGAGGACTTCAAGAAAGGCAGCCGCAGTGCCCTGGTGCAACAAGCCATTGTGGCTCGTCAACACCAGGCTCAAGCCGAGGTTGCGCGTGCCGAGCGTGACGCCCAGCGCCGCGCTGAGCGTGAAAATGTGCGGATCCAGCAGGAACAGCAGGCCGCGATGATGCGTCAGCAACAGCAAATGCAGATGATGCAGGCGCAGCAGATGCAGCAGAACCAGATGCAGATGGGCATGCAGGGCATGCAAATGCCCATGCAGAACTACGGCATGGCTATGGCAACCCCTAGTCCGAGTGCGAACTTCCAGATGCAGGGCAATTATTTTCCTCAGCAACAGCAGCAGCAGCAAGGGTACATGGGCGGAATGCCCATGATACATCAGCAGCCCAGTCAGCAGAGCTTCACTCCGCAGCCCTACGGCGCTGCCTGGGATCAGAAGCAGGCTGGCAGGGTCTCTAGGAGAGGCTAAGGTTATGTAATCATTATCAACACACCAGGGGCGGGGTCGAGTAAGAAGTGGTTTAATGGCACGATTGCGTTCGAGCATACTCGTTCTGGTGTCTTCGGGTTTCGGGGTGGGTCTCATCATCTCTTCACGCTGCATATCATTAGTACCCGTCTTATTGAGCATGTAAGGCAAGCATTGCACCGATTTTCCTTCTCTTGTTTATTCATCCAGGCTTCCTCTCGGTTTGAGGGAAAGGCTAAGGGTCTAAGGGAGAGCATTTTGGCGCACTATCATATTTTTGCAAAAGTGGGAAGCGTTGGCGATACAAAAATTGGCATTGGCGCATGCATCTCTGTCTTGTTCATTTCTCTTTCGCGCCGTTTGTCTTGTATATCACAGCGGCTAGGCTTCTGGACGGATTTGGGGTTTTTGGAGCGGGCATGGGATACTGGGTTCGATAATTCAACTCTTATCGTGTTCACCTTTGCTGCTTGACTAACACGCTTCGTGGTTTGGTGTGCATGTGTAGTGCTATCTGGTGTTTTTGACTGAGCCTAGGAGTTGATCTTCGGATGGTTTGTGTCGTCATTCTTTTTAGGTAGTTGAATATATCCGAGCCTTCGACGAACTTCGGAAGAGGAAAATTCCATCTCTTCTCTTCCTCAGTTCATGCAGCCTTACTCGTTCCGATGGCGTGGTAGTATTGCGTTGCATTCTAATGCCTGCGCGCCTCTCACAACGCATAACGTTCGGAGGAGTAGGCTGAATGCGGAGGGGAATCTATGTGGCATTTATGGCTGCTCTTGGAACCGGGCTTATTGTTTCTATTTTTGCCTTTTTAGCGCCACAAGGCTGAGGACAGGGGTAGCCACCTCATTCGTTTGCTTGCACCTCTGTTCCGCGCCGAAAATCAAGCGTCGTACTACTTGATCTGTTCGCGCCTGACTCACGTCTCATTCTCTGTACTGCAAATTCGAAGCAGGCGTTGCTTACAGTCATATGAAAATAAAAAAAGATGGGCTACGAGCGCCAAAAAAATACGGTCTTTACTGGAATTTCCGTGATCATCGCCACAGTCCACTTTATCCACACACACTTTCTCCCCGTCTTTACTCCGCTATGCCCATGCCCCGACTAACGCCATCAAACCGCCACCCGCCACCACGGCCGCGCAAGCCTCCACCCTCCTCTTTCCCCTCAGCACCTGATAGCTCGCATCGCTCAAGAAATCCTCGGCCAGAAGCTCGACCAAGCCCGCAAACAGCAGCAGACCGCTACTGATTGCGTTCATGACACCCACCGTCAGCAGGCCCGTCTCGCTCGCGGGATCGTACAGGTTGTGGATGCCGAGGCCAATGGCCTGGCCGAGCGGGGTGGTGGTGCCGTAGGCGAGGGCCATGAGCCAGGGCTTCGGGGAGCGCTGGGGGAACTGCAGGGCGGCGATGCGCGAGCCCAGGGCGAGCCCCTCGAAGGTCTGGTGGAAGGAGATGGCGATGAGGAGGACGATGAAGGGCGGGCCGGTGGCGACAGAGATGGCCATGCCGATGAAGACGCTGTGGAAGAGGATGCCGGCTTCGAGCAGGAGGCATTGGAGCAGCTGCTTGCGCTGTTGCTGTTCGGGCGTGAGGAGGGAGTGGTGGCCGTTGCCGGCGTCGGGCTGGGGGCTGGAGAGGGCGCGGAGGGAGTCGCTGCTTTGGCGGCCGGCGGCGGAGCGGTACTTTTGCGAGGGTGCGCCGTTGAGGAGACCGGAGGCGTCGTTGGACGAGGCTCCGGCGTAGTCGAGCTCGGGCAGCTCGAGGTCCGAGTCCGAGTCGCTGTCGCCTTCGCCGTGGATGGGTTTCGTCTGGGCTTCTTCGTCGTCGGGGATGCGGCTGTGGCCTGGAGACGGGGTAGGCGGGGGGATTGAGGGAGAGACGCCTGCAACGAGGTTGTCCGTCTCGGCGTAGTCGTCCAGCACGATGTCCGGCGGTCGGTGGCTGTCGCCTGGGCGCAGGCTGCCCTGCTTGAACCGGTTGAAGCTCGCGCTGCGGCCGTGGCTGCGCGGGCGGCCATTGCCCATCTCGTAGTCGCCGTGTCCGTGAGCATGACCGTGTGCATCCCCTCCGCCCAGCGTGTCGTAATCGCTCCCGTGCACATGCCCCGCTCCCCTACTCGCGAAGAACATCTCTATGCCCACGACCACAAAAACTGCCGTCATGGCGATCAGCCCAGCCATTGCGGGGTATCCCTCGTTCCAGAAAGACGGTAAGCATGGGTCCGTGAGCGAGGTGAAGGCTGTGGGTAGCAGATGTACGAAGGCGGTTGCGATCAGGACGCCGGTGCCGAAGTGTCGCGAGAGGAACAGGAAGTGGTGCGGCACAGGGAGGCGTGGAAATCGGCGGACGATGATGGGGAAGGCGCACGCTGTGGCTCATTAGCATACGTAGAAACAGGCGCAAGAGTCCGAGTGAGCGGTGGTTTGCACGCTCTGTCTGCAAGCTCAGGCCTTGATCGAAATGCCGTCTTTCTTACCTCCGGTACTCAGCGCCAGGATCAACACCAGCGCGAAAACGTGTAGCGGCGTGTTGTACTCTCCCTTGGTCTTGCTCCCACACGCCGGCCTTTGCTCACCGGCCGTCGACTCCTTCATGCCACCATGTCTCCGTTCGAGCTCAGCGTGGAGCAGCGCGGTCGGAATGTCGGACCATGAGTCGGGTAATATGCCTGCGGGGTTGACGTCGTCAGCCAGGACTGGGTGGAGAGCGGGCGAGATGGCCGCAAGTCCCGGGCATTGCTAATTGAGCCGTGTTCGAACCTCAAGCTACACTTACCTCTCGCATTCAACGCATTTGTGTTCATGGCTCAGGGCGACAGTCGTATGCTTGCCGCAATTGCCTCTTCTTTTCGTTGGTACTAGGGGCGCGCCGAAAGGATCGTGGCTGTTTCAAACCATGTCGCGCGCACGGCAGCACCGTGTGAGGACAAGTGATTGTGTTGGCAACAAAAAAGAAAGAGAAAAAAAGGGTTCTGGAAGGGAGGCAGCGAGAAGCCATGCGCCCGCGTTTAGTCGGACACGCACGACGTAACGCGCGGAACCCCCGGCAGACGGCCGGCCCGCGGAGCAGATCCTAAGCCCTGCCAAATCCAGCCTTCCAGTGTTCCAGAAGCTTGGCGAGCAGTCCTTCGACGAATTAAGGGGCTTCATTTTCCTGTGGTTACGAACAGCCTTCATTGCCGCCAAGCCGACAACCTCCTTGTTGTTTCTGTTTTAACCTCTACTGTACGAACGGTCATGCGTGCTCTTACGACTTCAGAACATCCCGACCCGAGCAAGGAGGCAAAAATGCCCCCACGGCACAGAACATTTTGTTCCATTCCATTCCGCATCAATTAGTCGCTATCACTATCGTCCACAACCCTTCGTCTTTTCGCACCATGACGGGCCACGGGTTCTATTTCCTCGTCCTCTTCGTTCTCGCTATCCGCCACCATAGCATTGCTTTGGCATCCGCCTGTCGCGCCTCTCTTCTGCTTCCGGACCAATTGACTGATATCTGGCAACTCGTCGTCGTCGTCATCCGAATTCTCTTGGCCCCTCTGAGAAGACGTGAACAGCTTCGTGTGTCTTGCCGCCCTGATTGAGGGCAGTGAAGAGCTGAACATCTCAACCGCTTCGGCATCATCGGCGATGAAGTCGGCCAATTCCGAATCGAGCTCTTCATCCTCAAGTTCGTCCTCGCCTTCCGTGTCTTGCGTACCCAGATCGATGGCCTGTGACCGAACACGCATCCGAGGATCCGTTGGTGGCGGGCTGCTGCTCCCTCCCTCTCCAACCTCATCCATAATTCGCCTTTGTCGCTTTGGTGTGACCCCTAAAGTATCATCATCGTCATCATGCATTGTTTCCTCTTCCGACATCTCGTCTGCTGACGGTCCAGCTTCGATATCCGACATGTGCAAGCTGTCTCTGAACCTCTTCTCAAGCTCTCCGCCTCTACTCTTCGTCATAGCATGCATTCGGTTGACCATCTTGACAAAGTTCATAGTGGCTCGACTGTGAGTTGAGATGTACCTTGTCCGCCCCGCTCGTCGCTGTCGCTTCGGATGTAACGTCAATGCTGGTGATGCGATTTCTCTATCGTCATCTGCGTCGTGGATGTTCTGGTAGAACCTCTGGAGCTGCCTCACTTCCTGGCTGTTCAGAAATGTTTCTTCAGCTGGGACCGGGGGTTCCATTTCCTCGATGACTGGTGCTTTTTTGCTCTTTCTCTTTGTACGAGGCTGGCCTTCATCAGGACCACCATTCAGACCAGCTGCCGATACGAACCCCGTAATCACACCGTCCGGCATCTGGAACTTCTTGGGTGGCCGTTTAGTCTTCCTACCCTTTCCTCCCCGAGGCATAGGCAACTCCGGTTGTGAGTTCTCAATGGGAATCTCAATATGCTTCATCTCCACGACTGGGTTGATATCTCTCGGGACGATTCTCCTGGCAAGGTCAGTGTGGAATTTGAATTCATCGCCCCTGGAAATCTTCTCCTGCATCTTTTCATAGGCATCTTTCGCTTTGAACGCGTCGTTCTCTTCTTTCCCTTCCATCTGTAGCAGTAAAATCTTTCCTCTACGCTTTCTACCAGTCCGGCCCATTCGCTGCAACATGCGGATTGGTGAGGCCTTTTGGTCGTAGCAGACAATGAGGTCAACCTCTCCTATGTCCAAGCCTTCCTCTCCGATCGACGTGGCAACCAGCGTATTGTAGACGCCACTCTTGAATTGTCTCACGACCTCTTCCTGGCGCCGTTGGTCCATGGCTTCAGAAGTCTTTGTTGCTGCTTGCCCAACGAAAACATGAGGCCGGATCATGGGCTCATTCAACTTGAGCACGCGAACAATGTCCTCTGCGCTGTCTCTCCAATGTGCGAAGACCATGACTTTGGTTTGTGATGTACCAGGCGCCTCTCCGGCATCCAAGAAATGGTTGAGTACATATTCCCGAAGGTGTTCGAGCTTCGGATGCCCGATGTAGTCAGGCTTGGCGGTCCAATCCCTAAGAATTTTCATGAGCTTCTCGAAGTTTGGGTTATTGGCTATCTCCTTCTTCCATTTGGTTGTCGCATCGTTCTTGTAGTCGCAAAGGATGCGGTAGAATGGACGAAGGCCGTGGAATTTGAGCACATCGATTCCGCGGCCCAGACTCATGAGAGCTTGGAATATGGAGTTAATCATTCCCTTCATCGGCTGCGACGCTTTCCTACCGGCGTCCGACCTCATCCAGTTGGCTCTTGATTGTGTGAGACCGTACAGGCTCATGTTCAGCGGATCTTTAGACCAGTACGCATTTTGCTGATTCAGCTTGTCCAGCACGGGTTGTATGGCCTTTGAAAATAGATCCTTGGCCACGAGCAGGTCCTTGTTGTCTCTCAGGACTTTCTTCTCGACTTCGCGCTTGTGTATGAATGGTTGGATGTCCATAGAATTCTCCATTCGAATCTCAACACGAGAGATCTCCAGTCCATCAATAACCTTTTGAACCGTCTCAACGTCGGCGCCGGGGGTTGCAGTCAGAGCAAGAACTCGGAAACTTTGGTTGAACCGTCGAATGAACTTGACAATCTCGACATAAGCGTAAGCGCCCGTTGCTCTGTGGGCCTCGTCTACGACGAGCAAGGCAATCCTCTTCGCATCGCAGTACCCCGTCTTCAAATCATTGATCATTGTCTGTGGAGTCATGAAGAAGACTCTTTTGATCTTCCACTCCTCTGCCCGAAGACCAGGGTCCACTTCACCTGTCAACATAGTAGTCTGTGAGCGACGAATACCAGCAATTCCCAGGCAGGCATCAATCTGTTGAGCAACCAGCGGCTTAGTCGGAGCAACGAAAACAATCTGTGCATCAGTGGTCCAGCGTAGGAAATTCAGCATGATTGTAGCCGCAATGAAGGTTTTCCCCAGACCAGTTGGCAGCGCAACAAGGAGGTTGTGGTACAGTCCACGCTGTACGATGTTGAATTGGTAGTCTCGAATATTGCCAAGGTTTGTGGGATATACCCAGGTTTTCATAGCTTCCAAGTCTATTTTGTGATGCGTCGGTGGTTCGTCTCTGTTGACCACCGGCCAATTCTGGCGCTTATTGATTTGTGATGGAGGCACAGTGCTGGGACCCCCAAACAAAGTCGTCTGCCTCAAACCGTTGAGAGGAGCAGCGAGCCGCCGTGGCCCATTGGATGCCGGGTTGTCCTGGGATGAAACCACAATGGCTTGGTCTTGAGCCCTCCCCGCGCGTAGAAACTCTGGAGATGTCATTGAAGATAGCGAAAATGCATCAGAGGGAAGATCGAGGAGCTCCTCATGAGTTTCCTGGGCAAGATGATTCCTAATTTCCCGTAGTGTCAATGGGAGCCTTGCTGGGTTGCAGAAGGGACTTACCGGGCTGGCACAGAAGCCGCTGTAGGGTTTCTAGCGGCGGGGGGCCCTTGAGAAACTAGACGCTGGAAGAGAGACTCGTCGATGTCGTCCAAGTCTTCGTCATCGAACTCATCACGATCTAACGCGGTCAATGGAGGTTGCGGAGCCACCGGGGCTGAAATGGCCCTTGGTGAGCTTGGCGGAGAGCTAAAGAAGTTCTCCACCTCTACCGAATCAATTGGAGGAACAGGAGCACTTATTCCGTTCGTAATTGAACGCTGTGCAGTCTCGGCATTGTCGAGGGAGGTATCCGCACCGCGGTTTGAGCGTGTTATTGGTATTAGAGCGCTTAGCGGGGAGCTTGAGAAATCTTCTGGGTCCAGCTCCATGTCTGCTTCAACATTCGTTGCAACGGGCCGAGACGGAGCTTGCGCACGCGCTCCTTCAGCGTTGGAATGTGCAGTTTCGGGCAGCCTTGACACGAATGATTCCCGCGGAGCTGTGGGGGAGTTTCTTTGAGGCGTTTGGATTCGAGGTGATACTGGAGAGCTGAAAGGCGAGCTGTAGAATGGCCCCGGGTTTTTAGGGCTTGGTTTGCGAGCCTTTGGTGTTTCATGTGGAGTCTTCACAGCTTGCATGCCAATTTGATTCTGGTTCTGGAGCCGCTGTTGCGGAGCATGGGCAATGGCAGGACGGGATACGGTGTCAGCTCGGCCATTTGACTGAGCAGGAAGAGAAGGGGGTGCGGGAGGTCTGTAGAAGACAGGGGGTTTGGGTGGTGGCTTTTCGTCTTTTGGTTTTTGCCAGATGGGACCTCGAATCCTCCACGGGGGACTAGAATCATCCTGCGGGAGCTGTGTCAAGTAGATTTCTTGCAAATCTCCCTCAGTGGGCTCGTAAGCTTTGTTTTTCTGCTTTTTGCCCGGTTTCTCCAGCAAATCGCTATCTTCATCGTCGTCAAGGCGGCTGCCAGCGTGTCGCTTGGGTTTCTTCGCTGAAGGTGGGCCGTCGTCATCGGCGGCTGTACTCTTCCGTGGCCTGCCCCTGGGTTTCTTCGGCGGTGGGTTTTCGTGGTCCTGGGAGTCGGCGGCTTTCCGCGTGCTTGCCTTGCGCTTCTTGGGCCCTGGTGGGGGCGGTGCATTCTCGCCGTCACTGCTGTCAAGCACGGTGAGGATCCGTTTCTTCCTGGGTGGCATGATGGTCACCGCAAGTGAAGTGTCTTCCGCACGGATACTATGGCAGCAGGAATCGAAGATCCGACACGACGTTTCGGCGATGGATTGACGTCGCTGGTGGCGCCTGCCTGGCGTGGCGAGTCATTAAACGCCTCAGGCGGACTACGTTTCACCGCATGTCCAACCGTTCTTGGCACATGGTGAGTCCAACGGGGGTGCAGTCGGGCAGCAGCTTCCCACGGCAATGGGGCGCGCGGGCAAGAATGTTTTCGGCGGCTGTCTGGCGCCGGCGCAGTGCAGGCGGCAGCTGATTTGGCGGGGACGCGTCGATGGACGTGTTTGGGTGCAGGACGCGTCGCGGAAGAGGCTACGCGCCGTGGTCAAGCATCCGGGCGCCGAGAAGCGCTAGTCGGGATCCATGCAAGTTGGAAATGAATACGGGACTAGTCCGGAATCTGCGAGAAACAGGGTGCCCAAAGCATAAATATAGCCAACCCCAGATTTTCCGCGGCGTCAATCCTGCCGCTCACGCGCCTTCTCCTATTTAACTCTGTCGCTGCCGTCACTGCTGCTGCCCGCTACCGCAGCCTCGTCCTTCGCTTTCCGCCGCGCCAACACTCGCTTTGGTCCAGCACCACTATCAACCCATCTTAGTTGATCACTCCATCAGTCAATTGCAAACCACCATGCGTTTCACCACCGCCATTGTCACCGGCCTCTGCGCCGTCGTTGCCGCTGCCCAGTCCTCTGATAGCGCCGCCACCACCACCAGCGCCTCGCTCTCTCCCACTGCCTCCTGCCTGGCCAAGTGTGACGCCGGCGACGTGACGTGCGCCGCCGCCTGCGTTGGCACCGCCCACCCCAATGAGAGCAACGCCAACGAGACGACCGAGTGCATGGCCAAGTGCGACCAGGGTGACGGCTCTCCCTCTGCTGCCTCGGCCTACGCCGACTGCGAGCAGTCGTGCATCTCGTCCTACTTCCCCATTGGCAGCTCTGGCGCCGCTGCTGGCACCGCCACCAACACTGCTGCCTCTACCTCTGCCACGGCTACCGGCGGCTCCAGCTCTTCTTCCTCGGGCTCTTCTGGCTCTTCTGGGTCCGGTTCTTCTGCTTCCGGCACCGCTGCTGAGACCGGTAAGTTGTGCTGAGGTCATGACCCGGAAATGCAAAAGACTAATTTAGTGCAACAGGCTCTTCCTCTACCGCTAGCGGCTCTGCTGCTGCCTCCACTTCTGACAGCGCTGCCAACAGCAACCTGCAGCTTGGCATCTCTGCTGCTGGCGCTGCCGGCATCTTCATTGCCGCCCTTGCCCTGTAAGGGCTCAACCACTGCGCCCGTCCGCGTGAACCCTGGTGGATACGGACGAATTGAACGGATGACGATATGGGGATGAAAGAAATTGGGAAAACTTGCATCACTCTTAATTCTTGGTTCTCTTGTAGTAATGCAACATACAATACGTTAATCAATGCCGCAATAATGACACAACAACCCATGGAAATTGTTGAGCATCCAATTCTTCCGTCATTAAGTGACGTCAATCGCTCCGTGAGCATACCCGACTGTCGGTTTCGGTGTAATGCAGTGCAAAAATGTGTCTCAATTTCGCGCGACTGTGGTGACGCGAAACACTTCGTGCGGTTGCGGAGCTCGAGCTGTTGCTCCATAGCCGAGTCAGGTAGCGCGCCGATCCCCCCCATGCAAGCTCACGGCGGGCGTCCCGCACCACGACAACAACACCCCGCTACAGCTCGCAAGCGCCGCCAAATTCCTCCACCATGTCTTCCGCCGACCCTTTCGATAGCGCTCTGTCAGTTCCGCATGCTACCCCTTCCTGACGTCGCGCACTAACCCGTGCCCCGCTAGCGACCTCCTCCGCCGCCTTAACCCTAAGGACACGGCCAAGAACGTCGACCGCCTTTGCCAGCTCGCCCCCTCGCTCACTGAAGACCTGCTCGAGTCCGTCGACGTGCCTCTTGCCGTCAAGCGTTGCACCAAAAGCAAGCGTGACTTCCTGTGCTGCGACTACAACCGCGATGGTGACAGTTGGAGGAGTCCGTGGAGCAACGAGTTCGAGCCCCCGCTGGAGGACGGCGAGGGGGTCGTGCCTAGCGAGCGCGTGAGGAAGATGGAGCTCAAGGCTAACGAGGCCTTTGACGTCTACCGGGAGCTGTGAGTCGCATCCTGTCCGAATGCGAATGTGGCTCGGCATTCGAGGGCCACGGGGCATTGCGGAGGGGCAATGGCGCACATAGCGCTGTGGCTAACATTGTAATGCTGCACAGGTACTACGAGGGTGGCATCTCGAGTGTGTACCTATGGGACATGGAGGATGGCTTCGCGGGCTGCGTGTTGCTGAAGAAGTGTACGTGTGTTGGATTGCATGACGCGAACAATTGCTGATGATAATGTACAGCCGTCTCGCCATCCAGCAAGACTACCGGTGGGTGGGATAGCATACACGTCTTCGAAGCCCTTGACCGCGCTCGCACTGCCCACTACAAGCTCACCAGCACTGTCATCTTGAACCTCGGTACCGATGGCAACGACCTAGGATCATTGGATCTCAGCGGAAACATGGTTCGCCAGGTGGAACAGGATATGCCTGTGGACGACGATACGTCGCACGTTGCCAACATTGGCAAGATGGTAGAAGAAATGGAGCTTAAGATGCGCAACCTGCTGCGTAAGTCCAACAACTAGGACGACGGATGGGATTGTTTTTGCTGACCTTTTACAGAGGAGGTCTACTTCGGCAAGGCAAAGGACGTTGTCGGCGATCTTCGGAGTAAGTCCTCCTTATTCATTTGCGGCCGCCGCGCATCAGCTCACCCTTCTCTTTTAGGCATTGCTTCCTTGAGTGAAACGAACCGCGACAGAGCTACGCACAAGGAGATGATCAGCAGCATGGGCGGTGGACGGTAAAACGGTGCCCGAAGGCTCCACATTAGGACAGAAACAAGACAGCAATTTCAGCGATTTCTGCGTGGGTTGCTCGATCCACTGCATAGGCGTTTCTTTTTGTGCAGGACCGGATGCGGGAACTCATCTCCGACATGCAAGTGCATACAACCGAAGGCTAGGGTGGATTTTTTTTTTTTCGCAGCATGCGTAGCTAAAGCTATCGTCCGGATGTAAGTGTGGCATTAGCAATTATACATTCTCATCCGGACGATAGCTTCTATTATCCACATGTGTCGTAAAGAAAATTGCTGAGGCTCTCCATGTTCTAGGGCACTGCTATTCTTTGTGCCAGCCTTCAGCTGCAACGCACTTTCTTAGCATAATCTCTCACGTGAGACATCAGCCCACCATTACCTGGGCTTGTACAAAGCCCGATGATAATCGAATCCCAAGGTAATAGCCAGCTGGCCGCAGGGAAGTGAGTGATTTGATTATGATCACGTGAATGTCTGACTCCAAGGCTGGCTAGCCGAAGCGGAGCCTAAGGATCTCTGACAAACCCCGGTTCCCCACCAGAGACCTTGCATCTCAAGCTTCGTGTCGAGCGCTTCCTTTCCCATCATTCTTCGGAACGCGTGACATGCCGCCAGTTGCCACGTCGCATCGAAAGCAGCCGTGCAACGGATGTAGGTCGCGGAAGAAGAAATGCGATGTACGTTTCATGCTCTCTTCCAACCACTTTATGCCTATTGGTTCTGCCATTGCCCTTTTTTTTCATTTCCGGTTGCCCCGAACCTTGCTGAACAGCTCAAGCGATCGTTCCATGTTAACGCCATTGCTTCTCCATAGATCGCACGCCCCGTTTGCTCCAACTGCCGGAAATGGGGCATTTCGTGTGATTACACCAATCGTACTTACGCAGCGGAGAGGACATTCGACTTAGGCTCCACCGACGGGTACACTGACCAGGATATTATCAGCCGAAACTCAACTTGGACCGTTGAGCAATCCGTGAACACCTTATTTGCTGGCGGCTTTCCTTTCCAGAGCCCTCTTCCGACTGCTAGCTTTCCGTGGCAAGCAGAAAAAGGCCCACCTCAGAACGCTCTTACCGTACCCGACATAATATCGGGCCTAGACACGGATGTACATCGAGATGCGACCCCGCAAGTATACCAACTGGTGACACCAGAATCAACGGGAGAGATACCGGATCCCACAGGACATGATTTCGCGGCCCTTCTCGATTGTAGTATTAACACCCCGGGTCTGAGCGTGGACCAGGCTTCCATCCCTCATAGCTCCGGGACAGGTAGCCCCAGAGAATTGGGAGATGCCTCTATCTGGCTAAAGAACGACTTTCCGTCAGAATCATTGCTACTGGAACTGGTGGACATTTACTTTGGCCAGCACCACATATTTTTGCCGTTTCTTCACCAACGCCAGTACTTAGAGAAGATCGAGCACTTCCAACAGAAGAGTTTTGATCGTCAAGAGACCGCACTTCTGTACGCCGTGATTGCAATAGCCGCTGTGTCACATCCGGATCCCATGGTTCGAGGCCGGCGGCTTGAATGGTTTGCTAAAGCAAAACAACTCTGTGAGAACACGGAAAAGAGATACCCATCACTGCAAGGTATCCAAGCAAGTGTTTGCATTTGCATACTTGCATGGACCACTGGAGAGTATCCCCTTTGCTGGCTCTCTATTGGAACCGCCTGGAGACAAGCAGTTACCCTTGGAATGAACCGCATTGATGGTGACCAGTCCAGAATTGTCCAGGAAACCAGCCTACCTACATGTGCGCTGGAGAAGGAAGAACAACGACGAACAATATGGACGCTGTTTTTGATGGACCGCGCCATGGCGTTTCCTTGTGGGTGGCCGCATGCCATCGACGACAGGCAATTCAAGGTGAACTTGCCTGTCGACGAAGATGTATTCCAAAATGCTGATGGAAGGGTAAGATGACAACAATTGTCTATGCATGCCACGTTGTTAACCTCAATCACAGACGCCAGAGTTGAACAGTACGATGCCTTTCAGCCGCACACTACGAAAAATGATCATGTCCACGCCAACCGAGGGTAGCTCAACAACGTATCAAACCATACTAAAAGCCTACGTTTTATTAGGGCGCGCTACAGAACACATCAACTCACTGGACGCTGCATCCGATCCAGAAGAACATTTCCGCGAGTTTCAGCAATTGGATACGGAGCTCAGCCGGTTCAAATTAAGCCTTCCAAGAGCCATGACAATGATGAGGACATCGTCGGTCAAAGAGGCAATTCACATCTTTTGGTTGAATGCTGTACTAGGCGTTCTCGTAATCTTGCTCCATCATAGACCCGAGACAGCCGCGTACAAACCTCTGAAAATGGCCTCGCCAGCTGGTGCCCTGGTTCCCGAAACATCTCGAGTTGAGGATTTCGAATATTGCATCGCAGCTGCAACAAATCTATCCCGAATGGTACAAGAAGCAACAAAAATCTCAATAGATGCTCTGATTAACCCGCATGTGGGCTCTCCGCTCTACGGTTGTGGCCGAACGCTTGCGCTCCACTACAGCGAGACTAAGAACGAGGAGATCAAATCGGACATCGACATGTACCTCCTACTGTTCGACCGCATAGCAGACCTCTATCCGGTTCTGGGGACCAAATTCAGGAACGGGATGACGTTCACTCTTGCACAAACTTCCGAGGCCATTCGCAAAATGAAATCAGATGGCGCCAGAGGCATGTTGACCAAATGTGGGGACTGGGCCGGTGCGGACCCGCAAGCCACACTTCAGAATCTTATGGAAGCCTTTCCGTAATGAGTGCGAGCGTTCATCCGGATATACATGTCCAACAAATGTGCAAACAATGGTATCCGGACAATAGCTTCCACTACCTCGACTAAGTTGCAATACCAAGCAAACAGACATCATACACGATTGCCACGCTTGAGAGTATTTGTGGTTGAGTTGTATAATATTACAGAGATATGGCAGCCGAAGAGTAGCGTGGATTTGTTCTTCACTCATGCCAGGGTACTTGAAGCCATCTTCCGGACGTAAATGTCGAAAAATCAAACATTCACGCCTGGAAAATAGCTTCCACTGCCCACACATGTTGTTCCTCATGAAGAAAAACCACGAAGCCCATTCGGTTTCAAAGACCAAGTTGCTGCCAAACAACAAACCACCTACACCAGCAACGTTCCTCCGTTCGACTCAACAATCGTCCCCACGGCGAAGTAGTCCTTCATCAAGTACACGTACGCCTCAGCCGTGTCCTCGGGCCTACCGACCCTCCCCACCGTCGATCTGGCAGCAAAGCGCTCCTTCATCGGCTCCCTGCTGGCGCCCGGCACGCTGTCCCACAACGGCGTCTCGACCGCGCCCGGTTCGACCATGTTCACCCGCAGCGGCTTCAGGTCGACGGCCAGCCCGCGCATCACGCCCTGCGTCGCCGCGCCGTACGCCGCCGGCACCGTCCAGCCCGGCGACGGCCGGTTCGTGTTGACGCCGCCCGTCAGCGTCAGCGACGAGGTGGGGCCCGGCGCGGCGTACGCCGGCAGCAGCTTGGCCAGCATCAGCACGCCCATGAAGCGCACCGTGCCGGCCGCCTGCACGCTCTCGATGGTGAGCTCGGCGAGGGGCTTCAGCCCCAGCGCGTCGCCCGCCGTGAAGGCGACGTGGTCGATGCGGCCGGTGCCGTTGCCGGCGACGGTCGCGTCCAGGAGCGCGCGGAGGTTCGATTCTATGGTGGCCGGGTTGGAGAGGTCGCAGGTGTAGCCGCTGATCCTGTCGTCTTTGTTGTTGCTGCGTAGGTGCGAGAGAGCGTTGGATAGCTTGGTTTGAGTTGAACCGGCGATGGTGACGTGTGCGGCGGACTGGGCGAGGGCTTCGGCGGCGATGGCCAGGCCGATACCGCTGGTGCCGCCGATGACGAGGACGGTTTGGGTGGAGAGTTTGGGAGTGTAGGCTGTGGAGGACATGTCTTCTGCGGAGTATAGAAAGATGGAAGTTGGTGTTTGAGCTTTGCGCGAAATTTCACGAATTGGACGTGTCTTCTTTTCTTGCTTGTTGACAGTGCATATTCCCCTCCCCAAATGCAGACTCAGAAGGTTACTTATACTTCTCCTCTGGAGTAAGACGAGACAGAACATTGGTACTGTGTCGGCGACGCTAATCCCGAAAAGGCAATTTGGCGGCCCGCTCGTGCATAAAGGATACTAGCGTCGCCGCCACCGCCGGCGCCATTACTGCTTGTGCTTACTCCGGAGTTTAGCGGGGATAGGAGATTAGGATACGGACAGCTACGACCGCTGTTCTGATTGGGATTTGGAGCTGGGTAATGCTGAGTAAGTTGGGCGGGGAGCTTGAGGCCTACAGCAAAAATGCGGGGTATATGACTGCTGCACACTGAGCGCCAAAGAGTGGAGTAATGAAACGAGTTTTTGAGTCGGCAGATATTTTTACATGGTGGACTTCTTGGGTATTAGGGCTGGAGGCCAGCGCGAAGAATAGCAAGGCTTCAAATCAAGGGCCAACTATGGCCTCTCAGAAGAATTGCATCCTTCACAATCTTTACAAGAAGCGTTCTTCAACTGAGTGACAGTCAACAAGACGTTTGATATACATAACCAAGATCTACCCATCTAGGGATACCGATACTCGATTTCATTCTTCCTTTCCGTGTTTTCCTTTTCCTTTTTTTATTTGCTTTCCGAGCTCGTTGCCTAGATCTGGAACTTCTCCAAGTACTTCGTCGCAAGCTCCACACCTTCATCCAACTTCTCCGGGTTGGTACCTTGACCAATGGAGGTCTTGCCCTTGCCACCAGCCTTGCCGCCGACGGCTCCCGACACGGCCTTAGACCACTCAGTAGCAGAAGCGCCCTGGGTTTCGAAGTGCTATGACAAGTATTAGTAACTGAGCATTGCAAATGACTAGGTTGGAAAACTTACATCACCCAAGTAGCAACCGTGCGCGACCTTGCCCTCCTTGACGTCACCAGCAATCAGGTAGACTGTCTTATCCTTCTGCTTGGTGCTAACGTGCTTGATGGCCTCAGTGATTGCCTTGCTCGTGTGCTGCGGGTCATAGTCGAGCTTCTGTACCAAGAACTTGGCGTCCTTGTTCTGCGCAAAGTAGTCTGTGACTGTGTCCAGCACCTTCTTGCTGACAATCTTGCTCAGCTTCTTCTGCTGCTCAAGGTTCGACTTAGCCACCGCGGTGAAGCGCGCGCGGAACTTCTCCTTCTCGAGCAGTGAGATGGAGAGCTCGTTCAGCTCGTTCTGGATCTTCTTCTGGAGAGCCTCCTTCTCGGGGCCAAACGGCATCTTCTCCAAGCGCTCGAGCTCCTTGGAGAAGTCGGCGGCGACGCGCTGGACGTCGTACGCACCTTGGCCAGTGACGGCGATGATACGACGGATACCCTTGGCGATACCGCTCTCCTCGACAACGACAAGTTGCTTGATCTCGCCCGTGCTGGAGACGTGAGTTCCACCGCAGAACTCAATGCTGAGCTTCTCCCACTTTTCGTTCTCAGGGTCTGCCATGAGATCCTTAACAGGAACACCAATGGAGACGACACGGACGGGGTCAGGGTATTTCTCGCCAAAGATGGCGCGGACACCGCGGATCTTGTATGCGTCGGCAACGGTGATAGGCTCGACATACACAGTCCGGTTGTCGCGAATGTAGCCGTTGGAGATGGTCTCGATCTTCTGGATCTCGGCCTCAGTGACGCCTTGCTTCCACGAAAAATCGAAACGCAGCTTCTCAGGAGCGACAAGAGAACCCTTTTGATCAATGTCCCACCCAAGAACCTCACGTAGGGCGTAGTTCAGCACGTGAGTACCGGTGTGGTTGCTGCGGATTGGGTTGCGACGGAGCTCATCATACTCGCAGATGACTTCATCTTCGAGCGAAAGAGCACCGTAGCTGAGGTATCCGGTGTGAAGAACATAGCCGTTCGAGACCTGGACGTTCTGCACGTCGAAGGCAGCCTCGTTGGCACCCTCAATCAAGATCTTGCCAGTATCATACTCCTGACCACCCTGCTCGGCATAGAAGTTCGTCCTGTCCAAGACTAGACCAATCTGCTCGCCCTCACTGACATCGCTCGTGCTTTTGATGAATTTCTTCTCCGGGTGGAAGATAGCCTTGATCTTGGCAGTAATGTTGTCCTTCGCGAACTTGAACGAGTCGTCCGTCGGAGCAATCTTCGACTCCTGAAGATGACCGAGATCGTGCACATCCAGCTTGACCACGTTGGCACCAGTCTTCTTCGCGCCCTTGCTAGCTTCCTTCGCGATGGCCTGCGCCTCTCTGACCTCCGCATCGTCAATGGTAAGACCCCTCTCCTCGGCCATGATGAGGGTCAGATCCTCAGGGAAACCGTAAGTATCGTACAGCCTCCACACGTCCTTTCCAGGAATCTTTTTGCTTCCGCTAGCCTCAACCTGCTTGGCGTACTTGTCGAACATAACCTCGCCACGGTCTAAGCTCTTGGCAAACGCCTGTTCCTCCTCGTCCAGAATCTCTTTGACGTCCTGCTCCCTCTTCTTGATTTCAGGGAACATGTCGCCAACCTGTTCAACAAGCTTCGGCACGATCTTGGAGAAAAAGCTCCCAATGTCGGTGTGCAGATACTTGCGAGCATAGCGGGCACCTCGCCTCAGGACACGGCGAACAACGTAGCCACGGCCAACGGCATCGGGAATGGCGCCGTCAGAAATGGCGAAAGTAAGCAGACGAACGTGATCAGCAACGACGCGGTAAGCAGTGTCGATTCCATCGGGGTCCTCGTCACCGAACTTGCCCTGATACTCCCTCACACCGGTAATCTCTTGAATAGTCTTGAACAGCGGGGTAAAGACATCGGTATCGTAGTTGGACATCTTGTTCTGCAGGACGGAAACCAGACGCTCAAAGCCCATGCCAGTATCAACGTGCTTATTGGGCAGAGACCTCAGCGACCTGTCAGGCTCGCGGTTGTACTGGATGAAGACGTTGTTCCAGATCTCAAGGACATTGGGGTCATCCTGGTTGACGAGGTGAGCAGCGTTACGGCCGCCTATCCTGTCGTAGTGGATCTCGCTGCAAGGACCGCAAGGGCCTTGGTCACCCATCTCCCAGAAGTTGTCCTTGGCATTGCCCTTCAGGATGTGGTCGTCGGCCACGCCAACGTCCTTCCAATATTGCCTTGCCTCCTCGTCGGCCTCCAGGCCCAGGTTTTTGTCGCCTTCAAAGTAGGTCACGTACAGACGGTCGGGGTCCAGGCCGTAAACCTTGGTCAGCAGCTCCCACGAGTACTGAATGGCCTCCTTCTTGAAGTAGTCACCAAAACTCCAGTTGCCCAGCATCTCGAAGAAGGTGTGGTGGTAACTGTCCTTGCCGACATCGTCCAGATCGTTGTGCTTGCCACCAGCGCGAATGCACTTCTGCGAGTTGACAGCACGCTTCAGAGTAGCAAAGTCCGAGTTGGGATCAACGGTGCCCAGGAAGATGGACTTGTACTGGTTCATGCCCGCATTGGTGAAGAGCAGAGTGGGGTCAGACAGCGGCACGACGGACGACGAGGGCACAAAGGTATGGCCATTCTTCTTGAAGTACTCGAGGAAGGTGTCGCGTACGCGCTGGGCAGACCACTCGGGCTGCTGGTCGACGAGCGAAGCCATTGTGCGGCGGGGCTGCAGCGAGAGAGGCGCTGCGGGGCGCAGCGGTGATCGGACGGAGGGGCTTGGTCTTGCGGAGGCGCGAGTGAGCGACACGGAGCGGAGGGTAGAGACTCGGCCTGTGTGCAGACTGGTGGCTGGGTCGAGGTTGCGGATGGTGCGGTGGTGGGTGCCAGGAATTTGTAGAAGCTTCTGCGCGCGGGACTGGAGCGGCGACAAATATCGCCCTCGCCCGCCGTGACTCACGAAGCCGCTATCTCTGCCAAACACGGACCCCGCCCGGAGTCGCAGCATTCACCCTGTCTCCCCCGAAAGCGACTCTGTGCGACAATGCGATGAGCGTGGCGCGCAAGCTGACGGACAACGATCTGTTGGTTGCACGTGCGCTGAGCTTTGAGAGCGAGAGTGAGGTGATGGGGGAATGGCCACCCACGCGGTAATGTCGACGGCTACAGAGCCGCACCGCGGCCTCAAGCGTCCCGCCGCCGAGGCGTTGGAGGCCGAACAGCGTCTGTCCAAGCGCTTCAATCTTCTAAACATCGGTATGCCTCCCCGCTATCCGCAGTCTACCTTCTCGTGGCCGCTGACCAGCTGCTCCAGACAGTTCCGGCAAGCTCTACATTCCCGTCGCCGCATCGTCATCCACCGCCGACTCGGAACCACCTCTCGATCCAAGCTCCTCCCGCACCGCCGCAGCTAGATCCCGGGACAATGATTGGATGCAACTGGAAGACACCAAGGACAAGGTCTATATTTACGATCTCGACGAAGAGTTGGCCGAGCTTGAATCAGACGAGGAGACCCCTATATTCCTTCCCGACATCGAGAAGCACCTCACCAAGATACCTAAACACGTCTTGGTGAGCAACGGCAAAGAGCTGGAGCGCACTGCCGACAACCAGCTCGTGCTCTACGGTGTGCCTGCCTCGTTGTCTGTCCCTGAAGATAAGGATAGCGTCAGGAAGGCCATTATTGAAGCACGACACAGAGCAGAGCAGAAATCCACATCGCTGCATGAATCAAACGGCTCTACGGATGTTCTCTTACAACAGCCTGGTAAACATGATCTTGCAGGCGCCGATGATGTCATGGCCACGGATGTCAACGGCTTGACTGATGACATGGAAGTCGAGCCTATGGAAATCGAATGAGGGAGATGAGTGGTTTACACAGCGGGTGACAAGAGAACCTGCCCTCTCAACATAATTCCGCAAATTTCCGGATTCATTGATTCAAGCTCAGAACTCACATTTACACCCGGAAGTTTTCTTCAACTGGCCATGCATAAAGAGTACAACACCCTGCAGCTCAACTTTTTGGCAACCAATTGTGGTTTCCGCATTTGATTTCTTTATAAGACTTAGATCTGCACAATGAATGCAATTACGAAGTAGATGAAGTAACATTTTGGTGCAACTTTGGTTGGTATCGATGTGACTGTAGCACGTGTACAGTGAGTCCGTCAAACGCCGCTGGTACGGCTCATCCAGTGAGCGGTACGGCTCCCTACTTTCCCCACAGAATCATATTATCCGGTGCATTAAAACTTGACAAAAGCCATTACTGTAGTCGTGGAGTACTTAAAGTCGGAAAGGGTTCGAGCTCCCCGTGTGATGCGCCTGCGCTGGGGCGGTGGGCTCGTTACTGACAACACCAGTCTGCTGAGGACCCTGTGGTGCCTGGGAACTGGAAGGTGGTGGTCCTGGTGGCGGTGCGTACTGCGGGGACGGGGGTCCGTATTGTTGTTGGGGATCAACCTTGGAGGCTCCGGGAGGCGGTTGGTAGGTAGGCGGCATGTCCTGGCTGTATAGTGGCGGGGGCTCTGGGTAGGCCTGCATAGGATAGCCGTTCTGGCCAGGAGCATAGTATTGCGGCTGCTGGCCATGATACCGGTAGTAGACTACGCCTTGAAGTTGCGGTTCAAAGCGAGCCCGCTGGTACCTCGGAACGAGCCACTGGAAATTGTCAGCCTTGGCTAAAGGCTATACGAGGATTACGAGCCTGATCTTCATACCTTGTGGTAGGCCAAGGGAGCGAGGCCCTTCTTCATCCGTTGCTGGGCGTGGTAGTAGCCACCGATGAACCAGAGCAAGAAGAGGAACAGGAAGGTGCCAAAGATGACATATTTGATGATTATACCGGTCTGTTGGCCAATTTGTTAGTCCAGCCTTGCGGCTGCTAGCGGCGCGGCGTACCTGGGAGAACCAGAAAGAGTCGTAGACATAGTCGTCGTCGCTCTCAAAGGCCGGGTCGCCCGCAGGTGCTTGGCGGGGCAGGATCATGGTTGTGAGTGCGGAAAGACAGTGATGGTTATTTGTGTAATTTGGAGTTTTGAGGTAAGAGAAAGTCAAAGAGCGATGAGAGGTTGAAGAAGGTGAGCAACGGCGAGTGGTTGTACACGCAATGTGGCTATGAGGCAGCTGGAGGCTGCGCGTGGAACGCAGGGAGTTTCAGTGACTGTCTGAGCGGGGAGAGGACTGTCGGACGTTGAGGCGTTTAAGTTCGGGCAGTGACGCGACAAAGCGCGCGCGAAAGAGGCGAGGAAGTAGACGAGCAGCGAGCGCGTAGAGAATTAAAGGAAAGAGATTAGCAGAGGAAATGAGGATAATCAATCGAGGGGCGGGAGCGAAGGGCGAGGCAGGACACGACTTGGCTGCGACAGGTCGGCGGCTGGGCGGATAATGATTCGCCTGTGGCGTGTGGCTGAGCAACCTGCAGGGAAGGCGCGCACGACTGGGACGCCGTTGCACGTGCCTGCCCGTGCGCCTGCCGGTTGTCGAATCGATGCCTGCGATAGGTAGTCTCATAGCTCCGGCAAGCTGACCAGCCCACCGTGCGTATCGTCACCGCCGCCTGCACCAGAGCCGCAAAGCTCACCTCCGCACCAGCTTCGCGAGCCTGTCCCCGTCCCCGCGCGCCCGCTGTCCGCCTCGCCCCGCGCCGCAACCAACGCGCCCACGCCACGATAGGCACCAACGCCAGCCGCGCGCTTTGGAGTTGCCCGCATTACTGCCGACTACAGCTTCCCACCGCGCCTCCATAACCATTGGAACTTGCCCACCACACACGGCCGCTGGCGGAGCTATGAGCATCGAAAGGCGACCCAGATGAGCTCCGCAGATGGAGACAGCGACGTCAGCGGTGGCAGCCAAGATGTCAATGCCGCTGACGGAGCTGCGGCCGCCCTGCGCAATGATTCCGCGCCCGATATGGCCGCGCCCGATATGGCGCGTGCCGACTCGGAGCTCAGGCATATCATCGAGGAGGAGCAGAGGGACCTCCGCGCGGATTCTGGGAATGGCACCAACGGGACAAACTTTCATGGCTATGGCAAGGTCAAAGGACAGCAACCGCAAGAGGATTTGGAACCCGGGAGCCCTTCGCCGTCTTTACCCAACCGGAAAGCTTCAGTTGATGCCATGAGCCCAGAAGGCTCCATTTCAACACCTGACGATTCCCCCTCAGTCCAGGTGCGCTGCTCCTTCGATTTCCCAACGTCCTCTGCTGACACCATCCAGGGTTCCGCACTTTCGTCCCCCGGTAGCAGTATCCCTGCGTCGTTCGCATCATTCGGGAGAGGCCAGCGACCACCGTCATTGCAGCCTTTCGAACGCCGATTCTCAGCAAGAACACCAGTCTCGCCGCGCGACTCGCCGAGAGCACTCTCACCCGCTTTCCTTGGATCCAACTCCAGGCAGTCGTCGCTCTCGAGCCAGCTCCTACAAAATCAGGACGAACCCGACACGCCACAGCCGCCATGGGAAGTTGTACGGTGGACAAAGCTAAAAAGGATAACCGGCCAGGCTTTTTCAGAGCTTGGCAAACGGAATTTCGGCCGGCCAACCTGTCTGGCTGTTGCCGCTTCTATTATTATCGGAACTTCGAAGGGGTTAATTCTAGTTTTCGACTACCACCAGACGCTGAAGTCCATTATTGGACCTGGTACAAAAGGTAGGAGGCCCTCCATTTAGTCCTGAGCATTAGGGATATTGACACACTATAGCAATCGAATCAGGCGCTATCACAGCTCTGGCGATATCGGCAGATCATACAACAGTCGCCGGCGGTCATTCTTCTGGAAATATTTTCACATGGGAAATCGCTAGATCTGCGAAGCCGTTCCTGCACATTCCACCTATTGACAAACGACAAGCTGAAAATCGATCATCGGATGGCCATCTCAACGATGTGTCCGTCCTTCATCTGGGCTTTCTGGGCACACGCCATACTGCGCTTGTGTCGGCAGATGAAGGTGGGATGGCCTTTTCTCATCTCGCAACACGAGGTTTGGGAGCTGTCGGTCGAACGGTGAAGACCACCCGAATTTTAGGAAGATACCCACCTTCTGCGGCAGCCATAGAACAGCCGCGGAAGTCCAGTTCTGTTCTTGCATTTTCACCACTGCCTTTGGGAAACGTGGAGCAACCAACCGACTCACTCGGTCTCACCGCGCTGCTAACACCCTACTTACTCGTAATTGTGTCGACCACGCCAATTGCCGAGACGCAACACAAAATGTCGCGACCCAAAGAAATAGCTCCTCACAGTACTTTGAGTGGTTGCTTGGCGTGGTTCCCCGCTGTGAAGCTCAAAAGTCCTGGGGAGGACGGTCCGCAAGCTGTCTCCAAAACGAAACTTGTGTACTGCTGGTCAAATGTGCTCACGGTCCTGGATGTAGAAGTCACGGACCATCAGGAGAAAGAACGACGGCCTTCTCTCCGCTTCAGACCCCGTAGTAGATGGAGAGCCGAAGAAGCAATTGTTGCCGTACAGTGGATTAGCCGATCCGTCCTCGGTGTGCTCACAATCAGTCAACGTCTCATCGTCCTGGAAGACAATTCTCTCAGGATGACTGATTCATTTGACTTGATTCAAAAGCACATCTTCCACCAGGATTTGTTTTCACGTCAGCTCCATGCTGTAGTGGAGCAGTTGGACGAACAGGATGACACAATGCACGGCGTTGTCGCAGATGCCTTCTACATGAGCTTTCGCGCCTACAAAGGAAGATTGTTTCTTTTGGGTTTCAATGACGTCTCGATTGGAACTCTATCAAACTGGGCAGACCGACTCCTTGCCCTCATGGAAGAAGGGGACTACATAGCCGCCATTGAGCTAGCAACATCCTATTACAACGGAGACGCCGACAAGCTTACGGTAGGCTTGCCTAGTGATGATGCTGCCAGACACATTGTGGTCCAGGAAAAACTACTGGAAATGATCTCTGCATCCCTGAGATATACCTTCGCCAGGAAAGAATCTTCCGATGATGGAGCCCCTCGTACTCAGCTTTACGAGTTGGCGTCAGCAAGCTTTTCGGCATGCCTCAGCATGGAAGAGATGGATTTTCTATTCGAGGATGTGTACGAAGCGTTTCAAAACGCGTCTTCTGAGAACGTCTTTTTCGAGGTTCTGGAGCCTTACATTGTCGAGGACGAAATCACGTCCGTGCCTCCGGATGTTTTGAAGGGTATGATCACACAGTACGCCTTACAAGGACGCACAGATAGGATTGAGGAAATGATTTGCCGCTTGGACACAGCCACGATCGACATTAACCAGGTCACAATTCTCTGCAGGCAGTACAGCCTGTATGATGCACTGATCTACGTGTGGACCCGGTCCATACGGGATTACATTACCCCGCTTATTGACCTGCTCTCTTTGGTTAAAGTCCTCTTGTCAGGTGGTGAGCCTTCCGGACCGGCAGAAGAGCAATATCTCGCTTCCGCAATGAAGATTTTCCCATACCTTGCATATACCCTTACAGGACGCATCTATCCCGGAGGGAACCTTTTACCGGATGAGGAAGCAGATAGTGCCAAAGATGCGCTGTATTCGTACCTTTTTTCTGGGAAAGCGACAGAGTGGCCCAAAGGCAGCGGCGACATTTTTCAACCACTCGAAGACAAAGAATCTGCCGAGTCCTTCCCTTATCTGAGGGCGATTCTCAGATTCGACACGCCAAGCTTCATGAGCATGCTCAATGAGGCATTTGAGGACTCGTACCTGAACGGAGAGCAGTCTCCAAATGGAACAGTGAATGGAGTATCGGCCTCGGATCGTTCCTCCGGGAGAAGGCCAACGCGCCAGTACATCTTGAACATTCTACTTGGAGTCATGTCGGAAGGCCAGTTCGAATCCGAGGATACAACCTACCTATACATGTTTGTGGCTCGCAATCTCCCCAAGTTCCCACAATACATCATTCTCCCCGGTAGCGCACTTCACAAGTTGCTCGAAGGTCTTTGCGATTATCCTTCCGATGCGGTGGCGGATGACTGTCAGCTGAGTGTCGAGTACTTGCTTTCGGTCTACCATCCGACAGACATCCAGTCCCTTGTTCCGCTTTTTGAGAAGGCCGGGTTCTATCGGGTGCTCAAGTCGGTATACAGTGGTGCGAAACAATACGCACGGCTTGTTGAGACGTATCTCAATGACACAGACGACCGCCCAGCAGTGTTCGAATGTATCAGGGACTGCTTACGACCGAGCAAGGGTCTTAACAAACGACAAGTAGGCGATGTTCATGCTGTCATCCTCGCTCATGCAATGGATCTTGCGAACATTGACGCAGCACTGACGGCACGGACGCTGAAGAATTCTGCGCCTGTGCTCCTGGAGTCTGTTCTTGATACCTTGGAAGCTGATCATTACGTCCAATTCTTGTTTCTCAGAGCGCTCCTTGAGCCAGAAAAACACCTCACGACCGCGAAGCAACCTCTTCCGGCAGAAGTTGCAGCAGCTCGTTTTGTTGAGCAGTATGTGCAACTTATGTGTAGGTACGATCCTACACACGTTGCCGACTATGTTGGTCTTTTAAGTTCTGGAGATCTGCGTCTCGATAAAGTTCTCCCAGCCATGGAGAGTAGTGGCGTGGTCGATGCGGCGGTTGTGCTTATGGCTCAAGATGGATTGATTCGAGAAGCCATGGACAGACTTATCAAACACCTTAGCACGCTGGAAACTGCTCTAGTCGGCCTGCTTGGTGCTGCGAGTGAAAGTCCCGATGAGTCGAACACAGAAGAAGCCGCTGCGGATCTCCTAGAAGCTGTGCAAAAATACACCAAGATCGGCACCTGGCTATGTCAAGGGCAGACACGCAACAAGAAGAAACCGGCAGACCCAAGGAAACGAGCCGTCAACGGGGATCTCGGCACAGAGAAGGACTTGGAGACGGACGAACTCCTCTGGCTCGACTTGATTGACATGACCGTTGCGATGACCAAAAACGTTTCCACATCTGCCGCCCAGCTCAGCGCCAAAAGCCAACAAGATGCAGCAATCGACACCACCAAGATTACCAATAGCCTCCGCAACAACGTCCAACAGACGTTCAGCGCCCTTCTGGCCTGCATGGCCGCGAGCGATACCAAGCCCAGCAGCCAAGTTGCCCGGGCTTCTGCTGTGGCGCAACAACAGAAACGCCAAACCATCACCGCCGCAACACCAGCGGCCGCCGGCCAACCTTCCGCCTCCTTCCTCCGCATCCTCCGCGCTTTCCTCACGCGCGCGGCACGCACCAGTCCGTCCCTGTCAGACCTGCGGGCGGTGCTGGCGTCCATATTCGCAGCCTACACGTTCGAGGAGACGCTCATTGCGCTGGCGAACCGGTTCTTAGAGAAGGACGTTTTCGAACACGTTGAGGAGGCGCACGCGAGGCGGCTGCGCGGCTGGCGCCCGAAGGGCCAAGTGTGCGAGGGCTGCAGGCGGAGAGTGTGGGGGCCGGGTGCAGGCGCGAGCATTTGGGACGCGTGGGAGAGAGAGAGGGAGAGGGGCGAGAAAGAGAGAAGGGGCAGGTGGCTGGTAAGGGGGGATAGCGAAGAGGCGGGGCGATTGAGGAGGGGCAAGGGAAAAGCGGAGATGGAAGAGGGTGGAGAGGGGAAAGGTGCAATGGGAGATCCTAATGGAGAGGGCGGAGACGGCGACGGTGTAGGGCCGCTGGTCGTGTTTGCGTGTAGACATTTGTGGCACCAGAGGTGTCTGATGAAAGGGAAGAAGAACGGTGGGACGACTGCGCCGGCGGAGATGGATGAGGTGGAGGAGGGTGATGGGGCGAGGGAGTTCAGGTGTCCGCTGTGCGAGGGAAAGCCAGATGAGGAAGCGGTGTCGTAGTTGGCGACGCAGTGGTAATTGGTAGGTTGGGGGGAAATGATGAAGGGTGTTGTCAGTGTTGGTTGGTTCTCTAACCATCCACAATGCGCGCGATTGAGAGGTGGGGAGTTTAAAGATGTTGGGCCCGCGTTGTGGATCGGAACCGGATCTACTGTTAGTCATGTCTTGATGTGTGCACGCTGTGAAGTATGAGTATATGGCATAGCGTCTAAATTCTCTTTATTGTTTTTCGCTTGACGTTGAAAGATGTGATTCAGACTTTTCTCTTCATATTTACGCTTATGACTTCTTTTTCGGTATTGCTCGTGGGATACCCCCTTCGTCCACATGAGGCTGCTTGTTTGTTTCGTTATTGTCTTCTGTTGTGAGTGTGGCGTGCGGAATTATAATCTTTTTGCCTCAGCAACGTTCTGAAAGCGTCCTAAGAAAATTTTGCGCTGGGTATACACAGTCGAGTTACTGAATACTACAATAACGCTTGTATATTCACTTCAACTGTACTTGTAGGGACAGTATAGTATTTGTCATTGGACCTAAAGGGTAAATGATTTTGCGGCCCTCTTTGGTCATATGGTTAAAGCTCTTGTACAGAAGCTTTTGCTGGCGTCACTTTTTTTATATTGTTATACGCTTCTTCATACCTCGACTGCACTATTGAAGCGTCCATCCAGACATGAATGTACGACACATTTGTGAAAAAAATACATTCAGATGATGGCTTCAGCTCCCCCGACTTGTTACAATAGTAATGGAACCCGCCTCATCCACTCACAAGGTCGCAAAGTTGCTTTCGTGCCGTAATCCCGAGGCATTCGGAGCGGTGACCGGATCGGGTTGCATGCTTGTGTGCGCTGCCTTCCGTGCCGAATATGTGGCACTTCCTCGCTTTGCCCATCTTGACTATGAACACACTCCTATCGGCCAATAGATGCTGTGCGCTTGTTTTTTCATCCTCACCATGGGTACTTGAGTCGTATGTGCGGCGAACTGAGATGTGATCAGCGCTCGCTGCTGATCGGCTTATCACAGTTGCAAGGCATCCTGCATGCAGTGCAGACTCGTGCTGCGATGGTACCCGGGATCGAGAACCCTGATAAACCCATCGAGGTTGATCGCTAGCTAGCGATTGGTTCTCTGGAACGCTTCCTGATAGAACCCATGCTAGTCAGCCCAACGTCAACACGTGGCGAAGGAATGGCGGCGTTCTTGGCGCTACCGAACGTCTCTCGTGATGCACGGCAGTCCTCTTTCTTGCTGTTGGTTTTCCCTTGTACAGTCACGACTTACATTTAGCCTGGAGTTGCTCTTGGCGAGGAGCCCCAGATGCGGAGGGAATCGGAATGGGGTAGTGGTCGCGGGGAGGCTGGTATACCTTTACCCAGCGGCACAGCAGGTATAAGAAACACGTACAGCGCTCGTTCTGCTGCCATGATTTCCGCTCTTACCTTGGAGGTTTTTCGTGTACGACCTAGAAGTAATGGCCTCCCTTGAGTCTCGCGAACGACTTTCTCCTTTGGGAAGGCTTTCACTTCTCTATACCGCCTTTCACGAGGGGTTCCACAGATCATGAGCACTCACCCTCTATCCGATCATCGGCCTTCTCATTCATTCCTAGCAATGCTAGTAATGTTGTCTTTATACTCGACTGCCAAGAGCTCCGAAAATTACCCTCGGCCGATGAGATTGCAGCGTCTTCTTCTGTTCAAAGACGCACTCCCTTCTCTCAGATTCAACACAAAACTACCGTTGCAGCATAGGTAAGGAGTCTCATCAATGAGCGAGCTCCGGATCTCGCGTCCTTCATGGCTGTTGGCTCTCTCCACAATTCTTTCACCGTCCCCGGAAGACGATTCCCGCCTTTCCCACAACTGTTTTTTTGGTCAGCCCATCTCACCTATTGTGTTCTCCTGACAGGCAAGAAGGACCGTCTTCTCCAAGTCTCGCCCGAGCATTTTCCACTCAATGCAGGTGGCAGGTTACATGCTCGCCTTCAACGACACCACGACGATGCAACCTCACGATGAAGAAGCGCGCGAGCCGAGCGGACCATGACGTACGTAAAGCAGACGTGACTTGGCGAGAAAAGAGCAAGAGAGCGAAAACGGACCGGGGTCGGGGTTGTCGGTGACCATCACGCGGCGATCTCATCAGCAGCACCTGGCAATTGCCGAAGAAAGCGGATGGGGTGCTTGATTTTGCAATCGTGGGGAATTCCAGGCGGCTCCATTGCCTAACGGGGGCGGACTGACCCCAAAGCCGAGCCCGCACTATTCCCGACGATGTGGATAGTCTGGACGGACCTCCGCCATTGCCGCTCTACCGTCGGCTCTTCTCGGGAGTCGAGAGCGTGGAGATCAGGATGAGGCTTTGCTCGCCAAGTTTTAGCCGGCACACGTGGGGAAAGAAGACCATCTCACGACTAAACGGCACATCGTCGGGACTTTCAGCAAGCCACGCGACGTCAGGCGGACCGGCAGGGTTCAATTGGGATGTTCTTCGGGCTCGCAGCGGCCCTCGCTCGCTGGGGTGATGATGGACTGGCACGCCGCCTTTTCCGCCTCGAGGCGCTGCGGAGACGAGAGAAGACGGAAGCATCACCAAGGACGCTGGCGCCCGGCACGGCGTAGACGCCACCGCCACGAAGACACCCCGGACGCCAGAGGATTTTTTTCGAACGGCATCACATCATTAATGCCCGACCCCTGCTCTCCTCCGCACCGGCAGTTCTTGGGCCTGCACGCGACCGTCGTGGCGGGTGGGGCGCCCTCGCTCTGGCAAAACATCGGGCGCGGGATTTTGGCGCCATGGGAGCGGGGTGCAGACAAGCGAAAGGTGTGGTGAGAGTGGAGAAAGAGTTAGAATCCGGGCCTCCAGCGGAGAGCGCGTCCACCGCCCGCAATTTCCCCCTCGGCCCGACTTCGTAGCAACCACCACCGAGCCTCATGCTCTTTTTTTTTTTTTTTTGGTTGTTTCTACATTTGCATTCCGGCACTGAAGCTGAAGCTAAATTCAAAGCGTCCATCGGGCCATAATTCCACGGCATAGCCAAGAAGCATCCGGACGAGAGCTTCAACTGCCAAGCACTCCTGGGCAATCCGACCTTATTCCGTCTCGTGAGCACCTCCGGATGTCGGTCGACCGTGCTCGCGCTCGTGGAGACCGCCCGACGGCTGCTCTCCGGGCTGGTCATGAGGTGCTTATCCGCGCGGCAGCTTCCGCCTGGGGTTCTACGCCTGCCTTGGCGCCAGAGCCCCCCATTGATCGCCCCTGGAGGCGTTGCGGAGAAGGCGGCGCGGGATGGAAGAGTGCGGGCGGGGGCGTTGGGCCTGCTGGCGAGCGGCTCGAGGCTGCGGGCTCGTGGTATTGCAAAGGGGAGTTCGAGAGAAGTCGGCGAGGCGGCAGTGCCATCACTCGAGAAGCTCACCACCAGCGCGAAGGCATGCCGTGCGCGCGGTAGATTCGCGGCACACGGGGCTCCACACCGAGTCTTGCTCTCCGCAGCCTTACCCGAACAAGCTCCTCCGCGCCCAGAACTACCCCCGGTCCTGCAAGCATCCCCGTGTTGCACCCTCTTCCAGAAGCCGGATGACGTTGTCACTATAGCCCGAAAGCTGAACAACAGACATGCCGTGTCATGGCACCAGCGTCGCTTCCCGCGCAGCTCCCGATCCGTGCTCACGCCTGCGCCGTGCCTGCCTTTAAAGAGCCCGCCAGCCCGCGCTCCAGATGAGCCTCCAAGGCAAGCCTCTACGACAACTCGCTTCAAGCAACAATGGCGCCTCTCACGAACTTGGCCACCCTCCTCCTCAGCGCCGTAGCTGGCGCTGAGGCTGCCCAAGACTGGGACTCCTCGCTCTTCACCACCAGCCCTCCGGTCTACCCCTCGCCCAACATGACCGGTGTCGACTCCGCCTCTCTGACCGGCTGGGCGGGTGCCCTGGAGAAGGCCGAGGCCCTCCTCAGCAACCTGACCCTGGAGGAGAAGGTCGTCCTGCTTACCGGTGCTCCGGGTCCCTGCGTTGGGTATGTTCACTTTCCGATTTTTTCTTTTCTGTTGGCTAACATCTGCGCAGAAACATCGCACCCATTCCCCGCGTTGGCTTCAAGGGCCTCTGCCTTCAGGACGGCCCTCTCGCCATCCGTCAGGCTGATTATGCCAGCGCCTTTGGTGCTGGTCTGACTGCCGCCGCTTCTTGGGACAGGGACCTCATCCACGAGCGTGGCAGGCTCCTCGGTGAGGAGTTCCGTGGAAAGGGCTCTCAGATTTTCCTTGGCCCCGTCGCTGGTCCTCTTGGCCGTAGCGGCATGGCCGGTCGTGGCTGGGAGGGCTTCTCGCCTGACCCATACCTCACTGGTGTTGCCATGGAGGAGACCATTCTCGGTGTTCAGAGCGTCGGTGTTCAGGCTACGGCCAAGCACTGGATTGTGAACGAGCAGGAGACTCAGCGCAACCCCGAGGACACCTTCGATCCCAACCACGAGCCCAACGAGCAGGAGCAGATGTCCGTCTCTTCCAACGTCGAAGACCGTACCATCCACGAGCTCTACGTCTGGCCCTTCGCCAACGCCGTTCGCGCTGGTGTCGCCAGTGTCATGTGCAGCTACCAGCGCATCAACGGCTCCTACGCCTGCCAGAACTCCAAGACCCTGAACGGCATCCTGAAGACTGAGCTCGGCTTCCAGGGCTACGTCATGTCCGACTGGATGGGCACCCACAGTGGTGTTGCCTCTGTTGAGTCTGGTCTTGACATGACCATGCCCGGTGCCTGGAACTGGCAGCCTCTCCTCGACGGCGTTCCTTCTTACTTCGGTGGCAACCTCACCAAGGCTGTCGAGAACGGCACCATTCCTGAGACTCGTGTCGACGACATGGTCAAGCGTGTCCTCACCCCTTACTACCTTCTCGGCCAGGACGAGGGTTTCCCCGGTGTCGACCCTTCCTCTGGCGCCTACCCCGCCGTTAACAACTTCCAGCCTGAGAGCAACTGGTACGATGACTGGAGCGCCGCCGGTGCTCTCAACACCGAGACCTCTGTTGATGTCCGTGGCAACCACAGCGTGCACATCCGTAAGCTTGGTGCTGCTGGCACCGTCCTTTTGAAGAATGTCAACAGCACTCTTCCTCTTAAGAGCCCCAAGAACGTCGCTGTCCTCGGCAATGCTGCCGGCGAAATCACCAACGGCCTTTACCCCCAGAGCACTAACTACGAATATGGCTGTCTCCCCGCCGGTGGTGGTTCCGGCAGCGTCCGCTTCAACTCCGTCATCAGCCCTCTCGAGGCTATCAAGGACCGTGTCGAGTCCGAAGATGGCATTGTCCAGTACATCCTGAACAACACTCTGCTGACGACTGCCGGCTCCCTCGCCAGCCAGATCTTCCCCGCCCCTGACGTCTGCCTTGTCTTCCTCAAGACCTGGGCTGCCGAGGGTGAGGACCGCACCGACCTGCACGTCAACTGGGATGGTGATGAGGTCGTTAACCAGGTCGCCGCCAACTGCAGCAACACTGTCGTCATCACCACCTCGGGAGGCCTGACGCTGATGCCCTGGGCCGACAACGAGAACGTCACCGCTATCATCGCTGCGCACCTGCCCGGCGAGGAGATTGGCAACAGCATTGTTGACATCCTTTACGGCGACGTCAACCCCTCCGGCAAGCTCCCCTACACCATTGCGTACGAGGAGTCGGACTACGACTTCGCCAACATCACCCTCTCGGTCGCCGACAAGAACGACACCAACGCTTGGCAATCCGACTTCACCGAGCGCCTGCTCATTGACTACCGCCACTTCGATTACTACAACATCAGCGTGGTGTACGAATTCGGCTTCGGTCTTTCCTACACCACTTTCAGCCTCGCATCCCTCTCCGTCACCCCTGCCTCGAACGCCACCATTGCCGGCGCTCCTGCCGCCACGTCTGCCGTCACCCCTGGCGGTAACCCTGCCCTGTGGGAGACCGTCTACACCGTCAAGGCTACCGTCAGCAACACTGGCGACGTCGCCGGCGCCGCCGTGCCCCAGCTCTACGTCGAGCTCCCCGCCTCCGCCGGCGAGGGTACCCCGGTCAAGCAGCTGCGCGGCTTCGACAAGGTCCAGCTCGAGGCTGGCGAGAGCAAGGAGGTCGAGTTCCCGCTGATGCGCCGTGACGTCTCGATTTGGGATGTCGTCCAGCAGGAGTGGAGCGTGCCCGAGGGCGAGTTTGCCGTCCACGTCGGCTTCTCCAGCAGGGATGTGCAGCTGAAGGGCTCGTTCACCGTTTAATTGAGGATAAGGAAATGAATGAGTGGTTTGAGTGGTATGATTTGATGATCAGACGCCTAATTAAGTATCCGATTGGGGAGGCTGTAGTGGCTAGTAGTCTGAAATGTCTGTAATGATAATGGAAATGTATTATATCGATCATCAGTTCGACCCCACTTGAGTGCTGTGTCTGTGAAATTGGTTCAACTCTCCACGCAAGTACGCTTTTAACACACACCTGCATTCGAATAGCTATCACAGCTGTCTGAATAAAATGACGCAATATGATTCCCAAGCTACGGAAGGATTGTTGGTTCTCAGTCCACCCTAAAAAAAAATAGCAAGTTTCATGTTTTTCCCCCTCTGCTCAAAAGCTCCGTATCTTTAATCTATATCTGGGTATGAAGACCGGCAAACTTGGCCATGAACTGCACTCAACTTTTCCACCAATGTATCGTGTATACCATTTCCAAGCCGGGTGACTCCCCGAATGTCTTTCCAGCGGCGCGAAGTCTCTCAATCTGGCCCACATACCAAGACCGAGCGTCGATCTGGGCTCACCGCTGCTCAAGCAGACGAGGACTTGTCCGTCTTCCCCTCACGGAAGAAGCTTGGAATGAACTCCGGCGCCTCAGCGTTCAGCGAGGAGCGGGAACGCATGCGAGGCGGCTTGGACGAAGTAGAAGGATCGCTCGAGGAAGGGACCTGCAACTGAAGAACACGAAGCATCAGTCAAGAAGTATTTCACAAGAAGGGCCGAGTGCCCATAGAGGCGGAACGAGATTTGTAGATGACTCACCTGGTCCTCCTTGGTGGTGCTGTGGGCGGGGCTGCTGGGCTGCTCGAACTCCTCACCCGGGAACTGCTCGAAAGCCAGCTGCGCCTCGTCGCAAGCGCGCTGAATCTTCTCGTACTCGGCCAGCATCCTCTGCTTAGCAGCAAGAATCTTCTCGTGTTTCTTGCGCTCCACCTCGATGGCCTTTTCGTAGTCCTCCACCGAAGCGTCGGGCAGAAGAGTGGGAGTCAGGAGAGGAGGCTGTGAAGAAAATTGTGAGCAGAAGGTATATACAACAGGTGAGAATGGAATCAGAGCGGGCGGGGAGGAAAGGTGAGAAGAAGGAGATCATATACTGTGTGAGGCAAGGAAGCAGGAAATGACATCAAAATGAAGAGCCAGCGAAGTGAGATGCCTTACGGAAAGAGGAGCGGAGGAAATGGTGACCGGAGGAGGCATTGTTGCGGAAAGGCTGGAAGCTCGAGAGGGTTGCGAAGAACTTCAACGTTTATGCTTGGCGCTGAAGTCCTGCGTTGCTCTGAGATAGATGTGGAAGAAGGAGAAGAGGTGTGGCAGAGGGTGCTTTATGTCTGCTCGCCAGGGCGTGCGGCACGTGCCCTGATTGTCATGGTTGCTCATTTGGGCGGGTGGTCGTTTGGTAGGTCAACAAATGGAAGGAGCGCCCAAGGAGATGATGCACGTGAATGCCTGACAAACCGCGCACGCCTCCAGCATTCAAACGACGAGACCCTGCATTGAACCCTGAGCAGCAGTTCTTACCGCAAATTTTTCGTATCAGGCGGCTTCACCAAAGCACTATATCTTAATCGCACCGCTCATTCAACACCAAACACCCGAAAGTAGCGCATATCATGAAGGCCAAATATCCTCGTGCCCTATTTGAGGCTAAAAAGGCTGAGGCTAAGTCCATGGTAGCACACTGAGTCCGCAAAGGAAGAGACATCTTGAGCATTTTACTGAGTCAACGCAGAAGCGACGCCAGCCCAAAATGCTCCATCCACCCCACTCCAAGAGCCAGAAGAAATGCAAAACGCCGGCCAGTCAATCTGCTCCGCTCGCTCCCGCAATGGCAGACGCCGCTGCTCCTCCACCTCGAGGTGACCTGATGCGTTTGGTCTCCACCATTGAAGCACGACAGCTCGAGATGCAGAATATATGTAACGTAAATCAAATTTCTGATAAAGATTCCCTTTAATGCATGAGCTTGATCTCCGGACGGATAAAAGGCACCTATCATAAGCGCTTCCAGAACTTCACGCTAATCTGTTCGTATAGGTCATTCTAGATAACGTCGTTGGGCACAACGAAAGACTGAGATACCAACACCGGACTTTCGAGCACCTCTGCAGCCGCATCGTCGATCAGGAACACAGAGTTGATGCCTTGGCTGGCGCTGTTCCCGCTCACGAAGAATTTCTGAAGCAGCGCTTCAATGACGAACATATCAAACAAAGATTTTCCGATTCATTCATCCCCATCAATCATTTGGGAACTCAGGCAGAGCCCCATGAAGTATGCAGCCACTCCAGTTGCAACCGAGTGAGGAATTGGCTCGGTACCCTCGAAGCCGGCCTCTCCGAGATGATGTTGCCTCATGAGAATGCTCAGTCACCGCGTAGCGCTCTGAAGGGCTCAGTGAGCCCTTTAGTTGTCCCTGGCAATGGCGACGATCCAAGCGTCGGATCAATAGCCAGCTCCATAATTAGTGACGGGTCAATATGGAGACCCCCTACTCCGGATCCCAATGCCGTTCCCGATCCGGCCTACGATGTCGCTGCCCTTTGGAAACGGAACCTTCAACAGCACCATGAGCAGCAATATCCTGTCTCCCAACCCCCCAGAGGTCCGCCCAGCCGCATATTGAATCCTATGGCACAACAGCAGTTCACTGTCTCACCGTACCAGCCGAACTTCTCCTCTGGACATGGTGGTCAGTCACAGGTTCAGTACACATACCCGGAAGCTTCTCCCGCACATGCCAATGCTTCGCAGCCTCTGTTTCTTACTCAACACTCAAACCAACAGCACTTATCTACCCATCCCAGGCCTCACATTTCCAATGAGCGTCGTGCATCCAGCTCACTTCCACGCCAGACCACAATGGATCAGAGAACTCGCTTTATCAATGAGGACTTTTCCATGCCGTCACTGCCCCCGCCTGAGAATCAACTTCCTGGTATTCAAAGGCAAGGTCACCTTCCGGGTGTGCAACAGCCTGTCGAGCATAATCACCGCTCGACTTGGGACCAGAGCCAGATCTCTCTTCTAAGGCCAACGGTGTCACCCCACCTGCAGCTGCAGCTGCAGTATCGTTCTCCCTACTCGCAACCGAACCTGCACAAGGATCCCACAACCCAACAATACCATAATAGCTGGCAACAGCAGCAACAGCAACAACGAGGAACCCAAGCCTACCGCTCACCTTATCCCCCGATGGGCGAGAACACGTATCAGACTCCTCCGCAGCTAGGTAATGAGCCTCAGGTAGGTCTCGGACAGCGGCGGCATCAAGAGCCTCGTCAAAGTCATGTCGCGTCATTTCCCGGCCCGCCTATAGAGGCGCTAGTGGACAGGTTCATGTCATGGCCTCAGCAGGATGCTGAATGGCGGAATGGAACGCTGCCGCTACTACCGAGTGGACAAGTGATGCTGGATCGTCTGAAAAAGTTTCAAGATGAACATGGACCAATGGAGTAGGACATGCGTGGCATACGATAGTATTTGCCACTGTGATGTTCATCTTGATTGCATTGGTTTCTGCCGCTCTTTTGATATGCTCTTCGTTCCCTATTAGCAAACGAGGGTGGAGGTTGCGGGCGGCGTGGATGGGTGAAAGAAAAAATAAAAAGGGCGGGATCGGTCATCCTCTTTTCTGCTCTATTGCATCACAATTGATTGGCAAAACCGTTCAGGCAGACAGTTGGTTTGGTTGAACGGCTATACGTACGGCTTGTTAAGGCAAGCGAAAGTTGCGGAATATAGATCGGAGCAAGGCAGAAAAAAAGAATAATCAAGCTGTGTGCACGAAAAGATAAACAATTCTATGACATCAAATAAGCGGAAAAGTGGATTATCTTAGTATTGCAACAATGAATACGGGGAGCTGAAGCGTCTACGGTCTCCACTGTGTACACAGTGCTTCATCATGCCAACGCACCTCAGTCTTGACACTTCAGTAGCGGGCGCCACGGCGCTTCTCTAATCAAACTCTATATGTATGGCAAGTTCCGAAATGTGTCGATGCTGTGGAGCGGGCGGATCGAGGTTTCGCCGAAGAGGTGAGCCCATAGGACACGGCGAAAATGCAGCTCGGAGGTTTCAGTAATGAGCGGCGATACCTTGCAGCAACGGCAGGAAGCAAAATCCGAGCAGATTGGCTGTTGCATGATTGATAAGGCTTCTCGATAGTGATGCTCGGACGTAAAGATGATTGCCACAAGCAGAAGGATGATCTGCGGACAGAAATGTGGGGAAGAGGCTCAAGCGAACGCCCATCCCTGCGCGCTCTTGTCATCAGTGGCGCTCCTAGGATCATGCCCGTCTTTCTCAAATTCACCAGAGCCACCTTGCTTCCCGAAGAATGAGATGAAAGCGCACGGTCGAAATGTCTCTCCCTTGCTACGCACCTGATGACACATGAGTCTCTTCCAAAAACATTTATTCCTGTACGAGCAGGCCTGGCGATGCCGTTATTGGCTGTCTTAATTCGAAGTGGACCATGGATCTGGAACGCCTGCGCCTCAGCCTCATGCCGCGCCAAACCGCAATGGTGGCAAGGATGATGCTGAATGACAATGGCGCCCAGCAGAAATTTTCACCGCGCATCATGCGTGTTCTAGAAGGTGTGGAGTCGATGTGATTGGCCAAGTTTCGTAGTGACGAGCTCGTGCAAGCGAGCGAGACAGCCACACACCATGTCGGTTGGCCTCAGGATCGGAAGACGCAGGAGGAATCTCAGCACTGCGGGGATTGATGGAGTGGTTGGTGGGGCGGGCAGTGCCGGCATTGGTCCAGGGGTTGGTAGGGCGCGCTACGCTGAGTGGATGGTGATAGGTTGGATGAAGAAGAAGAGGCGTATTCAACCCCACAAACACTAAGCATGCCAAGCACCTATCAAGCATCACGGACTGGCTGGGCACACGAGCTTCGTCACGCCGACCTCACAGCAGTGGGGTGGCGAACGGTCATCATGGGCATTTGGAATGCATCGTGGTCGCTGTAGTTTCAAGCGCACGGCATTCAGCATGTTTATCGTGTGTTTTTGGCCCCAGCTGTCGGCTTCTGCCGGTGAGAGTGGCTTCCCACTGGCTAATGATCTTCGGTGCGGCCGGCAGCAGTAGCGGCAGGCGTGCAACGATGGTGGGCAGCACACAATGTGTTGGGGACCAATCCATCGCCGCGGGCGTTTGACCGCAGTGGCTACTGGCAAGCCGACATGCCGGGATTGTGTCAGTGAGTTAGGGTAATTAACGGTGATCTCGATGCGGCCACACGCATCTGGAGCGTGGGCTGGGGATTGTCTCCCCGTTAGCTCCTCGGGAGACATTAGTGCCACGCCGGCAGTGCTTCACGCACGATCACTGGCCCATTCTCCTTCCCCAGACCCCCAGGGCTCTGTCCCCATGGCCTCCAGGCCGTGGCATGACAGTTTCCTGTTGCTCTACAAATACGATGGGCGTCCTCGCTGTTGCTCCATCAACATCGCTTCGTGACACGATTATTTTCTCCACGCCGTTATGCCATTCCTTCTCAAGAAGCCAGAAGACTCGGCTGGCTCGGCTCTGCCGGCCATTGCCATTGGTGTCTTCGTTGCTTTTGGTGGTGTCCTCTTCGGGTATGGCGCTCTTGTCTCCCATCACTTCCATGGAGATTCCTGACCAGGCTGAACAGATATGACACTGGGACCATTGGCGACATTCTGGGTATGGATTACTGGCAGAACCACTTCTCCACTGGCTACGTGAATCCCAAGACCAACCATAAGGATGTCACTTCCAGCCAGACTTCCGAAATCGTCTCCATTCTCTCAGCCGGAACGTTCTTCGGGGCTCTAACTGCCGGTCCCACTGGTGACTTCTTCGGTCGCCGCTACGGTTTGATTGTTTCCACCATGGTCTTCACATTGGGTGTCATCCTCCAGACTGCCGCAACGGCCATTCCCATGTTTGTTGCCGGTCGCTTCTTCGCAGGATACGGCGTCGGCATGATTAGTGCTCTGATTCCCCTGTACCAGTCGGAGACTTCACCCAAATGGATCCGTGGCACCGTTGTTGGCTGCTATCAACTTGCCATCACCATCGGCTTGCTGCTCGCTTCTATTGTCGGAAACGCCACAAAGAACCGTAACGACTCTGGCTCCTATCGTATTCCTGTCGCTGTCCAGTTCGCGTGGGCCATCATACTCGTCGCTGGAATGCTTCTCCTGCCCGAGACTCCTCGCTTCCTCATCAAGACGGGCAAGCCCGAGCAGGCTGCCAAGTCGCTTTCTCGCTTGAGGAAGCTTGACATCCAGCACCCTGCTATCGTTGAGGAACTGGGCGAAATCACCGCCAATCACGAGTACGAGCTGTCTCTCGGCAAGTCCACCTACGCTGACTGCTTCCGCGGCAATCTTGGCAAGCGCCTGGCTACTGGATGTCTGCTCCAGGCTCTCCAGCAGCTGACTGGTGTTAACTTTATCGTAAGGGGATGCGCTACTTACGAGGTGTTCCATAGCTAACACGTGTTCCAGTTCTACTACGGCACTTCCTTCTTCAAGAATGCTGGCTTCCAAAACCCCTTTACTATCTCTCTTATTACCTCATGTATTAACGTTGCGTCTACCTTCCCTGGCTTGTGGATGGTCGAAGCTTGGGGTCGTCGCAGGCTGCTTCTCTTCGGAGCCATTGGCATGGCAGTTTGCCAGTTTATCGTGGCCATTACCGGGACCGTCACCTCGGTGACCGACCTGCCTGCCCAGCGCGCCATGATCGCGTTCGTCTGTATTTACATCTTCTTCTTCGCATCCTCCTGGGGGCCCGTCGCGTGGGTCGTCACTGGCGAAATCTTCCCCCTTAAGGTCCGGGCCAAGTCTCTTTCCATGACGACGGCTTCCAACTGGTTGCTGAACTGGGCCATCGCCTATGCCACGCCTTATCTCGTCAACAACGATCCCGGTGATGCCAACCTGGGGGCCAAGGTCTTCTTCATCTGGGGCGGATGCTGTTTCATCTGCATCTTCTTCGTCTGGGCGATGATCTACGAGACCAAGGGGCTGTCGTTGGAACAGGTCGACGAGCTCTACGGCAAGGTCAACAAGGCTTGGAAGAGCAAGAAATTCGTGCCTACCGTCTCTTTCCAGGAGGTTGCGGACCTGCACCCTCAGCGCGGCATGTCGCTGGCCGAGGCCGAGGACCAGGCTGTGCGCAAGAAGAGCGTCAGCCACACCACCGAGAAGGTCTAAGAGGAGAGAACTCTTTCATGATACATGATAACGCGCTATGTATGTTTCTGAGGAATGCGAAAGGATGTCGGTTAGTGGATGCGACGAGTGGTGGTGATGTACCACTGTAGATAGAGGAATAATTTCGAATGATTAAAATCATGGAAGTGCGGGTCGTACAATGGACTACAGAGGGGTGCTGCAGCCGATGGCTAGCGCGAAATAACATATGTGGGTAGCTGAAGCTATCATCCAGACGTGTATGTAGAATTTTTAATTCGACATTCTCGTCCGGACGACAGCTTCAACTACCCATGACATGAGCAGGAAAAAAAAACAACCCCACACTGGCGATCGGCTGCGAGAGGGGACTGTACAGAGCCGGTGCCGCAGTGCTGGGAAGAATCGAGGAATGCGGCAGGTAGATCAAGCTTTTTGCGGGGTATCGATCGGCTGTGCGACATGAGCCGCAGGCAACTCCAGGCACGCACGGTTGGTGCCTGATGCACCGCAATGCCTGCCTTGAGGCGCAGCGCGACCGTGCTCGCTCAGGCGCAGCTTTAAAAACCAACACAGCTGCTGCTCCAGCTGTCCTGCGGCAAGCCCCACTGGGAACAGAGTGGCTGAATCATTTGTGTTAGGTGAAGTGCAAGCAGGTGAAGCCTCGTGCATATGAATAGGCGTGCACGGGCCACTTGAGTCAGGCTTTACGTCTTGCACCTTTGTCGCGCTTCTTCCTCCACCACCTCTTCCTCTTCACCCTCTCCGACGTCCACACTCCTTCCTCGCCGCACTGAGACGTCGCCTACACGCCCGCATCCCGTCGCGACCCCTTCATCAGCGCTGCACCCAGTGCGCCTGTTCGCGACGCCGACTACCCCACACCCTCCGCCGAACCCAGCTCTCGCAATGGCGTCTACCATGAAACGCAGCTCCGACATGTCTTCTAGCCGCGGCTCAGCTAGGAGGCGCGGTCCGGGAGGCCGTGCCGACAGAGACGGAGACATCAGCATGGACAGTCGCCCCCGTAACAACAACAATCGTGTCGGCAAAAGCAGTGCTCGCGGTGGTGGGAACCGCCCGAGCCTTGGCCGCAAAGGCTTGAACCTCAACGCCCTCGAAGATGAAGTCGACATGCAGGGCTCCTCTGGCGCCTCCGCATCCGCCAATGTCCGCTCCCGCCCTCGAGCCCACGAATCCCGCCCCGAATACATGAAGATCCGCGTCACAGGCTGGAAGAACAGCAAAGCCAGCTCCAACGAAGACAAAGGAGTCGGCGCTCTCGTCAGCTTTCTCCAGAACAAGACCCGCATTAACAGGCAAAAGGCCGCCAAGGCTGGCCGCATCACCGGCAGGGTCGATGTCACTCTCGATAAATGGTACAAGGAGAATGACGACAGCCTGGTCTTTTCTGTTCCCACCGACATTGGAGGCTCTATGCTCCGCATGGATGGATGGAGCTTCTCTGGCGCCAACATATCGATCAAAAAGTTCGACAAACAACGCTCGCCAACTCCTGAGCAGGAAGACAATGTAGCAAAGCTGCGCGCAACTCTCACCAGCCTCCTCGACCGTCGTTACAATGCCGAATCCAAGCTTCTCGACCTCAGCTCTCTCGGTTTGGATCCCGACCTCAAGGCCCTCGGTGTCTTCGACATGGGTAGCTCGACGGCCGCCAAGGTCTTCCCTGCCATCATGAAACATTGCGATACGCTGTTCAAAACGGCACAGGAGAAGCGAGAGAAGTTCGATGCAATTACCCTCCACAGCAACGAACTCGCCTCGCTGGACAACATCAAGACTCTTGCATTCACCTTTCCGGATCTCAAGAACCTCGACTTGAGCAACAACAAATTCGCCAAGCTCGAGGACCTTCGCCCCTGGAAGAACCGATTCCGCAAGCTGGATCACCTGGTTCTGACCAACAACCCCATCGAACAAGTCCCTGACTACCACGTCGAAATCCTCAAATGGTACCCCAGTCTTCGTTTCTTGAACGCAGTCCAAGTTCGCTCCGACGTGGAAGCCGCGCAAGCCACTGCGTCTCAGAAGAAGGGCCTTCCCGTCAAGCCTCGCGCAATGCTCGGCGACGAAGACATCACCAACAACTTTGTGTCCGCCTTCTTCCCGGGCTTCGACGCCGACCGCAACGCCCTGGTTGCCGCATATTACGATCAAACCTCCCAATTCAGCTTCGCGGTCAACAGCCACGCTCTCCGCGACGCCTCGTCGACGGCGACTCTCACCAAGCAGGAGTGGGAGTCGTACATTCGCAAGAGCCGAAACCTCAAGGTCATCACCCACCTTCCAGCCCGCCAATCCCGTCTTTTCATCGGCCAGGACCAGATCCGCGAAGCTTTCGCCACGATTCCTGTCACCAGGCATGCTGCTGAGCCTGATAAAGTCCACATCGAGAGCCAGTCGTTGCCAGTGGTCCCGGATGGTACTGGCCAATACCCACAGGGAGTTGTCGGGCTGCTCATCACCGTCCACGGCGAGTACGAGGAGATGGATGTCTCGACCGGCCAGGCCACCAAGCGCCGCTCTTACGACAGGTCGATCACCCTCGGTCCGGGACTTACAGGAACCGGCCTCCGCGTCATCAACGACATGCTGACCGTCCGCGCCTACGGCGGAAGCGCTGCTTTTCAACCAGAACAGACCATGACGGAGCAGGACGTGCTGGTGCTCGAATTCTCCAAGCACACGGGAATGACGGTCGACTACTCCCGCATGTGCCTTGAGCAAAGCGCCTGGGACCCGAACGCAGCCTTGGCTACATTTGAGTCGGCCAAGGCCACTCTCCCGGCCGAGGCCTTCATCACACCCGCCTAAAAAAAAGGCAGTTTCACATTAAGAAAAACATGTTAAAAAAAATGGAAAAGATACCCAGCCTCACATGGCTTCTTGCATAGCGTGGTGTTGTGTTTTTGAGTTATAAACCTCAGCATGGGAAGGGGTTTTTTTCGGCTTCTGACGACGGACAATGGTTATATAGACAGAATGGAATATGGAAAAGGTTCAGAGAAAGCTGCAAAATGGATGTCAATGTGAATTTCTATTTCAAGCGGGGCTGGCTCGGCGATTGCGGAGAAGCTTCTTGTGGCGGGCCGTCGGGGCGAGTGGCCACGGGCAGATCAGATGTGGCGCACAGGGGGCTGAGTGGCTTATGCCGCATGCAGCAGGGTAAAGGAAAGTGACGGAGGCGCTTAGGGTGCATCAAACATACGAGCCAAGAAGGCCACCTTGCGGGGGCGGAGAGGTGGAACGATGGTCATATGCTTAACACAGCAGTGGCATGACGGGCTCTCTCTGTGCTGAGAAATAACAGCTACACGAGGCGCGCTAGGGCGGCTCTTTGACTGTTGCGCCACCGTGTCAGGGCCGGGCGGGTCCCTGCCGCATGTCTACAGCTAAAATCTGGCCTTTTGGCCGCGCTCTTTGTACAAATAATCCGGCTCAGCCCGGAGAGCTGTCCTGCCCCTCACACATGCGCCCCATGCGCGCTATCTAAAGTGCGTTTATCCGCCCTTGGCCTCCCTTGTCTCATTCTTAAGCCATTTGCGCCGTTGCCCGCTAACCTCCGCAGCTTTCCCACCAAACTCACATTCCCTCGCACCCCCAGCCATGCGGCGAACAACACGCTTCTACCTGGCCGTCTTCGCCCTGCTGGGTTCGTCCCACGCAGCGCAGCACAAGCCCGACCAATGCGCGGTAAGCTCCATTTCCAGCACCACCGTCGGCGACGTACTAAACGGCACACTGCAGTTCGAGCCCGGTGCCATCGTATCCGACGCTTGCGCCACGTATTCGGACCTCGAGGAAATCAACGAAGAGGTGCAACCGTACCTAGACAAGATCACAAAAGAGACCGACTTTTTCTCGTACTGGCGGCTGAACCTCTACAACAAAAAATGCCCGTTCTGGTCGGACGAGAACGGCATGTGCGGCAACATCGCCTGTGCCGTCAACACACTGGAGAATGAGGAGGACATCCCGCTGGTCTGGCGCGCGGAGGAGCTGGGCAAGCTCGAGGGACCCAAGGCGCAGCACCCGGGCCGCAAGGTGCGCGACGAACAAAAGAAGGGAGAGCAGCGACCGTTGCGGGGCAGCCTGGGCGAGGATGTCGGCGAGAGCTGCGTGGTTGAGTACGACGACGAGTGCGACGAGCGCGACTACTGCGTGCCCGACGATGAGGGCGCGTCGGCCAAGGGTGACTATGTGAGCCTGCTGGACAACCCGGAGCGCTTCACAGGCTACGCCGGCGTCGGCTCGCAGCAGGTGTGGGAGGCCATCTACCGCGAAAACTGCTTCTCCAAGCCCCAGGCGAATAGCGACAGCGTCACACCAGCAGGCAGTGGATTGGGCCTGGGAGGTCTATCCGGCGGACCCGGTCAGGCGGCACAGGACCTGAGGAACGTCATGCGCAACCAGCCGCTGCAGCAGAACGTGCAGTCGGCCATTGCGAACAAGGGCGCGCGGCCGTCGGCGCGCGTGGACCAGCTCGAGTTCGACGACGAGTGCCTGGAGAAGCGCGTCTTTTACCGCGTGGTGAGCGGGATGCACGCATCCATCAGCACCCACCTGTGCTGGGACTTCCTAAACCAGACGACGGGCAAGTGGCACCCGAACCTGGCCTGCTACGAGAACCGCCTCCACAAGTTCCCCGACCGCATCTCGAACCTGTACTTCAACTACGCCCTCGTGCTCCGCGCCGTCGGCAAGCTGCGCAACCACCTGCAGGACTACCAATTCTGCAGCGCCGACCCGGCCCAGGATGCCTCGACCAAGTCGCTGGTGCTTTCTCTCATCGACACGATCCCGGCCAACCAGCGCGAGCAGATTTTCGACGAGAGCGTCATGTTCCAGGACTCGCACGCGGCGGTGCTCAAGGAGGACTTCAAGCACCGCTTCCGCAACGTGTCGCGCGTCATGGACTGCGTCGGCTGCGACAAGTGCCGGCTCTGGGGCAAGCTGCAGGTCACGGGCTACGGCACCGCCCTGAAGGTGCTGTTCGAGTTCGACGAGAAGGACGCGTCCAGCGCGCCCCCGCTCCGCCGCACCGAGCTCGTCGCCCTCGTCAACACGCTCGGCCGCATCAGCCACTCCATCCACGCCATCAAGCAGTTCCGCCGCATGATCGACGAGCGCGACGGCGTCAAGAGCAACCAGCCCGCCTCCCACCTCCCCGCCGACCCGACCGGCCCGCCCGTCTTGCCTACCCCCATAGCGGACGCCTACGAGGCTCGGAAGAGCCTGGAAGCGGAGCAAGAACGGCTGAAGAAGGAGGCTGAGAAGAAGGCAGAGGATGATGGCTACCCGCCCTTCGTGCGCAAGCCCCGCTTGAAGGACCCCACGCCGTGGGAGTCGGTGAAAGAAGAGGCCGAGCTGGTGTGGAATGCGTACTGGTGGGTTCTCAGGCAATGGGCGGCTATTCCGGGGAAGTTGTAAGTCTTTACTCTCATCCTTTCTTTTTCCTTCCCTTCGGCACCAGGGAGGGAACCACGCTGTGCGAATATGCTAACTTCTTGTAGTATCAGGATCGCTATCGTCGAGCTGAGCCGCCTGTGGGACTTCTGGCTCGGCTTACCTGTCAAGCCACGTAGCTGGGAGTTCAAGCCGCCGAAGGTGCGGGAGGAACTTTAGAGATTCTTTCTGGTTTCCCGATTCTAGAGTTACGGTCAAGATTAGAGAGAGAGAGCAGCTGTACAGCGACCGGTTTTTTGAGTGTCAAAGACGCTCATTTTGCTTGTTTGAACAACTCATAGCGAATGGCGTTAAAAGGTTCCTCTTTTACGGGGAGGACTCGGAAAGATTTGGGATATGGATTCGAGCTTCTTTTGCGCGTGTAATTAGAGGCAGAAGTGATTGTTGGGGGCTGAATAGGCCTTGTGAATAGATTACTTTGCTTCACGAGACTTGTTACCGTGATATGTTTGATACCACTTGGGTCATATGCTGTGGTATGGCTTGTTTTTGCTGTCCTGCGGTAGTTCAAGTAAATGTGGAGAAATTGCTACGAGGTGCAAGGCTGAGTTTGATGTAAAGGATGAAAGCACGGATATATTCAGAGTTCTTGCTAGTTTCCTTATCGTTGATACATAATGAAGCAAAGTGAATTTGTAAGCTTTAGTGGTGTCAAAGATAGTGAAGGATGTGTACAAGATGGTTGACACTTTGCTAACAGCGGAGACTGAAACTGGAAATGCTTTCGTACGTAGAAAGGAATACCATACAAAGTCTACTTCTACATTTGCTCGGCAAAAAGTGTTGCAAATGCAAAGAGTTTGCAATTGAAGATTAGCTGGAATCCTAATTTCTTTTTTTTAATTCTTAAAAAAAAACATGCTGTGGGTAGTTGAAGCTATCGTCCGGACGTAAATGTCAAATTAATAAATATACATTTACGTCCGGACGATAGCTTCACAGAACCCCATAAGTCGAAGAGTTATCTCTCCGTTCTACTGCTTTGTGGACCAGCCTCCGGCTCTGGTACACGTCTGTATATTTTCACGTCAGGTGATAATTCAGTACATACACAACGCCAACGCGAGAAGTCAGATGTCAAAGACTAGCTTTAGCTAGAGCTCTCACTTATTATTCGCGTATAGAAGAGAGGATAGGTTAGAAACAAACACACAAACTCACGACCAAAATATTTACGTGTAATGCAGCCAATGATCAAACCTGCAAATTAGGACGAGGGTTTTCCCTTTTTTTTTGTTCGAGTTTCGTAACCATTTCCATTCCTTTTATCATAACCACACCTCCATTCTCTTCAGCCTGGCATTCCGACCCTACCCGTAACAAGCTTCTCGTTTCTCGTAGGCAGCCGAATCGTTCACACGGACATACCATCCAATCTTACGATCACGCATTCCAGCCAGGATGCATGCTTCAGCTCCCCCCAAACCCCTTCATTCCACACTGCCATTGACCTTCTTCAATTCCCTCGAAAAGAGGAAGAAGACACTCAGCTCTGGGTGGGCATGTTGACGCTAGCCTTCTGGGCAAGGGCATCCTCATGGCGCCAGAGGGAAGTCACGGTCTTAGTCTGGGTGTAGAAGTTGATACCAGGTTTGCCGTAGAAAGTGCTGACGCCACCACCGGCGATGGACTTCTTGTTTCCAGTGAAGCTGTTAGATTTCAGTCAGCATTTTTGAAATAGAGGGATGACGGGACGGTTAACTCGCCTAAACATGGGAAGCGGGACCGGAATTGGAACCTATAATTACGGTTGTTAGCATCGTGAGCCTGGAATTGTGGTGGTGAAGATGGCGTTGCGGAGGGGATGGTAGTGATTGACAAAAGTCGTGGCCGCTCGGGCCGGGTCCCGGAGCTCTGCCGAACTCCGATATTCGGCCGAGAGCACGGCGGTTATGATCTCCTTTTGCAGAACAATAGTTCACAAAAGTTCACGGGGGAGTTGAAGTGCCCATTCAGACGGAAAGATGTTGTTGATATCCAGCAACTGTGTCCAGTGGACGGCTTCCACTCCCCATGAAATTATGCTCCATCGTGGGGTTCTGTTCTGTTTCTTAAAAAAGCAACCACTTACATTGATACCAACTTGACCAGCCTCAATCTCGCTGCGGAAGCGCTCGGCCGTAGGACCAGAGCGTGTGAAGCAGGCCACACCATTGCCATATTCATTGGCGTTGATTAGGCTAATAGCGTCGTCCATAGTATCGACGTTCAAGCAGACGAGGACGGGGCCGAAGATCTCTTCCTTGTAGCAGCGCATGTGCGGCTTGACGTTGGTGATGACGGTGGGACCGACCTGAATTGGCACTACTATGAGCATAGATTCTCTTTCTAAATGGAGAGCCTTTACTTACAAAGTTGCCGTTGGGGTACTTCTCGGGCTTGTAGCCCCTGCCGTCCAGCAAGATGGTGGCGCCCTCCTCCTCAGCGCTGGCAATGACCTCCTCGATCCGCTTCTTAGCCTCAGGGCTGATGACGGGGCCCAGGTCCGCGCCGGGCTCAAAGCCACCGTTGACGTTCAGTGCCTTGGCGCGTTCCGCAATTTCCGGCACCCAATCCTTCGTCTCGCCGACCAGCACAAGCGTGCTGAGGGCCATGCAGCGCTGGCCGGCAGCGCCGAATGCAGCACCGGCAATGGCGTTCAGGGCGTGGTTCTTGTTGCAGTCGGGCAGGACGGCGGCGTGGTTCTTCGCGCCGAGGTTGGCCTGGCAGCGCTTGCCGTTGGCCGAGGCGCGGGCGTAGATGTACTCGCCGGCCTTGTTGCTGCCGACGAAGCTGACGGCCTTGATGCGCGGCTCGTCGAGGATGAAGTCGACCGTCTTGGCGGCGCCGTGCACGATGTTGACGACGCCCGGCGGGAAGCCGGCCTTCTCGCACAGCTCCGCCAGGATCATGCACGCGCCCGGATCGCGCTCCGACGGCTTGATGACCAGCGTGTTGCCAGTCACCGTCGCGATCGGAATCGACCAGAGCGGAATCATGGCGGGGAAGTCTGCACGCAAATCACAATCAGTTCCCGGTCACGGCTCAACATCTGCATTCTCGACTTACTGAAAGGGCAAATGGCAGCCGTCACGCCCAACGGCTCCCTGTACGTCCTCGTCTCCATGTCCTTGCTGACCTCGAGCACCTCGCCCGTCAACTGCGTGGTGATTCCGCACGCCGTCTCGGCGACCTGCAAGCCTCTCAGCACATCGCCCTTGGCGTCCGCGAACGTCTTTCCCTGCTCAAGGGTGATGCTGGCTGCCAGGCGGTCCCAGTGTTCCCTGATCAGGGCCGTGAAGCGGAACATGACCTGCTGGCGGTGCAGCAAGCTGGTTGCCTTCCACGGGCCGAACGCCTTCTCGGCGCTGTCCACCGCCGCCTTCAGCTCCTCGTCGGTGCTCTGCGGCACCCGAGTGATCAGGTTGTTGGTTGCCGGGTCGTGCAGGTCGATCCATTTGGTCGCCTTGGATGGGACGAACTGGTTGTCGAGGAAGTTCTGAGTGTCCAATGGCTCGGCGACGGGCTCGTGGGTCGTGATGTACGAGTCGACGGTCGAGGCGGCCGTCGTCGTGGCGGCAGGCTTCAGGTGCTGCGTGGTTTGGTGCAGACGGCGCGTCGCCACGCGGCTGGCTGCAACGGGCTTTGCGGAAGCCATGGTTCTCGTCGAGAAACAAGCTACTCTGGGTGCGGTAGTGCGCGAGGTGAGAGCGGGGAAGTTCCGTGCGAGCAAACGGCGAGCGGCCATTGTCTGGGCAGTGACTGGCTCGATTGCAGGAGGGTACAGGAAGGGAACAGAGGACAGAATGCAGACCGACTAGCTAGCACTACAGGTCTTCTGAAAGGGGAGAGCTAGTAAATGGGCGAGGTCATGCTCGGCTTAAGCATGACGCTGCCGGCTAGCGGAGGCGTGGGGAAGATGCAACCGAGGGTCAGCCCTTGGTCCCTGCTCACGCCCTTCTCCGCTCCCGCCCAACCAAATCATGTCCTCCGCCGTCGGCGCCGCCCTTGCGCTTCCGCTTGCCTGTTTCGGCATCGCCATATCGACCGACAACACGTCGCAATTACATTCCATTTGCGTAGGCTAGAAAATTAACATGTTATGGGCAACGAACAAATCCACGCTAGCTATCGGCTGCGAGAGGGAATTGTAGCAATGAAAAGTCAATCCATTTACCAAAGAATAGGTATAACACACCCGACTATCAATATCCGCTTTCCCCCCAAAAAGAACTCCTGTAGTGAGCACGCTGCTTGAATTTTTTTATTGAACTTCCACCGCGACTTCTGCCATCCATCATCCCATGATTCCCTACGAGCGCCGCTTGGTTGCCTCACCGGCCTTCTCCGCACCCGTCGACACAGCCGACGCCGCCTTGTCCTTGGTCTCGCCGGCCTTGCCCTTAGCCTTGTCGGTAGTAGCCTTGACCTGCTGCTTGGACGGAGCAGAGCCGCCAGTGGCAACAATCGCAATGAGGGCGATCAGAATGGCGACAATACCGCCAAGGCCACCCGCAATGTCGGGAAGCATGGTAAGGGCGCCGACGGGGTTCTTGGGAAGGAGCTCGAAGAACAGAGCGGTGCGCTCCTTGATGTAGTTGACAGGATCCTCCTTGAAGTCGAGGTCAAGCGGAGACTTAGCCTTGTCGTCCTTCTTGGGCTTGCTGGCCTCTTCCTCGGCCTTCTCGACCTTGATCTTGACGTCGTACGACTCCTCCTGGAGCTTCTGGGCGTCCTCGATCGAGTGGCCGACGTAGATGTTGTCAAAGAGGATGTCCTTCTGCATGGTCCAGATTTCGAAGCCAATCTGCGAGCCTGTTAGTCTTGCGCACCATATGCCTGTGTTCTGCCAGTACTTACAGCGCCAATGGGCTCAAAGTTGGCCGGGGTCTTGTCCTCGAAGTAGTCGGGGTTGGCGATCTTGCGAGGAGCCCACGGGCCCTTGTAATCCGGGTTGTCGATCAGAGGAGCGGTCCACTTGCCCTTGTAGGCGGGGTTCTTCTTCATGGGAGGAGACCACGGGCCACAGCCAGAAACCTCGTCACACTTGGGGTTGGGGACAGTGGGGGGGATGAAGTCACCATCCTCCTCATCATCCCAGTCTTCGGGCTTCTCGGCCTCGGGGTCAGGAATGGTCGTGGGCTCATCCTCCAGCCAATCCTCAGGCTTCTCAGCCTCCTCATCAACAATCTCGTAGGGAGCATCCTCGTCCCAGTCCTCAGGCTTCTTGGCCTCAGGGTCGGCAATCTTAGCCTGGTCAACCCAGTCCTCGGGCTTGCTGTCGTTGGGGTCGTCAATCTCCTCCGGAGGGTTGACGGCGGGGGTGAAGTCCTCGAGGAGGGTGCCGTTGCGGACCGACTCGCCGTTGATCTTGATCTCGAAGGTCTGGTCGGGCTTGACAATGAGGGTGTAGAGGGCCGAGGTCTTGGAGATACGGGCCGACGGGGGGTTCTTGAGGTGCTTCTCCTCATACTCGCCGGTCTTGGGGTTCTTGTGCTTGAAAATGAAGTGAACCTAGAAGCCATGTTAGAGCTGCACAGCAAAAGCATTGTACCAATGGAATGTCGAGAGATTTCCGGATGGTCCAATTGGGCGTAGAAATCCATTTGTAGCGTACCTTGTTGGTGGCGCCGCACTTGTCGGGACCGAACATGATAACGTAGGGCGAGGCGTTAGAGAACTCCTCGGCGTGGAGAGCCTTGTTATCTTGCAGGAGCTTCATGTAGGCACCACCGCACTCAAGACCGTCTGGCATTGTTGTCAGCTTCTCGTCCGCTCGTAAACAGCGCAGAAAATTACGTACCCTGAAGCTTGACCTCATACTGGACAACGAGGGTGTTGTCGGTGTTGTCGACAGCCTTGGGGAACTTGGCCGAGATGGCGTGGTGGGCAGCCTTGTCCTTGATGACGAGACCCTTGTCGCCCTCAATGCCCTTGAAGACGGAGGGCTCCTCAACGGACCAGGTGCCGACGTAGGCCCATTCCTCCTCGGTGTTCTCCTTCTTTGCGTGGGACACCTTCCAGCGCTCCTCCCAGTCGTCGGTGAACTGCTCGAAGAAGGGAGCAGTGATAGTAGTAGGCTGCAGAGCACACTGTCAGCTTCTCGCAAGCAAGGTCTCGCGCTCCGAGGGGCCACGTACGGTGAAGGTAGGCTTTTCAACGGCAGAGGTGGAGGTAGACGACGAAGCTTCGTCGGCGCGAACGGCAGCTGCGCTGAGCAGCGCAATGGGGAGGATGTTAGCACGCATGGTGGAGTCCGCTTGCTGTGGCTACAAGCAAGGGCGATGACCAATGGCAGAAAGTCGAGTGATCAACGAAACGCGAAGAGGATGAGGTGGAGATGCGGTTGAAATAGCTGAGAGCTTGTGACCACCGTGGCAGTTACCCGGCGTAATTCTGCCGCGCGCCGCTGACCGCCTGCCCGTGCGGCATCCCCGCAGAAGTCGCGGCCGGCTGGCGCAGCGGCGGTGCAGCGTGGCGGCGGCAAGCGGCGCATGCGCCAGTGCGCCCCGGCCAGCCTCAGCCGCGGGGAGCTTATTTCCTTCTAGAGTCTTCGCCCACCCTGTCATCAAACTGTCTCGGGCAGGTCGCAGTGCTGCAGCTGCCGCCTGGCGCCGCAGCCGCCCTTCGCTGCGCGACGTCAAGCAAGCAGGCCCGTTGCAGAGCCTCGCTCCGGCGGGAATTTGACAGGCATGGGGTGGAACGCGAAGGATCCGGCTGGCTGCGAGGGATCCGGCAGAGCAACTCTATCTGCGCGCTTTGACACACTATATATAAAGGCAGGCGCGTGTTTTGTGCCACGGTGAAACAGGCGCGCTGCTCTGCGCTGCCTCAGGATCGCAGCTCGGCGCGCCGTGGCAGCTGCCAGTTGTTCTTTCTAGCTGGGCGGGCCCCGGCGCGGCGCGCGTCCAATCGGGTGCTGTCATTGTAGCTGAGCCTAGGCTCCTCACGCGCTTCCCCGCCGATTGCTCTGCCAACGTCTTGCGAGTGGGCTCGCCGCACTCGCGACGCCTCTCTCGTCGAACGAAAATGCAGCCTTCTCCTCGCCATCATCACCTGCAGCTCTTGGGTCCCGCGTGCGTGTCATTCTCTGCAGCCCATCCTTGTCCCGCCCCGAGCCGCAGCCCACACCCCGTCCTGTTCCGTGATTGTTTCCTTCGTCGTCGTCCCCCAAGACCGCCCTGTTCTTGAGGCCATTCGCTCGTGTCTACACATCATCGTCCGGACAGGTCTCGCGTGACAGCAGCTGGGAAAAGCAGCGAAGCAAGAAAAAGAAAGTTCATTCTGGTCCTCAACACTAGTCTCGCCTACGGTGCTTTACCCACGTTGCCCCTCTTGTGCGGCCCGAAATCACTGAGGACTCAGCATTCCGGATGCTGTCAGCGTCCTGCCCGTTCCACCGCCAGTTCTGGTCTCCATCCAGCTATTCCGCTTCCAAAGAGTGATCTTCAGCAAAGGGAGCCTGTCGTATCACGGGCCAAGCGTCTCGCAGGACCGCGCGGCGAGACCGTGAGAGGCCGTTTTTCTGGGCTACTGGCACGGCGACCAGCACTCGGAGCACTGCCGGCAAAGTCAGATTCGCGACACGCCGGATCGTGGCCAGGAGGGAGACAGTCACTCACGATCGAGATCTTCTTGGACGTCCATGACACATTAGCCAGCCTTCTCTCTCCACACCGCTCGCCCTCAGGACCCCACTCCGGAACAGGAAAACGGCTTACCAGACAAGTGTCACGCTTACAAGGGTCGATGCAGGCCGGGTTGCTTTGGCACCCCTGCAGCGCGCCGTCAGAGCTGCCAGGCACGAGGGGGAGCGGCGGGTCATACCGTCATGCACGAACTGTAGGCCGCGTCGCACGTCTCGTCGCAGCCGCCAGAGGACCGCGCCGTAGCGGCGCCGGCGGCGAAGACTGTTGCAAGCAGCAGCGTGGCGGGTCGCATGGCTGCTGTAAGCGAGTGAATGTCTCTTTTATCGGCAAGTTTCTGTGTGCGAAGACTGGTGCCGCGAACGAGTGGACATGGGATTGAAGCGAGCGTGGGAGATTTGAGGGGAAAGGAGAGGAGGGGACTACTGCAGATGCGACGGTGCCGCGGGCTTAAGTACCAGGGCCCGGAGGACCCATGATTGGGCGTGCAGAGGAGGAAGTTGGGGCAAGAGCAGGTGAGCGCTGTGTGAGGCCTTACCTGCACGTTCCAGTGTTCTGGAAAGCCAGGTGAGAGATACAATGCGTGTCCGGAGGAACCGTCCAGCCGTCCTGGTCTTTTGGCCCTCCTCCTACGCACCTGCGAGTCCGCGATAGGGCAGCACTGCGTTTCGAGAGGCAGGGCTGTCTCTGTGCGCTAACGAAAAAGCAGAAAAGCGGGGACGCACCAGTCCCCACGCCTTGGAGAATGTGCCTGGCACTAAGCCTCAAGATGCAGAGGGCCGGCCTGGCTGCCATGGGCATGGGAGCTCCGAGCGACAGGTGGTCTGGTTCTGGGCTTGACAGGTCACTATTACGCCAGCCAGACTTGATACCCCGCCCTGGTTCTAGATCGCCGACCCAGTCCGCCGGTGGTTTGTTTGTTATCTGCCTGCAACAGCCGGCTCTCCCCAGAGCCCCCACGCTGCTCACACACGCTCTCCTTTTCTGCCCGCCACAGGGCTTGTGGAAAGGCCGGGTGCGTGGCCGGCGCACTCTTGTCCGAACGTCTCCGCTCTTTGGCAGACTAGCTGGTGCGCTGTGCACGGCGAGTCCAGGCCGGAGGTGGCATCATGAGTCTGACTCAGGACCCGTGTGTGAATGAAGAAAAGCCTTGCCCGGGATCGCCAGCTGGTTTGGCGGTGACCAGGAACACTTCGACGGAAGAGAGGGTCGTCCCGAGCCCAGCGTGGATGCTACATGGCTGCCTGCGACCCGTGAGCGGTAAGGCTGTCCCAGCAGCCCGTTCCATGCGATAAAGCACGGTGGCTGCGTCTGAGATGCCGATGCTGGCCAGCCAAATGTCGTGGGCAGCCGGCGTATTCTGCTGGACAAAAATTGCGCGTCCCTTACCGCACTTTCGCCCCAGGACCGCTCCCTATGCCCGCCTACTCCCAGGATGCCACGGTGCCCTCCTACCGTTGCGAGACTGCGCCGACTACGTCCCGCACCGACCTCGCACGAGTCGCCCGTGAAGACGTCTACCCCGCTCCTGTATCCGTGCTCCTTGAGACTTTTCTGCGCCGAGAAGCCCACCGGTCCTTACCATCACCGGATAACAGACCCTGAGGGTCGTGCGGCATTTGGTCGCAAAGGGTTACGGAGGACTGCCAAGGGCCACGCGAGCACATCCTGTGTCGAATCACGACGGCCCCCAACACACCATGGCCATCACGTTGAAGTCGCTCATCATGACCTACGGCCCAGGGTCTCAACCCACGGAGCGACTGGTGAGCTGAGATCATCAGTGCACACTGCCTACTCCGTGCACAACGGTATACCGCTCCATCGGATTGGCACTATGTCCGAGATAAGCCTGGAAGTTTCCCGCCGCCATCCCACCAGGGCCCTGAATCAGTGGAGCGGCGCAGTTGCAACGGATACGGCAAATGCAGCATACCGTTCGCACGTATACGAGCTAGACAGCGCTCCCGCTGCCTCGGAACCATCTCCACGAGACGATCTGCATCGCCGGACTGGATGCATCACCGACTCTTCCTAGCTACCGCCAAAGCGGAGCCGCGGTACGTAAGGCCCGGAGGTATTGCCTCAAAAGGATCCGCGCCTATGACTGAACGCTCGCACCGCTCCTAGGGTTCTCGACCTTTCATTTGCATAAACATGTCTTTAGCGTCGTTCTGTGGAAGAAAATTACACACAGAGCAACGTCGTTAACCGATGGTCTGGGCTTCGTAACAACAAAATTTCCTGGGAGTGTCTTCAAATCCACTCTGCAAAATATGAGGGTGAAAATGATGCGAAGGCTAAGACCCACGTTGATATCAACCTTATGGGGTGACCGGCGTCTATCTCAGATTCAGCACTGGTGCGTCCGTCCGCCCAAGGCTTCGTGTGTGAGATCCGTCCCCGACAGTCCGGACCCGGCGCCGGTCTGCCCTGAGCTGTGGGGACCGTGATCTGTGGAGTGAGCAATGCCTTTTTTTCTTCTTTCCTTTTTGAGGACTGGCGCTTTCTCGCTTCCCTCGCGTCGGTGTGACGTTGAGCACTTTTGCAAGCTGATTGTGGCAACTCGACATCGTCATAGTACCACGTTTTGTTTGGCATGGTAGACAGCTTCAACGCTGACTTATCCCGGATTATTACATCACTGGGACGGTGTCCCGCCTTCCCTATTCCAGCGCATCCTCCGCGGGTACTTCACGTTTCAGCTCGGCACGTGCATGGAATCCGCCCCGGATGAAGTCGCTGCATGGGGCGTACCCCAAGCTAGTTATGCAGCTGCTCGCATCACCTTCTCTGTTCACTGACCGTTGCCCAACGGCTACCCAAACCCGTTACACTAGACACAGCCCCATCTCGCTTCCCTGGCGGACGTTGGGCATGATATCCAAAACCCCCTCCTGTCTTAGCTGCCTGACGCTTTGCTGCCGACAGAGGGACGTACCAATAACCGCAGAGTGCACCCCTAGTCTCGGGTACTTATCTATCGTATCCGCCATGTCTCACCCTGTCCAGAGCTGATCTTTCGGTACACGGGCCATCAAGAATGTGGAGCCCTGCTACCACGTGAGCGTTCTGCACATCCACTGTACCCAATACTCCTTTTCGTTTCGCCAAAACATGTCTTATCGCTAGTTGGTAGAGAGGCTTCTTGGCTCAGGGGTTGAGACTTCAGTCGCGCGTGACCAATCCCTAGGAGGATTCCAGCTTCGGGTAGCATTGCAGACGGCTTCCTCGGGTGCCGTTCAGCCGCAAGACTTTGTGTAACCGGTCTTCCGCCACGCGTTCTGAGGACAATCTAAAGCGTAGAGACTAGTACCATCTCCATAAAATACCGGAGAAATGCGAGCAAAGCGCGCCTCTCAAAAATGAAATCAACCCTCAGCCTCGCGTTGTAACATCATGCAGATCAACAGTTACGCAGATCTACGGTGAATCAATGGGCAACATGCTTAAACGCAAGGAAAGATCTTCTCCAAGATCTCCACCACCTGTGTCATGAACACTTACTGCAGCTTAAGATACTCCTGAGTATCGTCCTGGACGCCGAGTTCCGTTCCCAGGCATTTCACCACAATATCCTGGTATTCTTGGTCCGTCTTATCGCTGAGATGGGATTAAACATGCTTTTTCGGCTGATCCCGGATGGCCGTTGGGTTTGGGGTGTTTTTGAACTGGTTCTTCTCAGCTCGACTTCGAGGAGGACAACACCTAACGGATAGCTTTGATGAGCAGCTTGCATCCCAAGATACAAAAGACGTATCATACGAGAAGAGCAGTAACACGTGAATGTGCAAACTCTCTTCTATATTAGCTGTTGTCTGCGGGAAAATGTTAATGTGTGAGTGCGAGTGTGTGTTGAAGATGGCGCAGGAGGGGATCCGCAAGGCGGAACTACGCTCACGTAACGCATAGATATTGTTAAACAGTTTACCTTGTTTTCCTGAAGAGCTGATGCCGGTACACGTTCCGCTCGGGACCGTTGTTTTCCGAACCGAATGAAGAGTTTGCTCCGGGCCTACGATACTCAAAGACAGGCACCGGCGGCTGTCTACACTCTATGCTGCCTGTTGGCGTCACGACTACCTGCTCATTTTATCACTGCATTCCGCCAACTATCGTGGACATTGTATATTAATTGGCCATGCCACAATGAACTCTTAATTGGATTCACGTGGCGTACTGGGTAACTGGAACCTTGACAGATATCCGCAAGAGCTGTGCTACACACAGCACTTTCTTACACGAATAAATTTGTGTGCTTTCTGGATATTTATCGGGGCTCCACGGGATCAATACCTGCATTTGCAAATTTCGACAATCCGCAGAACTTTTCCTGTAGGCTGCCAAGGATTGCGTGGGCTCCACTGACCCAAATTTCAGCCGATACGAGGTTGAATCATTTATTGTCAACCGAAGGTGTCGAGTAATGTTTGAAATTTTCTTGGCTCTACTGAAGACTACATCTGCAACAAGTTACTTCAACTTGCTTGCAAAGCAGGGAAGTTGAGGAGCGATACGTGGCTCCCCACAACCAGACATCGGCATCAACGGATCACGACTACTAGTAGATGAACGTCTTCCGGTACATGAAAAGGACCATATGGATAGCCATACACCATCGTCCCGCATCCACCGACCTTCTAGGGTATTCTGATGTATTATAAGGTGGCGATTGCAGAACCCTAAGAGCAGTACTTCATGCTGGCAGACGGCCTGGTCCTCTGGCAAGCCGAGCTTCAGAGGTTGGTAATGCTATCTAGCATTGAGCCGAGTGCGTCGCAATGTCTTGTGCCAGGAGGGACATTATGAACATCCTGAGCCTGTGCTAGAGCCTCGTTCAACATCTTATGTTAATAAAGCATTTGGCCATGTGTTCCGCCGCTTGGGAACTGCTTCTTCGCATATCTTGTGCAGTATTAGTAAACAGCAACTCCCCTGTAGCGTCTCCCGTCATGTCTACAGCAAAGAGACCCTTTCCCGATTCATCATTGTAGCAGCTGAGGACTTCGTAGCAGTGTTCAAACCACCGCTTGAACTGACCCATGCGTCACTTCCAACAGTGGTGCGATCGTATCCACGTCATATTTGTTGCTAGCCGTCTAGTGTGGCATGTTCGATCGCTCGCGTTGGAGAAACTAAATCCTAACACACGCGCAAAGTTAGTATAACTGTGTCTATTGCGTGTCTGCTCGACAGATCCATCCCTCGACACGACAACAAAGCCAAAAAGAGAATTCTTTTGCTTTTGCCTTCTTCAGAACACCCTTTTATAAGCAGCGACAGCCCAGAAGCTTTTGCCTCCGGACCATACCTTTTCCGGCTCTTCCTATATTATGTATATTCTCGGGTTTTTCGATGTTGCTCATCATATGAAGGACTTCGTATCGTGTGACGGAACTGGATTGCGAGGAAATTTCTGGCTTACATTTTTGGAACGTGAGAAGAGGGCAGGCCATCGGTGCTCAGTCGTCGACGCGGTGGTGCGTGTAGGCAGCAATGGGGGCCCGCCCTCTCCGAAGGGCTCTTCAACTTATCAGCATGGCGGTGGGCATTTTTGAGTGTGATGCGCCGGAGAGTGCGCGTGCGTCGCGTGTCGAGAAAGAGGTGTGTTGACGCGCAGGCGAGGGGAAAAAGTTCGCGAGAGGTTTCTTCCCAACCGCCGCTCATCGGCGTTTCGGGGAAACCGTCTTTCCGCGCTACACCGAAGTACCTACACCTATGGATAGGAGCATCGAAGAACAGAGATATTATAAAACGCTTCCTTAAGCCGGAGGATGACATTGACTTGGCTAGTGTGAATTGATTATTCGCTCATATCATAGGTAGTTGAGGCTATCACCCGGATGATAGCTTCAGTCGAACACATCTGGAAACGAGGGCATCCGAACAAGAGCTCCAACCACCCTAAGCTCTGTTGCAATCGATAGTAGTCATGCTACAATGTCTATACATTTGTGAGCCTTACTACTAGTATCTATGTTGGTATCAACCCTAGCTAATCCTATCAGGCAAAATTCCCCAAAACACCTTTTTTGTTCCCATTTCTATAGCAATCGAACCAACCTGACAAAAATCCGTGTTTGCACTACGCCATTTTAACCCCTGCTTTCTCCAAGCCCGACTTGAACTGCTCGGCAATGTCATCATTACCAGCCGAGTCCTGTCCGTCCTCCATCGGGCGGTCTAGTTCGCCCTTCGCCTCCATCTGCTCAAACAACATCTGCGCGACAATATCTTGCATGACCTTGGAGGTCTTGCTGTCGTCGCCAAACGCACCAGCACCTGCAACCTTTTTATCCAGCTCCAGCTTGGAGTTGCCGAGCGCCAGGATCTGCTCCTCGATCGTGCCTCGCGTCACAAGGCGGATCACCTCAACATCCCGGAGCTGTCCGACTCGGTGCGCCCGGTTCTCAGCCTGGATGTCCTCTTGGGGGTTCCAAGAGAGGTCGTGGATGATGACCTTGTTGGCAGCGGTGATATTGATACCCGTGCCGCCAGACCCAGTAGATACCAAGAAGATGGGGATGGTGGCATCCTGGTAGAATTGGTCAATGATATCTTGGCGGCCCGAAGTGTTGGTTGAGCCATCGAAGCGGAGGAAGGGAATGTTCTCAGCCGACAAAACCTCTTCCATGACATCTAGAACCATCTTGAACTGAGAGAAAAACAAAGCACGGTCGCCGTTCTTGGCGAACTCTTTCACAAGTTCCACCGTCTTTTGAAACTTTCCTGAGGCGTGCGTCAGGTCATCCTCCATCTGGTATTTGCCCCAGAGCTGAGGATCGTCGTCTATCGCCCGCATGATCTTGAAGTCGTTCATCTTCCGGAGCCAGTCGAACGATGACTTCACGCTCGTGCTTGCACCAACGTTGAAGTGGTCTTCCGCCATCCGCGTGATTTTCTCATCGTTAAAGAAGTGACGGTCCAAAAGAGGATGACACGCAGTAAGCCGAAGCTTCATCAAGTAGTTCGAGCTCGCGGGGCTCGGCAGATTCAACTTCTTCCTCTGGAAGGCCTTTTGCTGAAGAGCAAGAACGTCGCTGTACACCTTCTTCTGCTTGGGATCCAGTTCGCAGTACTCGACTCGACATGTCTTCGCCGGAAGAATGTTGCCCAGAACCTGCTCCTTCCTCCTGCGCAGAATGAAGGGGGTCATCATCGACCGTGCTCTGGCGGTACGTTGGACTGACAGCAAGCTGGCATGGCTGTTTTCCTCCGTCGTTGTGGCTTTTCGGCGGAAAATAAACTTCAAATTCTCCGCGTGCTCGGCGAAAACCTCTGGCATGATGAATCCTAAGAGTGAGGCCATTTCCTGCAGATTGTTCTGTAGCGGAGTGCCCGTCAAAAGAAGGCGCATCGTCGCGGGAATGCGCATCGCGCATTGATACTTCTGCGATGAGCTGTTTCGCAGCTGGTGCCCTTCGTCGAACACGCAAACAGTCGGCTCCAATTTGCGCAGGAATTTTGCGTCGTTCTTGTCGGTGCTGCTCATCGTTGAGTAGGTTGTGATGATTACATCGATATCTTCCTTTTTACTCTCGATATCTGCCCTCATGCTCATGCGCTCGGCCTGGCTGCCGTAGTACGGCTCAACATGCATCGTTCCTTCTTGGATGAACTTGTTGAACTCTCTGAACCAGTTCTCCAGGGTGGTGTTAGGAACCACAATGAGGTGGATTCCCTTTTGACCGGTCTCTTTGAGGTGAGCCAGGAACGAAATGACTTGGCAAGTCTTGCCCAGGCCCATATCGTCGGCCAGAATACCTGACAGTTTATTGGTCCAAAGGACGTTCAGCCAATTAAGGCCAACCAATTGGTAATCCTTCAGGATCAGATCTTCAGCCATGATGGAGGGCTTCTGGAGCTTCGAGAACCTCGACTTTGTGATAATGACATCATCGTCATCGTCCGTTTGCGAAGCCGAGCTTGGAGTGCCTACGCCGGAGTCGTTCTTGACCTCGTCAAGGCTTCCAAGGTTGAGCTCACCCGAAACGTCTGAAGCAACCGACTTGCCTCCAAGATGCTTCATAGCTGCCTTGATGGGTTCGCCAATCTCCTGACACTGAGACACGAGCTCATTGATCGACTGGTAAGCCGTCCACATCTTTTCCGCATCGTTCAGGACCTTCGTTCCTGTGGACATGTGGGTGCGTGGCACTTTTCCAGTCTTCGTCAGCTTAGGTGGGTTGAGCTCCACCTTTCGAATTTGGTCCAAGTTCTTAAAGGGCCTTCTCTCCAACACGCCCTGGCAATCTTCCAAAGATTTCTCAGAAAGATCCGCGAGGTCCTCCGCTGAGCACTTGTTGATGTACGCGAGCAGGCTTTCCTGCAGCGCTTGCTCATCAACTTCTTCTTCCTTATCCGAAGCGTCAGAATCCGATTCAACGGTGAGAACTTTCTTTCGCTGGCGGTCCAGCTCTGGCTTCTGAGGCGTGGGCTTTTCTTCTGGGGTGGGTGATCTGGCAGCGGAGGGACGGCCTCGCCTAAGGCGACCGCGAGGTTTGACAGCAGGCGACTCAGTGGCAGAGGAGTCGTCAGCGATATCCAGGACCGGAGTCTGCTTTTCCTTTGACTTGGGCGCGCTAATGGAGCTCCACTTAGAGGCAATAGTCTTGCCTGACTGAACCGACTTGTTCGTAGTAAACTTCGAAGGCTTGACCGGTGATGCATCGTCCTCAGTGAGATCAATGGTTTCCACCTTGGATGCCTTCTTGCGTTCCTGCTCCTCTTCCAACTCGCAGACGTAGTTGAGGGCATCGTCGTACTGTCCTTTCTTGCGAACAAGCGCCTCGTACAGGAGTGATACGGGCTTGTCGCCAAACACGAGCAACATCCGCTTGACCCTCTGCTTCTGGACCCAGTCTGGAATGTCCTCCAACTTCATACCCTCGAATGAACAAGAGCCCTCATCCACAGGCAGAGCGCGAGAGGGGCCAGTCTGACGTGGCTGCGTACGAGGCCTCTTCGGCGATGAAGAGTAAGCATTTGCCATTTCATCGGCTGAGCGCTTCTGAGGTCGGCTGGCGGGACCTTGATACTTGAATTGGTCGAGGACCTGGCTGAGAACAGAGGGTGGGCCATCGCTAGGGGGAGGGATCCTAGGCTTGTTCTTGGTAAGGAAATTAGACGGTTTGATCTCCGACCTTGAGATCGGCTTGGAGAGCTCGTCATCCGACGTTTCTTCTGCTGGAGAGTCGTCGCTGAAGCTACCAGCATGGGTGACCGGCAGTCGAGACGGTCGCGAAGTGGTACCTGGCGGTGCATTTGATATGGCCTTGCGCGATCCAGTCGGCGAAGGTGAGGCGACCGGGCCACGAGCTTGGAGTGAAGGTGAGGATGCCGGCACTTGGACAACAGCGTTTGCGTCCGTTCTGTCACGCACTGGTGTGTCCAAGATTTGTGTCGGCTGGGTCGTAGCAGGTGCCGGTGAGGCAAAGTATGGCGACGCTTGTGTCGGCGGGGCAGGCTTGTAGGGGTGTGAGAGAGGAATGGTTTCCTCCATCTCGTCGTAACCGGCGAAAAGGTCGTCGCCATCGTCATCCTGTGAGTTGTAGCCGGCGCCAGTGCAAATGTCGTTGGCCATTGTGAAAGTGTAGCACTCAGCCGGATCGAACGTGAGGAATCGCGCGCGAGTGGAGGTTGCGATCCAGCGCTGGCGGACGCGAAAGGCGAACGAGTAGATCCCGTAATAATTCTACTCTCGGTCTCGGTCTGTACCCAAAATCGAGGGAATTCCAAGATCGCAGAAGGTCGGCGGGCGTCAGACAGGGCGTGACGAGGGGGGAGAACAGCAGTCACGGAGCTGGTTGGGTGGGTGGGAGAAAGCGAGCGGTTGTGAGCTGGTACAACAAAAGAAACGCGGGTTTGCGAAAGGTCGACGTGCAAGGGTCCGAGCGGGCGGTTCCTCGAGATCGCACCTCAAACGCGCAAACCCCTGTCACCGCCCCGGCCGCCCCGGTCTTGGCGCGCCGTCGCATCCGTGCGCAAGGCAACCAGACCAGAGCGGAAGCGGCGAGCGAAGCGGGCTGGCCAAAAGTCGAATGTAGCTCTTCACATCATCTCCGCACGCTCAGCTTCCACAACTACAAGCGACAAAAATGACTTCCCGAAGGATTGTGTCGACGGAGAAGACGATCCTGGATCAGGACGATGCTGCAACTGCACCGGGCAGCGGTGCGCCGCAGGGCGATAGTAACATCACGCCCGCTGTTCCTGCGTTCGTATACCCTTCCCGACACTGCACATCTCTTTTATATACCATGCCTGCTCAGTTGACGACGAAGGCAATGGGGAAGGCGCTGCTGCGCACGCAAGCGGATGTCGTCGCGAGGCAATTATAACATTTGCTAACAAGCGCTTCTTTCCCGAAAACTGTAGGCACGTCATCTTCAAGCTGCTGGGCTTCACGTTTGCGATGATCACGCTGCCCATTGGCACCTATTTCGTGACCGTGAATACAATCTTCAAAGGTTTGTGACTACTCTCAATGTTGTTTCCTTTACAACAGATGTTTAAAGGCTTAGTGTCACCGCCACCATTCTTATTGTGCTCAACCACAAGTAAAATGAAAATCATCATCTAACTGGCTCGCTAACGCTTCAAAAGGCAATTCGACCTTTGCCGGCGGCCTGGCCGCGATTATGGCGAATGTGGTGCTGATTGGCTACGTCATCGTCGCCATGAAGGAGGATCAGTCCGATAGGCTTGAGGCGGAAGCGGAGGCTAAGAAGGCCAGATGAAAAGGCCTAGGTTACGCAGTTGCCCTTTCCACAGAAATTGCTGAATCGAGGAGTTGCAGGCACCATGGTGGTCGGGATTTGTGAAATAAAAGCAGGCTATGGACCCCATCAAAGGGGAAAAAGGAAAAAAAAAAGGGGAGGGGGAGGGGGGAGGGGACTACTTCTGGCCCGTTTGCACTGGCCCGTTTGCACATGTGGTGGTTAGAAATTTGACCACCCACCATCCGTATTCGAGGTCGTTCTAATAAGAAAACATTGCTTCGGAAAGTTTGTGGATAGTCATGCTTGAACCGTGCTGGTAGTGACTACGGCGATGGCGAATACACTATGAGATGGTAAATCGCGCCCCCTCGTGATCATGACTCGCGCTTCCTGTGGTTATCGTGAAATCCCCTGATGTCGGTGTGACAAGGTGGGCAGTTGGAATGCATTGGCTTGGCTTGGGGGCCACAGCCCCCTCTCGCAGCCGATGGCTAGGGCGAAGAATAGCAGGGCTTTAGAACA